TGTCATTTCTATTAGTAATGTTTATTCAAAATTTAGAAAACACTTTTTATGATTTTTTTAAAGCTTTTAATTGTTATGTTATTATATGATTGATTATGTTCAAAAACTCTGTGTACCAGTGAATTTGTGGATACCATCGTGTTAATCGAAAACAAAAATAACTATCAATTTAAAAAACATATTTAATATATTATGGTAATCGGGTAGTACTGTGGTAGGTATATTACCAGAATTTAATCAATTTTTAATAGCAAGTAAATTATACTATGGTGAGTACAATTTTTGAAAAAAATCAATTTCGAGTAAATAGGTACGTGTATATTTTTTTTTTGCATCTAACACCACTACGAGTTTTGATAGAGTAAAAAAAAAATTATAATTGTAAGTATCAATTCGAGTTTAAACAAAAAAAAAAAAAATTCCTTATAAGAACTTGTATGGCATGTGTATTTATTGTTATTCATAGAGTACCTAGATTCAATAATCGATAACAAAAAATACAAAAGAGCACGTTGCTAATAAATATATGTAAAATATCCAAAACCTGACCAGAACCTAACCTAAACTGATGCTATAATACCACATGATTCTAATCACCCTTATTCTCAAAACATTTTTTTAACTCAATAGTCTATAGGTTTGAACGCATTATATTACATAAACATAATTATCAATACGAGCTTAGTCTTATCTATAATATAGCCCATAGAAATAATTACTATTTAAAAAAAAATCATGAATGTATTAGAGAAAATTAAAAAAAAAAATACACAACTCACCAAATAATGTTAACTATTGTATAATATGAAATATCAAAATAATATATTCAACGAATTTGCTAAAATTCTAAACAACAATACAAATAATGTAAAAATCACTTTTAAGACTAATAATAATTTAATTAAGCATATAAACAATAGAATTAAGAACTTTACAAAAAATCCCCCTTCTTTTGAAATTGCTGGTATATATAAACTTAAATGTAATTGTAATATATCTTATATAGATAGAACAAATATAAATTTTAAAATAAGATATAAAGAACACATTTCTGAAATAAAATTAAAAAAAGACCGCCCTTAATTCAAATTTCGCTAAACATGTTTTAAAAATTACCATAAACTTTGATATTAATATACAGACGTAAAAATATTAAATACCCAAAATAGCATTTACATTAATTCAATTTTAGAAGAAGTACACATATACAATGAAATAAAGAAAAATAATTTTAATAATACTTTAAATGTATAAACCTATTTTAAAAATAATATCTTATATATTAATGTATTGATATACATTATAGATAGTAAATAACCAAATAATTTATATTTCTTAACATATCTATGTCTAATTATAACCAATTTTAAATAATCTCTCCTATTAAAATAAATTATTTCTATGTAAAACGATCAATTTGTTTAATTTTTTTTTCTATGTATTCCTTTATTTAATTTTTTATATTCAATCGAGTTTTACATTTTGACTGTTATTTATTTTTTATTTCTATATATAATTTTTTTATTTATATATTTATTTAATATACTTAAAATAAATGACTGCCTTCTTTTTTCCTGTAAACTACTTTTCTCCAAGCAATTTGGCTCTGATTTATAATTACAGTAAATTTTTCCAAAAAGAAATTTGATTGGGGAGGTATTTTAGAGTTTTCATTTTTCAATTTTTCAAAGAATTTTCCTAGCAAATGTGAAAACCAGGAAAAACGTAGGAAAACTGAGAAAATCGGTACAACATTAAAAAAATGTTATTAAAGAAAATATACAAAGCCTACTTAATTATTTTACTATAATATGATATATATTTTGCTGACAAAGCATCACTATCAACTGAATTATACTCAGAATCGTTTTTTCTTAAGCAATGGTTTATCGGTGTTCACAGGCATACATTAAATAATCTATAACAGTGGCTGCACCCGTCCCCATTATCCTATGACGTTTTTTTCTATATTATTCAGTGAAAAATAAATAATTGTAAAGAGGATGAAAATTTCATTGAATACTAACTTGTATACAGCTATTATATGTAGCTCATATGGTACAATTTTAAAAACATTCTGGTGATTTTTTAGGATTATATTTGGTTTTATATTATTCAAATTATTCTGTTAAATTTAACGTAATGTAGTAATTTTTTTTTCTAAACACTTGAAGTTCAAAATTTAATGGAAATACGTTTTTAACAAAATGCAAACAAATGTATCATTCCATCAGTTTCGGATTTGGGGATTGTTCAAGGGGGAACTGATTTTATTAAAATATATATATATATATATATATATATATATAAATATAAACAATTGTATAATACAAGAATGAAGTAAAAACCACAGGTCAAGGGTAAACGATTGTACTTTCCCCCCTCCTCTTTGTATTCGTCAATTCGTACCATCATACGTTTACTTACAAGAAATAGGTTTCTTTAGTTTAACTTTATACATCGAAAAACACTTTTATCTATATACATTTTATTATTTAAAACGATACATTAAAATACGAAAACGGTTTAATTAGTATCTAAATAGTAAATAATTTATTACTTACAGTGGTGGATATATCCTAGATCTGAAGGAGGGATGCGATTTTAAAATCTACAGAGGTTATGTGGTTTATTCTTTCCAGTGATTATTTTAGACCTGTATCCTCGAGGGGTAGAGGGTATCGTACATTTCCAAAATTTTCAATCTACTTATATATATATATATATATATATATATATATATAAATTCTTAATTATTAATTTGTAGATAATAATATATAATGTATAATCCAAAGATGGAGGGTTTCCCCCTGATATCAGCTCCTGGGTACTTACAAGTAACAACTAGGTAGTTAATTAATTTCAATAATTATTTTAGGGCAGATTGAATTTTGAATAAGTATTTTATTTTATTTGTATACATTACAAACGTGAGTGATGGCTGATACATACTTACATTAAGTATATGATAAGTTCATCTTAAAAGAATAAATATTAATATAAAAGATTCCGGATAATGTATGGTGGAATATTCATTAGTAGTAGGTACATTCGTATAGACAACTGGGAAGAGAGTTTTTAAGGAAGTTTATATTTGGAATAAATACCAAATTAGACGAAGAAATAAAAATAAAAAATGAAGGATTGTATCTCAGGAATATGAGTTGGAACTTTAAAATGTATTTGTTGCAGAAAGGCAAGACAGCCAGTTAAATAAGATGAAGCTTAGTAATATATGATATACTTGCAACGTAGGTATTTACGATGCACAAGATAAATTTAATATTTAGATGAGTTTGTTATCATGTAGATTGAAGAGAACAAAATAAGCAACAAACGATAAGAATTTATGGTATATCATTTCAACTGCAAGGAGATCTGTGTAGATAATCGAGGGTTTCAAAGAACAGATCCATACTTTGGACAAGGTCAAACTAAAAAGTAAAATAGAATATTTAATAAACGTTCAAATTTGAACTCCGAAGAGATTGGAAAATTTTAAAAGATTTACTACAGATTTCCTAGATATGTAGGTTGGCCATTTGAGGGACAGATTTGGAAAAAAGTGAAAGCCTAGGTCTCCAAAAAATTCAAGTGATAGGATATCGTAAGATTTGTGCCTCATCAGAAATCATTAGATTAGCTTTATGATAGCAATATATTTTAACGTATTCAAAAATATTGAAAAAAATTAATTGAAAGTTTTTAAATAGTACAAATATAAATATATGTAGGTATTTACTATTTCACCTCAGAGAGACATAATATGATATAGGTCCCGAATTACTACTGATGGAAAGCCCAGTTGGGTGATTCCAGTATGCATATGGAACGAGTTGAGATGAAGGTGAAGGAGAAGAAGAAAGTAAATCTGTACTATTTTACTCTATTTATAATATATTAATACAATATTAATAATTAATAAACCCAGTGGTGGCGCTAGAACTTTTACTTCAGGTGGGCCGAGCTGAGGCCAACATTTTTTTTTTTGATATTTATGTATCAATCCGTGGAGATAATTATGTTAAAATAATTGAATAGGCATTATATATTGTCTTTAATAATAATTGTTTAATATTATACCGATTTTCCCTATTTTTTATATTTTCTGGGAAAAATGACAAAATTGAAAAATAGCCTCCTTATAGTACCTTCCGAGTCATATTTTCTTTTAGAAAAAGTCTTATTATTGTAAATTGGAGTTAAATTGCTGATAGAAAAGTTGTTAATAAAAAAAAAAATACTGTATTTTTTTTTTTCAACTAATACCTGTACATTTCGTACATTTTCCCGTTTGTTCCCGGTTTTTATAATTTATTGGGAAAACTCCCGAGAAAATCGAATAATTACCTCCCTTCAGTACCACCTCAAAAATATTTTCTTTCAGAAAAGGGTCTATATCGTATACATTGGGCTCATCGAAGTAAGTTTTATTGTAAAAAAAATGTTCACATAAGTAAAAAAAATAAACATCTTTGTAAAACCAATACATTCTTCGCCACACTCAGAATCTTAAATATAACTATGATCTCTGCATTTCTTCGTATTTTTATATCTTCAAAAATATGATATGTAATGTAAAACAGAATTTATTTGTAATCATATAGGATGGGCCATCACTGAATAAACCTATAATAAAATAATATGTTCATATTTTCAAATGAAAATTCATAAATTCATAAAAATTGCATTATAATATTATAATAATATATACCTATGAAAAATATAATATGAAAAGTAAACGCAATGTAGAATGCCTATTAAAGAAGTTTTTTGGAACCTTAGAAAAAAGAAATATTAAACAATATTTTAATTTTTTTAAACAATTCATTGATATCAATTTTCAATGCGGTTATACTGTGGCCCGGCGGGTCTCTATCGTGGCGGTGGTGATGGTGGTGGTAACTGGTAGCTGTGGTCACAGTGGTGCCGGACCGTTTTTTTCCAAGATCTCTTTGAAATGTGTCGTGGTGGTACACCGCCAGTGTCGCTAGCATCGCAGAAAAATTAATGTCAGACGAGCCAACAACAACAAAGCGTTCGGACGTAATCGGAATAAATTTTTTATTTTTTTTTTTTGTTTTCGTTGATTTTCTCCAGTTCCGTCGGTCGTTATGTCGTTATGTGAACGTTAGAATTAGTTATCGGAATACCGACTACTACGAGTACTATTCTCAAATACAACGATCCGTGAGCGCGTCCTAGGTACATCTGACGCTTCGTTGAAAACCAATTTTTGGGTGTTGAATTGTCCGGGAAGTTGTTCGCAAAATGTCGAATGTCGCCAATACCTTCAAACATGATTACATAGGTGGTGGAAAATATCGTGTTGTCCGGAGGCTCGGCAGCGGGTCTTTCGGAGAGATATTCCTCGGACTCAACGTTATTAACGGCGAGGTAATTATTTTTTGTAATTTATGTGGTCTTCGCCCTATTATTACGAATTGCGTAAGTACGTGTGCTCACGCATGTGTGTGTACGTGTGTAGATATATGCATGAATATCAATATATTATGCACTTCATACACATTTATGTACATAATATATGTGCGTGTGCGTGATTTATTGCCCACAAGAATAATATATTAGGCTTGACTACTTTAGGCCGCACTTTTTAACTCTTTACTATATTATTTTTCAATCTGTGTTCTAATATTCTATTAAATGTTAATAATATAATATGTATACCCTACTATAATGACAACTTATTACTGTACCAATATTTTAGTAAAGAAAAACTAATTTAATCAAGCCACTAAATATAATAAGTATTTGTTTACACAACAGTTACAATTTGTATGTACAAAATAAAAACTGTAGGTACTTAGGTACTTACATTTATTTGTTACCTTTAAACTTTGTAACTTAATTAATAAAGTAAAATTAATGAATTAATTTATAATTAGAAACTATTAATTATTATTTTAAAGGTAGTTATCTAAGCATTCTTGTTATTACAATTTGGGATAAAAATATTGATTTGAAATACCTATCTATTTATCAATAATTCATCAATGTCCGCACACAATAGTGCTGTAGCGGTGCTGGTGGAGATGTCAGTTTTCAGTGGTGGTATAATGGTACACATGTATTTAATACTAGGTAGGTCCACATACCACCACATTGAAATCTGTGGTAAATTGTTGCATTGTGGCAAATGTATAAATATAATATTGGTTTTGACTTTTAAAAGAATAAAAATCAGCGTCATCGTCACCATTGCAGTGTGTGTGTGGTAGTTTACTTGTACCAATTTTATGTGATACTCAATACAAGTACATTGACATATCCTTTATCATATATTTATAACAATATTATAAGTACCTAGGTATATTGGTTAAACTATTGAATTTGAAAATATTTTTAAATTTTCCTCTTGCTTTAATTTCTAAGCATTTTCTATGTGGATTTTTGAATTCAGCTCTTAATACCAAACACAGCATGTGTTTAGAATCATTAATACCAACACATCTTTTAAATTAAATCACTCAAACTATAATTAAAAATATAGACATTAAACACAAGTAGAATAGAATCTTATCTAGTTTTAATTTAGATGTATTTATTTTATTTATAAATATGAATCGACTAGATATTTAAGTACCCGTGTAAATCTTAGTATTAACGATAATTATTGATAGTATTTTAAGAGCAAATTTATAATTTTAATTGTACACCTATCTAATTAGATACATAATTGATTTTAATAAATATTAATATTATTTTTAACCAAGTTGAATGTCTAGAAATAATTTGGATCTACCTGTTAAATACTTCATACAAACTTGAATAAGGGAGTGTATATAGTTCACACGTATTATGTACTATATATCTTCTAGAATATAGTAAAATACCTACTTTAGAAAATGTATATACTTGGTTCATAATTTAATTTAAAATTTGTCTTACAAAGATGGGTATATTACTAAACTGAATGTATTATTAGGTATTTTATGTTTATTTTGAAATTAAATTGTTAACTTGTTAAACAAATTTTTTTTCCATATACTTTAAGAAATTCCTCTATTTTGAAACACATTTAATAATAAATTAATAATAGGTTAGCATGTATTTAAAATAATTATAAATTCATATAGTTTTGTAATTTATTCATATTATTAGTGAGTTACACTTAAAGTTCTTTTATCAATTTTAATTGAAAAAAAAACGGATATACTTTGAAAAAACCAATACATGAGTCATAAGAAAATGAATAATCAAATAAGCAATTATTACTATTATTTTTAAATTCAAAGCAGTAATGGATATTATATATTCCTAATCTAATCAAATAGAGTGCAAATAAATTGGAGTTTAATGCTTGTCTGTATCTACTTTGTTGGTTCCATTGAAAAAAAAATGTAATGTTTCCAATAGATAATTTTGTATATATTTATAGATACCTATTTTCATGGTCGCGGAAGTGTTGTTTACCTCATGCACTTGGTGTCAAACACAAAGTTGTTTGGACAAATTGAAAACAATTTCTTGTTTTTAATTTTTCACAGTTTTATCAAAAACATTCAATTCTTGATTAAATTAATGTTAAATGTTATAATAAATCAAACAAATTATCTAGTTTATATTTTTTTTATAGATATTCTGCAGTAATATAAACACGTTAGATGCTTATTAGGCACTGAAAAAGAAAACACATTGTTAGCAGGATCCGTTTAAGTTATTTTGTCTCTCTAGGTTGAGATATTTTAGCCATCCTATCATAGTATAATTTGGCACATTTAATATCTAAATTTTGTCGCCTTATGTCTTGTTACCACGTTATGCCTGTTCTAATTGTTAGGTTTATCCCTTGACCCACATGGAATATAAAAATACCTAATTTGATAGATTTAAAATTGTTTGTTATTATCATAAATTGAGATTGGCTATAAAATTATTTTATTCATAAACTATTTTTAATGTAGGTATCAATGTATTTAAATACCCATATAGTTTTGATATCGAACCTTGAAATTAGGGCCTTGGCTATGACTGTTCACAGACCCAAGGTGTTCAATATAAAACAAAAAAAATACCTATCCTTTTTCAATTCTGTTATGTTATAATATACCTACATTTTATACACATATGTTTTTTTTTTTTTAACTGAATAAAAATAATAACGCACTTTCAAATTTCTTATTTAAACTCTTGAATCTATTTAAAACTACACAATGGATTTGTATTGGTCATACCCCCAGCAACAACTGACACTACAAGTGTGTAAGATAAACTGGACAAACAAATACAAATTGGATAATAGAATATAAATAAAAAATCTTAAATGGGGGGGGGGGGAATTTTGTTGTCAGTGCCTGGTAAAATTATAAAGTAGAAAAGACAGAGATGATACTATGTGTACAAAAAGTTTTTATATATTACACTTACACATATCCCCACCTTGCATACACTCAAATCACATACATCCTCGTATCATTCTTAATTACATTCACTCACCTTTGTTTCTATCTTCCTCTTTCCCTATGTTATGCCCAAACCATCCAGTCAATTTTTCTCATGTTGTCTAATATTATAGACATGCCTATGCTACCTATTATGTACTCATGCCTAATCCTATCTATTCTCATCACTCCACTCATCCACCTGAGCAATGCCATAGCCAGGGGGTACATGCAGTGTAGTGCAGTTTACTTAAATTTGTTATTTTAATCTAATTTATTGTTAATAGTTCTATTATAAGTATTCTACAATATATTATTTTATATTATTACAGCTAAATATCTCCAATAAATTACTGTGACAATGCGCTTTTTGTATTGTCATTATGGGTTTTTGTTCAGATCTTATCATTATCAGCTAACAGTTTTTCATCTTGTTATTTATTAATGTTATTTTGAGTTAGATCTAATAGCTGCAAATGTTGTGTTCATGTTAATTTTTGAATAATATTTTATAATAATAATGTAATTTATTAATTTTAGCTCCTCAGTCTGAGACTAAGTTAATAAGTATTCTAGCTTAAAAAAAACTTTTTTAGCTCTTAAAAATGTTCAAATTTAATTCTCATTGTTTAGGTTAAACATAAGCCAATTTTTGTTAACCTTATATATTTTGTTGTTGTGTATAGTATCATATTATACCTATAATATTGAAAAAAAGTAAGTAATAAACTTTTCCTTAAAAACAAACGTTGTATTATTAGTGCAATACCTATTATTGTTTTAATAACTACCAATATTCACCATTTTATATGTTCTTTGAACATCATTTCATAACTGGTGATAATGTAGGTAGTTTATTAGTATCTATATCAAGTTTTATTAATGAAGATTACCTTGATAAAATTTAAATAAACTTTTATAATTCTATTCTTTATTTAAATATTATTTGGATATTTTGGGTTGTTTCCAGTGCAATTGATTATTTTTTTGTGATAGTTAAACTTTTTATTTTAACAATAATTTTAACTAAATTGTTATCACCGTTGATTTATATTCATGATCTAATTTTTTTTATTTTTAACTATTTTAAAGAATTTTTGAAAATACATAACATACTGAGTTTTTATTTAATTATTTGCCTTTAAATTTAAATTTGGCAAGTAAATGATTTTTAAATTTGTTTAAATAGGTACATTTTTGTTAATTGTTGAACTTTTTAACTATACAAATTTAATAATATTTTAGTAATTAGTAAATAAATCAAAATTAATTGAGAGGTCTCTATTATTATTATTCAATATATTATTGTGGCACATACAATTATATATTTTTGTATTTTTAAAATGGTTCATATGTAGCATCCTTTACAGTTCAATCACAGAGTCCTGCAAAATAAATATTTTTTTTTTTTGTTTGTATAATAATACATTACAGATGTTGACATACCAAATTTAAATCTGAAATCAGTTTGTCTCACCCTATTTTTTTTTTTATTTACATTATCTTAAAAATTTACTGGAACAAAACGTCCGTAACCTTAAACTTTTGATGGGAGTGAAAACTTGTAAAATGTCACCACTATCACACATTTATTTGATTATATTTAGATAATGAGTCATCTAAATGTATTTAAATATACAATTCTTAGAGTAGTAGATGAAAGTAAAATTAATTACCTTGGAATTCTTTTAATTAAATTAATATTTTTGTACCAAATTTTTTTGTATTAGTATTGACTAGATAAAAATGCATAATTTAACTGGTTTTTCAAAATATTCTGTATAGTTATTTTGTTATTATATTTACTTGTAGAAAAAAGTTGATAATTTCTATAATAAAATACATTTTTTTATAGTGTTTTAAATACTGAATGTATTTTAGATTATACATTGACAGTATAATATTATCTGTTTCAGGAAGTAGCAATTAAATTTGAAAGTGCAAAAGCTCGACACCCACAGCTTCAATATGAAAGCAGACTTTATAAAGTTTTACAGGGAGGAGTTGGAATACCCCATATGAGGCAAGTTGTTTTTATGTTATTTTTATAAATCTCTTCACTGTTTTATTCATTGTTTGTATTAAATCAATTTCAAGTAGACTTAACAACAAATTCAAATCTGTTTTTAAAATAAACTATACTAGATCAGTAGTTTAGTATGTTGAAAATAAAACACATTTAAATTTGTGTTATACAAAGACAGAGAGTTATCTCTTTCAATTTCATTGATGTTAATTACTTTTGTTGTTTATATTTTTGTGTAATAGTTTGTAGGTATTTTAAATTATATGTTAAGTGATTTACACATTAATTGAATTTTATTAAAAACAATTTGTTATGTTATGTATTCATCAGAGATTTTCTATGTATCTGATCATTGGGTAATTTCCAATTACTCAATACCATATCCATTACCCAAAAAATACTTGTTTGTGTGTATGTAAATTATTACTCACCCAAAACTCTGTACCTGGTGTATTTATACATTGTTATCCTGTGCTATACTTGGCACCTGGCTCATTGACTACTAATAAACTCTATTTTCATTTTTTGAATTATAAAATCTTAATTAGTATTAAGTACACAATACTCAGAGTGTCTGCTTTAACAGTTATAACTGTTATAACTTGAATTTGACTGCTAGGTACCTAAGATAGACAGGGTTTGATAGATATTATTATTCAGTCAATACTCCGTATCCAAATTTATGTAATTTAAAATTAGTACTCTTTACCTAAATTTTATTTAATGTAAATTATTACTTGTTTCCCAATTTATAAATAAATAATTACCCAGAACATCTGTATATAATTTTATAATCTGACTCAGATTTAAAATTTAGATATAATTTAAATCATCATTACTCGTTAGTTATTGGTCGCAGATCATATATTAAGTAATTAATAATAATAAAAAAAAAAGCTGATATTGCTGATGGCTGTGCTACTGTTTTAGGTGGGAATTTTAGAGGAGCGAAATTTATAGACAAATTTAAGTCATATCAGTATGAATTGTGTAATAATAAATCTTTAAAATAAAAAAAAAAATTGATTCTGAGAGAAGTTTGGTTAAATATTTATTGAAATTACATGATTTTTGACAAAATTTGAATCTAATACAATTGTTCAAAATTACTAAATTATATTCAACTTCCTTTTTTGAACACTAAACATAACTTATGATTGAACTTGTGTTAAATTTTCGATCTTTTTTGTTGGACAAAAACTAAAAAATCTTAACAATTTTAAATGGCTGTAAATAGATCAAATATCACCAGTATGTGTTAAAAATTGTACCAAGTCTAGAAAAAGCTGAAAGTATTCTGTGAAAATAATTTCAAATTTGTACGATTATTTTTAACCTTTTTTAAGGTTCATTAAAAATTGTGTATATTTTCTCGTTTCCCGACCTTTTAATAATTTAAACATAGTACTTTGTACTCTATCACGTCGATACGGTAAATTCCTATTAAATAACTGAAATTGTATTATTAATTATAATTTTAAAAATTATAGTAATTTATGTTTTCATTTATTTCCAAATTATAGTTATGCCGTGTATATTTATCAGTGGCGTGCCCAGATGAGAGAGTTTAGGGATTATATATCCCCCTTCTTTCCATTGGCTTAAAAATACAACAAAGTGTGAGTAATCTAATATCGAAACTTAAACATTTCTACTGATTTCCGAGTAAATACTTGATGTATTGATTAGAAATTGCCTTTTTTTTAAGATCCGGCTTTTAAATTACCAATTACCATAGTCGAGTTGAGTAGAGGAGATGATTTTACTTTTTTCACGATTTGTATTTGTTACATCCCCTCCTATTGAAAATTTCTGGGCACGCCACTGATGTTTATAGCTGAAAATTTACTATTTTAATGTTGGTTAATATTCAGTATTAGTACATATTTATACCATTTACTATCATCGTTTAAAAATACAAATTGTAATAAGTAATTCGCGTGTATAAAATATAAGTATATATAAATAGGTAATCTAACTATCGAGATTATGTGCGAAATATGGCATTCATGCAAAATAAAATAAAAACAATTTTTTGTGGTATGAAATATTTTCGTGTTAATGTGGTGAAAGAGAGGTGGCCGGAGTTTATTTTTGCATTTGTTTTTCAAAGTTTCCTAAAAGATCAAGTCTTCACTGGTAAATTTTTCTATTTTCAGGGAAAGTTAGAAAATATAACATTGTATAGATATATGGTTTCAATGTGTTTTATTATTTAGTACCTATTACAAACAATGTTTTATATATGTACACTTTATAATTACTACAATGTTATTTATTTAAATATTTAAAAATAACTTTTATTTATTTATATAACGTAACAATCTCGGTGACAATAAACAATAACACTAAATAACTGGTTAATAAAATAGTAACATTAACGTAAATAAACATTTTAAGTTTTAAAGAGAACAAATTGAATTAAATATTAAGATAAATTTAGTTAAATGTTAACATTCAGAAAGTCTTAGTCAGGCCACTGCACTGGGTGTTACTTTCTAAAGTCCTCTAAATTACCGTCATATTTTCTCAATTGGCAGTCCAAAATTATGTGTTGCGTCGACTGCGAACCTACTCTGCCATTACACTCCAGGTTTTTCCTGGACCTCCATTTGTGCGTTAGCTCGTTACACCTTCCTTGTCCCATGCCCATGCGGTTAAGTCTCATTCAAGTTTTCCTAAAGAAGTTCATTCCTGGAACAGAAGTGTGAACGTCATCTTTACAGATACCTCTTGGTGTCGCTCTTCTGCATAGGTCAAAGGCGGTTCTCCTCTTATCCGTGACGGTCAGAGTTCTTTGTTAAAAGTGCTTCCGAAATTTAAAAATAATGTTCTTAGTGTTATCACATGGTAACGAGACTTCTTCAAAAAACTAGTAAAAAAAAAAAAAAATTCCAGGCCTAAATAAATAATTGTATAAACGTGTGGTGGGTTTTGAATATTATATAGCGTTATTAAGGACATGGGTATACGTTTATTAGATTAAAGTAATATTTTCGACAAATTAATAACATTTAGTAGGTATGCCAAAATTAAGACTATATATTATTATATTATATTTTTCGTTTGGTAGTATTATTAATTATTAATACGCCCATCACTTCCAAATTTTTTTTATTTAAAACATCGTATTTAATAAATAGTTACGCCGTATCTTTATTATTGTTGTAGTACCTGTACATTCGATCTTCTTTCTGTGTAACATTTTACGGCATAGGTATTTATATCTAATTAAATATTATATAACGTGAATTTCATAATTGCGGTGTATTTTGGTAGTTTCTGCAGATAACATGATCATTGGCCGTAGGGTACTGTTTTAATTTCAAATACATTGTTAGTATTTAAGAGGACGTTACTTGTTGTTTCCGTCTTATAAACGCACGATAGGTATAGTTAAAACATGCCTACGTAGACTACATAGAACTAGTTTACTTTTGGTTTTAGAATAAAAACACATTGTAAAATTTAAACAGAACGATATTCAGGAGGACCAAGACGTTGCGTTTTTAAATTCCGAGCGTAGCGAGTGAGCTATTAGTTTTACTATGCTGTTTTATTTTTTCTTTTAGTCTGTGGATACGTTTTTTCCTAGTAAACTTGCTCTGATTTTTACGTGTATTAACTTTTCTGAAAGCTCAAGTTGTTTAGATTGTACATTAATGAGGTCAATTTTGAATTTTTAAATAAAAACACTTAATTGGGAAAAAACATAGGAAAACGTGTAATTTCACGATTTCATTATTTTATAAAAACATGGATGTTTTCTACCAGAAAAAGTGATTTCATCGAAAAATCTAGAGATTTGAAACTTGGTAATAATACTTATATTAGACTTACCTAGACGTGGTAAAATAAATGAAAATCGCAAAAAAAAATAACGGCACTTTAAAATTATGTATTAACGAACTATGCTCGGAATCGTCTTCGTCAAGCAATGGTTTATCGTTGCTTGCAGATATAAATGAAATAACCTTTTGTATCCCAACTTCTCATCTACAACAGTGGCTTCTCCTATCACCAGTATCAGCTATTTTTTTTTTATCATTTTCTCCGAACAGTTAGTTTATTAATAACGACTTTTTAACATCATCTAATTCACCAAACTTTTGAAAAAAGTAATGTTTTTAAAATAAACTGCAACGTCTTGACCACCGGAATATTTTTCTCTATTAGTTTCATAATGGATGCTTTTACTCTAAAACCAAAACTAATAGAATTCTGTGTAAAAATGATTTTATTGCGTCGTGTGCTTGTAAGACGGAAATAATAAACGCATATTGTGTAGCGTCCTCCAACCAATTATAATATGATACTGGATTCATTTATTGATTTATTGATTACCCTATTGTCTGGGATATTTCTAATATCTATATCTAAATAGGTCTTGAAACGTAATCATTAAAAAAAAAAATAGCGATCCATATTTTATTTCTAAATTAATAATTTATTTTAGTGATAACCGTGTTGTTGTTGTTGGTACCTATAATACGGGTGTTATTTATTATAATACTATAATTTTTTGATAGTTCCTTTTACTAATAATAATAATAATAATAATAAAATATCATCGTGTTATTACTAGTCGATTTGTGTTAAAATTCCTCCGAGTCGTTTTTATTGTATTTCAAAAAGTTTATGCGGTATTATACTACAAACAATATTGTTATTATTTTTATGTATACGACGACGACGTATTCCGACCGATTCTTTCTCCTGGAGCGCCGGTGCTACGTAAAATACACAGAAGTTATTTGTGTAGGTATAGGAATATCACGAAACTTTTCTATTGCTCGCGGACGCGGCAACGTCGCGTACGGTACCGCGCCGGGTCCGGTGGTCCGGCAACGTCGCTAAGGGCCATTAAACCGTCATCATTGTCTTCGTCCGCCGGGGCCCCGTCAGCTGCGAACACTGCTCGATCGAGCTCGTCTTCTGCTACTGCCGCCGTCGTCGTCATTCGTGTCTACCGGTACAAGTGTACAACTCTGTGCACGTAGTATCTAACAAACGGCCGCGTCTCCGCAAAAACGAACGCGTTTTTCTCTCTCGTAGTTTTCTATTATACATACATTTCGACATTTATATTATTATTATCGTCATACCTACCTAGCTATTATAATATTATTAGTATAATATACGTTCGATTATTGGCAATAACACGGGTCGTCGTCGCGCATTTAACACATTAACGGACACTTGTAATATAATTTTTACTGTTATATTAGTAGTGCTATGCCTGCCTCAAAAATCTGTGTTATTTGTCAGTGTAGGCTGTCCACTGTCTTCTATGATCTGATACCACTGAAAAGATTACTTCTTCCGCAGTATTAACGTAATATGACATTTCACATATTACTGCCATAGCAGTAATGTCCGGTCAATGTGTTAAATTTTATTCGCGCGATGGCCGTCGTCGTACCGCACACGTGTGCCAATCTAATAAATAATACTGTTGTACATGGTTAATGAACATCGGCAAATAAATATAAAGCTCGATGATCCTGCTGGTGGGTTTTTTTCCCCGAATTTTTAACAATCAATTTGTTATATCAAATTATTAACTATTATTTGAGTTTTACAGAAAACAATCATAGAGTGATCCGATTTAAAACCTTTTTTTAAAATTGGTCGCTCTAATTATAGCGTTTTTTAAAATATAACTGTTACGGCCGTTATGTCTTAATAATATACTGTCCCTTGTAAATTTGGTTTAGTTTTTTCTGAAGCACATTTTAGGTAGACAACGACTATAAACGGAGCGATATCATGGGTATTTACAGAATAATTGCCGTAAATGGACATTTTATAAGGACGTAGTAATATTATACAACTTTAAATTATCATTTTCTTATATTTTATGTTATACAAATAGCATTTCGTTTACTCCATCCAATGATCTTATTTTGGAATAAACTACAGTATTATTTTGAAAGTACTTAAACAATATATCTCGAGAAAAAACTAGCTCTCTATTTTTGTAGTACATATTTTCAAATTCAAAAATATATTTTTATTCTGAGATTTGTGATTTACACGTCAGTTAATGAACTTTTTCTTTTACATGCATAATTATTATAATTGTAAACACGTTGGTAACCCTAACCTAACCTACATATCGTAAAATTTATTTTACATAATTCGTGTGTTTATAACCGAAAACTAATAGCATATCAAGATTGTTATTGTACTGAAATATTGTAATTTAATTGTATATTTATTTTTGTAACATTATACGACGGGTGTCAATGTTGTGCAAATATTTTCGAGGAATAAACGTGAACGTCACGTGCTCTCGTAGCTGATAACCTAACACTGGTGGTGCCCAAACTATGTTATATTTGTCTAATATGCCTATTCATTACATAAACAATACTACCCACCCACCCCTTATGGTTAATAGTTTATATTCCGTACTTAGATTCAAAATTCTTTCTTAAAAGATCAAATTGGGAATATTATGCGGTATCAATTTTATTTGTTTATTTATTTGAAGAATACTAGGCCTCTTTAAAAAAACTTTGTGTGGACATTAATTAAGTCTTTACATTACTATAACTTAAGGTCCCTTCGAACCACCACTATCCAAGTCATGAATGTTAAACTTAATTATAGTTTCGACGCCACTACCGGACATACTAACAGTACCCTGGGCATTTTTTAATGAATATCCATTACGAGTACACTCCCTCTCCACTAAAAAAAAGCTCCATGAGCATCAAACCTTTTTCCTACATTTTGAACTTTCTCCAATTACCCTTAACCATACGAGTATTTCATGTATAAAATATAATATTTTGTTATAAAATCTATAATTTCAATCATTCCAAATTATATTTTAGTGTACACACAGTAAGTACACAATAATAAATAGTACAGTAGACTTTACTGTGTGACCATTTGCCCTGTTTGTTTAACTATGCAATAAATTCTAAAGTTTGTATTCGTGTATTGGAAAAATAACAGTTTCATGTATACGGAAATAGCCATCGGAATTCTGTGTGTTATTAGATAATAAATAATAAAATTGCATTATTTCCTATTATAGTTTTTGTTTTACAACAAAACAAATAAAATAAAACATTCGATTGCCACTCGTATCATTGTGTTCTTCTATTATTTTATAAGCATTGTACATTTCGTTCCCTTTATTTCGTGTATTTGGCATTTTTACTAAATAGATTAATGCCGGGTTTATTATTAATTATTTTATCACTTTAACCATACCTAGAAATTGTATGATTCAAATATAAAATATGCCGATTTTTGATCTGAATACTAATATGTTCGGATTGTTGAAAAGCACGATTATAGATAGTTATCTACAATCGTGTTAAAAAATAAAACATCACAATTATATTACATTCACGCTCATGATTATATTAGCTATCTTAAACTAGAATTTTTAATACAATTTAAGCAAGTTTGATTTTTTTTTCCTTATTTAAAAAATGTTAACATAAATATTTGTTGCCATAATTAAGTATGTATATCAAATTATTGTTTTCAAATAAATTTTAACCTCTGATAATATAGTTTATTATCTCAATATGCATTAAGGACATTCAATTTTATAGTTTTCAAAAATTTAGAAATGTAGAACTAACAATTTTACTCGTTTAAATTGGATGAGTCCAGCGATGTACAAAATTGTATATCTATTTTTAGATATCTAATGCCAGTCAAAGGTTTAAATATAACTATTTTATATAATACATATACCCGATATTAGGTTCATGCGTATAAACCGTGGTATCGACATTATCAAAATACACTTATGGAAATTAAAGGGTTTTTTTTTATTATTTTTCAACAGTGTACTTATGGATTTATTTATTAATTGTATTTGGCCAAATAACAGCGTTGAGTTTTTTCAATTCCAAAATAAATATCAATTCGTTTGAATAATAGTTAGAAAAAAACAACACTGGAATAGGGTTTTCAAGTTTATATTTTAATTTTTAACTTCCCCCCTCTCCAAGTATCAATGATGAAACGTCGTTATTCTCTCAAATTTGATTCACTTATTTATTTTTGTTACACTTTTGAATGAAAACGGTTTTAAATCGACAGCGTCTCTAATAAAAATGTAGGTAGGTGTATACTGTATATTATGTATATATACACATTCGTTCTAAATCAGCCATCCGTTTCGGCGGTTGCGTAGCGCCCGATGTCACTATAGCAACATTTGGTCCAAATAAACGGAAACCTCGGAACATAATAATATGTAAAATGTTTAAAACTACCGGCGAATGTTAATTGTACACATTGGATATTATCAAATCCATTATCCGATTATGTTATACACGCAGGCACACAAAACAGTTTACCGGATTAGTTTAATAAAATTTAATTCCGTTGAAAATGAGTGAATAGCACAGTACGTGTAGATTAACGGTTCTCAACCTTTGTGTGATATTTCCCCAGATTTTTCATGCGATTTTTTTGAAAATAATTCTCAATGAGAGCTAGCCGCCCTACCCAACACACTTAAATGTTCAATTATCGTAACTGAAAAAAATTATTACCTTTCATTTTATTTTTAAAGAAATATACATGATTAAACGAGAAATGGACACCTTGTAAAGTTCAAAATATTAATAGTTGATACCAAAACAAATGCGGATTAATAACTTGTCGAATTTAATCGTTTCAGTGAGTCAACCGATAAAGTATATGTATAGCTTGATATTTATGTTTGAAAGACCATAGTACAAAATATTATGAATTTATACTTGTTCGTCGAGAAAAATAATTTACGGAAAATGTTTTTTAAAACTATTTTATACAGTTATATACAGACCATTATTTAGTCTGGTATGAAAATATTTGTTGGCGACCCGTTCAAAATTACCCGCGATCCGAAATTGGGTGCTAGCCATTTCGCATAAATGTTTAATATTATAATTCAATAAAATGTTGACCTTGCCGTAACCGTATTGCGCCTATAGGTTTTACACTGATTTGTGTTGTTTTACTACACCGTAGTATTTATCAATTCATATTGTTTTTAATTAGAAATCACTTTTTTTTCATATTGTCATTGTTTTCCATCGATTTTCGCAAAAATAAAAAAAATAATTTAGATAAAACGCGGTTATACCTGTTTCCTATTATTATTTTCACAAAATATTATTATTATGGGCCTAATGCAGTATTTACATAGTTTATATAATAATCAATTTACACTTTTATTGTACAGTCTGCACTTGTATTGTTCAAAAATAAAAAAAATATGTTCATAGCATATGTGTCTACGAAGGTACGTCATCGATTTTATTATTGTTAAATGAACAAATTTGTATAATTTGAAAATAATATTATCTTATACTTTACGAACGTTTTTATTATTTAAATTTGTGCGAGAGAGTAGTAGGCCGGGTGTAATGAATAATGGATAGGTCTACGAATATATAGATGTATAATATTATTATATTATTATAATAATAATGTATAACGCTATGCTATCTTGTGAAATAGACAAACAAAAAGAGAAAAAATAGTTCAATGAAATCATGATGGCTGCGTACTATGAAGTAGTTAGGTGGTCGTGTTATTCTCGTTGTGTCTAGTTTTTCGGTTACCGGCGATATTCATTCCCCCTTCCCGCGATTGCACGAATTTTATTAAATAAAAAACCATCTGCTCATTCAACATGGATATTTACGTCTGTAGACGTCGCATTAAAAATAAACTCAAACGTTATTATATTAATAATTAAAATAACATTTATTTACGAGTATTTGAAAAGAAAAAAGAAAAGGTACGGATATCAATATTATTTAGGACGTGAGACAATTTAAAGGGTGGACGATTATTTGGGTCTTTCTTTCATTTTTTCCTCGGTGATGTAAGTCGGAAATCAGTTTTATAGGTCACCGGGCGGAGTTACGTGTATCATATAATATTCTGTACAGAGGCGCGTGAAAATATACCACGCCTACGAACCACAGATTTCGTTTTCTATTTTCAGGCTGTTTTCACTTTTTTTTTTTTTGATTTTTATCACTTAAACTTACATATCTCAGACCCATTCTGATTTGATTGTTTTTAAAAACATTTCCAATAATATCTACCTGTCTGTCGTATTGTCAATACAATTTGTATAAATACAAAATGTCCATTGAATGTATAATATTATTTTTATTCCATGCTGTTGATACGTTATATTTTTGTAGAAGTCGGATAGTCTATTTTACCTTTTTTTTTCTATAGTACGTAATTACAAGATTAGCATCCAGTTGATTACGAGTATAGCTGTATAAGAACTGTGGGTAATTGAAAAATGATCTTTTTTCATCAGTACGTGTTTAAGTCACAACCTTTATTTATATTTTTCATTTTATGGTGATAAGTTTTACGAACATTCTCTTATAAAATTAATAATTACTTGATGTCATGAAATTGTATGTTATATATTATATTATCTGTACAATTTAATGATAAGTTATTATGATGCGATTGTGCAGTTGAATATAAAATAATTAAAATATAATATTTAGTTAGGTTTATTTTTAGTTTGTGTTATTCATCTATGAACGGAAACGATAATTATGTATTTATATTACATCCATTTCAAACCAAATGGTTGTTATTTTTTAAATTGTATTTATAAATTCAAAAATAAATGGTATTTCCTATTATTTCCATATTTTCCCTGCAGCATTATTGTGCTGCCATTAAATGACCTTTTATATAACTGAAGTAGGCACATAGTTAATAAATTGTCTTTTAAATACTTTTGTTTAAGAAGATATTTTGCATCCCAATATATAAGGGATTACGTATTAGCAATTTTAACGAAGTGCAATAAATAAAAATAAAAAAAATGAACATTTATCATTATCAACTCAAAAATATTAATTGAGTTCACTTTCAAACATATTTTTAAAGTGAGCTAGTAGTATGGCGTATCGTTATTATTACAATTGTGTAATCATGAGATTTCTTTAATAACTATGTTCACGTGAAACAGGGAAGCCATCCATAGTGATTTTTGGTTATTTCAATATTATATTAAAAATTATGACACCATTATCTAGGATATGCAGCATAATATATTGATTTTTAATTTACTTGAATGAAACAGTAGATATTCGTGATTTTTTCGTGTGGCAATTTTTTTTACAATTTAATAAAACTTCTCTTTTTATAAATTAATATTTCATTCCATAGTTTAAGTTAATATATTGAAGAAATTAAAAATTTTTTGGGTGTGATCAATAGTTTCAGTTTTTTGTATTGGGTTTTAAAATATACATTTAATTATCATGCCATTGAGTAAAAGATCAATTTCAATTTTAGTTATTTAATTTGATTTGTGTTTTACAGTTCAGTAATTTATTATTGGTTGAATAATAGCAAATGCCTTGTTGAAAATATATATGCATTGTGTATATGTACCGATAAAAAACTCAGAATTCAATAATTATAATGTAAAAGATGGAATACAAAAACCAGCAGGTGTCCTATCCAACACTTGGCCTTTGTCTCACATTTTTCAGCTAAGCTTAAATCTGCATTGTATTACTATATTAAACTTGAAAGCCACAATTAATTATTGCATGTGAAAAACTACTCTTGACAAGATCTAATAATAATGTTGTAGTTTATAAAATTATTGTTCTGTAAAAGGCAGAATTTAAACTTTTAAAATAAAATTGTTTCTAGGAAATTCTTAAGGTGTTTAAAATTATGATTTCATTATTATTTTCTATACACTATTGACATGTGAGATTTAATGACAATTAGACTACATTTGAAATGAAATAATACAGTTTTTAATTATTTTTTGCTTGCATTTATTCTTTCCATTCTTTCCTTGTTTTTGAGGCATTGAACTCCTAAGAGTTCAATTATCTAACTGTTTAGTTGCTGTATGAATATATTTTAGCATGGTTATTGTATAAAAAAAAACCAATTGATTAATAATTCTGAGCCTAGCAAGGAACTAAGTTTCATGCGGGTATGGATTTTTCTTATCCTTAATTTTAAATTTTTGGTTCCATTTAGTACTATAATTTGCTCACATACTTAATTGTTGCTTTCATATTTAAATTTTTCATTGATCAATATTTAATTACTAATATTTAAAATCGAGGAGTAAATCTAAATGAGTTTCTAACCACAGAATCCTTGATCAGCATTTTTTAAATTTATTTATGCAATAGTTATAACCAATTTAGACAATGATTCAATAAATTATACTTAATACATAGATTTGTACCTTTATATGTACTTTATTTAATGCATTTTTTCATATATATTTAGTATTTGAATAATAAATTAATAAATGTATCAAATTAATTTTAATGTGCTGTCTATAAATCACTTGATATAAATGTTTATTTTTTTATTGTTAACATACTTTTTAAGTATTTATTGTAGTTGTTACTTTGAACTGGTATCTAACCTTTTGATGGTTGACAATGTAAAACAACATATAAGTTTTAATATACATATTTTTTATTAACTATGGTAATTATTTTATTTTTAGATGGTTTGGATTAGAAAGAAACTACAACATCTTAGTGATGGACTTATTAGGTCCATCATTAGAAGATCTTTTCAATTTTTGTTCACGGCGGTTTACACTAAAAACAGTTCTTATGCTTGCTGATCAAATGATTAGCCGTATTGAGTATGTACATTGTAAAAGTTTTATTCATCGTGATATTAAACCGGACAACTTTCTAATGGGAATTGGTCGTCATTGCAATAAAGTACATAATATTACACTTACTTTATTATAAATTTAATTTAAGACAATTTTTTAAAATTAAATTTTCTCTATTTCCATATATTATTATTATTATTTTTAGTTGTTCCTTATTGATTTTGGATTGGCAAAAAAATATAGAGATATGCGCACAAGGACGCATATTTCGTATCGTGAGGATAAAAATCTTACAGGAACAGCCCGTTATGCTTCTATCAATGCTCATTTAGGAATTGAACAGAGGTAATTTAAAACATTTCTTGTAAAATTACAATTATTAAATTTTTACGATTTTATTTTCAGCCGCCGGGATGATATTGAATCCCTGGGATATGTACTTATGTATTTTAATAAAGGATGTTTGCCATGGCAAGGATTAAAGGTACAATATTGCTATATATTTCTGTTGTTATTTACTGCATGTATATTTATGCCATTTAATAATGAATATACACTCATTTTATGTGATCAAAAATAAACCTATTTAATAATATACCAACCTAAATAGTTTGACTTGTTTACATGTAAAATGTCTAAATCATTATTCTATAATATAATATTAAACCATTTTATCTTTGTTGATTTAGTTCCATATAATAGTTATTCATGTCTCTAAGTTGTATCTTCTTCTTTATAAAATTGTCCATGATCTTCAACTGTTGTCTATAGTGTATATTACATACTGTGTTTTATAGCATATGCTATCTCTGTCATATAACTTCGCAATATAACAATTTTTTGTTCAGTGGGGACAACTCTATGTTATTAGTTTTAATATTTTAGTAAATTAATCTACTATCAAACTTATATATAAGAATATTATCTGTAGCTTGTCGTAATTTAAAATTTTCAATTGAGATGAGTGTGTGAAGTATCACAATTTAAAAATGTTTACTTCTCTCACTTAAAAATTAAAATAATAAAAGGAAAAAAAATGTTGACACGACAGAATGTTTTATCTTTAAGTTTTATTTTGCGTCAATTCACTTTATTATTAAAACTATCAATACAGTTCATGTATGTCTTCTTTAGAATTCATTACTATTCAAGAATTTACTATGTTTAACTAAACAGGACACATAAAAAAATGTTGTTTCTTGGACCATAAATTGTGTTCTTAAGGTTGAAATATTGTTTCAATATAAATAAGAAAAGTTTAAAAAGAAGAATTTTTTTGATGGTTTTACACAAATAATCATCATACAAAAAAGTTTTAGTTATTTAAAAGAAAAATACAACATAGTTATCCTTTTTTTGTAGATCATTGTTTTAGAAAAAATCAAAGTGCAGTGATAATATTTTCCACTTTAATATTTGTGTTTAAACTAATTTCAACCCAAATTTTGTTTGTCTTATACTCATAATTAATTTATTATTATTGTTTTATTTTAGGCAGCAACAAAAAGGCAGAAATATGAAAAAATTAGTGAGAAAAAAATGTCAACACCTGTCGAATTCCTATGCAAGGTAAAGTTTTTTTTATTTATTTTTGAGGAAATACTATTAACTACAATTGTAAACTCATTGTTTATTTTATACTTGGATTTTAATTTAGAAGATATCCAGTAAAAAATAACTAGAGTTAAATATTTTTAAAATAAAACATTTTAACATTATATTCTGAGTGAAGCAAAAAATGTATATGTTTTACAAAAAATTGTGTTTATTTTTTTATGTAAACACTTTCTACTATCAATTTTAATCCAATTTACAATGGTAGCACTTTTTCTGAATTGAAATCTGACTGGGGAGGTACTTTAGAGAGGTAATTTTTTGGAATTTTCCCAGCAAATGTGAAAACTGGGAAAACTTAAGAAAATCGGTACAATATTAAATAAATATTATAGAAAATATATACTGCCTATTTAAATATATTACCATAATATATTAATATAATATATAAATTGTTGACATAATATCACTATCAACTGAACTCCGCTCAGAATCTTATTTTTAGTAAGCATTGGTTTATCGTTGCTTACAGATAAAAATTAATTTTCTCTCTACGTCCTATCTTCCCTACTTCCTGTCACTATTATCCTAGAATAGCTCTTTTTAACTTTATTTAATAGCAATTATTGATCTGAATATCTATTTTACTGTTTATAATGTATTATATATATATATTATAAATTTAAATTTATAGTATATACTTGTGAAGTGATAAGTGCACTAATTTTAATAATAAACAATAATGATTATTTTTAACAAATAAAACAATTGTTGGTAAATAACGTAATTTGTATTAATTTATTTTTTCATTAATAATATTTTTTTCAATTATATTAATTATTAATTGTTATTTTAGGGACTGCCAGCAGAATTTGCCATGTTCCTAAACTACAGCCGAGGTTTAAGATTTGAAGAATCACCAGACTATATGTACTTGAGACAGTTATTCCGCATTTTATTTAGAACATTAAATCATCAATATGATTATATATTTGACTGGACTATGTTGAAACAAAAGGAGTACAATAATGAGGGGCAAAGTGCTACTGTACCACAAGGTGGCTCACCTGTGTCCGGAGCTGCTGCAGCTGGAGGGCCACAACCATTTCCCCCTCAGACATCAGCAACCTTAGGTAACCCATAAACATATTACATGTTAATCGAAAAAATTATGATCTTTGTCCAATAAACAAACTGAAAATCACCATTAAATGAAAATTTTTTTAATAAGAACCTTGGAAATATTTATGTACTGCCATAATTATTGGTAACTGATCTAGCTAATTATCTCTTACAGTTTGTTTTTATGTTCAATTTTTCAATCGTAATTTTTTTAATTTACAATTTGCAACGTAATATTTTTATATTTAAATATACATTAAAAAAAATTTGGAAAAACAAAAAAAAATATGTGTGTTAATATTTTTCTAGCTACTGCGAACCAGGCGACCAAGAACTGAGCCTTCATGTACTTTAATTTTAGCTTTGAATTTATAAATTGATTTAAATATTTTGAAATTCAGCAATTAATTAAAGCGATGTCAACTCTGAAATTCAAATCTTTTTATTTTTAAATTTTCAAAACTGTGCACAAATATTTAAAAAAAAATTCTCACACGAAGTGTATTATTTTATATATATTTTTTTTAAATTTTTAGTGTATTACATCATAATGTACATCAATTTTTGTTTCAGGTAATCGCTAAAATTAAAAATTAAACAGCGGATCCTTTATCCTTAACCCTCCTGGCCTCCTCTATTTAAAATACGATTTTGTATTTTTTTTACTTAAATGTTATTATTTAGCAGTATAAAAAAAATATGTAAATCGACTTCCTTTATTTTGTGGAGTGAAGTGGCCAAAATTGATATACTCTATCTCATCTTTTTTATAATTAATTCCTTTCATTGACTTTATTATTATGGAAACCAGCTATTTTGAAAATACACGCCCTTGTATGTATTGTCAATTCAAATAAGTCTTACTTCATAATGATATATAAAAAATATATGTATATAATATATTTATATATATATATATATATATATATTTTTTTTTTTTGAAAATTTATGTATTAGGTGTTACAGAAATTTACTTTTAAATTAAAGTAATTATATTTAAATAAATGTCGTTTATGTATTAAAGAAAATTAAAAAAAAAAAAAAAACTTTAACTCATTTATTATTATAACTATTATTTTAAGTTGCATTTAATGTTTTTTTTTTTTACTTTATTTCCTAATTATTATTTTCTAAACTATACACTTTACATATTACTTGCATAAATAAAATAAATAGTAAAATAATTTAGGAATTTTGTAAAAAAATTAAAAATATATTTGACATTATTGAAACTATAAATGTATGCTAATAATTTTTGTGAAACCTAAAGACACATATTAATCAGTAATATTTTTATTGATAATAATTGTTGACTTTTATTGAATTTACTTGGGCGACTTGTATTTATTTCATGAGTTATTGTTTCCTAGAGTGTAATATTTAATAACAATTAAGGTTTTTATTTTATTCGTATTTTAATATTTTATCATGTATACATGTATATTATTTTTGTGTGTATATAGTATATACAAAACGAAAATGTGTACATTCCTGTACAATACAGAGATTATACCATGTTTTCTGAGATCTGTATATGCTCTCGTTTATGGTTACACTTCATTAGTCTTATTATAATTAAAAGTGTACTAATCAACATACTCTTTAAGTATGGCTTGACAAATTTATTGTGGTTTTAATGAGTTGTGCTTGTTTATTTGATAAAAACTAATCAAGTGTGACAATGATAAATTAATCAATTTATTTTCACCATGACCACAGATCATTTAGACAATAGTTCTAAAGTACTCATTTATCATGTTTACATAAGAAAGTCATCTGGATTATTGGTGATCTATTTTAGTTATACACTTGAAAATAAAATTTGTTACTATACATATAAGTATTTAGATAAATCACGTGTATTTGTACTTAGATTTAAAATACATATGAAATTAGATTGTATACACATAGAGTTCAATAACAAATTAAACAATTATTATTAAAGTAACCTTAATTTATTAATACTTAAATTATAAATCCATTACCTATGTTATGTATATGGATTATAGTTCAGTTTTTAATCAGTTGAATTGGGCAACAAAAAATTGTGAACAATTTTATAGATTTTAATATATTTTTATTAAGTGCATAGGTAATAATAAATGAGTGAATCAATTTGTACACATATGCAAAATTTAAGTGTACACTTGAATACTACGAGATTTGTAAATTTGTTAAAAAAAAAAGAAGACCTCTATATTGAATTGATAAAAAAATACATCTGTTTAATTCAAATTGCAGTAGTGTATTGTTTTAAGACTCAATACTCATTTTAATGATAATAAATTTGAGATATAATATTAAGCAATACTAAAAATATTTACAGTAATTCGTTAAAATAGGTACAAAATATATGAATGTTGTAATGATGATCATAATATGTCAGTAGAACCATTGCTACAAAATTTTGGGAAATGTATAGGGGAAGATACTAATTGTTTCGATTCTGAGTGGCGTGAGGAATTTATTGGTTTTATGGTGATGCTTGTTTACTTTTTTTTTTTTAAACAACTTTTTTACCAGCAATTTTGCTCCGATTTCCAATGATAGGATTTTTTCAGAAAGAAAATCTAACTGGTGATACTTTAGGAAGGTCAGTTTTTGATTTTCTCAGGAGTTTTCCCAATAAATGATAAAAAACTTCAGAAAAACAATAAAATAGATACCCCCTACATATTAAACAGATATTGTTAAAAAATATATAGAATACATGTGTAATTATTTTACCATAATATGACATATATATTGTTGACAGAGCAACCTTAACCTAATCGTTTTTCGTTAGCAATTGTTAATCATTGCGTACCTACATTAAACTCTTCCTCTACCTTCCCTCTCATCTACAACAGCCAGCCACCCATGTGTGTAGTATGTTTGTCTTTTTTTTATGAAACCATCAATGACTAAATTGTTACTATCGTAAATCAGTTGCTACATAATATTATATATGTTAGGTGAAAAAATTATCCGACCGTTTTATCGTTTACAAATATTGAACTCTGTGTGTTTTTATATTATTCACTATGTATTTAAGTATTTACAATGGTCTAGTTCCTGGTGATAAATATTCAGTCGACAGCCAGTTTTATGGTTTCCTTGTTCTGAACGAGTAATGAATAAACATAATAACGTCTATGTCCATGAGGAACTATTTTAATGAATCGCTATTGATGTGATCAATTGGGTTCGCCAGTATTAAATTCGTCCCCGTGGTCAGTGTCAACTATACTATTATGCAGAATATCCTACCGTGTTTGATAGACTTATATGTGTAAATATGAATTTTTTATGTTTTGCCGATTGGATTTATTTTAATAATAATTATATGTCGTCACGGAATCATTAAACCTTTTTTGTTACTGAATATTATATCATTATATACTTTTGTATTTTCAATCATGTTCTTGACTTCCTGAGATATTTGCCAAAGCATAGATTAATATTTTTAAATCTATTGCCGAACTGCCGGAGTACCTTACAAATTTTTCAAATTCATATATAAAATTGCATATTAGTTTCTTCAATTCTAAAATGATCTGACTTGATGTACCTGTTCTTATCAAAGATTTCTAAAGGAAGAAATTGCTATAGACGGTCTTAAAAGTTAAAACCGTGAATAAAAGTTTGGAAATGGCTTACGTTCTGCTGGCAATATTTGATAAGAAAGCCCATTAGTTCTCAAATTTATAAAAAAAATTTGCCTACTCAACGCCTTAACATTTATTTTTTAATTGAAAAATTGCAACCATTAATCTTTGACCCTATGTTGTCTACCCAGCAACTGAAATCGTTCAACTTGTATGTTTATTGTCTGAAATACATTTAAAAAAAAACCATTTTTAAATAATTATTTTCGACATTTTTCCGTTCTTTTTACGTAGTTCTGGATTTTCTCAATTATTACAAAAACTAACCAGAAAATCGAAAATGAATTAGGTATTAAGTCTTGAACAAGATTAAAAATACAACAAAATAGTTCACTTATCGTTTTTCTATTTGAACAATATTTATTGCAAAAAACTAGCCGTACAAATTTAAAATAATGAAATTGAGCCATAATTTGTAAAAATCGTATTTTTTGTCTTGTTTTTTCAGGTTTTTCACAACTATTTTGTAAATGAAATTGTACGTTTTTTTCCACTTAAGTGCTTTTATTTAAAAAATGGCGTCGAAAATCAAAAAATTATTTCTTTAAAGTACCATCTAGACAACTTGAGCTTTCAGAAAAGTTACTACACATAAAAATTGGAGTAAGTTTTCTTGGAAAAAACGTGTCTACAGACTAGAAGAAAAAAAAATTAAACATCTTAGTACAATCAATAGCTCTCTCACTACGCTCGTAATCTAAAAAACAGTAGTACCAAAACATTCCTTGTTTCGTTCAGAATCTAAATAGGGTTAACTATTTACAAATAAAGCTATTTAATTTATTAAATTTCTATACATAAGCATACTATAATAAGAGGTTATTGACTCCCGGAAATGGCTTTCCTAATTTGTTTTACTAATAAAGTGCGAGATCTATCACCATAGATTGATCGATAATACACGTGCATTTCGCATTACGAATGGCCCGAACAGCCTACAAATGGCCGTAAATGGAAAATAATTTTTATAAGGGCATACGAAAATAAAATTTTTATTATGATAATGTGGACTATCGGATGTCGCCGTATCACTTATAATTTTCTATAAGCAAGAAAACCACCACAATTATAAATGACTAATAACAATACATACCTACTATCTAGTAAAAAGATAAAAGTAAAACAAAAATTGTATTTATCTTCCCCATTGATAGAAACCACTTTTGAGACTATTTATAATTTACTTTTCTCATAATTTTCATGAATTTTTGATGGGAGAAACCTGAACTTCTAACCCCCCCCTCCCCTTGTACACGCAACTGTACATATGTTATTTATATCCAGTAAAAAAAAATGTCTCGACACAAATAAAAGGGAAAAATTAGTAAAGAAATGAAAAACTCATTTATCAGTTTTTTAAATTTATTTTCATATCGATTTCAGATATGTTATTAAGTTAAAAATAAATATTTTTGCAGTTGTAGAACAAATTTTGAACATTTTTTTTGTTGAAAGAATAGTATAAGTCCTATCCTAAGAAAAAAAATACAAATTGTGTACAAAGCTCTTAAGTCTTTAAATAGACCACTATAAAACATTAAATTAAATTTAAAAACTATTGTAAGTACCTATATATGTATTTGATTAAGATAAAGAGCCATTGTCTAGAGGTAGAAGTTCTGGAGAAAAAAGATGACGATTTCGATATGCATAAGAAAGCCAAAGAAGACACAAAATTTTATAAAGTAAGTAATAATCGTGTAATCTGCATTACACAATAAAAATATTAGATAATGTTAGACAAGTTTTTAAAAATAGTTACTTGGGAAAATTATATTGAAAAACTTTTCAAGGATGGTTATAGATCAGCAAATAGTTTGCCAATAATGATGGAAAATAAAAAAGACAATGTCTCAAATCAAGAGTGGTAAATTACCAGGACTGGTTTACTTACATGGAGAATTTTTCATATTATTAGATGAGGAAGGTATAACTTGGCTCACTATAGTATTTAATAATATATACAGTTATTAAATGGTACAATGGTTAAAATCTACACTCATGGCACTCCCTAAAAAACCTAATGCTAAACATTGTAATGACTTTCGCACTATTACTTTTATGAGCCCCTAAAAGATCTTTTTAAAAATGTTAAATTTAAACCAGTAGTACACTATTTGGGTTTAGAAATTTAGTTTGTACAAGAGAGGCCATCTTAAACTTACAAGTGTTAATTCAAAGGGCTAGGTATGTCAATCACAATGTATATTATGCTTGCTTCATTGATTATCAAAAGGCTTTCGATAGAATTGAACCTGATAAACATATAGAAATACTAAAAGTAACTGGAATTGACGATTAAAACTCGAGTATAATAAGCAATTTATATTGGAACCAAAAACCTCAGCTATACGTGCAGAAACAAAAATGTCAGACGATATTCCAATAAAAAAAGGCTCGAGATAGGGATGTGTCCCTACTCTCACCACTCCTATTTAATTTATACTAAAAGTATAAAAGAGGGCATAAAAGTAAATGGTAAATGTATTAATAATATAAAATACGCTGATGATACAGTTGTATTTGTGGATATTTCAAGCGAAAGTTTTGGTTCGTTTCTTAATAAAAACAAAACTAAATATATGGTAATTTTGAAAAAACAAAATGTAAGAGAACCGCTATTTATTAAGGGACAACAAATAGAACATATTCCCTATTTTATTATATGGAGCCGAAACATGCCCATTAACTGAAACATTAAGTAAGAAAATTGATGCATTGGAAATGTGGCTGTACCATTGAATCCTAAATATATCATGGATAGATAGAATATTTAACATGTGTTAACTACAAAGTATGCAAAAGGAAAAGGAATTACTGAGGACTATAAAAACACAGAAATTAGAATACCAGGGTCACATAGTAAGAAATAACCAAAGATATGAATTGCTGCAACTTATACTTCAAGGAAAAATAGAAGGCAAGAAAAATGTTGGTATACGAAAGAAAAATCTCCGAGAATAGTTTAGCACAACAGCAAATTAATTATTTCCTTCATTGTAAGAAAGAGAAGCAATATTTAATATGATTTCCCACATCTGAAAAGTATAGGAACTAATAGGAAAAGAATATATGTATTATTAATGATATAGATAGTGAATTTACACGAACACAAAAACAATAATTAGGTTATTTCAACATGTTTTTATTTTGCTTAGTATCTAAATTTTAAACCATGAATAATAATAAAATGATTTAAACATACAACTAATTTGTTATATTTTTATTTGAACAAATAACTATTTATTTCTTACAGTTTGATTTACACAAAATATATTTCATTATAAGAATTTGAATAACATTAGAATTATTTAGGTACAAATTGTATATTTCAGAATATCTTTAATTGGACATTTGGAAATTGATTTCAGTTTTTCACTTTAAAGGGTTTGATAGACTGTATATTAATGCAACAGTTTCATTAAATTGTTGCTTCTCTGAAAAATTTCAAAATAATTAACAAAGAATGAAAACATTTATAATATTAATTATCTATATACTTTAAATTATTATTTTTTTAATTTTAATATTCCTGAGTCTGAAAAGATTAAATAAATAAAATATGAATGTTACCACATCTATACTTTTAAAAATCAAACTTTTTAGCGTATTTCCTCAAACTTTCCATACAAAGTTTCTCTGACTTTCTTTTGTATTATGTTCTAATTGTACTGATACATAAACTCAATAAGAAAAAAACAGAGTTGCTAAACTAGAATTTTTTTTAAAAATGAACTAACATTTAAAATATTACTAGTCTATATTATAGTATAGTACATAAAATTTAAAAAATACATAGAAAATTACTTTCTTACTATTTTCACTTATTAAGAGAAAAAATACCAATATTTCAATCTTAATTTTCACAGATGACTCTTATGAAGACTAAATTCTTAACAATTAATATCATTACACATGACATTGAGTGGCATGACATGACGAGACATTACAAAATAATTTGTTACTTACCAAAATCATTAGTAATTGAAGATGGTAAATTGTAATAACTTTCACCGCCAATTGTTCCTTTACTTTTGGCATAACCATGCACTTCTACCCAACCATCCAGTGAACTGTCAATTGGTTCATGAAAATGAACAGTTACCACTTGGTCATCAGTGCTTTGCAATGTAATTGATTTACTATCAGAAGCCACCTGTGAAAAAAATACTCACATTACATATTTTGTAAAAAATCCTCTTTATGAACACTGTACTTTCAAAACGCTACCGATAAAAGTGACCGGTTTATCAATGAATTTCTGCAAGTAAGAACCATTTACGAATGCCCGCGTAGGTAAAACTACGGACTCCATATTAATACTTTAATAGTACAATTAATTATTTATTTAAATATGGACTACTTAAAAAAAAATTAAATTTAGAAACATTCACAAACATAAGAGCTCTAGATGGTCAATAACAATAGTTTAGTATTTCCCGGTTTTTTTATCCTTATCACCTGTAATACCTGTAAATTTTAATATTATTATGGATGCTACAATCTAAATTCTAAATATCTAAAGTATGAAGTTAGTAACATATTTTGGTTTTGTATTTTTCTCAACATTGTATTTAAGTATTCCATCATCCATATTCTAATCTGTGGTGGAAATATCCAGCCCAATGCAACTCGATATCTTATAATATCGTATGAGCTGAAGACATTATTAAATTATGCCAATTAACTTGTCTATTGCGCATGCGTTTCAGTACTCGTCACATATTTAGTCAATAACTCATCCATACTAAGTCATATACTATACTAATATAATATGATCAGAACACTATATTAAATAACACGGTTATAGATAATACTATTATTAATCGTGCGATATACTCATCAACTTGTTCAGTGACTGATACCGACCAAAGTTTAAAGTATAGTCCGAGAGTGCTTGAGGGCGATAACTACTTAGGTTCCGCTTGCAATATTTGATAAAAGAGCCCCCAATGGTTTTCAAAATACGTGCAAATTGCATTGCAGGCGTTAGATAGGTAATAAATATGCATTAATGCACAATATGATACCAATAAAAGGCGCAAAAAAAATATTATGTAAGTAGTAGCATAACGTTACAGTTACTAGCCGAAACAGTCTATTAAAATATATTCATATAACGTGTTCCATAAAAATTAAAGATGTTTAATGATTTTAGTTGTGAAATAAATTGAGAAAATATTTTAGATACTGTCTGCAGATATCTAATGAATATGTTTGTAGATAATATGGTATTATACTATTATCTAAGTGATCTAAGGTGAGGTTTAGGTAGTTGCTGATAATATTCCTTGAATAACTGAATTTAATTAGCAAATAACCATTATATATACGACCATTCTAAAAAATATAATTATAATATCTTAAGATAAGAAAATTGAATGCTATGTGGACACTTCTTCAACATAAATAGATATAAATATAATTTCATAAATTGATTGAATTTTATATGTCTGAATTTTCATGATTTAGTACCAACATAGAATTGAAAAATTAACAAGTGTAGGCAAGATTGTCATCGAATAATTTCAGTTAATGAGATTTCTCAAAAATGATACAAATGAAAAAATAAAAATATATTAATCACAAAAATGTGTGTACCTATTAGGAAAAATTGATTTTAAAATTTATTATGTTATAACTCGACTACCATAATGAAAAATGTCGTATCTCAAATTTTTTCATTTAGGTTGCTCTATGGTCAATGATGAGAACAAATTATAGTTATTCAAAATATTTGATCAGTAATAAATTTGATAAAATGTATGTAAAATCTGTATAGTGATATAGTGTATTTAAATATCCTTCAAAAAGTATTTTTTTCAAAGCTCCTAAAAGATTATATTCTGACAGCTAAGAACCAACTCATGCCATAGTGTACCATTTTATTTTATTTGGTTTAATTTGAATTAAAATGTAATATATTATTTTTTAAATTACTTTACAGCAAATATTTTATATGGGTACCTAATTTATAGCCTTTATTGGGTGTTTTTACGTAGTTTAGGAGTCACTGGGCTTCCTTATCAAATATGGCTAACAGAACATGCGTTGTTTGTTAACATTTTTAAATTCTCAAATCTTCATTATTAATCTGAAGTTTAAATTTAAATTTATAGTTTCTAACTTTATATGTATAGGATTATTAAGAATATTTTCATAATAAAAATTAAATACATTTAATTAAATTAGATTCATTCTTAGTATCAATGTCATCAAATGAAAGAGTAAAGAAACCTTTTGATAAGAAGAAATGGCGAACAAAACAATATAGTAAAAAACAAAAGAGTAAGAATTAGAATAAATATAATATGTGAGAAGCCTATTAGGTTTTGATTTTATTTTGTCACTCTATTTTTAAAATTGCCAAACTTTTTTAAATTGTGATTTCAATGCAAATTAAATGTAATCTTCTTAAAATAAAAGTTGTCTATAATGTGTCAATTTAATATTCCTTTCAGTTCAAGAATGGGAAGAGCGTCGCAAAAAAGCTGTAATACGTGATTATTACAAAGAATTAAATAAATGTGATGTAGGGAAGAGATCTGTGGATCAAGTAAATAATGATGGCAACAGTCCTATTGCACAACCCAAAAGGTAGTTGCATAATTGTTACTTTAATTGCATCTCATTATATTAATTAATAACTGTACTTTGGGTTGCAACTTGTATTGAAAATAAATAATTATAATAATTTTTATTTTACATAAATAAATAAATTCAAAGGAATTTATAATTTTTCTGATTTAGGGTAAAGCAGCTGTAATAGTAGTTCTTTTCTGTTTGTTATAAAACTCAGAACAATTCTCTTGAATAACAGAATACTCTCCAAGTTTAAAGTATATTGGTCAAATAATTTGTGATATGCAAATTTTACTGATTTCTAGTTAACCAGCTATACCACTATTCCTCTCACTAAACTAGTCTCAGAATAGACCTTTATACTGATATACATATAGCTTCTAAGTTGCCAATGCATCCACTAAATAGTTTCTGATATATCAATTTAAAATTGTATTACCCAAATTTATCTATCAATAGTTACTACACAGAAAATAATGTTTTGTTAATTCACTGCTAAATACAAAAACAGTATGATCTGTTTAAGATTTAGCAAATAGCTTTTTATGCACTACAGTATTTTTAAAATTCCTGTGAATTTCATAAGCCCAAAATCAAAATTGAGATTGCTAATTCAAATCACCAAATTATTGCTAAAATCTATTTTCTTTGTAGTATCTACCTATAGAAAATTTTTAGACTGGTGACCGTTTAAAACTGGCATAAGTCATAAAATATTTAGTGGCTGCATTTTAAACTTTGAGAGTATATGTATGTCAATAGTAAAAGTGTTTCTTAATATTCTAACTGGTTTAGCCTTTGCTTTGCAATAGTCATTCAACTAGAAATCAGTAAAATTTGCATTTCACAATTTATTTGGCCAGTAAATTAAAAACTTAAATATGTGTAGGTTGGAATTCAAAACGTTTTGTTCTGAGTTTTATAACAATTTTTCAATTATATTTTCTGTTACAGATATTTTGTCAGAAATTAACAAATTAAATAAAAATTAGTTTATATTATTATATGGATACTATATCTATTTGGCCTTGATATTTTTTTACCTTACAGACTTTTAATTTCAGTTTTAAAATTGAAAGATGTGCTATAAAAACTACCAATCTTTAATTGGTGATTGATGTGTACCATAAAATTTAACTAAATAAGGTTTTTATAAGTCTATGTTGTGTATATTATATGCTAATGAAATGTATAGAAAAAAAAATGATCACTTCCAAAATGACCCTTTCGTTATTTTTTAACTATTCAAATTAAAATTATTAAAAGTGACTTTTTATGACTGGTAATTTGTTTGTATCAATTAAATATTGTACCTAACACAACTATTTTTGATAGGTATAATCCACATAGACAGGCTCAAGAACGTTACCAACAGATTCAAGAAGAAAAAAAAGCTAAACGCTTGGATGCAATAAAAAAAAAAGAAGAAGTAAGACTAGCACTTGAAGAATATAAAAAAAAGAAAATGTATAAAAATAAAAAACTGGGGAAAAAAACAAAAAAGGGACAACCAGTAATGAAAGAAAGATTAGAATTATTATTAGAAAAAATACAAGCTACTGTTTGTAATAATAACGCATAATTTATTTCTATTGACTATTACTTTTTGTAATTTAATTTAAATAAATATTGCAAATATTATTTGTTTACTTTTTTTATTTTACTTAAAACCTTAATTGTGTCTTCTAATACATTTTTTAAAACTAAATAAATGATTAAATTAAATGAATCTGTTTATATTAGTATAATATATTCTTTTACAAAAAAGGAAACTTACTAATTTTGTCAAAAAAGAGATTTGAAATTTCTTAGAAAGTCGGTACCTAATTTAAAAATATATATTTTTATGAAACCAAATAGGTCCATTTTATTTTTTTAAATGGTTGATAAATCTAATAATTTAACCCGGAAAATCCTGATCAATTAGACACAAAGTGCTATTTTTTTATTAAATTTTCAAAAACCTAAAACATTGCTCTGTATATTGACAATTATACTCTATTTCATAATTAATTAACATGGTATCATTAATTTGTATAGTTTCTTCAAAATATTGTGTATCAGAATCAGTTATTTTTGTATTTCTCCTTCTGATCTATATTTCACCATTATCATCAATAAAGTTGTTCTTTAGATTATCATAATTAAAATACTAAAATTGGCTGGGTGTTACCACTAGGTAACCTCCCTAATCTTAAGAATACCCATTAATTGTAATTTCCTTTGTCTTCTATCAAATCTACTTATTGTACAAAACTGTAAAGATTGTAGATTACTTTAAAATATTTTTTTTAAAATTTACTTACTCAATACACCACTGTACATCCATATAATACACACAAATAACTATAAACAAAGTTTTTGATTGGAGTAAATCTTCTGGTTCTTATCTAAACCACAGACAGAAAAATAAATCTGGTACATATAATTTCGCCCCTTTCAGAATTTAAAATTACTTCTAACTTGTTGATTATTCTCAACTATAAATGGAAAAACATGATTCTTTTAATTTTAACAATAAATAATTCACCAGGCCTGCTGTGAATTTTCTGTTTCCCGCCTGCCCAGTTTTGTTTTAGGAGATAACTATAAATTATTTTAAACCTTATTAAATAAGTAGCATTACTTACACTATTTTAGTAACTATATACATAAAATGTAATTTTATTTACACTAATTTTTATTCACTTATTTTAATTGACACGTTAAATTATATGAGATCTTAAAATTAAAACAACAAATTTAACGTAATCAAATAGTTAAATTTTAATGCATTAAGTGTATACTAGAAATGTATAAAAAATAATTTTAATATTTAACCATATCTTAGGATAATTAATTTAAAAAACTTTTAATTTGAACACATTTAAGTTAACTTACACAAAATTAAATTATATTTTTGAACTATTAGTTACAATTACAATATTGGAGCACTTATACAAGACCACCAATTTATTCAAGTATAATATGTGTATTGTATAATATATAAACATGAGTGTAAATATTGAAGTGTTAGATATATTAAAATAGTAAAATACAGTGTTAATATTAGTATGAATACTGAACGAAATCACCAGTAAAAAAATTGTTGTGACATTGAAACGTTATTTAGAATTTGATCTATTATTCAATTAATTCTCAAGTCAGTTAAAACTATATTACTAAATTATAATTTAATAATTGTAAAAATGAAGTTCCATGATTAGAAAAATTAACAAAATGGTTTTAAAAGTTTGTAAAGTAAACCCATTAAATATATACACTTCCTTTTACGATGATCCTTAAAGTTCGTCTTTATACAACATGAATTTGAACTAAATAATTTTGTTTGTTCAATACTTACATTGTAATAAGATACACAGTTTATATATAGTATATTGAAACATCAAACAATAAAATAAATTTTCAACATTTATAAATAATAACTTAATCATAAAATATTATGTATTAAACCAAATTATGTTTATAAATTGCTGTTTTTTTTTTTTTTTTATTATATTTTCTGATCAATAAAAACTTCAATTGCCTTTAAAACATTTATACATAGTGTTTACACATAAATAATAATATACCAATTCAAAAGTAAACTCAAGCATGAAAAATATAAATTGATGTTATTGTTTATAACAATTATTTATACAACACCATTCAAAGGAAAATTATTTCTAAACAATATAAAGACCTAATATGATTTTAAAACATCAAGTAAATACAAAAATAACAGTAGGTAATTTTAATTTATACAGTCTGTATTTTGATAAATAAAATTATTTATCGCAAAGACGAATTATAATCAAAATATCATATAATAAAAACAGTTTAGATTGTGTAACCCTAGAAAAAAAAAAAAAACAGTATTGAAAAATTAGCCTACAATAATTATGCGGTTTTTTCTATGTGTTAATGAGTTAACCCTCTGTTATGTTTGGTGACAAAACTTGGAGGTACCGATTTGTATAAAATGTAGATATTTTTTTTTAATATAAAAATACTTCATACATACAAATTTTAACGTCTCCTAGGATAATGATTTATATCTCTTCTTCTACGGTCAGTCTTTTGAGACCGTTCCATCTCTGCTAAATGCTTACGTCGTTGGTCTTCTTTCTCTGCAATTTGTTCTGTAGAGAGTGGTGACCAATAAAGGGTTGGAGTTGTTTTAGTCTTTCGGAACAACTCGTCTAAACTTTTTGTAGGTATACGTTCAGGAGTTTTGGATTTTGACTTCTTACGTTTTTCCTGAAGATCTTTTTCATCTTTTTTTATTTTTTTATCCTTTAAAACATAAGAATCATCAGATGTTTTTCTTTTAACAGGTTTATCTTCTTTTTCACCATTCATATCTTCCAATTTGCCTCTATCCCACTCCCTTAAAATAGTATGATTTTCTAATTGTGTCCTAAGTTTTTCTACTTTCGATTCTTTTTGTTTTTCTAATCGAACTGGATGTGCTCCATTTAAAGCTTTATTTAATTCTTCTTTATCAGTAAAAACTACTTTTAAAACTTTAGGATTGGTCGATGGCCACTGGGATTCATTGAGTGCATATACAGTTTCAATTGCTTGATCTTCATTTTCATACTCGACAATACATTCAGATTTTATTGTGTCAATCCAAAATCCATTAGTAACAATTTTTCCTGTTCTTTGTAATAAATCTCTCAGTTGGCCAACAGTAAATGGCCTTACAAGGTTTGTAATATGAATTACATTGCTAGTTATCATACGTTTAGCAGATAATTTTTTTTTTGTATCTATTTCATTTATTTCTTCTGCTAATGATTTATCAGATTTACTATCATCATTCTCATTATCTGGTTTGTCTTCTTCTTCTGGAGCTTCATAATCAACTGCTTCATGATCAATTAACATGGTATCATTCATTTCCATAGGTTCTTCAAAATATTGTTCTTCATCAGAATCAGTTTTTTGTATTTCTCCTTCTTCTGATCTGTAGTCACCATTATCATCGATAGAATTACCATTAGATTCTATTATAGTACCTAGAGTAAAAGGACTTATCAAAATAGGTGTCCTTGTTTTACAAGAACCCCATTTACGTTTAGGGTGTAACGATTTAGGGGTTTCATCTAATTTCATGTCATTTTCAACATGCTTTAATTGTGGTATTTCTGAAGTCATTGGACATGACTCTACAGTTTGACTATCTTTTTCTTCAATAACTAGTAATGATTCACCTTCATTATCTATCTCGTCTACATTTTCTAGTTTCGATTTCTCTTCATCAACTGGTTGAAGTTCTTTATCAACTGATTCAAGTTCTTTTTTATCAACTAACTTGGATTCTTCATTTTTATCAACTAACTTGGATTCTTCTTCATCATCAACTGACTTGGATTCTTCTTCATCATCAACTGACTTGGATTCTTCTTCATCATCAACTGACTTGGGTTCTTCTTCATCATCAATTGGCTTAGGATCTTCATCATCAATTGGCTTAGGATCTTCATCATCAATTGGCTTAGGATCTTCATCATCAACTAAATCTGGAGATTCGACAGTTAATTGTACAACATCTTCCATTTGTTCTGAATCAATAATGTCATTTTTATGCGACTCTTCTAGTACATCATTGGCTGTTATATTTATTTCAACAGTTGATACATTTTCTTCTAATAAGAGTTCAGATGTATTTGAATGAATTATTTCAGTTTCTATTGTTTCTTCTGATTCGGCGTCCTGTACTTTTTCATTTATTGGAAGATCAACATCTGGCGGCACAACTTCTGCAATATCAGAAGATATAATTTCTGTAATACTTACCGATTCTTCTTTTAAACAATTTTCCGGTATTTCACATTGATGAATGGAAGAATGGACTGTAGAGTCTGGACAATATTCAGATAAATTGATTGACTCTACAATATTTGTTGTTTCAATAGTCTCTTCACAAATATCATTTGTTATTACAACTATGGTTTCACTAACTTCATCAATGAGCTTATTATTATCTGTTGATATATTTTCTATAACAGGTTCTTCTTTAGGGTCTGTAATTTCAGATGACATTTCACCACTGCCAACCTGATCATCAATTTTGCTTAAACTACCTTGGTTACACGATGATTCATTGGTAGGGATTACAATTTGTACTGAAAATTTAAAAAAAATGTACATTTTAAAAATAATATTTGACAAATTAAGTAATGGAAACTTAGTAAATATATTAATTAAATACTATTAACTAAATTTGTATATGCCATATAAAAAAAAAAAAAATATTGAAATAAATTTCTGGTTAGGTTATACCTATAATGAATAAATAAAAACATATAATAAACAAATTAGACAAGAATTTAATATTTTTACTAAGTATATTACTTTTAGATTCTGAATGGCACAAGGAATGTATTGGTTTTACAATGATGTTTATATTTTTCTGTGAATAACTTTTCTGAAAGTAAATTTTATCTTAATTGGAAAAAAACGGGAAAATTTATAAAATATATTATTTTCATTTTTGTTGTGATTCAGTTAAAAATATTCATAGATTTGAAATTTGTTAAGAAAAATTATATTAGTTTTTTTCAAGGCGTGGTAAATTTTTTAAAACATTTTAGCCATTTTTGAGCTATTTATAGACATTTTAATTTTGCAAGTTTCTTACATAATTTTTATTCGATAGGTACTCTGCAGATTAAATTGTTAGGACAAACAGAAATGCTTGAAAATTTAACAGGAGGTTAATTATAAGTTGTACTTTGTGGTAAAAAAAACAACAGAGTTTAATAAAGAATTTTAATAGCTAATTTTGATGAAAATTGTAAATATTACGACCTCTAAATACATGTACTATCACTCAAAATCATTTTTTGTTAGCAATGATTAATCATTGCATAATGTTACAGATTAAAGTATGGTCTTTGGGTCTGAGAAAAAATGTCATCGATGAACATCTCATAGATTTTCAATTTTTCTACTTTCAGACTGATTTTCATGGACAGTGTTTTTTTTTTTTTTTTTAAATATATATTTTGTAAGGAATTTATAATTTGGTGGCTCTAAAAAGGGCTGTTTCTGAAAAGAACACTTTTCAATACAATATATTTGTTTTATAGGTTTATAATTAAAATCAAATTTTTAATAGTAGGTACCTACACATTTTAAATAATTTTCACAGTGCAATCATTAAATTAGTCTATCAAATAACATAAAATAGTTTGATTATTTTTGTAATGTAATATACAATAATTCATGCATTACATTTATACTCATAGGACATACAAAGGTAAAAAAAAAAAAAAAAAAATCATGTTTTCTCTCTATATCATACAACTTTACAACTTCTCACCTACAACAGTGGCCCACCCATAGTTCGAAGTATGTTCATATCTTTTTTTAATTTTAATATCTATAACAAATCTAGTATTTATAAAATCAAAGGTTTTTTATACCTACTTATACATAAGTATATGTTAATGTGAGTTTTATTTCACTATATTATGGTACTAACAATTAATAAATGGAAATATTTAGTCTCAATTTAATGCATTTTAGTAATTTGATTACTTTTATACTATCTATTTCATTTGTTTACATTATAAAAAAAAAAAAAAAAAAAAATGGAACTTACGTATTATATATATAGCTCATAATTATTTAGACTATATGAATGGACTTAATATCAACTATTTTATTATTTTTCTCATTGATAACTTTTAAAATATTTACATACATTAATTAAATTATATAATTGTTAAGCATTACTATATATAAAAGGGGTAATACAAGTTAATACAAATGTATTGGTTAGTTCAATAAAAAACTATTTTTCTACTATTATTTATCTACACTTGATTAAACACATTATTTAAATTCTGATCAGTTTAATTAGTTGAAATACATTACAATTGATATTATATTTAATATTTAAATTTGATATGAAAAACATTTATTGTTGGCTACTCTACAAAATATAAACATTAGAATGTTAACATTATTATTTTATTTTAAATATTTTAAATGCATAATTATTTTTTTTAGAAATGCAAAATATAATAAAAACTAGGTAGATTTTTAAACTAATTAATTATGTATCTAAATTTTGTTAAAGTATTAAATTACATTAGACATTACCTTGTTCATTACAATCAACTAAGTTTTCTTCAGTTTCTTCAACTGCCACAGTACTACCAAACTGTTCTAAATAAGTTGTAACACTACCATCCAGGATAGATGTATTTGTTGAACTACCAGCAGCTTCTTCTGCTGCTTTTCTTTCGGCAGAATATTTAGCTTCAGCTGCCTGTTCTCTCAATAAATCTTTAGGTGAACGTCTCAAACTAATTTTTAGTTTCTGAATGTCACCATCTGATCCATTTGAACACTCCACTTTCCACATACCAGTGGTATTTTCATCACTAGCAGTGGTGGTTTCTGGCTTTGGTAGTTTTATAGTCAGTGCCACCTTTTTTTCGGTTTCATCGACTCTGCTACTAGCTCTAGCTCTTGTTTTGGATGGTTTTGGTGGTACATCTTCAGACGATGTATCAGATGTAGATGAATGACGCCTTGTACGACGCCTTGATGTACGTTCACGTTTTGGCTTCCGGCCTGTTCTTTTGCTCATTTTATAGTTTTATAACAATAAATACGTTGTGTTTCTTAATAACATAAACTCGCGAGCACAAGGGTCATTATAATCACAAAATTTATTTTGAAATAAAAAAACAACGGCGATACTTACTAAAACACATCGGTAAAATTGCGTTCTATTTTACAGTACAAAACTTACAAAAAGGTTTTTTCACAAGTCGATCCATTTAACAAGACGTTTTAATAAAAAATTTTTTGGATATTATGATGCCAATCAGTAAGCAATAAGCACCAAAATTTTGTTGTACTCCAAACGAAACGGCGGCCATTTTAATCGTTTATCAACACAAACACATTTCATAGACATCAACTTTCTCTGTATTTTTTTTTTTTTCGTGTTTCTTACAAATTAAATTTTAAAGCAATATTAACAAAAAGAAAAGAAAATTTCAATTCATTTTTCATTTAATACATTTTTAATAATTAGATTCAATTGTATTTTACAATTTTATTTTATTTAAAATAAATGTATATCACATGCATTGTTAGTTGGCAACCTTGATGAACATTGAAATAACGGTTGATAACATTAATCTACTATGTGATTGGTCGATAAAACAAGACAGAAATATAAGTTTGGTATTGTTTTGATCTAGATATAAGATGAATAAAAAAAATATATAAAAAAGCCTACCTATTACTCAAAGTTTTATCTATAACCCTTGCCTATCACCTAGTTTCTAACTATTTATTAATATAATAAAGTAATATACCCATAGCCATAAATATGCCTCATAATATTTGTTTCTATTATATCGTATGTGTATTATATATTAAATTCAAAATAATGGTATAAGGTACTATATTACAATTTGATGAAATTACATAACACAAATAAAATGTTCAACAACTATATAAAATAGTGAACTAACAAAATAATAAATATTATGTATTACAAGTTCATTCATTCAAATTTGTCATGCCATGTAAGTATATGTTATTATAATAGGTAAATATTTTTTTTCTAATCAATCATGTGTGCCAATCTTTGTGTTATTGTTGTCACACCACGTTAAAAAATTATAATCTTCATAATTTACTGACATTCAACAATTTGTCATAATTTTTCTATTTAAATAAAATAATTCTACACAATATTTCTTCTGATTTCTAGCTGTAGAAACTTGTGAAAATCAGGTTTTTATTGTAATTCTTTAAAACTAACAATATCTTTAATATAGATATAAGCCAGAGAAAATATTTTTGAATTACCTAGTTTATTTAATTTTTCATCAAATACTTTTACAGTCTTTACTCCATATTTTTTAAATTTTTACTCAAAGCATTTCAATGACAATTTGATAATATTTATACCTATTGGAATATGGTTTTTCTGAAATTATATCTACTTAATACCATAAGTATCTGAATAACACAATTTGTTTTACTTATTATATGGTTTTATATTTATAAAATAAATATTTAATAATTTAATAAAGCAGTCTTAATATTTTTATCTTATAAAATTAATTTCGTCAGTTTCAGAAATTTGCTGGTTGACCATAGTCTGTCATTGGATGTCAAATAAATATCAACTTCAGGACATAATATCATTGAAACCATGAAGTACAAAAATTACTTTGAAACATTAACAAAAATAATAAAAAATAAAGCACAAAATAAACTTTCTGAATCAAACATTGCTCGAATTGGACTGTACAACAGACTAGCTATTTATCGCCCAGATTATGATAAAGTTGTTTCATGGTATGAACGAGTGACTGGTTTAAGTGAAGTTCGAATTGCCCAAGATAGAGTGTTAGAATCTCAGAAACAATTTATGATTGCTCAAGATAGAAGAAGAAACGTATCAGTTGAATTAAGGACAATTCAAAACAAATTAAAAGATATAAGAAGTGAATTATCAAATACTTCCAGATCAGAGGATAGGTACATTGAATTAGTGACACAAGAACATACTTTATTAAAACAAGAAATGTCTATACTTGAACGAATTAATAATAGTGAAAAAGAAGAAAGAGATAGTTTTATTTTGCTTTCTACTACCTTAAAAGATAGTCATGACCGAGAAAGAATACAAGCTGAAAGAACTAAGTATGTGTCTATAGTTGGTTCAATACTGGGTACTATTATAGGTATAATTGGAAGTACTTTAATTAATGCATGGAAAATGAACGAATTTAAACGTATGGTATTAGAAGCCAAAGTAGATACATCTAATTCTACACACAATTATCAAATAAACAAATTAATTTTAGAAGTTAAAAAACAAAATAAAATGTTACAAGAAGCAAAGTTTATAAAAGCGACAAAAACCATAGAGATAGACAGGGTACAATGGAAATATACAGATCGTGATTTTATTATTTTGACAGCTATTAATTGTACATTGGTTGCTATATCATCATACATAGTGTCCAAATTATTTTAACTTTTTGTATTTAGTATTATTGTAAATTGTTATTTGTTTTTTTTTCTTCTAATAATCAATGTTTCCATTAAGTATTGTGTTGTTAAACTATTCTTAATTCTGTGTGATAATTTAATTATATGCATTAAATTTATTAATTTTTATAAATATTAAAATTATTTAATAAGTGGTATATATATATATATATATATATATCAGTATATTTAATGTATATATTATATACTTAATATTCTTTTTTTTTTTTGATGATAAAAAAATTTCTATTAGTGTATTTTTATTATAGAAAAGAGACAGATAATTTAGAGAATCGTTACTATTTAAATACTGAAATTACACTATATTTCATATAATTTATTGAATTTGTAATTTGTACCATAAATAATTATTCTTTTTTTTTTTTTATATGCATAGAAGAATACTTAAATATGTAATTATTAACATTTAAAATTGGTTTATTTTGAAAAAAGAAAAAAAAGACCACAATTGTATTTATTTATTTGTATTCATTATATCAGTGGTGACCAACATTTTTTTCACAGATGATAAAAAATAGCCATAATTCTTGGTGGGCTAAGAAACTTTTACTTTTAAGTTAATATAATATTATATTTTATTGTAGTAACATCTTAATATTGGTACAGTTATATATTTAATTATTTATTATGTTTTGATTGTTATAAATGAGAAAAAAAATGTTAAGTATAAACAAGTTTTTTTTTTTAAATGTGAGTGTTAAATTTTGAAACTTGAAGTTATTTTTTTTAAATTTAAATTTAATAATACTGTAGTGGGCTAATTAATAAATGATTATGGGCCATAGTTGGTCATTACTGTTCTATATAATTACAAAATTCATAAATAATTTAATATCATATTGAAGTTACTCAAATAAAATTCATATGTAAAAAAAAATTATGATAACTTAAAAATTGATTTGTTTAGTTATAAGTCCTTGAAATGAACTATTTTAAATATAGGTACCTATATTATCTATATTATTCTAGTATAACCAACAATTCAAATTCAAAAATTCAAAATACTAACTTTTATTAGTAATTTTTGATGTTATATTTTAATTTGATTAATGTCTACCTAATTTTGACAAATAAGGATAAGTATTTATTTAAATTAATAAATTGGTCAATAGTAGCAAAATTTCAAATCATGGGTTGCAATCTTTTGCAACCCATGACAAAAGTGCAACAATATTTCTGCTGCCTAAAACAAACTATTATCTATTAATAATTGCATTGTCAAATTTAGTGAGTTGTGACACACATTTCAAATTTAAATTATAATGAGAAATAAAAATAAAAATACTTAGTATTGTCTAGTTAGTATACTAAATACCAAATAAAAGTTAAAAATAGGTATGAACGATATCCATTTTTCACGGTTAATTTACTATAGTTATTTTCAGAAAATATATCCAAATAATCACTTTTTTCTTTAATGAAACTCATTAGTATACATAAGTATTGTCTAATAATAAGTACCTAACATAACTTATTTAATGCCTAATGATAATGCAACTTAGAATTTCATAGACCTAGATATATGTATATATATTTATATAATATATATAGGTAGGTACATAATATACAGAATGATTTTTTTATAGTTAGGCATTTAGTACTTTGTGAAGTATAGACTTTTTTCAAAAAACAAGAAAATGTTTTGAAAATTTAAGAAATAAGCAGATTTAAAATGTTACATTCATTTTTTTTTTAATGTCATCCTTATTGTTAGATGTGAAACGAGATAAAACAAATGTTTGATATTCAAATGGTAATGTATTTTGAGTTTTATATATTGATAGAGTATAAGTTTAAATAAACTTTGGTGTTAAAATTTTTGATTTCCGTTAACCCATTCACGAGCACTTTTATGTTTAGGGGGAGTAGTGGAGTATCATGTGTGTGGCGGCACTACGGCATCAAAATATATTTTTACGAAAAAACGAAGTCACTAAGGTGTCACTAAGGTCTATACTTCGCAAATTAATGAGTGTTTAACAATAGAAGAATCACTTTGTATATATATAATATTAAGCTATTTTTTTATCGTGGAGTAGGAATCTTTGAAATTTAAATGTTATCCCGCGTATAATTTCGAAATACAAAAATTTGTAGGTATTCAATATTATTTTAAATATGAATAAAATATACCTAAATTATTCCAATGAATATCTTTATTCGCACCTAATTATTTTTAATTTTAGTAAAATTTCAAACAAATAATTATTTTCGTTCAGACATCTATATGTATAGCACCAGTTACCACGGCATGAATATCTGCAATAAAACCTTGTAACGAAAAAATCAATAAACAAGTCGACATCCCTTGCTTAAAGTTCCGTATGCCGAGGGATGTACTCTGCCGCACTCTGTTCTACTTACAAACTATACATGTATAAATTCGCTACTCGTATTCTATTTTACAACTCGTAATTTAACACGATTTGGTCTTTAATATATATCTAATTAATTTTAAACCATTGAAATAGTTTAAGTAAGTCAGATGTATATTATGTTATAATTAATTTAATGATATTATTATAGGGTGTAGTTAGGTATAGCTATACCTACTTATTTTGGTATTTAATATTCCACAGATTCTTTTGAAATGGAATTTAAGTTCGATATAAAAGATTTAGCTGAAGCAGTAATTGTGAGAATTGATCATACTTTGAAACCTGTCGGCTATGATGAAGAAGATGAAAAGTATGGTTAAAAATCATAAATATCTATAATACGAATATTATATCTACAAAATAATTACAATTTTTACAGTATACAAAGAAGAGTTGCGATGATTATTGACGAAATGGGTAAAGCATCTGCTAGAGCTCAAAATTTAAAAATGCCCATAACAACAGCCGAAAAATTATCAAAATCTGATAATATAATATATTTATTGACTGAGCAAATTAATGAAGAGTATGTAATTCATAATTAAAAAAATTGATATTTTGAATAACATAGGTAACATTACTGTAATATTACATAATTATTAGAACATTTGCTGTTGTTGGAATTTTAAAAATGGGATGGAAAAAATTATACCTTTTTGATAAAAAAGGTATTCGGTCTGAAGCTATGGTGTATTGTTTACTTGATTTTTATATTCATGAAACCAGACAACGTCAAGGATATGGCAATCAATTATTTGAATATATGTTAAAGGTTTTTATTACTATTGATACTTAGATTATAGAACATTAAATATAATTCTTAACTGGTCTTAGGATAATGAGTTGGAAGCAAAACAACTAGCTATTGATAGACCTTCAAAAAAAATGTTACAGTTTATGCAAAAGCATTATTCACTTAAGAAACTAGTCGATCAAGGGAATAATTTTGTCATCTTTGAAGAGTTTTTTGATATTCCAGGTAATGTATCTATATAAACCAATTGTTTTGTTTTTAAGTGTACAAATCCAAAACTTCTAACAAGTACTTCTTTATATATATTTCAGGATTAACACAACTAAAAGATAAATATGACAGGTAAGGGGTTTTCGATAAATATCAAACATATAGGTATTGAATGTAAGTATTTTTTAAATAGACTATTATTTTAATTTGTTTAAATTAATAATTTCTATGTAGTACAAATGGGTACAGAAACAAACCAACATATGGACGCCATGCTGCTAACAAGCATATTGATTCTATGTCTGATGTAAGTGTAATAATATATTTCTATCTTGCATCAAACTTCAATTTAATATTCAAATTTATATGTAATTTTAGATATTACAAGGAGCTAGTAGTGCAACCCGATTGAATGACAAATATGTTGCTAACGCTGATATGTGAGTTATATTTTTCAAATAGATATTATATTATCTTTTATTATAATTATAATTTAAACTATCGTTGTTTTCACTTGTAAACAGTATCAATAATAAATTTAAAGACAATAAACCAAATCTTGTCACAGTTCTTCCTTCAGAAAAAAATTTAAATGATACAACTAATGGAAAGAAAGGTGTCCCACCAAAATTGGATCTCAAATTTCATCATTCAAACTTATGGTAAAATTATTTATTAATTATTCTATGGTGTAAAAAACATTGCTTTTTTAACAGTCATATTTAAGTAGTATTATTATTTGTAATTGTATTTGGTAATATTAATATAATTAGGGCATGAATACACCGCTTATTTATAGGACAAACGCCATTAAATCAATATTATATCTTAACAAATTATAATTAGAACATTAGATTTGTTTTAAAAAGGTTTATATGTTAATAATACTACAAATTTGTTTAAGAGTTTTAAATATACACTTCTAATATTTATTATGTTAAAATAAATAGGTATATAAAACTATAAATGTATTAATAATCATAATTTTTAATTTTTATTTAAAAATTATTATATTGTCATAATTATGATACTTATATAACATTAATTTATGTTTGTGAATTTGTGTAGAAATTAATTAACTATATTTGTTTGTTGTGTTGTCTATATTGTCGTATACTTAAATAAGTAATACTTTTTGTTTTCCATTTTAATAAGTGTCATATTTATGAATAAGCTAGGTAGATTACATAATACCAACCCCTAAATTTATATAATACTTTTTACTTAGGATATTCTATATCTAATTTAAAACAAAGTTATACTACTATTGTAATACATTTTAAATTTATTACTACTAAGTGACTATTTAATATCACTTTTTTTTTTTTAACATAATAATATATACTGTATTACCTATTTTTTAGCTATTAGTTATTATTTTGAAGTAAAAATAAAAGGTTTTTAGAATGAATAAAATTATTATTTTTTTTTTTTTAAATTACAATAAAATAAAATAACAAACAGTTATCAATATTTTATTTTTAGGGAAATATAAGATGTTTTCAAAGTTTAGATTACCATTTTGTTAGGTGGGTAAAACACCATTAACTTTTAATTTAAATTCATAAAAAGAGATTAACTTTTAATTTTTAAATTGAGTAGTTTCACAGGAGGTAGGGAAGAGCCGAACATTATCCAGATACTGCTGCTACACAGATGATGCTCATTGTTCATTTCACACCCGTGTCTCTCTGCAAAAAAAATAAACGTAAGAGTGGTATATTTCACCAATGAGATGATTGAAATAAAACATTTTACAGTAAAAGAATTACAAAAATGCAATTAAACTAAAATTTCATCTGTTATTAATTAAATTTTGATCCTAAATTAAGCTTCCTATTTTTAAATTAAAAGTTGGGGTGAACAAGATACAGATAATGCAACTTATAACCACTGTGTGGATCTTAAATTTCTCAAAACGGTAATTTTAATCAAAATTGTTGATTTTTAGACTTGTGGCTCGTTTAGTATTCTGTTTACATTCAAATGTATACATCAAACCACTGTACCAGCCACATCAGCTTTAAAACTATACTACAATATATAAATTATAAAATAATGAAAAGTGACTTTAAATAGGAAAAAAATGAGAAACATAAACTGTTAATTTATATATTATACATTAAATAAGTACAAATCTGAAAAATTATCATTATTTATTATATTCGTGGAAGAACAATAATAATAATAATTCACAAGAGAAAACATTATAATTACTAATATACAATCATATATGTTTAATGCAAAACAATTATTTATTTTGTTATTAATTTGTATACAGTTAACTAAAAATTGTTTAAAATATTAGATATCCAGTTCCTCAAATGACACTAAACACTGTTATCCCTATAACATAAATACATAAAATAAAATAATATATTTTGCATTCAATTACTTTGTAATTTCAAAGATAATTAGACAACAAAATTATAAAACATAAAAAATTTTAATGGCATTAATTAAGGCATAATTTATTTATATTAAATAATACAAATAAATATACATTTAAAATAAATGTGTACTTATGACCAGAGCTGGTCTTATGCAGATGTCAATTTGGTCTCTTCTCAGGGTCTTGTGTATTTGTATGACATTTTAAGGGTTAATGATATTAAACATTGTATTATAATTTAATATTTCACAGATTGTGAACTAGGGACGTCTCCAGACCTTGACCATGGGTTGGGGGGGGGGTTGTACTAAGGTAGGATATATTGAGGGAAATTGAATGCATATCTATATCTAATCAAATTTAATCATTGTCAACAAAAAAACGATTCTGAGAGGAACTTGGTTAATAATACTATTAACCAAGTATTGCTCAAGTCTAAAATATGTTTAATCATCTTGATGGTATTTGGACCTAGTTGCATTTTTACTAAAGAATTATAGATATTTTGTGTAGCAAAAAAGAACACTACATGGTTTATGGGGGGGAGAATCGCCTCCCTTTTGTGAACTTCAAGTTGTCATGAAAAGTAATTTATTAATACTTAATTCAGATTTTCGGATTTTCCCAACTTTGTAGTAAAATAGTAGTAAACAACTTCTTATCACATAATCATGCCTCAATATAATATCTGTAATTATACTTTACTACAAAACATTATATTTATATTTATTTGACATGGTTATTTTAATCCTTTTAATATTTTGTAATCCAGTACCTATCAAAATTATTTAAATTTTGTTCTTGAAACTAAAGCAAACAGCACCATCTTATTTGCATTAAGTGGATCATGAAGTCTACTTGAGATCGATTTATTCACACTTTTTGATTTTAATTTATCTAAAAGTTAAAATATTCCATATTTTTTTTATTACTCTTTAATTAGTATGGCTTCATTTTAATTTTAAGGAGATAAATTGAAAAAGTTAATCTCAAGTAGACTCACGACAAATTCAAATTTGTTTCTTGATAATTTATCGCTTCACTAAATCAATCAATAAGTTGGAATTAAAATATGTCTAAATCCTTACATTCCATGTGTGTAAGACAAAGACTCGTTGCTTCCAATCCCCTTAAGTATTATTTCCCATTGATATTATACAATATTATTACTAAAAATGAATCGTAATATTTTAATAAATTCATTATAATTTTACTTATTAGTATCATCACAAAATATATTAAATGGTTACATTAAAATTTCATCTTACATACATAGTTCATAACTGAAGCATAGATTTATATTCATTTAAACAGCTAAAATATGTAAAAATATAAAATATATTATTTCATTATACAGTGTGCAGTATTAACATTATTGTTTTAGATTTTTGATATTGAATGTCGTATATATATAATTTTACACCTGTAGTTGAAGTTTATAAAAAAATAGCTGATACTGGGGATAGGAGTGGCCACTGTTGTAGGTGAGAAGTTGGGAAGGTAGGATACATAAAGTTATTTCATTTATATCTATAAGCACTAATAAGTCAAGATCTCACCTTCACCTTAAGGCCGGCTCTGGTTATAACCATTATTAATTAATTAATATATAATTTGTCAAAATTTTTTTATTTATAGAAATATAATCAAAACAAATTACTTGTTTAACATTGAATTCAAAATACTTTTTGACATTGAATAACGAGCTTCATTTTCATTACTAAATTTGATCCACTGTTGCCGTACACAAACCCACCTTTGCCTGTGTTCCTTAAGGAGTTCACTAATTGGAGGATTGTCATCACTAAACTTAAAGTAAAAAATGTTTTATTAAAACTTTTGTTTCAAAATGATGAAAATAAATCTTATATATAATTTGTACACAATTAGTTTTGTTGAAGATTTTTTTTTATTATTTTAATTATATAGTTACTCTAATTCAATAATAAATAATTAATAGACAAATACAATTTTTTAAATAGTTTTAAAAAAATTAACTTTATAAGATAATAATTATAGTTTTAAAAGAGACTTTTGAAATACAGAACATTGAACAACTATCATCATATATTATTATATATTGCATCTACATAATGAAAACAATCTTTTAATCAACTGTAAGTCCAGATTTTAACTTTCACCACGAATCTAAAAATATCATTGTATACAATTTTAATAAAATTGATTGAAGTATACAAATACTAATTAAGGATGAGTAAATATAATAATGAAAAAATATTTAATTAAAAATATGTATACTTACAGTTCTAGTGTCCAATGAGGTCGTTATATCTTTTGGTAAATTTTTAGGTATTTTACTATTAAAACTGTTTCCTATATCAGATTTACTTTTAGGTGGTGGTAATTTATATACATAATCTTCAACTGTAGATGAGTCATTTTCACTTTTAAATAAACGTTCCAAATTTTCATTCTTTTTACCTTTCATTAGCCTAAAATATTAAACAATTGTATAAATAAAAACTAAATTTCTTAAAAAAAATTGTATTCATACCTTGCAGATAATGGGTCATTTTTAATCCAAGCTCGACATATAGGGTACATAGCTGTGTTATCAGTAAATGATGCTAAATCAATACTCCGATCTCGTAATTTTAACACTAACGAATCTTTAACTTCATATTTAGGTTCATTTTTCTTTAATCGTTTATGTGCATCATTTTCTTCTCTACAACAAAATAGTATTATATGAAGTTATGACAATAGTTTTGATTTATATTCTCTTAACACACCTAAAATATGATGTTAATGTTCTCTAAAAAAAAACTACAACTCATCTCCTATATTCTCTTAAAAATTAGAGAGAAATCAATGTACATTAATATAATATGTATATTATATTATTTTGTACTTTTTTACCACAAAGTAAGACTTGTAATTAATCTTCTGTTAAATTTTCAAGCATTTCTGTTTGGTCTAATGATTTAATTTGTGTAAAAATTGCAAAATTAAAATGTTTATAAATAGTTCAAAAATAGCTAAAATGTTTTGAAAATTTTACCACATATAGAATAGATTAATGTAATTTTTTGGTTCAAAATTTAAGTCTATGGATATTATTTACTGGATCATAACAAAAAACAAAATTAAAAATGATATTTTTCGTAAATATTTTTATTTTTTCCTAATTATTATGAGAATCACTTGGAAAACCAAAAAAATGATCTCCTTAAAATACGACTCAAATAAAATTTCCTTTCAGAAAATATGTTTTATTTGAAAATCAGATTAGAAATTTCTGGTAAAAAAGTTGTTCACAGAAAAAAATAAACACTATGTTATAGCCAATGTATTCCTCACTTCACACAGAATCTAAAAATATATAATATATATGTCATAACCACTTAGTGTAATCGTATTTTTCATAAAATGGATGTTCATTTCATGAACTACGATAATAACGTGTAAGTCAAATTTTAGTTCATGAAACGGACATATATTTCATCCATTTCATGAAATGGAAACTCTTATTTTACACTTTGTGTAATATTTTAAATTAATTACATCAATAGGTAACTTTTCGTGAAATCGAAATAATAACATTAATACTGGTATGTATCGCACCGTACTATATTTATTATTAATAAATTGTAAAGATGAGATATCGACCGTTCAACAGATAAATTTTAATTAATTACATCAATAGGTAACATGAAAAAACCAAAAATACTTCTTACTACTTATTTTTACAAATATTATTACTGCTATGGCAACGACTGTTACACTTAACAGAAGTTTTAAAATAAGCACACCGTTTTGTTTCACATTGGTGTTTACAGATACAACTTAAAAAACCTTGTCCCCCNATATAATTTTTATTTACTAATATTTTGTATATTTTAACGATTACTTACATTTTTACTTTTGCTGCTAAAATGTCTTCAATCATTAATTGAACGTCAATTTTGGTAGGTGGCTTTTTCCCAGGCTTGTCTACGTAGTACGCATTTAACTGTTCATAAAATTCAGAAAATGAATCAAATTCCATTTTAACGCTAATATACGGCTCGCTTCAAGTCAGAGGACGTACTGGCATCATATAAAAATAATATAATATACAGATTTTCCAGAATGCCTTGGTCGTATCACACTTATACAATTGATTCAATTGAATTTTGATTAAATATATATTTTATCGACTAAAATTTATCTGTTGAACGGTCGATATCTCATCTTTACAATTTATTAATAATAAATATAGTACGGTGCGATACGTACCAGTATCAATGTTATTATTTCGATTTCACGAAAAGTTACCTATAGATGTAATTAATTTAAAATATTACACAAAGTGTAAAATAAGAGTTTCCATTTTATGAAATGGATAAAATATATGTCCATTTCATGAACTAAAATTTGACTTACACGTTATGATCGTGGTTCATGAAATAAACATCCATTTCATGAAAAATACGATTACACTAAGTGGATACGACATATATAATCATGATATGATACGAAAAATAATTTTTTCAGGTATATCAAAATTAATATTAATTTATAATAATAATAATAATTCAACACATTTTTTAAATTTTATTATCAAAAACATATGTCATTAATATATATAGCATATATTAGCCTATTATTCATATGAGCAAAAAAGTTTATTATATATATATATATATATATTCCAACTATATTATTTAATATGGAAAAATAAAATATCAGTAAATTTCAATATATTTTCAGTATTTAAGTTAAATATCAGCTGATTTCATCTGAGTATGTTTGTAAAACTTGTAAAACAAATATTAAATATGCATTAAATACGTACAAATATGTGAACATCAATGAAAATTAACAAAATATGCATTTTAAACGTTTGATTTTTGAACTGTCCATTGTATAGAAAGAATTTCTAGCTTTGTCTATCATAAATCAAGTGCATTCAGAAAAATATGCAATTTCTATAACTTCAGAGTCATATTAATAATAATTTAAAATTAAATGTTTTTTTTTTCTAACAATTAACAGAATATTTGTAAATATTCTAAAAATATTCAAAAAAACTTTTTTCTGTGAATTTGATTTTGTTTTACAAAGTAACTTTAAATTACATAAAATAACTTTATTTTTCTTTAACAATTTTCAATTTTTCTATTATAAACATGCTAATATCTATTATAAATTAACAAAGTTTGAATTTCATAAAAACTATAAATTATAATCAAGGTTCAATACTTAATGTTCTGAATAGTAATCAAATAATATGTACAAGCTATCTAATATTTCAATTTGACCCTTGATAAGTTTATTTATTTGAAAATAATACATATAATTGTAAACTTCAAAAATATTACAACCATTTTAATCAGAAAATTTAAAAGTAATATTTCAATACTCACAAATTAATAATATCACTGTCTGTTGAAAATTCTGCTTTTTTCTGTTCCTTCTTTGCAATAATATCAAGAGCTTCATTTAAACTATTACGAGCTTTTTCTAAATGATTACCTCCTAAAATACAGTTATTATAATTTAATATGTAAACTAAATAATTATAATTTTTTTTTTTTTTTTAATGTAAATTACTTGAACACTTACTTATAATTCTTGGCTCTTTCATTGGTGAATCTACAACCTGCGCTGAAGATCTCAATACACTTTTACGTTTTTTAACCATGATTTTAATTTCAAAAACTAGTCTTTATAAACAATATTAAATACATAATTAAATTGAAGATAAAAATCATAAAAATGTATCCAAAGATAAAATAGGTGCTTTTACTCTAAAACCGGAGGTAAGAAAGTTCTGGGTATTCTATGTTAAGCATGTTTTAACTATATTGTGAATTTATAAGACAAAAACAACAAATGCGTGTGTAGCCTTCTCTTAAGTTAACATATAATAAATTCAAATATAATATAATAGACTATTTTTTTGTTTTGGTTTTAATAATCTTTTAGTTGACTATCTGCTTTTCATAGCCCCTAGACAGTGTCTAATGCAGTGGTTCCTAACCCAGAAGGAATTTATATACTGTACAGGGGGAATATAATGATGATGAAATAACGCAAATTTTGTTGTTTAAATAAATAATATGTCATTTTAAAACCAGTAAAATTGAAAAAAATTAATTAATTTTAGTTGTAAAATATACCTATAATAAATAAACTATAATAACAAATCAAATTTAAGGGAGGCATGTGAGATTTTTGAAAATGTATAAGAGGGGGACAATTAAAAGGTTGGGAACCACAGACCTAATGGTTAATATGATGAAAAGCAATGACATATACAAGGGGGGCACCAAAGTAATCATCCCCTCGGTCTACATTTTTTAAATAATTCTTTTATTCTACAATTTTTAATATAATAAAGATATATATTTTTAATAAAATTTGCCCCCTTGAAAAACCTCATGGAACAGTACATAGGTATTTTACATTTTCATTCAAATTTGAACTTAACACGCTTAGAGTGAACTGATATAAATTTTGATCAATGTTTCAAACAAAGTACCACTGCAAAATATTCCGCATATATTGTGTCATCATTAGTGTCATGAAAAACAAAAAACATAGTTAAACCTTTGAATAGGCTTCATCAGTACACTTAGAAAGTAAAAAAATATATATCCTATTTCTAATGCAACTACATTCACAAAAAAATTAATATTATTAAAATTAAGAAATTACTTAATTATTTAATTAATTATATTCATATAGAATAATTAAAGTAACAATACAAAAAAGTAAAATTTTTTTTTAGAAACGTTCAAATGTACAAATTATTTCAATATGCAATAATCATTAATGTCGTTGTTCAATTTACATTTTTAATCTATATTAAATTAAAATAACAGTTGCTTATTACTAAATTATAGATATGCATTGAAATAATAAGAAATACTTACAAAATACTTTTAAAATTATTTTAATTTTAACCAGCTAAAAAAAATGTAAATATTATATCTGGAATACATTAACGTAAACCTCAGTTTTCATAATTATTTGAATTTAAAAGTTAGAACTAGAAATTATTTATTACAAAAATCACAATGCAGTCATCGAATAATGATAATTTTGAAAATAATGTTTATACCATGATTTAAAAAAATATGATAACTCTTTTTCAAAGAAGATTAAAAACCATTGATCTAAGATAATATACCTTAGTCTGTATCACCATTGATTGTATAATAGATTAGAGAATATAGTTTATTCTATAATCAATGGTATCATGATTCTATTTACAACCCATAGATCTTATACTAATAGACACGAAATAATTAAACACCAAGCGTAAAAAGATAGAAGGCTTTTCATTGACTAATTGATTGTAAATGATCTTACACATCATAAAATAACAGTAAAATTATATATATTTTTTTATTATTGAAGAAATGGTGGGTATCATTTCAGATAGGGAAGTGCTTATTGTGTAGGAGTGTCGCTTTCCATAATTTCGGAAATAGAAGGCCGGTTGCTTACGATATCTGAGTATTGGAAGACTGGAGTATAACAATTATTTATATTTTTTGAAGGACATTTTATTTTTTATGTTATTTACACGATAGTCACGTGCGTCAGTGGGGTAGTCCTTAAAAGGACTGTTTTTGTCGAATGGGCCAGGAGATTCGAGGATGTTTGGCTATCGGTTTGATGCTATTTGGTTTCGTGTATTCATTGTATAATTCGTGAAAATCTTTGGGAAATTCGGAATTCAGACCAGGAAAACACTACTCACAGGGGAGACTTCGAGAAGGTAATAACATCACCTCTCTTGGCTAACGCCAGACGTGTGCTAATTAGGTTGATTATCATTTATCATCGAATGTAAAATTTGAATCGAACGTATTATCGATTACGTCATTGAAGTTGAACAAGATGTAAGAATCGGTTTTTGATTATTTGTTGAAAGCTAGGTGAAATTGGAATATTGGCATTTTTCAGTACCTTACTTTTTTTACTGAATTTTAGAATCCAAGTATTGGGTCAGGATTTTTTGTAAGTGTGGTCTTGATTTTTGCTGTGACAGGGGTTTGACCGAAGCCGACGATATTAAAGAATTCTATAATTAGATTTATAATTAATCAATAACAGAATTAACTTATCACTAGTTATCAGTGACACGATCAGGCACAAGTGTACGCTATGAGTCCATGATTGAGACGATTACTTATTCTGTAGGAGTGGCGTGTTGATTCGTCGTTAATAACGATGCACAACCCGGTGCGTTCTCATTTGAAAATGGTGTATTCACGTAGTAAATCATTCGCAGAACTCGGCCGCCATTGATGTTTCTTATTTTAAATGGAATATTAGAGATGTATAATATTATGTACATGGGACGAATGCACGATTGTTTAATATTTATGGAAATAACTTATTTGTTATTACTAACAAGATAATTATGATCAAATTTCTAATCGGAAAATAATATTTTAAACGCTTTACTTTACACATTGTTTTTTTTTTTTTACATAAATTAAATACAATTTATAATGTGCTCCGTGTTAAACTTCTAAGCATTTCATGTTAGTTAAACAAATGAAAAATAAAATAAATTCAAAAATGTCAAATGCCAACAAATAGCTCAAAAATTACCAGAATATTTTAAAAATTCGACTACACCTAAAGAAGTCTAATATAAGTAGGTATTAATTAGGAAAGGAAATCTCAGGTGTATACCTATATTTTTAACCTAATAAAAAAATATGAATAAAATTAAAAATATTAAAACAATTATTTTCATAATTCCAGTTTTCCCCCATTTAATAAGAAAATAATGTACAGGAATCAAAGGAACAAGAAACATTAAAATTAAAGATGAATTTCATTTGAAATGCAATACAGTAAATCGATAATAATATAATACAAAATTATGTAAATCATAGTAATTACAATATTTGGAATTATTATAACAAATTAAACATTACAATCTATTATAAATATGAAAATACATAAATAACTATTGAAAAAACATAGATTTTTAAGTTACCCAATATTACTATTATTTAAAATAAATAATATATTATACCTACATATTCATTAAAATTTGAATTATAATACATTAAAATTTTTAAGAGAACATGGAATTATGAAGTTCTTCAATGTTTCTTTCTCTGATTTGTCTATTTTTCAACTCTTTTTTATATAATTCATATAGCTCATTGTCAGTTCCAAGTTCGAGTTTGCAGAGTGGACAAAAGTTGCTCTAACAAATAAAACAAATATATATAAATGTTTAAGGTGTAGTTTAAGCAATTGATAGTGTTGGTGAATTAACGTTAAATCACAAACCATTATTTCACATGCAAGAAAAAAAAATCAATATTGAATTTAATTTCTAAAACTGAAATTGGTGTTGACAAAATCTTAATCAAATTATTTTTAAAATGATTAAAGAAAAAGGGTAATTAAACTGGCATGATAAACATGGGGGAGGGGCTAATTTTAATAATTTATGATATATTTTTGCACACATTAATATTGTTACCTTTTTGAGCCACGTTTTTAAGCACTCCTCATGAAATACATGATCGCAAGGCATGGTCAAAGCTTTCTGTTCTAATTGATAGGGTGACAAACATATTGGGCATTGTTCACCTAAAACAACAGTTTTTTCAATAAATAAAAATAATACATAGGTATAGTATAGAGATTTTACCCAACAGTTTATCATGTGAGACAATTTTCAATTTATCAATTTCTGATTTTGACGCAGGAGGTGTGATTTGATTATTTACAATATTATCATATTGATAAGGATCTTGATCAAAAATCATACGAAATGTTTCTCTTGTTAAACGCTGAATACGATCATTAGTTTCTTCATTTTCATTAACGTTACGTTCCTCAAAATAGCTTGCCATACCTAAATTGTTTAAAGTTGGTAGGTTTAAGTTGAAAAAAAGCTTTCATAGGATGAGAATGGGTGCAGCTACTGTTGTAGGTGGGAAGTTCGGAAGGTAGGATTTAGACGGGACTTTAATGTATATCTGAAAGTAAAGATTAAATATTGCAAATAAAAAACAATTCTGAGTGAAGTTCAGTTAATAATGTTGCTTTATTAAAAATTTCTGACATGTCATATTTTAGTAAAATAATTACATATGCATTAAACATTTTCTTTAATAATATTTGTTTAATATTTTACTTAATTTCCTGTTTTTTTCAATTATTAATAAAACTTCTGGGAAAATCAAAAAATGACCTCCTTAACGTTTCCAGTTAGATTTAATTTTAGGAAAAGTACAATCATTGTAAATCGGAGTAAAATTTCTGATATAAATTAGTATACAAAAGTAAAAAAATAAACTATAAGATTCTTCACTCCACTCAGAATCTAAAATACAGATATCAATAAAGTAAAATTACTTACCGTTAGTGGGTTATAAATTGAATTAAATAATTTCAAAAATAGTTAGATTAGTTATGTACCATACGAGTAGTGCACTATATTGTAGTGGTCTAATACTATTAAGCAAAACATTTATTTTAAAAAATTATTATTCGTGATAGCAATTTAATGTAATCGTCATGAACATTGACTATAGAATAATGAATGATTATCATAATCAAATACTGCATTGAGTACATCTATATACATTCTACATTATCGATTTATGACTTTGATAAACATCAGCTGTATAATGTATTATTCATCATAATTCATAACATCGTAATCAAGGTGTATTGATAAGGTATCCTCACTCTGGTCCCTTTTACGCATATACCTTGATCATAATTTAGTAGATTTTCTGTGATATGACTGTGTTCACTAGATACTATTATCCGATTAGTTCCTAACTAAATTAATAAATCTAAATTTGAAGTTAAAATTGTATTTTTTTTTGTTATATTTTAACATAAATATGGATAAATCAAATTTTACATTACCATTGGTTATGTTAAATAATAAACAAATGTTATTAAATTGTAAGTCTTGTTAAAATTTAACATGTTTTAAATTATTTTCATATTTATTAAGTTTTTTTTAGTTTAGTCTTTTGTTTATTTCTTTTTTTAAGAACTAGCATATTTAATATTAATTTAAACATTATGTTTCTACAGGTACAGTTATTCCAGAAAATGTAAATCAAAACATAACTGAATTAATATCTAGTGAGAAATTACAGTCTGACTATCTACAAGAAAAGCAAACACATTTAATTAAAAAAAAAAAAAAGAAAAAAGGAAAGATCCGTTTCAAATGTTTGCATTGTGATTACTTAACATTTCAAAAACAAAATTTAATTAGGCATCTCAAGCAAAAGCATCAAGTATATTATATAAACAAAAATTAGTTATTTGATTTAAATTTCAGTTTTAATTATAAAATTACTATTTTTAGACTACAAAACAACTAGAAGATAGTGTAACTCATAATTCATCATGTACTACTAGAACAGTTGAAGTATTTGCGTGTGCATTATGTAAAATGACGTTCAATACATTAGATCAATGTAAAGAACATTCTACAGAGGTATTTTAAATTTTAATATACATACATTAATTTTTTTTTTGGCAACTAATTAAAACTTGTAATGAGCCTGGATCAATAATCTGTTTACACATTTGAAATGTGATGTTTATATGAATCGAAAATTGATGAAATATTTCAAATATATTCTATTGTTCTACTATATTTATTTAATGCTGATAGCGATAACAACAATTTATCACAGGAAATTAATGAGTAACAGCGACTAATAATTAAACTAAAGTAAAATCTTGAAAGTATTTTCTCATATATGTAGTGGTGCTCAAATTTGTTTTACTGTGGACCATAGAAAAACATATTTTCTTAGTAGGCCACAAATTTGATATTTTCCCAGTCATAAAGGTACTATGTTTAGTCATGTAACAACATTTAATTATATTATTCTTTTTATTTTATCGATTTCAAAGGCTTAAATTAATAATAAATTATTTATTACAAATAAAAATAGAGCTGATATTAGGGATAAGAGCAGCCACTGTTGTAGTTGAGAAGTGGGGGAAGTAGGATATATAAGCTTATTTCATTTATAACTGTAAGCAACGATAAACCATTGCTTGACGAAAGATGATTCCGAGCGCAATCTGGTAATACATAATTTTTGCGATTTTCGTTTAAATTTGGTTTCCAAAACGCTTATTAAAAAAAAAAATAAAAAAGTCTGATAATTTTGGAAATTTTACCACGTCTGGGCAAGTCCAATATAATTACTAATGACAAGTTTCAAGTCTCTACATATATTTATAATCAAATTGCAGACAATAAATCAAAAAAGTGGTCTTGTGATTTTTCGATTAAATAATTTTTTCTGGTAGAAAGTTTTGTATGTATTTTTATACAATAATGAAATGAATGAAATTGTACTTTTTCTTACGTTTTTTCCACTCAAGTACTTTTATTAAAAAAATGGCGTTGAAAATCAATAACCTCTCTTATGTACTATCTAGACAACTTGAGCTTTCAGAAAAGTTGCTATACGTAAAAATAGGAGCAAGTTTACTAAGAAAAAACCTGTTGACAGACTAGAACAAGGAAAAAAAAGAAATAAACATCTAAGTAAAACCAAAACTCCCTTGCTACGCTCGGAATCTAAAATATATTAAGTAATACAAAATATTTGTTTACATTTACAAAAAATATTTTTTATATATTAATTTATTTAGTGTCTATTATGAGCTCGTTTTTGTTGACAGAGAATATCAATATTAGGTTATAATAAGATTCTTATAGATAATAGAATATATAAGTTAAAAATATTTCTCTATACATTAAGACATAAACAAAGAAAATTCTCTAAATTTAGGATTCTATTCATTAATTTGAGTATATCTACTTGTAATTATTTTCAGCATTTAATCAATAGTTCTAAAGATGATCAAAGTAAGCTATCAGAAAACATTTGTAAAGGAATTACATTGAGCAAAACTAATTTGGAAGATATTGAACATGTTTGTAAGTAAGTAATTTTATATTATTTTTTTTAATTAACAAAAACATGAACTTTGTATAGAACTAAATTATTTTTTAGATGTGAACATTGTAAACGCAAATTTCGTTCAGAAAATTCTAAATTACTTCATTCATTATGCCACCAGAATGATAGTAAAGATTACAAATGTAGTGAAAAAAATTGCGATTTTATCACTTCTAGATGGAATGTTTGTCGTACACATTTATGGAAGATTCATAAAATTGACATTGACATGTTCAGCTGTCAAGTATGTTACCTAATAAGAATAATGTATTTATAATATCACTAAAATTTGTTCTTAATGTATTAATTTCTAATAAATAAAAAAAAAGAACAACTCAATTATTTCAACCTACTTTTTCTAAACAAATGGTTGTATGACATCTTTCAAATCTTTATTATTAATTTTAGGCTCCAAGTAAAGAGAGGGATCTTATTGGTTTTACTATGACGTGTTTTTTTTTCTGTTTGAATACATCTTTTCAAATAGAAAACTTGCTACATTCAAAAAATGACAAAAAGCCTTTTTAGGACCATTAGAAAGGTCATTTTTGTTTTTTTTTTTCAAGTAATTTTTTTAATAATTGAGTAAAACCGAAATGAAAAGTTTACGAAAATAATGGTTTCACTATTTTCAATTTTCTTCTTTTGTTGTAATTCAGTTAAAAATATTCGTGGATACTTAAAATAATGATTGAAATTCTATATTTCTTAGATAATTTTTTTTTCGAATGCATCTGACTTAAGTTGGGAAATATTATTAGTTTTAAATTTTGTACAAATTGGGTCCGAGTGAATTAAATATTTCGTCTGGATGTATAAAATGAAACATTTGAGTGTCATTTCATCTAGGTCATCTAATATACCCCAGATTTATCTAAATGTGATAAAATTTTTAAAACATCCTGTCGATTTCTGAGTTATTTATTGGTATTTTGTATTTGCGAGTTTTTATTTGGTAGATACTTTGTGGATATTGTTTGGCGAATAGAAACACTTGAAAAGTTTGCAGGATGTTCATTATAAGTTGTATTTAGCAGTAAAAAAAGTAGTGTAATGTAGTAATTTTTTTTTATAATGGTTTTAAAATCAAATTTTGATGAAAATCTGAAATATTAGAGTCTTCGTCAAAATTATTTTAATTAATTAAATGTATGTATCCTATCTTCCCAACTTCCCAGCTACAAAAGTGTCATCAGTAGTATCAGCTATTTCTTACTAGTTTATTGAATAAAACATATAATATTTTGAATTCATTAATTATTATATAGGTTTGTAAAAAATATACAACTACTACATACCATAACCTAGTTAATCATGTAACAATGAAACACAAAACACGGTCTTGTATAGATTGTGGGGCTGAATTTGATGATTCTGTTAAATTACAAAATCACAGAGTATTTCATTCCAAAGTGAAATCTGTTAATAAGGAAAGATGGTAAGAATATATAGTTAGTGCTTGTTTTTTAGATTTGAAATGATCCAATTTAAAAATATTTGTTTTAGGTATATGGAAAAAACATGTACAATTTGTAATATGGTGTTGGTTAATTCAAAAAGTTTAAAACTTCATACCAAAAATGTTCATTTGAAATTAAAGCCATATGTATGTCAAGTTTGTAATCATGGTTCAGCCACCAAGCACATGATGCAAGTACATATGAGACAACATACTGGTGAAAAACCATTCAGTTGTGATGCTCCAAATTGTAATTTTAAAACTGGTAATATATAAAGCACAATACAATAGCATACTTATTAAGCAATCAAAAAAAAAAAAAAAAAAATGAATTATTTAATATATTATTATAGGAGATCATAATTCACTTAGACGTCATAAACTTCGCCATTCAGAAGAAAGACCATACAAATGTACACATTGTGATTATAAGTGTATTCAAGTAACAGCTCTTAAAAGCCACATGACTAATAATCATATTGATGAAATGGATAATTCATACTATTCATGCAATCGCTGTACTTTTGGAACAGTTAGCTTAAAAAGGTTTAATGTTCATATATCTAGTCATGAAATTCAAGTTCAGAACGGTAAACAAAACAATTTTAAATTTTAAAGAAAAAAATATATACATAACGTATACATAGTATTAATAATAATTTATTTGTATTACATTAGGTCTAGAACCTAGTCCTGTAAAATGTCAAGAAACTAAAACTGAGATGACTGACGATGATGATACAGCACAAGGTTATGTTGATGATACAGGTGGAATAACTATCTCTGAAAGTGTTGGTTGCGCTGTATTAAATTTAGATGATAATGCCATTATGCTTACATAAATTGTTTAAAAATAATATAATTGTCTATACAAATTTGTAATAACCTAGAATAATTTTATACATTCATTTTAATACATAGAAGAGATGAGCAATTATAATATTAAAATATTTAATGGTTTTTTTTTTTTTGATAGTTTTTAGTAAAAAAGAATTCAAATTTTCTTAAATATTACCAAGTGAAATATAGAGAAATCTCAAACTGTGTAGATCAAAATTTATATTGGTAGATAGGTAAAAAATACAATATTTTATCCATACATTTCTTTAACAACAAATATATTTAAAAAACGAAATGCAATTTTCGATAATTTATAAATAAATAAATGGTATAAATACAATTTAAAAGTATAACATTAACTTTAAAAATGTTCAATATAATTTTAATGTAAAATTGTGATAAAGTATTTGATTAATAAGTTATAAATCAAAGACTATAAATATTAGTATACCATACCAAAACAATAAACATAACATGTAAAACTGTAAAACAAAACTGTAAAATGTGTTAAAATAAAATTACAAGATACCAATTTTAGATAATAAAGGATGTAAATAAAAATCAGAAAAAAATTTAGATTGAATGATTAACATTATTGAAACATTTAACTTTGAAATTTATTAATTTTTAAATCTCGATTATGCATTATTTTCCATTGCTGAATTGACAATATACTATTTTGTTAAAAATGAGTATATTTCATTTAACATATTCATAATGTATATTAATAAAATCTTTGAAAAAATACAAAATAATTTATTTCTTAGTATTTAAATTATAATTAACAAATAATACATTTGTTATGAAATTTAGATATCAATAAAACATAATTATTTAAAAATCAAAAAAAAAAAAAAAAAATGAAACTAAATATTAAATATTACTTGTTATAATTGTACTACCTTAATTATATTTTTGTTTTCATTAGTTATGATAATTCACATTTATGAAAAAAAGCTTGATTGTTACATTAATTCTGTTAATAAAAATAAAAATTTGATTCATATATAATAAACAAGTTATAAGTGCTATAATACATGTATAACAAAATAATGATAATAATTAATAATACAATAAAAGAAAATTTGTCAACATCTGTTATATTAATAATACAATAATTATTATGTATATTATATACACAAATAGAAACATACGTTTCATAATATACATATATATATATAAAACATTAACTAAATATTTATTATTTGCGCTTTTTAAACTTCAAATAAAAATTGACACTGTTATTTTGATAAAACCAATTTGACACATAGACACATTAACACACACATATTATACACATAGCATTTATAATTTTAACAAAATTAAAAACAAATTATCACAGACAAGTTACCATATTATAATAGGTGTAGGAATGTGTGTGCGAATTTTGGTGCCACAGCACCCTGTTACTTTAAAATTAATAAAGGTTTATTATATAATCTTAATTTAAAAAAAATATACATTTAAAACTTTATTTTACCAAACATCACACCACTACCAATAATTAAATTTAACAAAATTAGATAATTTTATCAGTTGTGTTTAAATAGGTAATTGTATTGAGCTTAAAGTTTAGGGTCAATAAATGCAATGTATATCATACATTATTGTTTTGTTTTTGTAAATCATCAATTAACTATAATACAAGTTAAATTTTTACCTTATTCAGATAGCATGATAAATTGATAACATATTCATGCATACAAACCAAGCCGATGGATTTTGGCTGATAGAAAGTTATGTAAAATGAACACTAATGGTTTTGGACTACATTCCAAGTCCAATTCCTAAAATAAAATCAAAATAAATATTAGTTGTGTAATATATTAAAACAATTTGGAAGACAATTTTATTTTATTATTNATTGTATTGACGAACAAAAAAATGTCATTCAATTTTTAACATTAGTTTATCTAAAATTGTGATAGGGTTATTAAATAATTCCTGCATTCTCTATAAAACAATATACTTCAATCAATTTTAATTTATGTTAGAGCTCAGTAATTTGTACTTCTTGAAGTTAATGGTTAAATAAATCAATATTTAAAAACAGTATTTATTTTAATTTTATCTCACAGGTTTAAGTTATTGTTAATTATAAAAATTAAATACTTACTATTTCAATGCTATCGCCAAAATCTAACCAAAGTAATCTGTTATTATCGTCTGAAGACAGTTTTAACTTTTCAAAAGGATAACTCCATAGTTTCTTAGGTTCACGTCCTACAGATCCAGTTGTTGACTCAAGAAGTGTAAACCCATTTTCATAGTGAATTGATAATTGTGCTGGCTTTCCGTGCCATAAACATCCTAAAAACCAATTTTATTTTATTGTAGATAAAATGAATAGTAATACAAAATAATAATTTGAAATATAGGTAATAATTGTATATATTAATGAAATATAAATTTAGATACACTAATACTTACGGCAATTTACTTCTCTTCTATTTGCAACAGAATTATGGCAACCTTGAATTATGGCTCGTGCCCAGCTAGCAAGGTCTCTTTGAGTATCAACTTTAAGTCGGTGAGTTATGATGCCTTCTTCAGTTCCACATCTTATACTAAATGTGATTAAATCAGATTTACGAGATGAACTCATCAGCCTTGTGGATAACAATGAACAAACAAACAGAGGAGCAGACCATGCATCTGGACTCCAAGGAGCCACTTCGTATAATCGCAATTCTTTGCTAGTAATTACTCCAAATACAGATTGCCATTTGTCATTAACTGTAAATTCTTCTTCTGAATTTAAGCTACACATATAACCATTCTAAAAACAAAATAAATAGTTATTATTTAAATACACTAAATATTGACAGGAAACATTCCAAAAAAAAATGTTGAAGAAGTAGGAATTCATTATATTTATTAAACATTGAGTCAATATTTAAATCAAAATTTGTGAAAGTTCAAGTGAGATTTATTAAATTTTATGAAATTAATTGTATACAACAAAAGTGTATTTAAGTTATTATTAAATAATGTACAACTCATTTACGTGGATATGTATAAAATTAATTAACCTCATTTTTATTGATTCTAAACAACCATCCAATATGATGAAGTTGGCCAAGTACAGGCATAACATTTAATAACACTTTATTTGCATCGTGTAATGCTTTTAAACATAAAACATTTAAAGCACCATGAATAGTATTAAACCAACAAATTGCTTCATTGACTTCTTGAGTTCTTAATATACAAGAATGTATACCATCTGGTGAATGTAATTCAATTGTTTTATTCTCTGAAATGTATATAAATATTGTAAGTGATGAGAAAAAATCAAATTATAATTTATAAAATACCAGGATCAGGATGCTTATAATTTCGTGTTAAACAACAAAGTTGTAATGGTAAATACCGAGTATCAGATTTTTGTGGAGAGCGATGAATAGGCGGGTTTAATGATAAAAATCCTCGTTGTAATTCCCATCCTACTTCAGATATAATAGTCGCTTTTCTAAAATATGGAGTCACTTCCCGTAAATATTTAACTGAAACAATAAAAACTAAATTACTACAACAATGCATTTGTACTTGAAATTCATACTACCTTGAACGAAACCATTCATAAAATTAATAATTTTATTATACAAAATACATAATTTGTATACATACAATTTTAAAATAATATGTTAAATTTGAAATTTTTTTAATTGTAATTCATAATAATAATATACAGGGTGATTCATTCAACTGAAAAAACTCAGTATTTCAGAAAGTATTAACTTTTTTAGAATTTATTTTAAACTTAAGAAAAACAAATGTGTAGTTCTAATATTTTGAATTATCATTTTTACTGTTGAAATTTTAGGCTTTCGTCAATTCATTAACAAGATATTTCTCTTTTAAGTTTAAGCTTGAAAAGAGTAATGCTGCATTATTAAAATGTCATGCGCTGTTCTACTACCCAAGTGGATAACAGATTACTTTGGTTAGATTTTGGCGATAGCATTGAAATAGTAAGTATTTAATTTTTATAATTAACAATAACTTAAACCTGTGAGATAAAATTAAAATAAATACTGTTTTTAAATATTGATTTATTTAACCATTAACTTCAAGAAGTACAAATTACTGAGCTCTAACATAAATTAAAATTGATTGAAGTATATTGTTTTATAGAGAATGCAGGAATTATTTAATAATAACCCTATCACAATTTTAGATAAACTAATGTTAAAAATTGAATGACATTTTTTTGTTCGTCAATACAATTATCTTATTCTTAAATACCATAATTAAGCATAAGTATTGTTTTACGTTTAATTGAAATCATTTTGGTGACAAAATAATTTTATTATATTATAAATGTTAAAATGTTATATATTAATTTTTTATTGTATTATCAATATATTCCAAATAATAAAATAAAATTGTCTTCCAAATTGTTTTAATATATTACACAACTAATATTTATTTTGATTTTATTTTAGGAATTGGACTTGGAATGTAGTCCAAAACCATTAGTGTTCATTTTACATAACTTTCTATCAGCCAAAATCCATCGGCTTGGTTTGTATGCATGAATATGTTATCAATTTATCATGCTATCTGAATAAGGTAAAAATTTAACTTGTATTATAGTTAATTGATGATTTACAAAAACAAAACAATAATGTATGATATACATTGCATTTATTGACCCTAAACTTTAAGCTCAATACAATATCTTGTTAATGGGTTGACGGAAACCAAAAATACCAAAAAAAAAACAATTATTTTAACTACCATATATTCCATTTATTTAAAGCATTTTTAATACTTTGCCATTTGAAAATCAAAAGTAGGTTATCGTTTCATCCCCAAAAATAAAGGTGGTGAAAAAAAGATAATGTAACATTTTAGAACTATTATTTCTTAAGTTTTCAAAATGAAAAACAAATTCAGAAAAACTTAATACTTTCTGAGATAATGAGTGTACACACTTAAATAGATCATCTGGTACTTTTATAAAGTGTTAAAAGAAAAAAATTACTTTCCTCGATAAATGGTTTAATGAAGTATATTTATTTTCAAAACCTTAAGTTATTAATATGAATTATTTTTAATATTTTATCTAACATACTCTTGTATTAAGGTAGTATATTATTTACAATTAATGAAAAAAACAATTTTTAAAATAATAAACAAGTACAAATATTGGTGTAAGATTTGTAGATTTATTTGAATATAATTACATCAGATCAAAATACATTCTGACATAGAAAGTAGTTCGCACTACAGCCACAGAACGAACACTGGCCAGCTAACTACTGCGATAGTCGACCGGTTAGGTTGAACGATTACCCCAACGCGATAACAAAAACCGTTCGCGTCACATATATATATATATATATATATCATAAATATCATAATTGGCATGTAATTTTCCTTCAACTAACCTTCCAATTCAACCAATTTTCCAGCTTGTTTGAGTGCTTTTACTGCCTCATCGTGGGTAGCTTGGCTCAAATCTACATTATTGACAGAGAGTATAGCATCACCAACATAAAGCTTTTCAGTTTGATCTGCAGCCATGCCTTTAAATATTTTAGATATAAGAATAGGCATTTTATTTTCACATCCACCTTTAATGGAAATGCCCAAGCCATTACTATCATTTTTTGTTAGGCGTATTATGCGTCTATCATCAGCTACAGAATCTGGTACATCAACACAATCAATATGACTTCCAGTAGAATCTGAAACATAAAAGTAGGATGAAATTTTCGAAAAGGAAAGTGATGAAGTACTAATTGGGTAGGGTTGATTTCTCTCTAAAACTTAGTCAATCCCACTTAAATCAAGTAATCACTAATTAAATAATTAGGCGCTCAACCCTCAAAATGTTTGCACAATTCGGAAAAGAATTTGCATTAAAAATAATAGAACTATAATTGTTTATTTTAATATTTACTCAAGGCATTTTTATATTAATTAAATCAACAACTATTTATTAATTATTTGTTAAATAAATTGAATTTCATAACTTTAGTTTTATAGCAAATAATAAATAAAAATATATTAGTAAAATTGGCATTCAAAATTTGTTTACCTAATGTATTATTATTTAATGATACATTGACGGGTGTACAATTTTCATAGGTTTCATCCAAACTAATGCATAGGTAATCATCTTCCAGAGTTACATATACTTTATACCATTGTCCACGCACATACGTTTCCAGAGCGCTGGACCGTCCATAACCAATTGTACTCATTCTACTGAGTTGATCAAAAAATGATGTTCAATTATTCTTATAATTAATAAAGACATTTTCGTGGATAAAACAATATTTGAGCACTAACATGGTATATTCACATTTCGTTTGTACGACCAAAAAAATAAAATAAAAATAAAACACGGCCAATTAGTTAGATAGACATAATGGTAGCTGCCTGTTGGACTTATAAATTATGGTTCTTAATGTGTGTAATTAAAACAATATTTCACGAATTGTATTTTGACTGTTGAAAACTTTCACAATAATTAGCCTGAATAATATATGTACAAGGTGTTAGGTTTAGGTGGGATAATGTAGTGATATACATTATACACACAGGCATGAATAGGGTTAACCGCTATCTACACGACTATACGTCAAGTCATAACTGATAAACCGAATCAACCTCCAACCATGATTATCTTCATTCAACTTTTTTGTCGTGATCATGATTCGTGATACACTGACACACTGTATGCCGTACGGGATTTATACTACTACACACAATTGAACGACTGATACCGGCTATTAAATATTTTAGGTTTTATTTTAATGTTCTGTTATTGAAGTTCTGTAATCAATAATATTTGAAAGTTGAAACATGAACAAATACATTATCTATTACCCATATTACCTATTCGTGGTTTGAATATCCATTAACAATTTTAATATATGATTAATGTATTTTATTAAGGTTTTATAACTTGTATGAAATAATTTATGCTGTCCCATCATGACAGTGAATTTAAATGTGTCGCACAAAGTGTTTCAAGCATTACTTAATGTCGATATGCAAGAACTATGCAAATTATCGGCAAAAGATATTCGTCCAATATTACCGTGTTTGGTCAGGATGAGTTTAATATCATCTGCGGATAATATGGCAGACTATGCTGATGGGAAAAAAGACATACTGACCTTGTTATCTGGAATAGAACTGGTCAATTCAATTGTGGCATTATTGTCAATTGATTTTCATTCATTAGAGATAGATGTTAAAAAAGAACAATTATTGAGGTAAAAGTATACAATTTTAAATAATATATTGTATGTTGTAATATATTATGTATATTATTTTTAGACAAAAACTAGGTAGTACTCAAGCTGACAGTGTTCTTATACATTCATTACAAAACCCATTATCTCTAGAATTTGAAAGAAGCGACTCTACTAGGCGGTTGAGACTTGTATTAAGTGAAATACTATATATTTCTTCACAGGTGTTGTAGTATAAATATTTACAAATATGGAATAGGTATGATGGTTTGGTTTGTGTTTTTAGATTCAAGAACACCGTGAAAAACAACATGGTGTACAAACTTCAATAAATTCAGAATTTTATATCAAACAATCGGATTTATTTGATTACCCAGTATATATTCCAGAAGTTTGTGATGTATTAAATATTGCTCTTTCTGAATTGCCAGCAATACTAACCGTTCAAGATATTGCAGAAGTATTGCTTCATGTAAAACATGGTCCAATTTTTATTTGTTGGGTTGTAGCTAATTTTCCTGATTGTTTTTATGATGGTCAGAAGTACAATATTTTTATTTTTCTCGTATATATATATGTTTGTGTTTAATACATTTTATTTTACAATATTTTTAGTTTGTACTAGTTTAATACAAAATTCTGAACGATATGAAGAAGAAAACGGTGGTAGTCGCATTCGGATGTATGTTTTGACACAATTATGTGCAATGTATCCACCTGCTGCTCTTGTAGTTCGTGCTAAATGTGTAAGAAAATATTCAATCAACTTATTAACAATTACGTAACTTTTAGTAATAAAATATACTTATATAATTATTATTAAATAGGTAGAACTTAGTAAAATGCCAGCACTGACTATCATGTTAACATTAGAAAATAAAATATCTGACTTTTCATATCTGAGTAATGCTCAAAACTCAAGTAATAATGATCTTGTAACATTTGTTTCTGGTTTATTACTTGGAAATGATCAACAAGCCAGAAGCTGGTTTTCTCTTTTCATACGACAAAAGGTATATATTAACCTAACCCTACAAATAAATAATACCTAATATTTTATTTTATAATAAAAATTATTTTATTTAGAGACTTAAAGATTCTGTAAATATAGCTGTTCAAAATATGCGTGATGAATTATTATTACAATTACAAAACTTATTGAAAAATGTTAAAGACAATACATTACCTAATTCAAGTGTTGTGCAAGCTAGTGTATTACTCAGACTTTATTGTGCATTAAAAGGAATTGCCGGTATTAAGTATGTAAATTATTAGTTTATGTAATATATTTTTATAACTGAATCAATAGGTGTCCAATGAGTATCAGGTTGTGAGAGAACAATTTACCTATAACTAATTGGATGGTTTCTTTGGGTGGAAATTTGGAGTTAAGTTTTGTAAGAGGACGTGTTAAATAAGCTCAATATATAGCATTTTGTAAAATATTTTACACTATTGTTAATAGTAATATTATTTGATAGATTCCAAGAAGAAGAAATCACCTCTCTTGTATGCTTAGCCACTTGTTATCCACCATCAACGCCAGAAGGTGTTAGGTTTGTGACAATCTCATTGTGTATTATGATTTGTTGTAACACTCTACTTGTGAATCCAGAAAATGAAGCCAAATGTGTGCAATGGTTAAAGAGATTAGCAGGAAGTGAATCTCCTTTCTTTGGAAAGTAATATAATATTATTTTCATTTATATATAACAAGTTTTCTAGATTAATAAATATGTATTTTTTTTTTTTTTTGTATGTGCACTTAGGCCAACTGATACAACCGCTAGTTTTGGAGAAATGTTACTCTTAATGGCCATACATTTCCATAGTAGTCAATTATCTTGGATCTGTGATCATATGTGTAATACATTAGGTATGAGAATAAACATCAGACAGAACACAATGGGTAAAATGAAACAAATTTTTACTCAAGATGTATTTCCAGAACAAGTAAACTAGTAATGAAGAAAATCTTTCATAATTTTTTACGTTATCTGTTTTTAATATTAGGTTGTAGCTTCAAGAAGTGTTAACATACCAGTTACACCAAATTTAAATGCCAACATGTCTGGGTTTTTACCAATTCATTGTGTTTTGCAATTACTAAAAAGTCAAGCTTTTACTAAACACAGAGTTAACATTAAAACATGGATTTATAAGTATGTGTGCTGAATATAAATGTATTATTTTGAAATAAAAGTCAATGATAGAATAATTTAAATTTACAGTCAAATTTGTGCAAGTGTTTCTCCTTTACATCCATTATTACCCTCTTTAATTGAAGCCTATGTTACTTCTATATTAGTAGTACCCAATAAAACATCACAAGAATCAACTGTCAATCAACCGATTACAGAAGAAGAAATTTTAAAGGTCTTTGGTGATAAAGTTTTGGACCAATCTGGAAATGAATCTTTTACTGCCCATCTTCTATTATTGTATTATTTACTTTTATATGAAGAAACTAGTATGTCTTTGGCTTCTCAACCTAACAAATTACAGATAGTTGGCCTATTGAGGTACAAAACTGAATTTTTAGCTGATATTCCCATTAGATACATAATTCAACAAGCTGAAAAAGAACACCCTTATTCGAGTTTGTTTTCTACTTTATTAAGACTTTTGGCCACACATTTCCCGCATTTATCATTAGTTGAAGATTGGATGGAAGATACAACTTCAGAAAGTCAATTTGTATCACAGCATAAAGCCAAAAACATTACAGCAGAAATCATAGAAACAGGTATAGTCAAATTTTTTATTTTTCATGGTAAGTTTGTTATCTTTATTAAATTAATAATTGTTTAGGCTTAAATATGATGGTTGAATATCCTGAGAGAGCTGGCCTTGTGTTGAAAAGATTATGTGCCGAGCGTCCAATAAAAATTTGGCCACTTGCGCCTACTCTATTAAAATTCTTACCAAACACTTTAGATTCTAATGTTTCAAGATATATTCAAGGTAAAATATTATACAATTTTATAAATAATAATGTTAATGGTTTGTTTTTTTTAGAGCTTTATAAAAAGGTATGGTTAAGACTTAATACAGTTTTGCCTCGTAGTTTATGGGCCCTCACTATTAAAGCCTTACAACATTATAATGGAGCAAGTGCTTTGAAGGAAGAGAATTTAATGCAAGACCCTTTACAAGTATTACAATGTGATTCCAGGGTTTACAGGTAAAAAATAAATTACATTTTATGTTTAACTGTGTTTAATATTATTCTATATATTTATACTAACATAATTTATTTAGGTGTCCAACAGTTTTGAGTATTGTAATTCGAGTATTACAATCTTCTTTAGCAGCATCAAGAAGTCACTTGTCACGTTTAGTAAATCAAAAATTAGTTATGTCTGGACAATTAACTCAAACTAATAATCGAGAAGAATATAAAAATGTGTTAACAGCTGCACAAGATAGTGCTGCTGTACAACTTTTGTTAGAAGCTTGTCTGGAAACTGAAGATGATAGAGTATGTTTAATACATACATATTTATAATATACTTTATTTATTGTTAAGGTACTCAGATATAATTTTGCAAATATTATGAAAGCAATTATAATTTTTAAATATAGTATTTATATACACAGTTTTTAAAATATTTGGAACTAATAATATTTAGTACCTATTAGTACTTTACTATTGCATACATATAGTTTGATAACTTTGAATAATATTACATTTCCATTATATCTAACTGAATGTATCAGCTATTCATTTTTAAATTATGTGTGTGCTTTCTTCAGCTTATGTATTTCAGGTTTATATTTGAGAATTCATTTAAATGTATATAGTAGATAGTTATGAAAATACTGTTACTATTTTTTATGTATAAATACTGAATTAAAATATATTATATATATAGATAGTTTTAGATTATTCTACTCTAAATGTATTAATCATTTTTTTTACAATATAGAAATCATTTTCTAATATGATGACATTAAGAGAAATACGAGGTGTTGTCTGTTCCTTTTTACATCAAATGTTTATTGCTGATCCCCCACTTGCAAAATTAGTACATTTTCAGGTAGTTTTAAAATGATTATTCATAAATATTTTTATCTTTATATATGACATTACTAATTTATATATACTTTTGTTCTCAGGGTTATCCTAGAGAGTTATTATCGGTTACATGTGTTGGAATTCCATCAATGCACATTTGCCTTGATTTTATTGCAGAACTTCTTAGTCAACCAGACTTCCAGAAACAAATATTTGCTATCGATCTTATTTCAAATATTTCCCAACAATATCCATTACCAAAATCTTTGAGTTTGGCACGTTTAGCCATTAACACAATGTATACTTTCTTGTCAGGTAATAAAAAAATATATTAATAATTCAGTGTTACTGAAAGTATCACTTAATACTCTGTATAAACTTATTTAGCTATTTATATTAATTAACCAAGTTCAGTTGACAAAATAATTAAGTGAATATATTTGTTTATATTCTTGAGTAATTATTTAAAAAAATATATTTTTTATTGTAGTTTTAACACAAGAAGATCGTCGTGAACTCTACATGCCTACACTCCCAGCCTTGATTCGGATATGTCAGGTATTCCCTACTCTTAGTGAAGATTGTATAACATTCTTAAATCAGTTGGGTCGTATGTGTGTATCAGTTACTTCTGTAAGATCAGACATATTTTTATTACCAGCTGCTGCTCAAAAAAGTGAAGAAATGGAGGGACCAAAATTAAGAATGCGACGGGTTCCTAAACCTGATATTTTTGATGAACGTACAGATATTGCTGTTGCAAATAAGTTATTTGCTCAACAGGTTGAATTAACTGTTAAAGAAATATTACAAAATTGTTTGGAAAATAATGCAAGTGCTTGAATATTATAGTAAGTTTAACTATTTTTTTTAAATTTGTTTGTAATGATTTAAAAAGTAATTTATACTATATTTTACTATGATTGAATACACTAAAACTGTTAAGAATACATAACCATTTGCCCATATATCATTCTTAATTCTAATACACATTATACATTTTGTATTATTTTGTATGTTTAATAATAAATAACAAAGAACATGTATCTTATATAAAATTTGTATTCATTATTTTAATTAAATACTATTTGTATACCTCTATCTGATCATATTTTAAATTAAGCCCCAATGAATAATCATTTGTTATAATTGTTATATTTAATTTTCAAAACTTTTTTTTTTAATAATAATAATAAAAAGTTTATTTTGTAACATTAAACATTTTACATTCAATATATATTAATATACAACATTACAGCACCTCCAATAAGAAAAGCTTGTATACAACTTATTTTACAAATTGTGTACTTACATCATTCAACAAAACTTGCCAAAAAAAAGAAAAAGAAATAGATTGTATTTAACAAAAACAATACACTTTTTAAACCAATTAATAAGTAAAAATTAATTACTAGAAATACTTGACCTATTCAACATTATAATTTATTTTAAATATATTTTTTTAAATTTTACAATCTGTATATAAATAATTATAATTTAATAGCAGAGCTACTTATTTTAATTTACAATTGTATTGTTTATAATAGGTTTAAAGCAACATAAAATTATATTAATCATTTGTATAATAATATTTTTTTTATTTTTTTCATATGGCGTTTTTGTGAAAAAAAACATACATAAACTATTTTGGGGGGGGGGTAGGGTGCTGTATTTTCCCGTGGTCTCCCCTGTCTAATAGTGTTGGTTAGTACTTAAAAATCATAGTGTTCATGCCTCAAGATAATTTCAGAATGTTATCAACACGAAGCCAAACAGTACAAACTAGGCTGAATGTCGAAAGACCTCTTGGTCTTTTTAGTGAAAACGGACCTTTCCGGGGCTACCCATCAGACAGTCGTACTCAACACGTGACATAGTTATTCCCGAAAATAAAAAAAATATGAAAATTCAAAGAAAAGACAAACAAATTTTGATAATCAAACACTAAAATAGTAGTACCGCGAGAAATCATCATAAAAGGAGAAGATGCCCAGAGTTATTTAGGAATCATGCTAGATAGAACACTGACCTTAAAACAACACATAGAGGGGGTAAAAAACAAGTTAAAAACTAGAAACATTATTATCAGTAAGTTAGCCGGAACTAACTGGGAGTGTAGAACAAATATACTCAACACTTCTGCTTTAGAATTAGTGTATTACTATACACTATTATATATATATATATATATAATATGGTGCGTATCAAATGTTGTATCTTTCCTGAAAAGAAATTGTTTATAGTTGGTTTATAATGATGTCATTTTTTGATTTTCCGTGGGGTTTTCAAAATAATTGGGTAAGACCTTAAAAATTATAGGTAAAACGGAGAATATTGATAACACGCCATGTCATTACCAATTTTCTCGTTTTTAATTTTTGAAATTTATGTTTTCTACCAGAAATATTGCTCAAATCGTAAAATGACAAGAGTTTGATTTTGTTTTTTTCATTATATAACCATTTGATATGAAAGTCGTTTTTTGATATCTAAAGTATTTTCATAATAATTGGGAAAAACTAAAAAATACGATTTTATTATTTAAAATTATTACAATCAATGTTTTCTTCCATAAATATTGCTTATAATAGAAAAATTACAGAGACCTTTTTTAATAATTTTTTTATTTATTGTTCATGAGTAAATAATTCTTATTTTATATTTTTCGATAGTTATTGTAATATAATTGAGAAAAACCGGATAATGACAACTGATACATTTAAGGTAATATTTCAATATTTAAAATATTTACGCTTTCAGTTTTTTGTCAGTGATATTACTTTGATAAAAAACAATAAAAGGTCTTTTTTTTGGAATTTTTATCTAGTTGTCGATCGAGAAAGTCGTTTTTTCATTTTCTTTGTAGTTTTTTTTTTCATTTGAGCAAAACCAAAAAATACGTAGAAAGAACGGGAAATTTTACGAAAATAATTTTTTATAATTTTAAATTTTCTTTTTTAACGTAATTTTTATTTAGTAGGTAGGTACTCTGTGGATATAATTATTAGAATAAACAAAAATGCTTGAACATTTTACAGGAGATTCATTATAAGTCATACTTAGTGAAAAGAACAATTTAGATGTATTTTTTTTTTATTTTTTATAAGTTTTAAAATAATAATTTAATGAAAATCGTAAATATTACGGCCTTTTAAAACATGTATAACCGAACTTTGATCCAAATCGTTTTTCGTTAGCAATGGTTCATCGTTGGTTACAGGTAGAGAGCCTAATTAAGCCGATATATTAAATTCTCGAATTGCCTCCCAAATTCAGGTAGGTAACCATTTTAAACAAAATTCAGGATAGGCAATTGCGTCTATCTAGTTACAGGTATAAATTAAATATTTCACTTTCACAAATACAACAGTGGCCACCATGGCGCCATATAAGTTACTACCATAGATATAGTTGTATAATATATCTATTGGTAATACCATAGACATATACCCATATCTCTATGGGTAGTACCTATATTGTATTAAATTATATATTATAGTAAATCTCTTGGAGAAATTAATAATTGCTAATTTTTCTTTCATATTCGGGGTAGTTTTTTCCTACTCAATTATCAAACTTGTATTCTCTCTCAATGCGTACCTAGTACATTTACTTAATATGCCTATACTTTAGAAAGAACTCGCAATCAAATTAGTTTATTAACCTCACCATGCAGCAGATCAGGTTAATAATTGGGTGTAATTGTAAATGACAATACCAGAAGGTTAATTATACTCTACACCCCAAGTCGACAACTTTTATAATCCACGATTAGCGTAGCCATGCTTACTAAATTATTTATTGTAATCATATTTTTAATTCCACTGTAACACAATGCTATATTAATACTTGTAGTTGATTTGTTAATTAAAAATTCTCATACTAAGAAAAAAATGCTAAAGAATTGCAAATTAACAATGACGTAGAACAAGGGTTTTTAACCTTTTTTGATGCCGGGCCAAATGTGAGATACTCTTTAACATTGCAGCCCATATTTTCAGAGGAATAGAGAGGAAGGTTATGAAATTGAAGGGTAGATACAAATATATAAGATTTATTTAGATTTTGGAAAAATGTATGTTCATTTTTTTATTTGTATAATTCAATATTTGTTTTATTGTAATACAAGTAAGTTATTTAATGAGATATTTTAAATTTCTTGTCTTTTAAAACTTGATAGTTTGCATCAAACTTTGTTGTCCCAATCAACAGCGTCACTTGTAAATGTTCGTCACTTAAGTTGGCTTTATATAAAGATTGACGAATTTAATTTTTAAAACTTCTTTTCACTTAAGTAGGTGGATCTAAATATTGGAATCATTTCACGTGCACATTTTTGCAGATTTGGAAAAGATTCTCCTAAGGAAAAATGATGTAAAATTGTTGGAGTCTAGTTTCCTTGAAATAGTTTTTGAAATGGTTATGTTAGGTTATTATAGGTGATATAAGCTCGATAACTTCAAGTTAAAGCTCCATTGATAAAGTTTTTATTTCATGGCAAAGTTTTCAAAAATTCGAATGAGGTCTTCTGCACTTTCGAAATCTCTAAAGCGGATCCGAAACTGCTCTATCAAATAGACGAGAACTTTGACAACAAAATCAACAGGAAATTCTTCATAATTTTCAAGTTTGAATTTATTGCAAGTTGGAAAATGAACAAGATTAGATAGATAAAGTGATTTTTCGATTAACAATTGCCACAGTAAAAACGATAACACAATTGACGCGGGTTTTACTATTTTTAGTTATTAAAAACAGCTAACGAAAAACCATTTATTAATTTTTCTTCTTTTTTAAATAGGAAATACTATTGATAAATCCGTAATATTGCCAAAACATCAGTAAACTTGGCGTGCCGGTTCAAAAAGTTTGACGAGCCATTAGTTGGAGACCCCTTGATGGAGTAAAACAATTCAGTTGGAACTCTCTAGTAATTATTTAATCCTTAGCTGCACTTAAATAGTCGGGTGGCGATCTTATTGACCTCCATCAAAAATAAAACATAGATTTTAAAAAAATGTAAGTAATAATAATATAATATGGTTTTGTATTTATTTTAATTTTGTTCTTATCCATATTTAAAATACACCATATAGTAACCCATTATGTCTTTGAATTTAAAGAAATTAAATTTTCTATACATCTTACAAATGAGGTCTAATATATCCCAACGTGACTATGAAATAAAATAAAAGGCAGCACGTGCGCCTTATTAAGGATTAATAATTCTACAAACATAATGCAGGGTTATCAGTGTTTATTAAATTTCAAAAACGAATATAAATATTTTCCATTGTATCAATATTGATCTTAGAGTAAAATTGAGTTTTCAGTATAACGAAAAGGATAAATATTAATGGACCAAAAGCGTAATTTCTACACCTATATATTTTTAATTTTTAATATTTGAATATTAAATACTTATACTATTACATTTGATTGTAATATTGCGAATTGAGAAAATTAATTGAAAATTAACCCTGATTTGATATGTATAACCACATAGAGTAGTATTTTATTTTGTGTGCTCTGTGTGGAATTTATAAATATGCGACCAAGTTTCCAAAAACAGTTTTTATCACTTTTGAACAAGTGCCATTCACCAAGTTCTAAATAGTAAATACAATTACTCAATAATTTTATCCAGTACAATTTAAAAAATATTTGTTGAATATAAAACCAAATAATAAATAATAACTTTACACTTAAACATTTAGACAAAGAAATAAGTAACTAAACAGTTATTATTATTATTAGTTATATTAAAAAGATTTCAATAAAAAAAACTGTAATTATAATTATTAAAAATCAATATACATAATACATATACATTTATACACAACTATTACAATAAAAGTATATCATAATACCATTTTATTATGAATCACTTTTTTTTTTATCTTCATTATCACTGGAAGTGTCACTTTCATTACTAGTGTCTTTAGTATTTTTTTTTTTTGATATTTGAATTTTTTCCTTTAAAGCCTTTTTTCTCTTCAATCTCTTCAATCTTTTTTTGGCTGTGCGTTCTTCTGCCATTTGTTTGTTTTCTAATATTTTTTGACGATATGCTTCTTCCAAAAGTTCCTATATGAAAAAAAAACCATACAATAAAATATGATGTCTACAGTTTAAAACTTAATAATATTATATTTTGTTTCTTGTCATTTTTATTTTTTTGTATGATAGTATTTAATATGTATATGCACATTGTACAAATGTATTAAGAAATAATATGTTAATTATATATTTTATACCTATAAATATTGTTGAGTAAAATAAATGAATAATTTATCTTATTCTTGATAATCCCCCAAAAAAAGTTTGGTTAAACATGTTTTGAAATACTGTGATTTTTGTTAAAATTTTAACTTAACACTTATAAAAAAACAACTAGGCTAAACAATCTTATCTATATCAAACCAAATAAAAACTGAAAAATCAAAAATATCAAATAGATACCTACACAATTTAACCACGTCTATGAAAGGCTCATATAAGTATTCTGAGAAAATATCATATATCTATGATTACTTACTAATAATTTTTAAACTAAAACAAAAAAATAAAATCGAAAATTATGAAACCATTTATACCAACAACTTTTTTGTTTCTTCCTGATTATTCTTGATATTTTGAGCAAGATTTGATGGAACAATAAAATTAAAAATAATGAAATTTTTCTGTTTTTCCTAATTATTATGAAAACTGCAAGGAAAATACAAACATGATCTCAATATGCGGACTAAACCAAAAATGATACAAAAATGTTTTCTAGTTATTTTTGGATTAGAGTAAGATATATGGTACAAAAGTTGTTCATAGACATAAAAAAAATATATTGCACTCATAGTAAAACCAATACTTTTCTCACTTTGATCTAATTGAACAAAAGTATAATAATCAACTCGGATTATCACAATGGTACTGTATTAAATAAATAGAGATTTTTTAGATAAAATATCTTACTTTGTCGGCTTTTAGTTGTATATGTTTTTGCCTAGCATATTCTTTGCGTCTTAAGTGCCGATAAACATGAAATTCACCACTGCCAGCTCCTGCACTTGATCCCATTACATTCCTTACAAATTCCGGAACATGGGGTGTTTTTTTGTCAGACCGTGGTTCAGGAATATAGACAGGTTTATCCTATAAATTATTATCAGAATGATGAAAATAATATTTATTTATTTGTTAATTTAAACACTACAACAAGCAGTTTTGTAAATGATGATCTTAAAGTTGACTAGAACTGTGTGGGACGGATGACAGCAGCGGGGTAACTTAAATGTAAGGGAAAAAGTGGAAAGGACTCATGCTAAGCCGCAATGAATAGACACAAAGCACAGTGGGGGAGATTATTAAACCCATAAGAGGTGTGTTGTTGAAGCAAGAGAAACAGGGAATAGGTCCTGGTGGAGTAGGATGGGACCTGAAAAGATATGGTTGACAATAGATCTGGAGCCTCGATGGCACCATCAAAAAGAGAAGACACAAAAAAGACATTAACCTTAATATGGAGAGAATGAAAGATAAGTACTTATGTCAATATTCTTAGTGGAATTAGTTAAGTCTGTATCTAATTAAATTAGATTAATACTAAAATGGTATTTTGATTATTAAATAATTTTTATAAATTCATTATTTAAAATACAAAAGGGTGGTTCCATATATATATATAAAAATAAAAAAATATATATTATTTAGGTACTATTATACACACAATAAAGAAAACAAATATTTCTTTAATTTTCATTATATAAATATATAATATTAATTAATTTTTGGTTCAATATTTAAAATCACAATTTAAAACTTACTGGATTTTTCATAAGTCTATCAAGTTTCAAACGTTGTAAATCTGTAGCATTTTTTACTAATTTTTTTACTTCGTTCGTCTTAGACTTTTCATCTTCAATAGCTTCAGTCATTTTTTTAAGCAGTACTGGAAATTGAAAACAATGTGAAAACTTATACAATTAAAAATCTACTTTAACATTAAAATCCCTAATAAAACATTAATTTAAACTAGGTAACGAATCGTATAGATTACATAAATTATGTTTTTTTTAATTATTACGGTTTTGTCAATTATCTATTACTTGTTATCACTATTATAAATACTATCATGAAGAATATAAAAGGAGACCAAAACCAAACAGGCAAACTCGTACGTTTTGAAATGAGTTGCACAATTAAACGACCACAGATTGCGCTGCGTATTCTAGAGTTGCTACTTTAACACTTTAACCCTTGTAGTATAGCGATTATTCTTGTTTTTTGGGAAAATATATGCATTATTTCGAACTATATGGCCTATCATAAATTATATAGCTCGTAAAATTACTCATTCATACATGACGTGTAGTTAACCTAACCTGACTTATAACCGAAACCACGCCGTACCGGTTATCACTTATTTAAACACGATGTTACAACAATGTTTCAAATTTAAAATTAGTATATAAATCATAAAACTACTTACTACGCAGAATTCGTAAAAATTCACAATCATATTTGGAAGGGTCACATAGATAATATAAGATTTATTTATCTTATTTGTCTATAGTGATTACACACCTCCCCCTTCCACTAGTTGCGCACTACGGTAAACTGAGGCGATTTATTATTTATCACACATTTGGATAAAACCCTTCACTTTAAGAAACTTAGGGTAACACTATACCCATCCCTCGTATTATCTTAATTATTCCAATGAACGGCGGGAAATCGTTATCTGCTATTCTGCTCTATTTTCAAAAACATTTATTTTTGTGAATTGCCGATCGTATCGTTCAACAACTTTGAAATTAAATAATAAATTACTATTACCATTACTAATTAACTACTATGAAGAATAATCATTTTTTTTCAGTTTTTAAATGACAACAATGTTATATATGAATTACAATTTCAAAAATTTGTTCTACTAAACTTTAACTCAGTAAATAGTGTTGACGTACTGAGTAGGTTTTGTAGGTAGTTTTTGATGGTAAATATTTTAATAGTAATATTGTTTCCATAGAGCACAGGTTTACATTAATTAATGATCTAAAAAATAAACATTTTCATTAAACAGACGATCAATATCTAAGTTAATAGATGTTCTTTGAAAACAAATATTACAAATATATACTTCACGAACATTAATTTCATCATATTCTTTTAAAAAATTGCATAGTAGTTCTTAAGTAGGCACCTAATGTTTCTAATATTTACATTTGAACACGTAAAAGAACCGTGAATTTAGCGATAACAATATTGTATCAGCGACCGGCTGTCCTACTCGACAGTTGGCCAAGTTGGCAACAGACAAAGTAGAAAATAACTGTTCATAAAACGCACTGTTCATGTAGTCGGGTGGTTCAAGCAACGTCAATGGCAATAACGCAATCTTAGAACTCTTTCATACGAAGCCACCAGAGCAGTGCTACCTAAAAAATGTATCGCCACTATAGATGTTTCCAGAAACGCTACTGTGTTTCAATGTAGGTTATTACTAGTGGTGGGCAACGATATAATTTTGGGTAACGATATCGTATTGAAAATATCGAAAATATTTAAAACTATTTCAAATATTACTGTTAGGTATTTTAAATATAAATAAATATAAATATTTAATTAATAATTATCATTTTTTAATTCAAATATTATCTAAAATAACACCACTATCATTAATTTTAAATCTAAATTTTTTCCAAATATCACTCCCAGCACCAGATATAGGTGCCAATTTTAATTCACTTATCACTAAAAATAAAATAATAAGTTATTTATTTTAATACAGCGAATGATAGGGCGTAGGTAATATACAAAAAATAACGAACGTTTATATAATTATGTCAAACGACATCATACTGACGACACAATTTACATTGTGGATCAAATTATCCAATGGTACTAATAGGTTCAAATATCAAAGTATTTTATCAGTGAGAAAAATATAATATTGAATACAACAATATAGGCAAACTGAAAAAATACGTATTTTTGAACTGTAAGAAACTACATAATACCTAACTACATAATACTACCTAAGAATATTATAACGTTATTGGCCGACAGATATTATTAATTAATATTTATTATAGCTACAAATAATTCCCGATGTAGGATATAATATCGATATCGATATCGTATCGAATTATTGATATTGTTGCCCATCATTAGTTATTACACACCATACCCCATAGGTAAACCTAAATTTAAGATTTAATTAATTTCCAAAAAGGCAGTCGAAAAGCTAACATATTGTGTAGCATATCTGTACAGTTGTGTTGTACGTAAACGAAAAAAAAAGTAGAAAGTTTTGGGTACATCCGTCATCCACTACTGTCTGAATACTCGCTACAAGCATAGTTCCATATAGCCATAGATTAATTATATAAATTTAATCTATGATATAATTGACCGATTTTTAATTTCTATAATAAACTTTTCCGAGTCGAAGTGGCTATCCACGTTAAAGAATATTGACAAAGTAATCAAAAAACAACACACGCCACTAGCAGTGATTCGAATGAAAGGAATGTGTGTTTTTACATTATAATAATATAAATTTAAAAGGAAGCGCTTCTATTTTAAATCTACATGAAGTCATGCAGATGGGGATTTAACAATTTGGTGCCCCTATACTAAATTAAATTTACCGTCCCTATCCTAAGAAAAATAACTTATATATAATAAAATATCCATATACATAAATATATTTATTTTCTCAGTAATATGCAAACACTTTTTCATTTAAGTAAAGTTAAAAAAAAAAGTTTTCATTTCAAAATAATATTTGCTAGGTATTTAATTTTTAAAAGTTAAAATAAACAAGAAAAACATAGGTTTATTAATAATATAAGTGATTTTAATGCTAACCATTCATAGTTATTGTTTACATAAGTTTTTTTCTAAATTTCATTCTTGAAAAATCGTCAATGATATCTTTATAATCTAATGATGTTGTTAAGTCATTTTCTATTGTTAATATAGCCAAGGAATTCAATCTTTCTTGCAACATAGTTGATCTTAAATAATTCTTCATTATTTTTGAGACCGAAAACGAACGTTCGGCAGTACGTAGTATTGAGAAGAATATTCGAAGGGCAATTTCAATATTTAGATAAATATCTTTCATATTACGATCATATTTTATTTGCTGGTTGGTTTAATTTCTTTTCGTTGAAACATGTAATTTGATCAGAACGAAAATGTAAAAGTTCATATATATAATCATTTTTTTCTAAATCGGATTTGTAAATACAGCATAGTTCATTTACTTTAACCGTTATTTCATAATCTTTATAATTCATATAGTTTAGTAAGAAAATCAAATGGCTTACAGAATGTTTCATAAGCTTTTCGTTTATTACTCAATTCGGTAGCCAATCTGTCAAGTATAACATAGAATTTATTAATTCTAAAATTATCTTTCACTGATATTTCTACTTGTCTATTTCGAGTTTTATCATGGTGCACTATTTTTTTTCTTTTTATAGAATTTTCAGATTGATACGTTTTGTTTTTTACTTAACTTAATGATTTTTCTACGTATTCATCAAATGCCTCTCGCTATGAATTCACTAGATGAATAAATGAATCATATAACTAGAGGACTGTACACACATCAATGTTAACATTATATAATTTTTTTTCATACAATATTTAACCTATGAAGTAAAAAACTCCACACTACAGCCATTAATGTCACTTCCAGTTTCTCGAGTTGTATTCTAAATCTACGAGCTTCACATTTTGTTTCTGATTTTTTGGTTTTATCTAACTCGATTGTATTAACAACTTGTTTTATTTCATCCCATGATTTATTCAAGCTGACATAAAATTAATAATAAAATAAGCTATAATAAAGCTTAAATATTGTCGTCATTGACGAGTTCATGTTATAAATAGATATAATTTTGCTAAAAATAAACGAATACAAAATTCATATATACCGATCAACATTTTGAAATCGTAGAGTTAAAAAAAAAATTGTTATTGTAAAACATTAAAACAAAATAAATATTTAACACAATTTTACCGCCCTCCAAAACTTGCGGCCGCATAATTCGTAATGCCTTAAATCCGCCATTACTGACATGAGTACAGTAAGAACACAATTAATACCAGTTTGGCTGATTAGGCAACATGCCTTATCTATTAATTTTATTGTCATTATTTTGTAATCAATCTTAAAGTGTATTAATTATATTTTTATGAACTCTTTGAAAACAGAGCCTGGTTTTCTCGCATATTTTCGCGTTTGCGTTTACTTACGAATTAAGATTTATCTTGCATATATATATATTTATAAACGTCTATAATACGCTTATCTATTTTATCCATAATATTATGGTCTATGATTATATATGATTGTATATCATGTACTGTTTTTTGATAAGCTAATGTTGATAACTTAAATTTTTCACGTGGGTACTGTGCAATATTTAACTTTTACAAACAGTAACAATTTGGATCTTGTCTTATTAGGCACTTCTCATTATTTATCTATGAATGTCTTCGATTTTAAATTGAGTACAACATCCATTAACTAATATATGATTCTATTCTATTGTATACAATATTATAATTTGCATTTAAAAAATTATAATGACATCTATCACAGTTGAACTTACAAAAGTAGAAGGTGGAAATATTGTAAGACATCCACCGTTGTTTTCAATTAATGGAAGGTTAGTAAACACATTATTGAAGTAAAAGTTATGCTACTTATTCCGGTTGAGATATTACTCTTGAGGTAAAAAAAAAAATCAAAGTATCGAAAAACCATCCATATATTTTCCATTCCCTTTGTCTTATTAACGATCTAGTCATATTTTTATTTTCTAATTTACTCAAAAATATCCTTGATTTTAACACTAATGTCATTAAAAAGTTTTAAAAAATTTAAAAATCGAAATTATACTTATAGAAATCTTCTGCAGAATTTTATGTTACTATTAAGTTTACTTTTGATTCTCGAGAGTCAAATAGCGTTTGTGAATAATACAATTTTTCCAAGTCTATGAACACGCACTTCTATGTAAACCAGTCATAGATGGGAAAATCAAAAATTTAACTGTGGGACATTAGTTCAACAGGGCGTATGGAAAGTATATGTATTTGGCATTTTTTGATAATTTGACTTTTTTTTTATTATCTTTCAGTTTTATTGTAAAACAATTTAAATCAAATTTATTATTGATTGAATATTGAAATTGGGTTTGATTTATACATTTTTACTATTAATATTTTAGTTTATTATATATAAGAAAGTATAACAATAGTAATTCATTATAGGTATTTGAAGCTATAAAATATGACTGTTTATTAAATTTTTTTTTTTAATATTAACTATAGATTCATCTATGTGGGCTGTGGATCAGATATTAATTGTTTTAGTGTTGACTCTGGAAAGTTAGTTGCCAATTATATTGGTGATGGCAATTTTGGCCAAATTGTTAACTTATGTTTTCACCCCTCTGATGATAAAGTGTTAATTGCTATTCATTTGAATGGTGTTATAGTTTTTTGGAAATTGATTGGAACCCAAGCCGCCAAAATTTTGAAACATCAAGTAATATTATTTAAGTTTATTATTGGTAGTTAAAATTGTTTATGTATATATTTGTCTATAGGAATTGGATTTAAAAAAATGTCATATAATAAATGGAAAATGCTTAGCAAAACAACATTGTTCTTATAATGTAGATTGTATTTTTGTTTCATATAAATTACAAGCAACTGATAATGACGATATTATTATTGGTTTATTTTCATTAGAAAATGGGACAGTCTTACACAAATTTAATGAAATGTAATTTTTTAAATAATTTTACATATATATTTTATGTTACTATTCTTACTTATTTATAAAATATCATTTAGATTTGAAAATTTGCCACATATTTGGTCATTTGGAGGTTTTGAAGAAGTTCCCTATTTTGCAGCTGCTAATAAAAATATTATACATATTTATGATTTATTAAATTATAAAAAAAATAAGTATGTTTTTTAAAATATTTTAATGAATTTGTATTTAAATAATTGTAAATGTAAAATTGTTTTAATAGAATAAGATTGGGATCTGATAGAACAGTAACTGTTGTTCAATGTCATCCTAATTGTAATATTTTATCAATTGGAGATAATACAGGAAGAATTGTATTATATTACAATGTAATGCATAAAAGTACAAGATCTCAAACAGTTTATCATTGGCATACTCTTCCTGTGAATGACGTTGTATTTACAAATAGCGGTAAGACCTTCAAAATTTGCCTTACAATGTTTAGTAATATAATTTTGTTTATTTTAGGTAATCATTTTTATAGTGGTGGTGGGGAAAATGTATTGGTAAAATGGTTTGTTGAAAATATAGAAACTAGACATTTTTTACCTAGACTGCCAGCCAACATTCTTCATATATCTGTTACAGAAGATAATCAATATATAGCTGTTTCTACACAAGATAATGGTAAAATATTGATATAAATGTAATAGATGATGCTTGTAATCTTTTAACAGTGTTTATGAAAATTTAAGCCAAATTGATTTCAATTATTTTAAAATTATTTATGTATATTGTTTAAAAATTATCATCTCTATTCTGTGTTTAAATACCTTAGTCTTGTATTAATTCGAATAGACATGATTTGTATTAAAATTTTTATTGGCATATAAGTAAAATTTTGATAGAGACAGTTTTTTGAACATTTATTAATTGAATAGTATCCAAGATGGTGTTTTATCTGAATGGGGTAAAAGGAAGTGTGATATGTTTTGAGAAGACCAGAAAAGTAAAATGTGTAGACCATGAATAAAATTAGAAACAAAAATGATTGGTAATGTTTACAGTATGTAGATAATTGCTGGTCTGTGATGAAAGAATCATTCTGATATTAATTTTGTAATAAAAATATATTAAATATTAATGTATATTAGTTATAATTATTTAATATGTAATTCTTTTAGGGATATTAATAGTGAACTCTCAAAACCGGATACATTCTACCATACAGAAATTTACTTGGGGAGTGCATGCATCGACAGTAAATATTCATCAATTAATATTTATACAATTGTATTATAAAAATATTTATTAATTATAGGAAAAAGAATTTGAAAAAGGTTTTCCAGCAGGTGTTGCATTTGATAGTCGTTCAAGATCTCTTGTAACAAATGGGTGGCCTGGGCATATTCAGTTTTTTTCTCTTGACCAATCACAATTATCGTTCAATGTTAGTTTCACAATTTTTTTGTGGTTATTAGGAAAAATTAATCAAATTTGGGTATATTTTTAGCTGGATATCGTTTGTCAAAATTATATAACTCAAACAAGGGATCAAAGTGCTTTTAATGCTGATGTTTGTTTACTTGCAATAAGTGATGATAGTACATGGTTAGCAACTGTTGAACGAAGACCAACTGATGAAAATTTTATTGCTGATGATGTTCTTAAATTCTGGTCTTTTAATGAAAAATTACAAAGGTAAGCATTTTCATTTTAATTTGTAATTTAGATTAATAAGTAAAATAATTTCATTTTTTAGCTACTCGCTGAATACATACACAAGTTCTGTAGATAGAATTACAAAAGTACTTTTTCGTCCATCAGTTGATTCTGATGGTTTGCATATGGCTGCTACGTTGCATGAAGATGTTTTTAAACTATGGTCTCCATATAATTTATCGGAAAATATTAAAAGTAAATACTATGAATTTACTTTGTATGCTATGAGAGACATCAGGTGCCTATGACATAATAATCGATAATATACAGTGGAGACCGTTTATAAATTATAAGATCCTTGGATATAATGTTTAGTCGCTTAGAAGTTTCAAAATTGCTTGGAACATTCCGGATTTATTCAAATATTTTTAAAAAAAGTCAGTTATAAGATTCAAATTAAGCAAAAAAAAAAAATAGTAGAAAGTGTTCACTTTTGAGGAAATTTTAAAAAGTTTTTTATGTTGTAGTGATTTCAATTTACATCTTATCAAAATTATTGTTAATTTAGTGTAAGATACAAATACACTCCCGATTAACTAGCCCAGTTACTGGATCATAATTGATATTGTTTTAGTCGTAGTAAAATCATTTGTCATTTGAGTTTCAACATGCCATAATTTCAACTAACAACACATTGTTTAATAAATAATATTTAATATGTAAAACTCAAATATTAAATAATACCTAATATGCAATATGTTAAAGTAAAAATGTAGTTAATGAAAGTAACAAAATAAAGTTTCTTTCCCCGCTTCGCCTACAAGGTTCATTCAGTTATAAAATTCACTTTGGGACCAGTGCAAAGGGAATCTTATAAGCGGCATCCACTATTATTATAGTTGACAATAATGTCAGTTATGTTATTGTTGTTTTATGTTAACATGAAAACCTGTGTCATTTATTACGTCTATTCTCGTTCTCAGGGAAAATCTTATAACTCATTGGTAAATTTTGGGAAAAATAATTTTTTTAGCTTGTTTGTAATCCATTCATTATTAAATAATGAAAAATTTTAATTATCAACAAAACATTAATTCTGGATCTTAAGGGTTAGATATAAATACTGAAACTTTGTATTTCACTAAGTTATTGATGAATTTATAATTTGTAATATTTAGGTCCAATTAAATCTTGGCAACATGAGTATACAAGTAAGCATTTTCATAATCAACCATTAAATGCGATTAGTTTTTCTGAAGATGGTTGTATATTGGCTGCAGCTTTTGGTCCCAGTATAATTCTAAAAGTTTTAGACGATTCAGATGATTTCAAAACTAGTCTAACTCACGGATTTGATCATATTAGGTAAATCTATTTAATTTAATATTTTAAGTCTTAAATAATGACAAAAAAAATTATATATTTCCATTGCCCAAAATACTTAATATTTTACTAGGGTTGCAGGGTTCTCAACCGAGGTTATATGGGCTCAGTGTAGAAGTGACATAAATCCTCGGAAAAAAGATTAAAATAAAAAAAGGAGAATTTTTACTTTTTCAAACAATATCTTATCTTTGCTATCACCGTCATATATTAGCTACAAAAACTGTTGAAATTTGTTGAAATAACATAATTATCCTTCCAATCACTTTTCAAATATACCGCAGCTGCTATTAAATTTATTTACACTAAACGGGCAAACCACAAATTTCTTATCTTTAAACTATTTCTGTTTAATATTTTTATTTTTTTTTTCGTTAATAACTTCATAGTTTTCTTTTTAAAATCTACAGTTAAAATTACTTAAAACTTATTATTTGAACGCATTATGCATATTTTGATGGTAGGGTATCAAGTATTAAACTATCATGGATAAGGGTGACATGAATCAATAAAGATTGAGAACCATTGCTATAGTGGGATAATTACAAACTCTTTACAAGCATATTAATTATTATTTCAATTAATTATTAATGTTTAGACTACTGCAGTTTGGTAAAAACACAAGCAGCTGGATGCTTGTAGCTGCATCAAGTATGAGACTTTTAATATGGAATGTACTTAGTGAGACGTTACTTACAACTATTTGGGTTCAAGTTGAAAGATTAATTGCTGATCCAATGTCAGAGTTTATGGCAGTTTTCACTCCTAATAATGATGGTAAGTACTTCCATATAATATTATAATATTTGGTATCAAGTTTCAAATAATAATAATTTATTTTTAGTATTTGTATTCACTCCTAATGATAAAAATATAATCTATAAAAAGGAAAATATTTTTGGAAAAAATAATAAAAATACTTCTATATTGTGGGCAATATTTGCCCCAAATTTAGACTGTCATAATGGGCAAAGTTCATCTTGGTTAGATAATTCTACACTTTATATGTTGACCAACCAACAAGTAATAATTTGTATTATACATTTTAGAATTAATAAATTTATTAATGGTTTTTAAAAATATTAGGAACTTATAAAATTTAATAAGACTGACACTCTCCAGAATATGATTGAAGCATTTGTAGATAACAGTTTTACCAATTTAACACCACTTGGGCGTATTATATCAAATAATGAAATTTGCCATAATACCCAAACCATCAAAAAATTGCCAGAATTTGAAACATTCATTGATGAAGATAAATCAGCTTTTGAGGTAATCTATATTTCTTTTTAATTTGTATAATTTAATAATTTTTATCTTTTTATAGATACTTGAGGAACCAGCATATCTGATGTTTCCACTGGAGTCACAACTTGAACGTATTTTACTTGCATGCTTAAAAACATGAGTAAGTTGTATCAAGCAAATGTACATTTTATTCTAAAAAATCAATTTCATTTTAATGAAGAAATAGTTATTTTATTAAAATAAACTGTGTTAAAAGTTGTATTATTCCCATTAATAATTTGAGTCCTATATAATATATATATGTATATATGTAATCAGATTTATTAATTTTAATTTGTAAGTTAATTAGCTGTTAAATTTGGTATTTTGACGTTGCGCATACGTAAGATAAAATAGTAGATTATTTCCAAAAAGCTTAGAATACTTGCTCCAACAAATAATGCAACTGAACCTCCTAATGAAACTGTAAAAATGATTTAACATGGATGTTAATTTTAAAATTATATGATATAAAAACATTTACCTAAAACATCTAATCGTCCTCTAACAACATTACGCTTAAGTCGTTCTTCTGGTAGTCGATACATCATTAGTTTTATTATTGATTCATTTTCATTTGCTCTACAAAATGAAAAACTATATTTGTATTGAATTATATTACAATAAAAAACAGTAGCTTACAAATTAAATGTTTCCGTTGTCATAACATCTATTTCAGCTTCAATACAGGAGACTAAACATTCACATTCTAATCCAGGTTGCTTACTTTTTTTATTTTTTAACACTGATAGTTCAGTATAATGTGCATTTAAACATATAAGTCCATTTATGTCACAATGTTCTGATATTTCTATATAGATATACTTATTGTTAAATTAATGGTATTTTTTATGGTTATAGGAATACATACTACTATTAGGCATTAAATGAGAAGTACAATTACACATCTTCAACTGTTTTTGACGCCGACAGTTAACTATACAAGAACTATAACTGTATTTTGAGCTAACATCTAGATAATTTTCCCAAGGGAATCTGCATCTAAATTGTGTACAAATGTATTTACAAATATATATATATATATGTATTCAAACAATTATGAAGTTTTATCGAATTATGATACATAATTGTATTTTTTTATAAAATAAAAATAGTATTAAACTTTAAATTAATTTTTTTTTTATGAATTTATTCTAATAAATATTTATTTAAATAATCAAATATCACTCATGAAACCAAATTTTGTGGTTAGGAAATGTAATTGAGTGTAAAAGTAGAAACTGAATCATTAAGGCTGCTGTGGAATGAAGACCATGAACGATGAACATGAGAGAGTTAGAGTTAGAGTTGAGTTGGAGAACAATTTTAAAGTGCCTGAGTACAAAAGTAGAAGAAGGTAGTTCTGAACCATGATGTATAGAAATAACTGTTAGGGAGTTCTAAGTGCCAGAAAAGAACAAGAAAAGAAAACAAATTTCATGATTTTATGTAAAAATAGGTAAATATATTATCTTACCTGCGCTGTGCAATACTAACAAATTGTACTTCATCTTCATTTGCAATGTCTTTAATAACGAACTGAAATTGTTTAAATTGTTTTACGAAGGTTTGTATAGTGTTACTAATCATTGTATTATAGAATGGCACATCTACTGCTGAATGAATATAAACCTGCGTACATAATAAAATTATTTCAAAATATCATAAACAAATGATTATTCCAACAGTTTTTATACAGTTTTAAGATTTAATAAATATACTAATAAAATATATACCTAGTACATATTATTATAATAGGTACCTATATTGTTATCTAATGGGCAATGTATGTATATACCTAACAGATAGATCTAATTTTAATACAATAATTCAATATGTTTCAAGAATATGATATTTTTCATACCTAATAACATAATGAGTAATGAGTATGTAATTAGGTATTTGTTAAAATTACCTGATTAGCTGATGATAACTTTATTAATAAATTGCTAGGACCTGTTTCTCGAGTAGAATACATGTTGATAAAATCATCAGAATCCGGACTGACAAAATGTTGGAGATTTGAAAACATAAAATTTAATATAAATATTTGAATTATGTAACACATACTATTATAAGGGCCATAGGTGCAACTAAGGGATGCTAGATGGTCTTTAGCACCCCCATTAAGTTTAAAATTAACACCTTCTAAAATACCCAATAAGCTGTTTTGTAGTATAGAATAAATATTTTATCCATGTATTTCATAATTAATAAGCAAAATAAAATACAAATTGCCTACTGAAAATGCATATGTGTTTAAAAAGTAATGATACATTTTTATATACAAATTGTAAATAATATGTGTATAGTCGCTTATTATAAGTATTGTGTGAAGGGGATTGTGGGGGTATTGCCTCTATGAATGTGATGTGTCTATAGTTTTAGCACCCCCAAAATTGGTGGTCTAGTTGCGCTAGTGATAAGGGTTATGAAGTATGTAATTACTAACGATTCATTAGCCATTGTCAGTGTATAACAAATTCCAAGTTCGGTTTCTGTTGGAACAAAATGCTTACAACAGTCAAAACTTCGAACTTCGTTCCAAATACAATTTAAAAATATTTCTTCACAAGGATTTCTCATCTAAATAAATGTAATATTAAACGTATAATTATAATATAGATAAGTAAACCCACTAATGACATTATTTGTACAGTTTAAATAAAAGTAAAAAAATGTACTATATATTTAAAAAATAATTTTAACTCACTGACATTACTAATTCTTTATAATTATTAGTCGGGCAATCGTAAACTCCAGTCATACAAAATTCATTTATAAAGTAAGTTGTGCCTTTGAAGTATGCAATTTCTTTTATAATTTCGTCATAATTGTAATCTCTTGCACTTCCATTCATCAAGCTATATACTCAACAATAAATCGGTATTATTATTTATTAAATAATATATTTATATTTTACATAGGTTCAACAAAATTACTTGTGATTTTGATTATTGCCTTAGGTACTTAACCTAACTATATTAAATATTTACAAATAAATTGAATTTACTTATTTGCTAATTTCTGGACATTAGCGATATTGTTTATTTCACATACACTAACTGCTGGAAAAGTTGTTTGAAATTCTAATGATGTAGTTTCAACTACAAAACTAATAGCATTTGTTTGAAACGCTTCCCAAGAATTCATCATTAACAGGGTAGATCCATACCAACTCAAAATACAGCAAATAGTCCAAAATATTCTTAAGAAATTTTCAATGTGTTTATTACTATTCATATTCTAATAATTACCTATGTACCTAGTTATTAATTGCATACCTTTCTGTCCAATGACGTTTTGTATTACTCACATAATGGAGACCATGTATGGTAGATTGATTCGCAAATTCTTTAAATATTTCAATTCTTTTGGTAAACATTTTAGCAGCACCTATAAATTTTTTCAGTAATAAAATGTATACAATAAATACAAACATTACCTATCTAGAAACTTTATAATGGGTATATATTCAATATATTACAACCATCATATTTTAGGAACTCGGAAAGAAAAAATATCTCTGATCTTTATTAAATATGTATTGCTCACACTACAATAATAACAGTAATTTAAATGGAAAAATATTTAATTGACGAATCCCATGCTAAAAATATAATATTATTACATAGGTACCTATATGTGTGGTGCTAAATCACATGGCATGTGCATAATATTGTGTTATTTATTATGTATAAGTAGGTAACTATCTATGTTGTATAATTATAGGTACCTAGTTATAGTTATGATGTGGTATTGCGATTAGGTATCCATATAATTATTCTTCATTGGGGCTTTATGAAATTACAATTGGAAATAGCGATACCAACATTTTTTTACTAATACTAATAATGATATAGTATCTAATACGATATAGAACCTAGTGTACAATACAGATTTATAATTTGACTAGAAGTAACAAATATGAATTCTCTGTGTTATTAGTTTAAGGTTTGCCTGCGTCAAAATTTTAATTTGTGAATGCAATATCGAAGTAACCACAAAGGGGAGTAGCCCTCCGCAAATAAAATCCTAGATTCACCAATGTAAATTGCATTATTATATCAGTGAGAGATATTATTATTGTTATTACTCACCACGCTGTGTAAGTATATGAAATCTTTTAAAACTACCCAATTTGTGAAATAACTCTCGTGCATTTATGAATTTAATATAATTTAAATCTCAATAAATTGGCAGATACCAAGACACCTAGTTAACGTTCTGCGAATTCTATAGGTATTTCTATTTAATGTAACATAGAAATTAAAATGTGCACTTCTATTTAAAATCTATCAGTGACCCAACATAGAAAGCTCACATATTTGCGTATAATGTACCCAGTAAATAATAAATACACATCTTTATAAAACGTATACTATAAATGTACCATCATGTACATAGGGACGGATTGGGATTTCAGACTGACCTAGGAAAATTAATAATATGTAGCAAACCACTAGCAGGCCTTTATTCGAGGGGTAAGAGTACCTTGTTGCGGAGGGGCCATTTGTTTAGTCCATTAGGGGGCGGTACATTTTTATTTACATATAGGGAGGAATTATGTATATATATGTAATATTATATCTTAAAAAAACGTCAACCGAAATAACCCATGCAATTATTATTTTTATATATTTTAGACTCTGAGTGAAGCGAAGAAGCTTATGGTTTTACAAAAATGTTTATTTTTTTTTCTTTAGACAATTTTTGTACCAGAGATCTTGCTCCGATTTTTAAGTGAAGCACTTTTTCTGAAAGGAAATTGGTGTGGGGAGGTACTTTAAGAAGGAAATTTTTTGATTTTCCCAGAATTTTTCTCAACAAACGTGTAAAACCAAAAAAAAAAAAATCTTGTACTGAGTAGACAAAGTTAATAGTCTTCGTGTCCTCTTAGTAATTTATACCGAAGTACCGATGATCCATTTAAGTGGGTACTCTCATTATCTCAGTAATTAATGCAATTTTTAAATTGTCATTTGAAAATCAAAAGTAGGTAAACGTTTCACACCAAAAAAATAAGTGCGACAAAAATAATGGAAATATAACATTCTAAAAATGCTTATTTCTTAAATTTAAAAAAAAAATATGTACGTAAAATGTATATATATATATATTTAAAAAAAGTTAATACTTTCTGAGATAATGTGTGTATCCATTTAAATAGATCACCTGGTATAGGTATTATGATTTAGGAGCTGTCAGAGAGTATAAACATACCAATTAAGCAAATACAGATTTTTATATTGTTATTGAGGTTGGTAGTAAATATTATTTACTAAATAAAATGCATACAAAACGTGATAAACTATATTCAACATTGTATAATATAGTATTATATTAGTTATATAGATGTACTTACAACCTACGTACATGACGTGTCTGTTGTATACTTTCTCTTAGTTGTATAGGTATATTTTGAATCGAACGATTTATAATTAACTATCTCGTTATGGAGTAACGTTGTGTTTAAAGAAAAACGTTTTTTTCCTTTTAATAAATTTATATTACTATCGAACTGATAGTTAAAACAGTAATATAAATAATATAGATATACATGGAATATGGAATCTAAAATTGTAAATATTGTATTACAAAAACCTACGCGACCTTGTGTAATATAATAATCATCTACAATATAATGGTTAAACAAAAAAATTAAATTATTGATGGTTTTTTCCCGGAGGCACAGGAATTATGTTTTTTTTTTATTTTGCCTATAACACCTATTCAAATATAACTAGCTATAAGAATAGATACGTTAGATCAATATAAGTAGGTAATACAATTATAGTAAGTTTTATGTATACGCGTGCATCCACGCAAGAACTACTGGACGAATTTTATTCAGCCTTTCAGTACTTACTTTGCAGTTAGTCGTAATCTAATTATAATGAGCGACATAGCACAATTACATTATTCAAAACATAAATTGGAGAGATCGGGTTAAAATTAGAATTTAAACTCAAATAACACAATATAAAGACGAGGATATTTTCGAAGGAAGTACGTTAGTACAAAACATGACAGACTTAAATTTAAAAGTATCACGAGAAATATTAAAGAAATTTAAAGCAGTGGAGACTAAATTAGCAAGTTTCAGAGCTCTAACAAAACAAGTGTCATTCGCTGTTTTAAACTTGAAATAAGGGATAGTTAAAGATTTTGGTTTTGAGAAAAAAACCTCAGACGGTCAATTTCGAAATCTTAAATCCGAAACTTACAAAAATGGTAGCTAAGAATATTCCCTATTGCATGATATGGGCCTGAAATCCGCACGACGCGGCTAAAATTATTAGCCTAACCGCGCGGCTAAGGTCGTGGTTTAGTTAATTCGAAAGCGATTTTTCCCAAATCGATATCACTTTATAGCCCACTTTCTTACCTACGACTTGAAGTTAATACAGAAAGTCCAGTCTTGAACAAAAAAATGTACAGTACAATAATAATATACATTTTAACATAATTAAAACTAAATAATAATCAGAATCATTAGTTGTCTATTTTAATATTTAATTTGGTCGAATTTATTCAAAAGCTAGTCTATCTCGTTCTGATTCACATTGAATAAAGATAAGCTAAATAAAAGTTAAAAAAAATGAAACTACGTAACTGAATTATAATTAAAGATGTTAAATTAATATTATAACAGCTAATAACTAGCCTTTTAATACCTATTACCTAATTTGTATTAATTAATAAAAGCATAACACGATGTATTTTAAAATGAAATAATAACATGTAAAGTTATAAATAGGGTGAATAGGAATTATAATGCAAATTGCATTTTTCTGAATGTCCTAAAGCAAATGCTTTTTAATCATAAAATTCATTTTATGTACCAAATAATTAAAATATGAACATTTTCATTTTTAGAACTTTTTTTATTTTTAGAGCAGTTTTTGACATTTAAAGTACATTATTAGGTTTTCAAGGCATTTTTTCTTCTTATTACAAGCTTCATAGTGTTATCGGAAAATCTAAAAAAATGTATTTTGATAAAGAAAAAATGTTTCTATTTCTATTTTTAAAATGGATTAGGTATAGATTTATTGATTGTACCAGATGCATACGATGTTAGTTGCAATAAAGAAAACGATAAACTATTTATCGAGTTGTAATGTAGTCGTATTGTACTATTTGCACTGTTGTGTTTAGTAAATGTGTATACCTACCTAAAAAAAATCGTTTTTTCAACGTTTAAAATTATTTTTAGAGCATTTTTTTAAGGCATTTTTAATCTTTTTTTTTATTAAGGTGCATTAAATTGTCTTTTTTAAGGCATTTTTCTTAGAGCATTTATTTTAACAATTTTCTAAATTTTGAAGTGTAATAAAAAAAACGATATTTTCGATGTGGTAATAACACCTTTGGTTTTTTAAATGAGAAATTAATGTCTTGATGCAAATTGTAAATCAAATGAGTTTTCTGAAAATGTTGACGTATTGTAATCAAAATTTGAAAGAAAAGTTTCCAAATTATTCGACTTTAAATTTCAAAAGATAATAACCACACAATTCTAAACAAGAAATTACCTATACATGGCTTCTATAAATCAGTCAGTATCTAATCCCTGTAAAAGACTATTAGTATTTTAAGCAGAATGGCTCAAAATTTTTTCGTTCAAATTTCGATTACAATACATCAAGATTTTCAGAAAAATCATGTGACTGATAATTTGCATCAAAACATGTAGGTTGTCACTTGAAAAACCAAAGTTGTTATCAGCACAGGTTACTCTTTAAATGTTGTAGTTCACTGCACTTAAAAATTAAAAAAATCAGAATTTGAGTTTGTGAATAGTTTGATCATTAAAATTAGGTGAGCGTGCTTAAAAAATCATTCTGTAAATTATATTATATCCTTATATCTGTATATTATCTTTGTAGTTAGACTATAGATTATATTTGAAAATGTATTTGAAAGTGAATTTAAATATTTTGGAAAGAATCAAATATAATTTTTCCTAAAATATTGAAAAAATTGCCTTCACGCAATTTCTAAAATACGGAAGGTAGCATGTACTCAATAATAAATTAAATATACTTATATAGCATACTTAATTTATGATAATATTAACACTTGTATTATTTATTGTTGTACGTCGATGAATAGGCAATATAACATTTGTATAAATATAATATTTTGTAAGCATGAAAATCGACGCGGCGTTATACAAAACTTAAAAATGCGTGTAAAATAATATGTGTTTAACATGAACCTAATAGTAATATTGTATAATGCGATAAATATTTGATTAAACGCCTTCGCATTATATAGGTACATAGAGATTATAAATTATGATTGAAAAAATTATAAACCGTATTCGTCAATGTTAGTATAAATAATAATTATACATTTATACTCAAGTATTGAATTATTTTAATTCTACGATGTTATATTGACCATCATACAATAATATTAATATGGTTTATCGCTCTATCATTAGGTAGATACCTATACAAAAGTACCAGAAGAAAAAAAAAAACGAAGGTAAATGAACAATAATTGTCAATGTTATAATATTTCTCGTACCATTACAAAAATGTGTGTACCTACTTTGTAATTGTTATACTTGATTTTTGATCGTATTATAGGTACATACAAATAGGTTCTTCTCGTTTTCACTATCACAAAGGGGCCGTCGAAAGGGGATGTGTAACCGACAATTTGTTAACAAAAAAAATAAAAATAATAATAACAAAATTCAGCTTTATCCTCAATTAGCCTCTCCACAATTTGACTGCCGCTGCGTTGTCGTAATAATATTATACTCTTGTAGCAGCTAATAGGTTGGTGTTAATTATCATCACCGTATAATATTATGCGTAGGTAATTATTACCTAATTATTTATATACCTGGTATTTAATTTAACATAATTATATTACAATAATAATTATTACCTATATGATGTTATTAATTATTAATATTGTCGAATAGACCAGATTTTTGTCCGGAAAATCGAAGAGTAAAATAATAGAAACGAACGAATAAAAACTAAACGACAGTCGTATTTAACAAGCCGTACCTAGGCCTAGCAGACCGGGGGATTTTCTTTAATTTGTTTCCCCATAATATTCAGAAGTGCGCTCTGGCGGATGACGTTGCAGTCGTCGACGCCGTCTTCCGCGGTCTTCAGCGCGGCCGGTCACCGTAGAGTAGGAGAACGCGTGCGTATCAAGTCCCGAGTCCCGGCACCGCGACAAATAGCCCGCCAGTTTACACCCGTGTGTTGCGACGCGCGCCAAAATATTCCGAGTGTTTAATTATAAACCGTAATCCCGCGGAACATAATATTATTACAGAATTTTTCGACCGCTCCGTGATCGCGATTCGTGCAGATCGAAATCATTTTTACAAATTCGTTATTTATACCGATTGTTGCCGATATTGTTTTTGTATTTTTGTATGTGAATTTCGATTGTTTTTTTTCCCCGACCAATATTCGTCCCGCGTGACAAGTGAAAAAGTATATCATAGAATATAATATACTATCATCTCGTCTATATTCAATAAATTAGGTATATAAGTTTGTCTTTTGCAGTACACAAATAATATTTACTAGATAGGTGAGTCCGATATATTATCATAATTTTTTCAGATACCTATTATACTATATTATTTTAAGCGCATTTTTTTTACCGCATAAATTAAGGTATAAGCACCCAGTAAAAAAATATAAAATACATAACATAGCGGTAAAAGTAAAAACTAAATAATTATTGTGCCTATACTACATGGATATGAATTAACTATAAAGTATTTTTATAATGAATGATAATTGATATATGGATCAGTGATATAAATGCTATTCTAAATATAACCAAATTGATTTATAAGGATAATTTATTTATAATTGCAATGCCTATAGAAATAAAACATCCTTCACAAACCAAAAAATAATAACGATAGCAGTGGAATGATGGATTACATACATGCCTACCTAAATAATATTATGAGTATTTGGATTTATTCAAAAACGAACGGCCAATTTTAGGCGAATTAGTGATTTGGATATAGTTTTGAATATTTTCTTGAATAAAAAAACGGGTACCATATATAGGCGATTCCGGATTAAGGGGGGCCAGGGAGGAGCAGGGGGCCACATCTTCCGGTCATGTGGAAATAAAGGGCCCGTTGTGACGTCATGTATACATGTAAAATGTTCATTTGACAATTTTCTAGTACTTAAACGTTAAAAAGTTCGGCCGCGGAATGTATTCATTTTTAAATATTAAGCATAAAATATATTATTAGGTATTCTTTTTCAAACAAATATTTGGTACTTAAGTACTTCATGAACAATATTTTTAATTAAAATTAATAATAATTATATAAATTATTGTACAAAAGATAAGCGAGTCATCTAGGTATAATATGATCACAGTGTGGCGAGTATTGAAGTCTTATTTGTGCGCATTTATTAAAAACCGAAACATTCACGAACAGTTAACTAAAACCTTTAAAACATTTAGTTTTAAGGTTTTACACATTAGTTTTTATGTAGGTAGGTAATTTAGGTATGCATATTAGTATTTAGGAATAGGGTAATAATTTATAGTTGGCAATGAAGTGTACGAATACTTATTCCCAATTATTCGTTTTTGTGTTCTCCGTTCATGTAAAATAATAATATCTATTATACAATTTATAGGTAGCGATATAATTTACCTATTTATCACGGTTTTGTTGTACGTCTATTTATATAATGTGCACACGCATAAACATAATATTATGAGTAAACATAAAAAAAAAAAATTCAAATTGTAATAGTTACGTAGACTTGAAACGGCGGACAACGCATTGGTTCCGAACAAAAAAAAAAAACACCAAAATTCCCGTGGGCAGTTTTCTGTAATTTATACGCGGCTCTGTACCGCGTATTACCTACCACGCGGGCGTCATCAGTCACACACGAAAATATCGGATTCAATTGTGCGCACCTCCGTACCTACTTAACTATATTTTTAGTACCTACCTACTAGCCTACCTAATAATAATAATAATAATAATAATAATAATAATAATACGTTATCGGGATGAAGTCATTTGTTCGACGTCGATTGCACCTAATACCTGTAACACCGCTGTGCGCGGTACGGGCGTGCGGCGCGCTGCCTTAATCGCCCACACGGTCGACACGGTCGTCGTTTGATATTACGAGTATTATTATTATTGTGTTGCATTATTATAATCGTCGAAAAATTCGTTACTCTTAGGTGTAAAGAGGTGTCATTTGGTCGGCGGCGGCGTAGGCATAATATTTGTATGCGTATCGTCGTCACCCGATCACTGTTGGTATAGAAATAATGTGTATGCGTCACATATTATAGGTATAATTATTGTTATAGTATTTGGCCCACTGCGAGCCGATTAGTATAAGGTGATTAGGTGGGAACAGGTTGATATACGTACCTACATAAAATCCGCGTATGGACGCTACATAATGTCAAAAAACACCCAATAAAATAGCACTTAAAAATATTAAATAAAACGAAAATAGTAAAAGGGTTTCTCCTCTAAAGGCTATAACTTATAAAACCAACCAACTTATAATTTTCTGACTTATTTTTTTCCTTATAATATGTATCATTTTATTTTTTTAAAAAAAAATTACTTTGTGTTAATCATTTTCGTCGTGTTAGACAATTGTATCTTGTAAGTAAGAGCCGTTAGAGGAGGAGTGGACTTTTAAACCCCCTCTATCATTTTTGCTTTTTTAAATATTTTTTTTCAAGAACCTTTTTGATGTTTTCATACACTTTTTATGGATTTTAAATGCATTTAAATCCGTTCCTTAGTGTTTAAGAAAATATATAAGTAAAAACCCAGAGGGGAAAAACTGTATTATAAATACCTGCCACATAATATATATATATATATATATATATAAGTATATTAAGCCAAAAATGAATAATATTTAAAAAATGAGACAAAATACCTAGTATACATTATGTATATAAAAGTGATAAACAAAAATAGGTATACGATATTAAATTATTATATTATATATAATACGCATTAGGTACGTTTCAAAAATATATATTTTTCAATAGGTCGCATTTTCTTTATATTCATAGTATTCATTTTCAGGGCAAGCATATCAGGCAAGGATCTAGTGTTTATTACAATTTTTAAATGCAAATATTTGTATCTATATAGTGGTGTATAGATTAGGCCAATAAATAATTAAAGTTTTGCGCCCCATCTTCCATGTCCTGAAACACATTTTTTTTATGTAATTGGAAAAAAAGTATATATATATATATATGTATATAAACTTATTTAATTATAAATCATGTTTTAAACAATTTATTTTAAGTAATCATAAATCTGGCTCTGACCCTTTCGTAAAGGATTCGCTTTTGGGCTGAAACTGTGCGTGTACTTTTATGTATGTATATTTGTTTGAAATTGAACATCTGAGCATGCGACACGTAAAGAAATTACATTTTCCATGCGATAATAATTAGTCATGAGAATTATGATCATTTTAGAATAGTTCTGTGGCGTAATAAAGTCATTTTTTAATGTTCATATGACTATATAAAATAAGACTATTTTTTTTTTTACTTATAATCCGATATTCTTGATTTTTGCAGTAATAATATAATATATTAGTTGATGGTCATTCAATTTTTCTCTGCATATATAAATGAAATGTCTTCTTCAATACTTTGATACCAGAAACCATTTCTAAAATTGATTATTGGGGTAAAATTTCTGATAAAAAGAAAAAGAAAAAAATACACGATATGCTAAGAATCTATTAAAAAATATATTTGGCCCAATGAGCTAATGAATTCGCATGCATTTCCCTCAAGGCCAAAATCGAAAAAAGACCTATCACTATTCGTTCAGTTGTTTATAAATGTATATTTTTACAATTATTCAATTACCAGCCGTTTAGTATAAATTGTGCGAACACGTTAGTTTTGAATTCTTTATTTTTTACGTCTATATAGTATGATTTATAATAATCGACGTGATTTTACTACAAATTGTATATTTTATCGTTTTTTCGGATTTGTTTTTTGGCACTTCCTCTCAAAGCTTCCGGTTTTTGTAACTATTTTGGCATGTGTGTCATGAGTACCTGTATATAAAAAATAATGTTATTTCATCGCAATACATTCAAAACAAAGCATTTTGTTTTCTATAAAAATGTTATGTTTTTTGTTAAAAATTGTTTTCCATTAATACGATTTTAATCATCGCTTAATAATATTGATAAACACTGTTGCGTTTATATTGATGCATCGTGCGTTCATGCATGATGTCAACGCATGCATAGAGCCTTGTATATAAATAGGTACTCCTACACTATATGTAGTGTGACTAATTTTACTGATTCGTTGTAAAATAACTAAATACTATTTTAATGAGTAATAATATTTATGTCGGTAATATTTGTATAAATTATTCGATATTTTTAAGTTCAAATATTTACTTTAAGTATTATTCAAGTAAGTAGTAAGTACGTATACCGTAGATTAAATATACTAAAAATGTAGGTATGTATGTATGTATGTAGGTATAATATGCTTATATTTAAACTTAAATAATTTCATATTAATTTTATTAGAAAACATAATGCATTTATTTATTGTTAATAATTTGAATTATATTATGTTGTACTTAACTGTGTGTTAACTTTATAAACAGGAATTTAGAATTTTTTTAGTCAAGAGTCTATTTAAATAATATTTTTTAATCACTTGTTTATCTATATTCTGAAGTTTACCTATTATAAAAACAATACCAGATACCAATTATTAAACCTGTTTAAACTTTTTAAAAGCTTGTATTGGTATTGATATTATAGATTTACTAAAAGGTCTAAAATGCCAGTATCCAAATAAAAATAATAATTTCTAAAATACTAAAAATTATGTTAAAATGTATAACATGTGTGCGTCTATCTGTAACGTGGGTGGTTAGATGAGAGAAATGAAGGGAATATACCCCTCATGATTTTTTTATCTTCAAATGTATAATATGTATTATAATTTTGATTATAAATTATTAAAGGTATTAATTATCTATGTATTTATATACAAAAATTCAAATATTGTAAATTGGTATAATAATTATTGTCAAAATTTGATATAAATTCAACCCTTTCTAAAATAAAATCATTTGATCGCAACTGATCTGTAATCTATATTTTACATAAATATTATAACATTAATATGATTCATCGGAATGGATGACGATAATATTACGTTTAGTCGTCTAAATAACATTACATGGCTATATTTTATAATATGTGTATTATAGCAGTATAGCATTATAATACAGTGTCTATGGAGTGTGGAAAAATACACATAGGTACTCATCGTTGCACGTCTACACGCTCAATAGTCTACACCGAACAGGGTAATATTGTTGGTCACGATTAGGTCAAATGTTAAGTATGGAGCTTCTTATCGAATACATCACTTGCTTACGGTTGGGTAGAAACCTGAAAAGTATCAAATTGATTTATTGTAACTTATATAATCAAGCCAACGATAATAAAATAATATATGCCTCTGAAATTGAATCCGTGTGTGTAAGAAATAGTTTTAGTGTAGGGAAAAATCATTTTGCTACTGAATATTTAATGTAAATAATTACTGATTATTAATTTATTAAATTTTAGTCGTAGGTATTGATATTACCACCATACGTTTTACAATTACTTATTTAAAAATAAAAAGTACCCACAAGAAATTTTAACTCTAACTAAAATAATATGTAAGTTAGGTTACGTTAAATCAAGCTACAATTTTTTACAATTTTTTTCAGGGTTTGCATAACTTTTTTATGCATTATCAGTTCATTGTCTTATGAATTAAAAAATATTAGTTTATTTATTTATTTTATTTTTATTAATTTAATACGGGCATAGTTTAAGTATATTTTAAAAACTTTAATGTGTTAGTCATTAGATCCTAAGAGGAGTGAGGTTAAACAGGTTTGGTTTAGCTGAGAGATGAAGATCCGACATATCGAAGCTGGATTTCTTAATTTATATTTCTGTATGAGGGCTTTTAGTATATAAGTTAAATAATTATTCTATAACCTTGTACCTACTTAATGAACTTCCCACTTACAACAGTGGTCTACCCATGGTGTGAAGTATGTCTGGATCTTTTTCTTTATATTAATAATTATATATCACTAATTTTTCTTTCTATTAGAGACACGGTTGTATTTGTTTACTGAGTTATATTCGGTTATTTTGTTTTTCGAACCATTATTATTATTGTTTATAATTCGACGGGGTTCATCGAGTTCTGACGTCTGAACGAATTTGATGTCTACGAAAAAAAGAATGTACTGAACACCCAACTGGGCGCACACATGTCAACAGCTGTAGTATCACACCTGTCTTCTTTTTAAATTTAATTTTAATAATAGATTATTCATTCAATAATGATACGACTAGCGTAAGTCTTATTAAGTATTATATTTTTCTTGTGAAATGTAATATATATATTCTAATTTCCAAGGTATTTGTATAAATAAGTAAACTATATGAGTGGCGGATTTGTAGGGAAGGGAGCCGTGCTAAATTCCAAAAAAAAAAAATTTTAAAAAAGAGAAAAGGTAGGTATTTTAGCTACTAAATAATAATACATTATATCCTTTTATAGTTACAGTTACTATATAATATAATATAATATTAGTTTACATGATTTACTGTTTAATTGAATATTCTCGTTACTTATATTTTTGTGTATTACGCCAGTGCCTAGTACCTACGTATGTTGTTTTCCGATTAGAAGTTTCAATTTAGGACTCGCGTGGTTTACTATTTCTTTGTCTAATTAAGATGATTTCTTATCAACTCTACTGCCCTACAACTTACTTCAATGCTTATTGGTGTTATTTAAGTTTACTACAGAAATTATGTTCGTGCAGATGACTAATATACAACTTTACATTTACTATTTATAATTTACTAACTGAATTACCCGGTGTTTCCTAGGTTCAACTTTATCCATATCACAGCCAATAGTTGAATTTCGAGATTAATAGTAAATAGTGATCTTCCTCTTGTTTTTAATCTCAATGCAAAGTTTTATCCAAATCGTAATAAAATTGTAGATTCGTATACAAATTTAAAAAGCCAATAGATACAAATCTAACTTTATTTTATGTATATTATAATTGGTATATGGACAAGTTTTCAATGCTGGATAATTTATATTATTACTTTTTGTATTTAACACGGGCAATGCGCGAGGGGCTGATGCCTTGGATACGCAACTGCTGGTATACACTGGTATAACAAATATAACAAATTTCAACTATATACTCGTATTTTATATTAAGCAGCTGACCGGTTATGCTTTGCTATTGCTACATACCCAAACTAAATAGGAAATAAAACATTTAGACTATTAACTTGTTATCTATGAGAATCGTTTTGCAAAAAAAACGAATGGTGGTAGAGGGCAGTTCTTTAAAAATAATTTTTCGAACAAATACCGTGATTATAGACCACAGATTAAGACGTATCCATGGTACAAAATTGTGTAGGTATACAGGGTTATCCATATAAGTGAGTACACTTATTATCTCGGAAATTATTAACATTATTCGGAATTTGTTTTCCAGAACATTTAAGAAACAAACAGCTCTACAGTTTTATATTTATGTTATTTTTTGTCAGCCTTATTTTTGTGAGTTAAATCACTAGGTACCTACTTTTACTCTACTACTCTCCTCCAACCCAAACTTAAAAGTTGAATATCTTGTCAACGGAAATCAAAAATGTTAACATTAAAATTTATTTTAAATAATACTCCATCTATTTATGAAATATTTAATATTGGTTGCAATTTGAAAATCAAAAGTAAGTGGTGGTTTTACCCCCGAAAATAAGGGTGACAAAAAATAACACAAATTTACTATCGTAGAGCAGTTTGTTTCTTAAATATTCCAAACAAATTTCCAGAAAAAGTTAATACTTTCTGAGATTATAAGTGTACCCATTTAAATGAATCAAAGGTACATAATATGTAATATATTGTGTATAAAAATGAAAAATATTTTCCCAAGCATTTTATCAAACTATGTGAATAAAAATAAAACTCGTAACACAAATGTATGTATAGTATACATTGTATATTGTTGAATTTTAAATTTTACCTAATTATTATTGTTTTAGATTCTAAGTGAAGCGAGGAATGTATTGGTCTTACACCAACTTTTTAAAACATGTATAACCGAATTCCGCTCAGGATTGTTTTTCGATTAATCGGTGCATATTGATGTACTATATACACAAAATTCACTTCTATATTCACCCATCGTGCGAAGTATGTTCGTAGTCCGTCTTTTTAAAATTTAAAATCGATTTGTGTAAGGAAATTATAAAACAATTATATAAATTATCGATTTTAATTTTTTCAATTCCAATATAAATTTTGAATATTATTTAAAAATGTTTTTGATTTTGATATTATTTTCGATTTTTATTGATTTATCCATGTTTAAAATCGAATTTGAAATCGATTTCAAACTCTGCTTTTAAATTCTTTTAAATGTAAGTATTATAGGTGTATTTTAGTGCTATATTTTTACTTTAGGATGTAATTTACTATAATAATATGTATATTTAAAAAAAATAAGTTAATAATTGTGTTATGTAATTATGTTTATGGTCCCTACCCCCAAAGTAAAACCCATAAAGCTATAACTGAACTATAATTGTAGATTATGAATATATTAACTATTTATTATGTTTCCAATTTTTAATACGAATTATATTTTTTTTATTGAAATTTGGTACTTTTTATTAGCGTTTTAGCTGTTAACTTCATGACTGATCGTGATGAATAAGTTGAATCACGTTTTAAATTTAAACCTTTGCGAAATGGACGTTAGCCAAATTGAGTACTTGGCCAAAATTACTAAACTGTATACCAAATAATCATGAATGAAATATAAGCTTATCTGGTATAGAAGTCCTGTATATTTTGAAATGTCAATTGAAACTAGAAGCCGTATATAGGTCACGATAATAAATGTTTACAATTCATTTATCGCTCTGGAAGTGTCGTGTTCTCAATAAAATCAATGACCTTAACGAATAAAGTATTTATTACGTTCCGTGTAAATCTAACCTATATATGTACGGAATTACTAAATTACCAATATTATTTTAATATTTAATTATTTAGTTATTATTTATGATTGTTGAACGCAAATGTAATATATACCTAATAACAGCGTACACTAAACAAATACAAAAAAAAAAAAATAATGTGTGCAATTTAAAACGTGGCCAATCGATTTTTAATAGTTTTGTTATTAAATTTTAAAGGTTTGTAAAAAAAAACTCTGTTAAACTAAGAAATAAAACTGAACATCCCATACATGGTCTTAGACATAATATTTTTTTGTAATTGGATGTGTGGGTAGTACACCTACGGTGGAGTATGTTTTAATGTAGAGTTATTATAACAAAGATATACAAGTCCGTAAAGACAAAAATATTACCATAATATATAAATTGCTAATGTTTAGATTACTTATTTTTATTATAATGGAAATGGAATATGTGGCGTAGCCGGAAATAATTTCGGAGAGGGAGGAGGATATAACCCTTAACCTCCTTCTACTTCCTTTCGGCTACACAACTGCATTTCGTAGTCATAATTTATCACAGTGTTTAACGAATAAATATAAGAAAATATTGTAATGAAATATTTCACTCACATGTTAATCAAAACATTATTAAAATACATTCGAGTTCTGGTGAATTATTAACTAATGATACGCAGGTAATTGAATTTTTACACGTTAATGTATATTTCAAAAGGTTCAAATCACAGAACAAAAATATACTCGCGAGCAGCAGAGCTCCGATACTATACATTCGAGTTTTCCTCCATCTATTCTATACACAGTAGCAACCGTTTGACATTCAAGAAAATTGTTAAAAAAAATCGTAATAATCAATTATAACCAAAATTCTAAAATAAAATTTAAAAACTTGATTATGTATATGTATTTATGTGTACATAATATTGTACAGTAATAGCAATAGAAATAGTATTACAACGAATGTGTTTTTTTTTATTACGAAATCGTGACTTCAAAACATAGAGAAAAAAATAAAATAAAAAGAAGTTGTATAATCAAAATTAAATACAGTTTAATAAAGTCATTATAAGTAACGTATTTTTCCAATATAACCAAAAATAACCTTCAAAACATTCGTATATAGCCATTATACAGATGTTATAATAATGTATACAAATTATTAGTACATATAATATAGGGGTTTTGTCTGATCGTTCATTTTTAAAGTCATTACACCCGATATGTCACTACAACCAGTATCATTATAAACGGTTTCTACTGTAATAGAATTATTTATGAAAAACAATAAATAATCGATTACTATAATACAATACTATATAGTATATACTATTTTCGATTATACTAATTCCAGAAAAAAAAAATGGTGAAATTTGATTATAAATATGGCAGGAGTGAGGATTGAAGGTTGAAACCACTAAAAGACAAATCTTTGATACTAACGCCATGCATACATAACATTTCATCACCTATCATCATAGTTATTTGAGGAATCTTTAAGGGTGTTTAAAGCCAAAAAAAAAATAGGCTCCATCTGAAACAACATGATTAAATAATTTAACCATTATTCATATAGAAATTCATCCCAAATTTTATCATTTCAATTCGGTTACAAAAAAATTCTAATTCCCGAGTTTGAGATAATTTGGTGCAGAAGGAGCCGCTAAAAATTTGAAAAAGTAACGGAAAAAATATATTATATAATGCAATAGTAATAGATGCAATAGTTTCTATTTTCGGGGAAAATTCGACAAAAAAAAAAAATATTAAACATTTCCTCCTCGTTGTCTTGTGGTTGTGATAATATAATAAATAGTCATAACCTTTGATTTGTGTCGGTGTCTATTTTTATTTATTTTGTCGATAACTACAATATATTATTATAATGATTTATATTACGATCACTGCAGTGGTGGTTATTTTACATATAGAGTGATAAAATAATCAAATAAAGAACGATAGGTACGTAATCCACTGGAAATCTACAACCGTATACACCCGATGATATATTATTATGAGAATGTGTATGTCGAGGTATTACCTATCGATTCTCGTGCGGATTTATGGAAAACGAACCTATTCGGTTTTCCGCCGCAGAGCAGTGATCACGACACATCCGTTACTTGTCACGCGCGTCGCCATTCTTTTTCTCCCCGTTACAAACCTGACCACGACGTCGATCGAACCTAATAATATATTATAAATTATAATATACGTATATTTCATTATTATTACGGCGATTATGATTATGCACGGCCTAACGTAGACGACAACGTGGTTCTTGTTCGAGACGACGACGACGGGTCCCTGTGCGCGGGTAGACCGCATAGGTACGACTGGTGGTGTGATTGGAGGGGGGGTTGTTTAAAAAAAGTCTTTACCACGGAGAGGGAATGATAACAATCGCCGTACATGGCCCGTGGGAATGAAATGTTGTGCACACCGTTTCTCCTGGTAAATATGGAAATATTGTACGCGCCGCGCTGTCGTCGCCTCGAACACACGTTTTCGCGAGATTCTGGCGGATATATTTTTCTCGATCGACTGCCGGCGATCTTTGTCACGTAAAACGTGTTTCACAAGCTATATAGTTACAAACGTTTTTATAATAATAATAATAATAATAATAATAATAATAATAATAGTAATAGTAATAATAATAGTAATAGTAATAATAATTTATAATGTAAACCTCTCAGTAGTCAGCAGTCTTAGCGCGAGTCGGGCGGCTGGGACCGCGGCTCGACTGTCGCGCTCGCGTCGCCGTCGTCGCTCGGACCGCTCGATTGTTTTATTTTTGTATTTAATGTGTTTCGCCAGTATCGGTGCTCGCTTATCTATACTTATTTGTCATTATAGATAAATAGGACCATGAACATTAAGAACGTACTATTTACTCGTCTATAAATTATTATCTTCGGTGAATTACACGACGCAAAACGATACATTATTAGTATTCATCTGTATTTATATTATATAATTATGTATAATAATAATATGTGTATCATAACAAAACAGATAGGTATACTATCAATTTTGTAATAGGTACGTAACATTCGAGACCGTCCCTTCCACAAAAATAAATTATTTGTTCTCCATTTTTGTGTTACTGTATTATTCTATCTATAATAATGGTATTCTATACGTCTGTACTGAACAAATTAATATTTTTCAACTAGAATTTTAAATATTTATTCGCATTATGACAAAACAGTAAGTAGAACAGATAAAACAAACGAATACTCGTTTTAATTGTGATAATTTAATCTGTAAATGTTGATTTTTTTCAAGTACATTTAAGGTTATTAGTTATATATTTTTATACATTTTTTAAGTACAAAATTAATGGATAAAGATATTAACTATGTTAACACAGTTGAAAAATCATAGTATAAAATGCATAGATACAAATGTATATAAATATATAGGTATATTATAATGTAAATTAAATTTGTTTAAATCTTATTAATAATAATGATATTTTAAATCTATGGTAGAAACACAAATAAGCGGGAAAATATAGACCAAACAAATCAGAACAACTTATACGTTACAGTTCTGGACGAAGAGCGGAAGTGCGCGTTTTCGTCTAAAATACGATTTGTTGATAGCATACCTATCTATTTTATTATGATGTATATTATATCGTGGATTTAAACCTAACCCACCTAGTATCTATAATAGGTATATTATTATTATTAGTATTAGGTATAATTTTACAAACTGTCATAATAAGTGATTTCTTGAATAAATATACATTCGGATACCTACAATAATATGATGATGACGCACGATTTTCGCTGTTTTTTTCGACCGTGCCAAGTGTGCCAGACCAGACCATTAAATTTATATTGATTGATGGATTATTATAATATAATAAATAATGCTATAGATATTATTTTACATGTATTACATAGTATTAAGTACATTACCAATAATTTGTTGTTGTACACAGAAATCATATTATTACCTGACCTATACTAAATAAGACATACCTAAGTGACGTAGAATTGTTATTATCTTCGCGAGTTTTAACGAGTACATGCAATAATAATAATAATTATTGTTTGGTACGTACGGTTCTTTATAATATAAGGGGCCGTGATGACGATACAATCAAGTTATAATAGTTGGTAGATGTATAGAATTATAAAGAAGAAAAAAAATAGTTGATATTGCTGATGGGTGTGCCACTGTTGTAGATGGGAAGTTTGGAAGGCAGGATACATATATAGTTATTTAATTTATACCTGTATGCAACGATAAATCATTGTTGAGGAAGTACGATTCTGGACGAAGTTCGTTTAAATATGTTTTGTAATGCCGTCATTTATCATCAAAATTTAAACTCTTAGTGCTAATAAAAATCTGATAAATTACGCTAAATTGTTTTTTCTTAATAAGTAAAACTTAAAATGATTCTTATGTTAAATTTTCGAGCATTTCTATTTGGCCAAAACATTTTTGTCTACATAAAATCAAATAAAACTAAACAAAATAAAAAATTTCAAATCCTTATAAATAACTCAAAAAGTGTTAGAATATTTTACCATGTTAAAATTTCAGGTTTCTACGATTATTTTTAACCTAATTAAAACCGAAAAACAGAATCGAAAATAGTGAAACCATCATTTTTGTAAACTTTCCCGTTTTTCTAGGTTTTCCCCAGTTATTTAGAAAACTAAAGACAAATAAAAAAAACAACTTCTCAATAAAATAACTTGATTCAAAATGCTATAAACAAGGTGTTTTATTGTTTTGTGATTGGAGTAAGTTTTCTGGTCGAAAAGTTGTTAACAGACAGAAAAAAAAACACATATTGTTTAGTAAAACTAATAAACAACTTCTTTTTTAAGAAAATTAAATTAATTCCCTTACTTACTCATTGTATTTTATCAGTTTATGGTAAACTATAGTAATATAATTACTAAATTATTTTTGAAGCGAACTTATAATAAATTAATAACATAATCTTTATAAAACATTTAGGAATTAACATTTTGTTTTGTTTTTAGTGAACTCAAAACTATATTACTGCAGTCTATTATGTATCTATATACAAATATAAATAATACATTAGCTATTATTATTAAATGTGTTAACTTTTAAAATTAAGTTATTGTTTTTATAAAATACCTATAAGGCAGACGCGTGACGGTAGTAAGTAAGAAATTATAGACATCCATAATAAACAAACATTATTATATAGATCACATCTTCAAGGCTGTATTATCATAATACACGTTAACATTTATACATATATATATATATAAATATAATGATTTATAATAAACTATACGTTATATGTATAGTGTTCATTATTTTAGATGAATATTTATTAGTATTTATTACTCAGAAGAAAATAATATTTGTATAGGTAGGTACATTGGTGCCACTAACTATATGTACCTATAGACTATAGGTATTACATATTTATTTATAGCCTTAAGGGTATCTATGGGTAAATAATAATCGATAAATATTCTATAACTGTAAAGTTCCGAGTACGATGAATTCTATATCAACAGTAGTTTTCCTGGATTAAAAAAATTATAAATTGAAAATTTCATTTGAAATGCATTTGGATAACTTATAATCCCTTATTTGATGTTTACAAATATCATACAAATATATCTAAATGAGAAAAAAAAAACAAAAAGCTTGTTTTTGTATTTATTTGAACAAGTCTATGAAATATGATAATCAAACTGAATGGTCATAGTCATACCTCGTGAATTATTTTAATATGTTGAAAGCAGAACGAGGAAAATACTTTTTTCGTTAAAAGAGGATTTCGATATTTTCAAGATGACAGAATTTAACTTAATAAGATAAGTATGTCGTTTAATATGCATTTGATCTGGATCAGTGACCCCTAAAATGAATATTCAATTTTTTATCTACTTCCAAGTATAAATTTAATTTTCACGTATAGATTACTATAGAAAAAAAAAACTAGGTACTTGTAAGATTAATTTAGAATTTATGCATTACTACTAGTTGTCTCGATCCCGGCGTTGCCCGTGCCAATTATTATTATTATTATTTTACCCATATTCATTTTTGATTTTGGCCGTGTTAAAATTGAGTGAGAACAAATAGGTGGAAAGTGGGTAGTCCACCGATTTATTCGGTGGAATAAATGTGTTCTATTGTGAAATTTTAATAATGTAAATAATAATTATAATATTTAGTTTTCTTTTCCGTGACAGCCCTTGAATAAACAAAAATCGTATATAAATAAAACAAAGTCGGGTTAGTTACACCATTTATAACTCAAGAACGACTGGACCGATTTTGATGATCACATGACATTTTCCGACTGATTTCTTATAATAATTAATCAATATTTTTTTCCATCGCTGTTACCGGGGTAACACAAATAAACAAAAAAAAAAATGTATTTATTACATTATACTCGTAAGTTAAATTATTTGGTGTTGCTCGTATATGTATAATATAATCGAAAATACTAAAACTGCGATTAAAAAATAGTGGGTGGGAGTGAGAGGGTGAAAAATACTTTACGACCTATTCTCAGACCTACCAAATATATAAAAAAATTTTTATGAAAATTGGTCAAGCCGTTTCGGAGGAGTGCGACCACAAACATGTGACACAAGAATTTTATATATAAGATTAAACGAAAATTACATAATGTTGTCAATTGTGCTTTTCTCGTTTAATGATATAGGATTAGTATGATATATTTATGTATTATTGGGAATCCTAATTTTTCGTATTGATTTAAATAATATGTTAGTGACCCTTAACTATTCGACTTTAGATTATAGTTTAATAGATATAGGTATTTATATTATTCCAATCGATGATTTTTTTTTTTTTAAAACTTGTTTAATCTAATAAAATGTTCATACGATTTAATAAATAATAGTTAATATTATTATATACAGCTAATAAATAATTTCACAGTATTCAACGATACCAGTCTTGTTAACCGCCAGACTGAAATCGTGAGTGCCTTGTAAACGACCGAACGAACATACGTGTCGTCTGCACGGCGTTGTATTTGTTCATCTTTAAAACTACCATCTCACACCTTACCGAGAGATATACATCTCATATAATATAATATACACTATATTACACATGAAACTACAATAATACTTTATTATAAAAAAAAAAATAATATTTATGTACATACAAATATATTTTTTTAAAAACCCGTGTATTTTGTAATCTACTAATATATTTATCAATCTTTTATTACAATATTATTATTGTTTTCAGGTTTCAAATGACAAACGTATCGTGTATATTATTATGACAATGGGACGGCCATATCAAATTGAGATGACTGTACTGTCATCACGTCCCGTATATTACTATGTTCTGCTATTGACTGCATTGTGTTGTACAGTGTTTGGCTTCAATGTGGACGTTAAAAATTGCATTAAACACCGAGGGCCTGAAGGGTCCATGTTCGGGTTCAGCGTTGCCCAACACAAAGAACACGGACGATCATGGTGAGTTTGAGTTGAAATTTCATTTTTCCATATAAAAACAGTCATTATTTTAATGTATCTTTAGTCCTAGGGATGAAGGGATACAATTTTGTATGCTTTTCAATACAAGTTAATTAAATTTTGAAAATTGCACATGACATGACTAAATTTTCAAATAGATTTAATATAAATATGACGCTCTAAATAGCTCAAGTCATATAATTTTATTATGAACTATGCCTTTTCGCCAAATAAAAAATACATATATCATAGTGATATCTTAATTTTCAGTATAATATGTGTTAAAGTTTATAGACACTTATGCTATTTAGAATAAAAATCAAGGAGAAAAAATATTTCAGACAAAATAAAATAAAAATGCCAAAAATTGACTTAAGTTATTCATCCCTGGGACCAAAGATGTTATGGTTGTACAGATTTTAATAAATAAATGTGCAATTATGTAATATTAAGTAAATATCTTTTTGTCGGTAAGTGTATTTAATATTTTGAATAAGGTAAACATTATATTAGCTGAAAAGATCACAGGCCTAAAACAGGAGGGATTTGAGGTCTGATCCTCCCCCTTATCTATTTTAATTTTACATAATGTCCATAATTTTGTATGTAGATTTAAAACTGACTTCCTCACAAAAACATTTTTTGCTACTGATTCCCCTATACAAAAGTTATGCATACGCCACTGTGCAAGACGTTATATTTAATACCTAGTTATAATATTTGTATGCCTAATTATAATTAAATTATTATACAAGTTTTGAAAACTATAATAATATTTAATATAGATCTAGACACCAAAAACTATTACCGACTTCTTTTTCCGTGTACACCTATTTTTTTTCGAATAAATGAAATTAATTTTTTTAGTAATTATTATAATATAAACCTATAATAATCTACGAGTATATTCTATTATATTGACATTTAAAATAAACAATTATACACTCATCACTCATCACAGGATATAAATATTTTTTCTTATAGGGCATGCAATTACATTTACCTCGTGGTTTACTCACCAGAAACTTTTAATGCTATTATTATAATAACTAAAACAAAAATTTAAACACTAAACTTTATATTTAAAATAGAAAACTATTTCTCTTACCTCTCGTGGAAGTATCGTATAATTTATGAATATTCAAGCATACATGAGGGTATGGGAAATTTTATTTTTAATAAGACTTCACTACTTCAAATATATTAGGTACTAACTTTATCGAACGAAAATTAATAAAATATTTTTAAAAACTTGGTATAATATAATATACAATATAGAGGGGTATACAGTTTGGTGACAATATTGATAGGGAATTTAAGGTTTTTTTTTCTTTATGTAAAATATGAAGATGTTGGTCATTAAACGGTAATTTTGTAAAACGGGCCCGTCCATATTTAATAAGTGATTGAGGTGTAACATTATCTCTGGATATACACCTAGTGTTTTTATGTTGGTTTTGATACTATTACAGTAATTAAAATTCATTCTTAGCTTTAATACGCCTTGTATTTTATTCTAATGAGGTGAAAAAATCATACGAATAATTTATATTTATGTACAAGTATAATACTCGTCTACACTTATAATATACCAGCGGTTCCCAACTTTTCTCAGCCTCGAAGTCTTTTTTTAAAAAAAAAAGTTTCTCGTAGAGCCCCCAAGAAATATTTAACGTTAATTTTTATCTGCCTGTGTTCTATCTTCTATGAAGTATAATAAACACGAATTGTATACATACGGGAGTCAAAATAAAATTATATTTTTGAATACAGGTGAAACAAAAGTATTAAAAGAACTCAAAGATTATTATTAATTATTTAAAATTTAAATCTATAAAATGTCTTAATGTGAGCATTAAACCTGCTTTTTACTACCGAGTTTGTCGATGTCCGGTGTCACAGAAGTCAGTTGAAGACGCATATCGTTTTCTGCATCCAAACGTGCTCGATATATTGTTTTTGTGGCTGTATACTTCGAAAAAGCCGTTTCACATGGATACGTAGTACAAAAAGGCAGTAAAAGCAGTTTTTGGAGCCCGTTTTAAACCACCGTTCCATTTCAGTAAAAATACACAATTTTCTTATCGGGATTTACGCAGTATACATATCGGTGAATTATGGTGATCAAGTCTTCATGAAATATATATTCATTTTAAATAACGAACAATTTTTAAATTTTTTGTGGTGTTACAACGGAGCCTTTGGTAAGCCATTGCGGAACACCGGTTGGGGACCGCTGTAATATAAGTAGTAAATAATATACCTATACCTTTTTAAAATTTTTATTTTTACTTTTTTATGATATTTGTCTACATATCATCAAATCTGCATTGTAGAGGGAAGTTTTATTTTATATTATGTATACGTTTTTAATAGCAATGTGGTGGTGTTTGTGGTTAAACGAAATAAAAAAGTTACCTAGACTGTCACTTCAAATTGCATGACAAAATATACCAGCTATATTTTAATAACGTCACCTGGACCAATAATAATAAGTGGCAAGTTCCATTAGTTTATAGAAAACCGTTGTCAATTCAATTGACACTTATATACCTATTGACACGTTTCGAATGACTTGCAATCATAAATGCTTTTATTTTATTATTATATTGTTCGTTTATCCGTTTATGATACCCACACTCTGCCGTATAGAAAACTAATGTAACATAATGGCGGTTTTTATTTTTTATTTTATTTTTATAATATCATTGTTCAATTGTAAAGAAGCCGTTTTCAACTGTACCACTTAAATAATATTATGGATACGACTAGGAACATTTCGCCGACGTCTTTTGTTTCCGTTATAACGTCGCTGGATGAATATTTATTATAATTGAACATACTGGACTCGTGTCAATGGGCCGTGGAGTAAATAGGAGGGGATAAATACGCGGATATATGCATTCATATTTACAATCGGATATTGTATTATTTTAAAGGAATAATTGATATGCATACGGACGGCCAAATCGTATGCAAATGACGTATAATATATGTACAAATGATCTATTATATTATCAATTTCTTTTCATAGATTGTATTAAACGGTATATATTTTTTAATTATTTATTTAATAACTGAATAGGTTTTAAATTACTTTGAATAATTTTGATTTACAAAGTCAGTCATTGATCTAAATTAATGTTAATCAGTTATTTTTCAATGGTTTTAAGTAAAGCTTCGGATTAAAAATTTTAATAGATATTTACCTAAAAATTAAGTATAATTATTCTATAATTTGTATGTGTATAATATAGAATAGTTAAAAATTATGCGTATTTGTAGTATCTATCTCCTATGAAATTTACTTCATTTTGAAATTACATATGAAATTCTATAAATAATTTATTTATTAATCTTTTTTATTTTTATTACCTACCTACTTGTTTTATGTCACTTATTCTATTCTATTGGTTCAAACTATATAGTGGTAAATGTATAAAAACCAAAATCTTATATGTTTTACAAATGCATTATGCATAGAGCTGTATGTAAATTACCATTTTAACACATAACAAACCCTACACAAATTACTTCCGTTTTAGTATTCATCATTATTGTTTTTACTATCATTAAAACAGCCCTCTGAATGGTATGTGTTACGTCAACTACCTACATAATATTTTAACAAGGAACTTGATTACCATTCGAATTTAATATTTTGTTTTTAGTTTTATTTGTTTAAATTTAAATATTTTACTTGTAACTGTCAAGAAAATAATCTTGTCATAATGGACGATGGCTTCCAAACTAAAAATAATATACTTATATACTACGCTTCGTTTATCTAGTTCTTATGCATTAGAATACAATGTTGTTTTTGACCTAAAGAAATATTATTAGTTATTGTAGATGATTTGAGTTTTTTTTTCATTGAGTTTTCAAAACATAATATAATGTATTTATGTGTTCTGTTAAATTCTTAATTTAAATTTAAAACTTTAAATTTTTTCAATAGCATATTTAAACAATATTTTGATAAAGGATCAACAATAATATTAATAAATTATATTGATTTACAATTATTTAAATTTTTAGATAAATAATAATTTAATAAATTATGTAGATTGTAGGTAGTGAAATTTGATACAATTTTAAATTTATTTTAGATTCCGAGCATAGCGAGGGACCTATTGGTTTTACTACGAAATATTTTTTTTCATTTTTTGGACCTATAAACAACTTTTTTTTTCTAATTTAAAAATTATTAAATATTTAAAATTGAAATTGTAAGTATGTGCACAAATGTAACGTTTCAACAAGTATAATCACTTAAATATTGGAAATAATTAATAATGTCCATATTACATTTTTCATTATGATATAATGTGTAAATTTTATAGTGTATACAATATGATCATTGATTGAATAATAAGTAGATAAGTCGTAATAATATAGGTACCATGAGACTTTAAAGGTAATAGATAATGTATATGAAACAGTTAAATTTTATATCAATTCAGCACTGCTAAATATGTTTTTTATTTCGATTATTGAAGTGCTTTTATAATGATACAGGCAATTTCGTGATTTTTTTCTAATTTAATATAAGTTGAATCTTTAGTCAGTCACCTTGTGAAATCACTCATTCTTTTATTTTGTTTATATATATTTATGGTTCTATGAATCGTTAGCTAGTAAAATTCCATGTAGGCAGATGTTCGTTTATATTATAATCATCCATCACTCTGATTGAAATATAAACTAGAAGGACCCATTAGTGTTTGGGGCGGGGTGGAAAATAGTAGCGATACCGTTACAATAGGTCGTTGATGAGGATGAGGTAGTTGTTCCACGAATCAATTATTTGTTACGAGAATATATACTATACTTACCTACATTATTACTTTATTGTTGTTGATATGACGTATTTGAAAATGGATTGTTCGATTTAAATAAATGAATATATTCTCGATTAGAAGGGAAAAAAAATATCTGCATTAAAAACAGTTATAACGATTTCAAACTGCCTCGTGCTCAATACAATATAGAAATTGCACTAAAACAACATATGGTGCTTGGAATTTAACTCGCAAACGAATGCAAATCAATATTGTGTTTTATACTATAAATAAATTTGTACACGTTTTTTGCAATGCACAGTTGAAACAATAAACTGTCACATGTGCAAGTGGATATCTGTTACTGGATAGAATAGGATTCCAATTCAGTGTGTGTAAACTATTATAAATATTGATATTACAAAAACCATAATTTGATGTGTAAGTACATTTGTATTTGCTATCTTTCATAATATTATATTGTTGAGCTTATTTGGTATAATATAATAAAAGAAATTAACTAATTTAATTTATTCAGTTTTTCTTTAAAAAATTAATTTTTTGAAAATTATTTAATTTAAATAAATTATAATTATTGTAATAGTCTTATTTATATATTTAAAAAGATAGACACATTTCGCATGTTGGGTGGATCACTGTTGTAAGTGAGAAGTTGGGAAGATATAATATAAAAGAGAATTTAATGTATATCTACAGTACGCAACGATTAATCATTGCTAACAAAAACTTTTCTTAGTGGAGTTCGGTTATACATGTTTTGAAAGGTCATAATATTTACGATTTTTGTTAAAATTTGATATTAAAATTCTTATAAAAAAATTCTATATTTCAAATTTTTTTTTTTACCAATAAGTACGACTTATATTTAAAAAATGACCCCCCTAAAATGCCAAGTAGAAAAAATTTTATTTACCAAAATAAATAATAATATTATTGTAAAATAATATATTCCTCACTTAGTTCAGAATCTAAAAAACTAACTAAAATTTTAATAATTAATACAGAAAATGACTCAACAAATTGTGTCGAATAAGTTTCTAAATTATATATACAGGTCTTTGTAAAACATCACAAACGAATAGCGATTATATTTGAAGTAAGACGATTAAAAATATAAGACAAATGTTCGTAGAAGAGTCATTTGTGATCTGTGGTTCAATGTGCAATGTCGGGACTATTTAAGGATACGGATGATGCCGAAAAATATAACGGGTAGACTAAAAAAGCATTTGTAAAACAATTTTTGGCAAACATTCGTAAATTTTTAACGGTTACCGACTATAGTTAAAGAATACATTTAAATAAATATCTGGACAACTATATAGGGGAAGAGATAGGAATAATAAACCAAAATCAAATAAATTAAAAGCCAATTATATTATAATTTATGTATTGATGCATTAATTGATACTTAAAAAATTAAAAGTCAGATATTTGTGAATTTCTTTAATATCTGTTGTAGCGATATATTTCTTATAACACTAAAATGTATTTATATTATATTACTAACTATCCTGTCTGGCATTGCCCTTGCCAATTTTAATTTTTTTACCTTTTAACCTTTTTTGGTTTTGACCGTGTTAGTATTTTATGAAAATAAATAGGTGAAAAGTGGATAGTCCACCTTTATATTCTGAGTAGAGTTCGGCTATACATATAAAAAGCCGTAATATTTACGATTTGAAAATAATACATTTCGTAGATTTTTCCCTCTTTATTTTTATGTTTTTTCATATTTATTATGAAAATCCATGGGAAAATCAAAAAAAGATTTTCCTAAAGTAGATTAAAGGTGTTACACTTGACAAATGAAAAATAATTGCTGGTAGAAAATTTGTTTGCAAAAAAAAAAATACATTATTATAAAACCAATAAATCCCCTGCATCGCTTAGAATCTACGTAAAATGAATCAATATTTTGTTGGTGATATCATAACTTGAATATCATCCAAATTTTCAACTTTTTCGGTAGGTTTTCCAAAAATTTGGGAAAATGAAAAAGACGAGAAAAAATGTAGGACAAACGAGAAAATGTACGAAAATAATGCTTTTATATTTTTAAATTTTGTTTTTTGTTTTATTGTAATTCAGTTTGAACTATTTGTAGAGATTTGAAATTTCAATAGAAAACTTATATTTGCATTTTCTAAACGTAGTTAGAAAATATTATATTATATATAATATATATAATATATTAAATTATTAAAATTAGTTATTTTTTTTATACGAATTTTAGTATCAAAATTTAAAAGCAACACTATCAACCGGACTCCACTCAGAATCGTTTTTTGTTAGCAATGGTCAATCGTTACGTACAAATTTACATTCAATTTTCCCCCTATACTTTCCCTTCCAAATTTTCATTTTTAATTGTGACCCACCCATCGAACGAAGTATGTCCGTATTCATATGTATATATATTATGATGTAGAAATAAAACGATTTTAAAATGTTTAGAAATTTAAAAAATGTTTTTCTATAATGTTAGGACTAAAATGAAAGATTATTTTTATGCCGATACTTAGTATTAATTTAATACGATCATTTTGACCTAAACCCATTCTTCCATTTAAACCTAGAAGAAAAAGGACGGATATTATTACCGCATGTACTGATGCACGTGTTCATGTTGTATTATTAAGACAAAATTTAGGACCGACCCTTTGGTAATAACGAGAAAAAACTAGTCATATAGGCGGTAATAATTGAAAACATGTTTAAGATTTATTATATTCTTGTAGTCCTGTAAAAATGTAAAATATAAGTATACAGCAATAATATGTATTGTGTGTATGAGTGGAATTATTGCATTTCAAATAGAATTATTAAAATCAGTAATGCTTATTGGATATTAAAGAATTCGTTTTTATTATATAGAAACATTAGATACCACTGTACCCGAATTAAATTGTTTAAATTATGTTTGTATATATTATAATATATCTGCATTATAATATTATTATTATTATTGAAGCTGTTTAGAGTATATAATTGCAGTGTTATAGTATAGGGGAAAACTTTGAAAGAATATGCCTAATCTGCATTAACGTGTACAATGTGCATTATAATAAAATGTTATGCACATCGAATAGCGCAATAAATTATTCTCGTTAAATTATTTAGCACTGCAAAACTGTGTACTTTATACCATTACACTCACTAGTTATTATATTTAAGGATGAGTAGTATTTTAATTAAATTTTTTTGAAATACATTCTGCATTTTGTATTTTGAAAATAATCAAAATACTAAATAAATAATAACTGATAGTAAAATGTTCACGTTTTAATGTTGCTGCATTTTTACTCGTGCAACCATAATATCCATAATCGAAAAAAGAGTACCTACTTACCTATTGCAAAAAAATTACTAGATAATTTTAATATTAATAGTATTAATTAAATATTTAAGCGATACAAATAAAAATATTTCTTGTCTAGTAAACTAACGTAAAATTCTCCAGTTGTTTATTTAAGCACCAATAAAAAGGTTATTTTCATTCGTTGGAATGATTCAATATGTAAGAGAAGCAAGTAAATCTTGCTCATTCGAATGAGTAATACAGCATTACTTGTGAAAAACTTATAATTTTTTTTAAAGGAAATAATGATTTTGAAATTCGTGATTAGTACTATATTTTTAAATTTTTTTTAAAATATAATTGATGAACTTATCAGAATTTATTTTTATAATTTAACAAAAAACTATAAAAGTTCCTTTACGAATTAAAATTAATAAAAGTATCTTTTTTTGCAGTTTTTTTCAAATATTACATTCAATACTTTCAAATAACTTTTCAAATTTTATTTTTTCTCATAAATTCATTATATTGTATTTTACATTTTGTATTTGAGTAACCAAATTTGATTTATTTTGTATTTGAAATACATATATTGATGAACTTTGTCTATATCTCTTACTTAGTTATATTCTTACTCTGCAGTCAGACTATAGACGATCTAGACACTTGTATACATTTTTAAACGCACAACCGACCCACGGAAAAACGCCTACTCGAATTCGTGGTTATACATAGAAAACGGCTATATAGAGATATAGAAATTTTGAAGAAAAAAGTGACATCTTAAAGTGTACCATCTGGCGTATATGGGGCGCCTACGTTAAGCATTTTCATTGTGTGCTTTGGTGCATAACAATTACAAATGCCTGATCGACCTTGACATTTTGAATTGACCTAAATATAATGTTTTATACACGAGCTCAGCTTGAAATGTCATCATTTTTGTTAATAAAGACCAATTAGGATCAAATTATATACGGAGTATATTCGTTAGTTACTAAATTAATTGAACATATTATTAGAGTTACAAAAAATTTTAACAGCGCAACACTCATGTTTTTGTTACACAACTAGAGGTATATGTTTGTATATCCGTCATTTAAACTAAACTAATATAAATAGTAAATATGCAATTAGTGATGAGCCAGTACGACTTTTTTTCTATACTAGATATTCCGATTTTGTTACCGATATAAAACCGAGACCCAATCCAATATTTGAAATCGAAAACGATGAGTTGATACTGAAATTAACAGATAAACCTAAGGAAAATCTGATTTTTCACATTCCAGAAACATTATAGATACAACGGGTTTGAAAAAAACCCCCTCGATATTCGATACTCTGATACCCTCATCAATACCGAGACACGATATGACTTATGCCGATACTCACCATTATATACAATACGATTATTATTTAATTTTTTAAAACTGCTGGTATTGAAATAGTAATAATAATAAAGAGGACATACATCGAACAATTAACTCTATTTTAAAACTGTAGGTATCATTATAGTTTATTACATTTTATTTTATGCATAATGATTAAATGTACCTATGTATATGGAGGAGAAATATAATTTAAAACAAAACGTATAATAATAATAAAACAATTTTAGAAAATTTACATTTAAAGATTCATATACACTATGAAGTGTGCACTTCATAATAATATCGAAAGTTTATGAATACTATAAAAATATTGTACTAGAATATAGGTTGACAATACCATAATAAATCTCGACAAATATATTTTATTTAGTATTGTTCAATTCATAATAATGTTTTAGTTATACTGGGTTGCTTTATCCTTAAAACTCCATATGTGTCACGTGAAATTCGTTAGGGGATGAGTATACGTAAAATGTCTTGGGTCGGACGTACGGTTTTCTCAGAATGTTGAGAAATAATAGTTATATTGGCGACGGACCACTGTAACAGTATACAAACCATATGGGCATGGGAGCGCCGTAAAATTTAAACCCACGCACACGCGGTGCACCGGTTGTCGTAAGTCGCTATCCATCCGAACCCACACGTTTTGCACACGCGATAAAAATGAAAAAAAAAAAACAACACATTATTTTCATTAAAATGTGTTCTCGGCCACAGGACGAACTACCCAAAAATCTTTCCTCGGGGCGGTTGCGTTGTGTACACACGCTGAGAAATATAAAACGCATTTTGTCTCAGATGTTATATAATATATACGAATTATGAAGAGGGTGGGCAGTGAGCACAGCAGGTATAAATTATTATTAAGTGAATGCTACGTCCGAATTCACTATCTCAGTCTAACAAACGGGCAACATAGCAAAATTGTATTTATTTAGAACATAAACTATGGCGTTTAGGTTAAAATTTGAATTTAAACACAAGTGAGGTACAATTTAAAAAGGAGGAAAACATTTCCGACGGTTATACGTAGTTTTTTTTCTAAACAATTTTCATACAAAAATTAACGGTTATTTAAAAAAAAAAAAATAATAACTTGGCTATAAATTATATGTAGGTAGGTATGACCGGTTTATGCTCGTTAGTTAGACTGAGATAGTAAATTCGGGTATAGGGCTGAGTTTTAAGTATACAAATGTGACGATAATTTTATAATGTTCGATTTGAATATTTCGAGAAATAAATTAATTTTATAACGATTCATTAAAAAAAAAAAAATTAAAATTGTGGGTACTAATATAAATTAATAATTTAATATTTTTTCATTTTTCGTTTATTTGATTTTTCAATTTATAATGGTCACATTATACTATTGCAGCAATAGTAAGTCGTATTCGTCAAATTATCCTATTGCTTTCTCATATTATGCTGTTTAATTTAAATAATAGTTTCTAAAAATAAGTGTGTATTGATTGTTCTGCAACCAATATAATAATCTACAGATTTTTTTTATATGATTGGAATGCACGGCAATGATATAAGTTAAAATCGTTATAGCCTCTATTATGAATAATTCGATTTATTAGCTCTAGGGTTGTATACAATTAGATATTTTCGAAACGGAAAAATATAAAGTTAACTCATTACCTCTCGATTAACCCACTAAAATTTATAAAATCTGTACTGAAAATAATAATATAGGAGGAAAACTGGTTCCAATTGATTCGCCTTCTTTTCATTGGAATATATACGATTGTAATCGGAAATTATTTCCCGTCTACAATTAACACCTGGGAGCCACGTGGGCGTGATGAGATGACCCTGACCCCGAAGTATTGTTTTTTTTTTGTCTAATCGATTTAACATAATTGTATAGTATTCAATTAATAGGTGTAAATAGCCGCGTATCAGTGGCGGATTTACAGGAGGAGGGGTATGAGGTGTCTGGACTTCCCTCAGATACCGATGTAATTACAATAAAATGTCGTCTAAAAATGGGGTATCTATTAATAAATACCTTTTAAATACATATGATTTTTTTGTGAGTATTCAATATTCATATTTATAAACTCGATGTGGTATGTCTTGAAACCTGTTTTAGACCCTATCGTAAAGTTAAGGGTCTATCATTAATATTGATTATTATCTATTACGAGCTGTCCGCTCGGCTTTTTCTGTGAAATAAAAAAAGTTTCTAAATAAAGTTAATAGATAAATTATCATTATATGCTATTACAATAAATACTTGCATAGCACATGGATTTCAGTACAAAAATTAATAATACATTTTTTTTTTCATCCTTGTTACCAATTAACTAAAATTATTAGATTTCTATAGTAAAAATACCCTGAAATTGAATTTTAGGAAATGATATTCAATAGAGAGTGAATTTCAATAGTCCTTACATTACAATACGTAGTAAACAAGTTTCTTTTCGAAGAGTGGTTTATAGACACAACTAATGAAAAAAAAAGAAACTATGCATCGTATAGTAAAACCAATAGATCCCTTGCCACACTCCGAATTTAAAAAAATAGTTATAATAATAATTGTATAAATGTGAAATTCTATTATATATATAACTAATTATATATTTAATTAATAACTAAACTACTATATACCTATTATAAGCAATTAGGTATACAAATATGTTTTTTTTAATAAGTCACTAAATATATTCAATTTATTACCGACCGATAGAATTATTTTCAATATAATGTACTGTAGTACAACGTTTATTTGTGTGTATATTATATTGTCAGTTCTAAATTTAAGAAAATTCCAAGTAGACATTACTTTTTTTTCTTTTTTTATTATACCTATTATGGCCTAAAATTTTTTTTGGAAATCGTAACAAGTTGAATAATATTGTCTGTGTTATTTTAATCTTACATGGTTCGTTATATGTTAAGTGTAAACTCAACATGTCTAATTATTATAATAGTCTTCTATATGGCCACCCAGATTTTTAAATTCTATATTTATTCGTTTTTGAAATTTCAAAGTAGATTAGGTATTAATAATTGTTTACATTCAAAATATATATGTGTAAACTAAAAAAAAATTTAATTTTAAATAATATAAACATTATACATTGATACTTTTAGGGCCTATACATATTAATTTATTGTATTATTGTTTTCTTAATAATAAATTTGAATTTAACTTGTAATAATACTATTCAGGTTGAAACTGTTGAAAGTTAATAAATAAAAATAAAAATTGATTGAGTTTCAAGACAACAAAATATACTATATGTCCAAACATAGATAAATAGGATAGATCTTAGATATTAATTGGTTAACACTGTATATTAAACTGTGTTTAATGATGTATAATAATATACTATCAGATTAATATTTTTCAAGTATAGAATGGTTGATTGATTTTTTAAACGAAAAAGAAAACATTTGGTTTTTCCATATATGGACATGTTAAACGAATATTTACGTTGAAGGGTACTTGGTCAATTATTGTACTATATAGGTACCTCCTAAATAACATTGGAGCCTATATATACAATTCGCATAATATACACAACGTGATTGACCCAGATAAAAATCGTATAGCTTATTATTTGTTTACGTTACACAAATATGAAAAAAAAAAAAATCTTTTGACTCTGAAAAATTGTTATGAAATGAAATATTATTTATAATTGTATCATTGTAAAACAATTATTTGGTACTGAATTGAATTTTTAAGAACAAAGTATTATTATTCATTATATTTTATAGTAGGTACCGATGTTAGAAAGGGAGCGTATCGAGGGATTTATTGATTTGTATTTTTTTTATGTATTTGTAAATAACTTTTCTACCAGAAATGTGGCTCTAAAGTATAGAATATAGTATCTTTTCTGAAAGGAAAATTTTGTCCAGTTGGTGCATTAAAGAGGTCATTTTTTTGATTTTCCAAGGAGTGTTCGGAATAATTTGGTAAAACACGAAAGAAAATTATAGGTAAAACAGCAAATATTCACAGCGCCGCGGTTTCATTACCGATTTCATTGTTTTTAATTTTTTGCAATGCATGTTTTCTACTAGAAATATTGCTTCAATTAAAAAATAAAAAGATATCTAGATATTAATTAAAATTGTTGGACTAAACAGAAATGCTTGAAAGTTTGACAAGAAATTCATTATAAGTCATACTAAGTGGCAAAAAATTAAAAAAAAAAATGCCACATTACACTAATTTTTTTTTTTTATAAGAGTTTTAAAATCAAATTTTGACGAAAATCGTAATTATTACCACCTTTCAAAACATTTATAACCAAAATTCGTCCGAATGGTTTTTGTTAGCAATAGTTCATCGTATGGTTACAAGTTTAAATTAAATAACTTTATTCATCCCACCTACATCTGTCTTCAGTGTTAATTTTTATTTTCTAAATTAAGTATGAAATTTACAAAGTAAATTTTTTTAGTGAACTAAATTAATAACATATTTGAATACTTCGTTTATTTTCCCGCATAATATACGCCATATATCTAATTTTCAAATCGAATTTTATTCTATGATAAATTTGGTAAACAAAAACAATTATATTTATTATGCGAGCTCATTCAGTATTTTTAAGAAGATTTATACATAATTTGCAAATAACGTCTGTTCCTACGGAAAAATATTGTAGAAAGTTTTGGTATTCATTCATGTTTGTCTTATGTAAGTGGGTGTTTGGCGAAGGTCGATCGGAGACCACATGGAGCACTCCATATAAGGTTAAGGTGTAGGTAAATAGGCCTCGCCCTTCACTTTACTTATTAGCTTATTTATGCTGTTAATGCTGCTGGATGTGCTTTTGTGAATCGACCAAAAATATAAGTGTAATTCTATACACCATCGATTGTTTTATGTACTGTTACAACAGGCGAATTATAAATTAATGTTCCATTCTAACCTGGCCTGTTTAAATATACCTATATAAATACAATTTTTATTTTAATAAAACTCGAATTCTATTTAAAAAAAAATTCGTTCTTTGACTCCGTTATTTTTAAATTTAATAAATAGTTTATAATTATGTATTCAGTACGTTCTATTATTTTGTTTAGATGTTTATTAAAATATTTAACCCACGACTTGTAAATTAATCATCAAACAGATATAGAATATAATTATAATAGGATAGTTCTAAATGATATAAGCTTTAGATTATAGTAAATATTACAATAATATAAAACAAATCTTCATTATAGATACGTCATATTTTATGAAATGTTACAACTTTGTAGTATCTACTATTCTAACACACCAATATAGGCAATTCATGTATAATAAATCTCCAATACACATTACACTGATTATTATTACTGCAAAATAATAAAGGAATCATGCAATACTTCTATCTAGTGACCTTAAATTGACATGGGGAACTAGAGAATACTTAAATACACGTAATTACAAAATTATTTTTTTAACCTTTACAGGTCACAGTAAACACATGCGTGATAATAGTTGCATTATTTTTTTTTTAATTTCACCCTATTTTTACAGTTTTCATTTGAAATTATTTTTTCTAAACTCAAAATTTATCACATTACAGTTAAAATTTGAATTTTTTTTCTTAAAAAAATGATATACCTAAAAAATAGTTTTAAAAAAACGGACATACTTCACACGATGGGTGGGCCACTGTTGTCTGTGAGTTATTGAGAAAAAATGATGGGTACTTAAGTTGTTTAATTTGTACCTCTAACCAACGGTTAATCATTGCTAACGAAAAACGATTCTGAGTGGAGTTTGGTTATATATATTTTAAAAGGCAGTAATATTTACGATTTTCGGCAAAATTTGATATTTAAACTAAAATAAAAAAAAAATTCTACATTATATTCATCTTTTTTTTTTTAACCACAAAGTACGACTTTATAATAACACTTCTGTTATATTTTCAAGCATTTCTGTTTGGTTTAACAGTTTTAGCCCTAAAGTACCTACCGAATAAATATTACGTGAAAAACTCGCAAAATGAACATTTCTATAAAAAGCTCAAAAAAAACAAAATGTTTTGAAAATTTTACCACTGATATAAAAGGTAAATATAAGTTTTTGTTAAATTTCAAGTGCCTACGAATATTTTTAACTGTATCACAACAAAACATAAAATTGAAAATAATAAATTTCATAAATTTTCCCATTTTTCCTACGTTTTTTTTTTTTTATTGAAAATGACACCTAAATACATTTTCCTTTCAGAAAAGGTAGGAAATCAGAACAAGATTTCTGGTAGAAAAATGGACAAACTGCTCCCCAAATCGGATCTTTTTTGTAGGGAGTCTCACAAGTTATAAAACTAGATACTTAGTTTAACTGAACACCGAACAGGCACCGGAATATCGAAACTGTCCGGGCGAAACTTGCAGAACAGTTTTGGAAACTCTATTGGTGTATTACTATATTACTAGCGCACATCTCGTATATTACTTATATTATTATGAAGATGAACACGTATAGAAATTATAATTTTTAATAGCTTTGTTTCTTCTTCTCTTTTACTTGTAATCTGTACTGTACTATGGCCTTGAGGCGTTGATATATACATAAATAAATAAATAATATCTTGACGACGGTGTAACTTTTGATTACACAGCCCTCGCTAATTTCAGTGGTACCTTAGCGTGCGTGCGTGCATGAGTGCGTGTGACGCTAAGTTTGGACTTGGCGACCGTGTGTATAAGTCTGCGACGGAAATAGTCACTCGTACGATTACCGTCGCCGCCAATGTGCCGTCGGCTGTCGGAATGATATAACGTTTCTTCGGCTGTACAGCGGTGATGCGGCGGGTAGAATTGTATAAAAACATCTATTTCCATTCAAAATAACTCAACCGAAAAAAAAAACACAAACAAACGTTATTCATAAAATCTATGTCAAACAAATTCGTACCTAGGTGTATAGGCATGCCCGTTCCGTTTCAATAGATTGTCTAACAGCTACCAATGATAGGTGATTTCGGGTGACTTTAAAACCGATTTAGCAATATCATAACGGTAGTGTATTTTAACTCGGAAAACCAAGTTTTGAGAAAATCGAGTTGAAAGATTTTATACATTGTTAAATAACAGAAAAAAAAAGTAGTTTTTTTATCGTCCGATCGTCATACAATTTTGGATTTCTATTATTTCATGAGAAATTTACTTAGATAGTTTAGTGGACCAGCACTCACCATTTAAATTAATTTTAATGCAGCAGTATACTATTGCATTTAGAACAATTTATTTCCCTTCAAAATTTAATCGTCTCGTGTGTATATTTTACATAATTTGTTTGAGTTATACACTATAGTATATAGTGGACTATAGCACAAACTAAAATAATACACAATATTGCACTTACAGCAACCTATTATTTTCTTTAATAATTTTAACCTTTCCACATTTTCTCGTTCAACTTATTTATGAGAAAATACGGTAATGTTAGTGCATCTTAAAAACTGCATTTTTATTATAGGGAATGTGGTATAACTCAAAATCGCATTTTTTGAGTTAATATACACTACTGTTTTGATTATGAGATATGATGACAATGAAAACGAGAACTAGGTGCAAATATAATGACAGTAAGTCTAAAAGTAGGTTTAAAGTAGTTATACACGTATGATGTACTCGTATAGATAGTACCTAAAATTGTAATATTATTGTTTAAACATGTCATTTTTTTTTTATTTACATATATACGAACATGTAGACTTTTTTCCTAGCGACGCGGGCACGTTCAGAGGAAACGCTTAAAATAGATTGCTTCGGGGTAACCATCTTAGTATAACTATATCACGGTATATAAGTACTAACCTATAACAGCTTCTGTAATAAATTATTAATGCACGTATATTATGTACCTTTATATTTCCGTCAATTTATATTTATTATAAAAATATAATACAAAATTACGAATTCTATATAGACATTCAATTAATCATAAAAAAAAATACAATTTTTTCGCTTTTATAGGAAATAATACTTTAAAAAATATGTAAGCAGTTATAATATATACAGTAGGTATATATATATATATTATACGACTTTAGAGATGCCATATGTTTTGACGTAGTATTGTTCCGAGTAAACAGCACACCGTGTCTTTTACTTCGTGATCTTATATTATGTAAACAAATTTTGTGGAAGATAATTTTGTATGTCAATTGGAAAATAATATTTTAATGTTCTAATAATATTTGGCAAAAGAAACGAGAAAAAATATGTTATATAGCTACAGTCTATATAAACTAAATTACATTTCCGTTAAATTGACCAAATTTTTTAATTGAACTTGTTTAAATTATAAAGAGTTTTAGAGATCATAACGTGATCGTATAAGTAACTAAAATATATAATACAATATATATATATATATAATTTATTATTTTTTATTTTTAACTAATACATATTTTGGTTTTACTTTTATTCATTGTACTCGGTGTATTAAATAATTCTTATTTTAATTTAATGAGATAATAATACATTATTTTAGATAGGTATGTGTAACGTGGACAACATTAATAATTTGTTTCATGCGCCTTAAATAATTCAACTACTCACCTCTATTTCCGCTGCTAATAATACACGTGTCTATCTGGCTAAATGTGTTACCACTGTTGAGCCAACTTTAAACATGTGGTGTAATTAGTGTATATCCCTTAGACCACTTCTTACCTCTATACAAAAATTTGAAGTATGTTAAAAAGTAATTGACGTAAAATCATGATGAATACTATACTGATATACTTAAGTTGTAATTAATTGAGTTTCAAATTAATTTATTTAATGCGATCTCTATGTATTGAAATAAAATATTTGAAAATAAATTAAACATATGTAATAATAAGTTAAACACATATTGTACATTTGAAATTATAATATTTATTTTATTTTATTCTGAATAGGGAAGAAGCTATTTTTATCTAGAGTTCTAGGAAAACTCTTATTTGATTATCTAGCAAAAATGATCCAACATTTTTATACCGTAACTTACCATTAATCACATTATAGCCTATTACCTATAATGTAAAGTATGTGTAGATTTTGTTTAAAACTTTGTCAAGTCATAAACAGACGCCGTTTACTTTATTTTATAATACTATAACATTTATATTTTCAGTAGCACCACCGTTCAAAACAACTATCATAGATTTTTTTTTTATATTCGTAATTGTAGAGGGTTTAGAATGTTTTTGAAATTAAAAACCGGGTTAGAAACTTGATATTTAAGACCCACTGGGTGGCTTGTCGGTGAAATAAGACACCAAAATTATGAGACTGTTGCTGTCAAATATCTAAAATACTGTAGTATAGGTACAAAATTACTATCTGTATAAACGCATGATGCTATTATTGTCAATACTCATTATTTAATATGAAATTCATTTTTTTTGTAACTAATATATTTATATTATTTTTTTATCAATAATTTGGGAAAAATAAATTACAAATATAGTAGTTGGCGCTCAATAAATTTTATATTTGAATAATTAATTTAGATGTTGAGTATAGCGAAATAGCTATTAATTTCATTAAGATGTGTTTTTTTTTTCGGAAAACACATTTTCAGGTAGAAAAAATTCTCCGATTCAGTATGTAAAATAAATAAACCTTATATCTTTTAGGTAGCTACCAAAATTCCATAGACAGCAGTCGCTTTTCCATGGTGCGAAGTATATATTTACAATTATATGAATTTAATTATAATTTTGGTAATTTATATTTGTGTAATTCTTTTTCACGGTGGTGTTTACTAAAAACTTAAATTTTTAGTAAGCTTTTAATAACCTATTTTCTTACCTATATCTATCTTTGATAGTTTAAAAATGATTTTGAGTCATATTATAAAATACTAACTATTAAAGGTGTGTCTACAAAAAGGTTAAGTATACATATTGTTTTTAATTTTTATTGATATTAATTTTTCTAAACAGACAATAGAGAATTCAAAAAATTTATATATAAGTAAATATACGTTTTATGAAATCAGTAATTTCCTTATAATACAAGTATATAAGACTATTAGTAAAACCGAAAAAAAAATACAAGCTATTAATTGTTACCATTTACGTCAAATGGCTGTTAACTTACCAGTAGAAAAGTGGTTTTTTTTCTATCAAGTACATTTTATAGGTACACTGTGTCAGACAAAGAAACAATAAAAATTCCTAGAAGGAAAATATGGAGCATGTTCAATGTATCTGTTAGATTCTATTATTGAAAAAGTTACATCGAGTTTTTATACAAATTATTTTCCTAAGATCTGAATTGTCACAGCCGATCCCATACGGTTTTTTTTTTTTAAATAAATACATAAAACATGTACGTGTTGTTGTATACATATTTTTGAACAATGACCGATCAGTAATTATTAATTATATTTTTTCAACACTCACTCACTATTTAAATATTATCCATTTTTAAATGTGCCACAAAAACAATAACTTTAAAAGATAGTTTCGATATTTTCAATAGAACCATCAGTTATGCGTTAAAGAGTCAAGGTTTATACTCATATCGTATAATATTTTAATGACGGTTTTGTTCAAACAAGGCTATATTTGAAATATATGTATTTTATATACTATAGACTATGAACAAATTATCATATTAATTACTAATAAAAATCGAATAACAATCAAATGTTTTCAATTGTTATTTCTATTTATTACATTTAATACCAGTTACTTACCAATTTGGTATTATTGCAAAATCGAAGAAAGTAAATTATGGTTATTAGGTATTAGAGCTAGGATATCGATGAATTTTGAATTTTTTTCTAAAGCTTACTGTGCGATGAGCGATGCTCGTATAGTATAACTACATTTTATACTTATTTCTGTAATTTTAGTAAAATTAAATAGTAAAACAAGAACTATGAAGTACTAATTATTTACTAATGTTGTATAATCCGTCATTCTGATACTGCAGTTTATGAATGAATACGATAAAAAAGTTTAAAATTATTATAATGTAGTGCTAGTACAATTAAAAATAAGTGTTATATCTCTTCCTTCTCTTCGATTAGAATAATATTGTTAATTTGCAAAAAATATAAGTCGCAATAGCTATATGGATATATTACCATGTGATTTCTGTGAATCAGAGTTTAATATTATTAAATTAAACAAAAATAAAAATAGGAGATTCCACTTACGTTTAATTTTTTTTAATTCTTAATGATTATATATATACATATTTATAAGCATGAGCTCAAATATAAGGAAGGGATAGGGAGTTTAGCTCTCAAACTTAGTTAAGACCCTAAAACCAAGTCCTCGTCGAGGAATTTATAAGTTTAAATCATCATTTTTTTACATCAAATTAAATATAAAAAAAGATGGACTACTTCACACAACTGGTAGGCCATTGTTGTAAGTAAGAAGTTGTAGTGGTAGGATATAAAGGGAAATTTAATTTATATCCATACGCAACGATTAAACATTGTTAACGAAAAGCGATTCTAAGCGAAATTTGGTTCTACATCATATTTCGTCTGTTTTTTTGGTTTTTTCCAATTATTTCTAAAACCCATTAAAAAACATAAAATAACCTCCTTAAAGTGCCAACTAGATAAAATTCCTTTTCAGAAAAAGTGCAACGCTTGATACATTGAAGCAAAATTTCTGATCGACATTTTCTACACAGTATGAAAAAAATTAACATTGTAAAACTAATATATTTTACTTGCTACGCTTCAAATCTAAAATATGTATTGATTATATTAGCAGGAAAACTTGTTGAAACACATTGGTTTCACCGTGTACGTTACGATCAGAATAACGAAAAATTAATAGCTTACACATTAAACCGTTCCATCGTCATAATCGATTCGGAAAACATTACTTTAAGTATCAAAAATTCAAAAACATCGTGAGGTATATATAATATACATAATAATAAAAGGGTTTCTTTTGAAACGCAACGCCCTGAATTATACACAAACATCAGGGTGTGGCTTCTTTGACCTCTTCGTGAATATTCTAACCACGGAATTTTATCACTTTACGAGCAGTCGATCGGTTACTTTGTTTCTTTTCACGCTGCTTTCTTAATTTATTACCTCCACCCGGTGTTCCATTTTTTGTTCGATATACATATATATTTTTCTTTAACTACAGGAAACCAGGTCACAGACCATTAAATATGACCGGAAGGGTCTTTGTGTTTGGTTATTGGATTTCGCCAAATTAAAAAGAAAAATCCGTACACCGGCCCTTCTAAATCATAAACCCACCCACGTTGTAATTTGTTCTCAACGGATTTTTCTTTTTAATTCATTATTTTCTCAAATTATTAAATTCGAATCAAAAATATACTTGTATATATTTGTGAATCGTATATTATATATTGAAAAATACATTTCTATTTAAATTTAGAAAACAAGATGGCACATGGAGATACAAGTAAAATATATATAATATGATATATTATATTATCAGTATTACCTCCTTTTAAAACATTTATGTTATCCATATCACATAATATGGTATAGATAGATACTATTATAAAGACATATTGACCTGTCTTTGTTTTTTTTTTCACAAATCCTAAAAATATCCCAAGTTATATATTATATTAATTATTTTAGATTCGAAGCGTAGCGAGCGATCTATTGGTTTTACTATAAATATTATCGATTTCATAGTATTTAATTTTTGCAACTTATTTTCTACCAGAAATCTTTGTCTAAATTTCAAGAATAGCATTTTTTCTGAAAGGAAATTTTGTCTAGTTGGTGAATAAGAAAGTTGTTGATTGATTTTCCGTATAGTTTTTCTAATAATTACGAAAATTCGGAGGAAAAAAATGTAGGCAATATGGCAAAGTGTACAGCATTTTGTTTTTTTTGTTGGTATTCGGTTGAAAATTATTGTAAAGACCTGTAGTTTTCATACGTTTTAGCCTTTTTTAGACGTGTTAAAATTTTCAAAACATTCAAACTGTTTTTAGGCTATTTTTATGTACTCGTATTTGATATGTTCATGTTTTTATATGTATTTTTATTTGGTAGGTATCTATTATTAAAATTATATGACTTATAAATGCTTGCAAATTTAATACAAGGTACACTATAAATTTCACTTAGTGGTCTAAAAAACAAATTTGAGTTTAATACATTAGTTTTTTTTCATAAGTGTTTTTAGATCAAATGTTAACGAAAATCTTAAAAATTACGGTCTTTCAAAATATGTCTTACCAAACTTCACATCGAATCGGTTTTCGTTAACAATGGTTTATCGTTGCGTACAGATATAAATTAAATAACTTTATATATCCATCTTAAATCGTTTCTATATTTTTGTAATGTACCTACAGATGGTGGTGCATAATTCTATTCGCACAATTTTCCATTTGAATTTCCCCGTATTTAGGTTTTTTTTTATTTTGATACGCACCGCGCCGATCATGTCAGTGTTTAAAATGAGGCGTTAAAAAAAATGGATAAAACTCGAAGAAATCACGTGCGATTTATTCGATGATCAGTTGTCTTTAATAGACCGGCAAAACCACTTACTCGCCCGAGGCTATTAGCGCCCTGGCGTCTCCTATTGGCGCAGCGCACGGTTTACACACACCGACAGTACTTACATTTTGTCTCGGTATTCCATTAATTAACTGTCGTTACTCGTTTAATAGCCGTGCTTACAAAGACCGTGCAGTGTTATCGTGATTTTACTCTACTCTTTTAGCTCGTCGAATTACGTATATTTACTGCGTATACGGCTATTCGTCTCACACAATGTCCGAACAACGACGATCTGTCAAGTTTTTAAATTTATACTTAGGTAAACGATAAAACACAATATTTTCGAAATTGCCATTTTAATATACGTGTGTAAACCGTGGTTTTATTATTATTATTTTGTTTTATTGTTGTATTGATAACGGTTCAGATTTTTTTCATCTACAAAAAATAAGGAATAAAAAATAATGGAATTTTATCGATGCTTGTTTCTTAAATTATTGGAAAAAAAAAACAGTGCTTTTTGAAATAACGAGTGTTTAACGATAAAAGAATCACTCAGTATAGATAATACCTATGCCTATGCCACATAAATCGAAACTTATAATAATTAAAATTTGCTCTATGAAATCAATAAATACGACTTGAAATGACAATATTAAAAAAAAAAAAACTGAGTGTTTATTGTATTGTATAGAAGTAACGAGTACTTACTCGGTACTAACACTACTAACATTCCTCAGTTATAAGTTTATAACTATACACACATTTCACGACGTTTCGGGTTACGCTTCGGTGCGTCTCCTATAGTTAAGACGCGCGCGCTAGGCAATTTACCACGTTTCCTGTCTGCACCCGAATTTCGGCCCAAAGCATGTAGTAAACCAACTGGAAGTTATAATATCAACTGTACAAAACATGTAATCATCACATTACGCAGTATAATAATATACACGTACGCGTATACCAATAAAACGTGTTGTTTTCGGGATTAAGCAATTTTATGTATACATATTTATACATATTTTATATTCACTCGATAATATTTCAAATAATGCGGTAATTTATAGAAAAACAATATACGTTTTGGTACAATCGGTACCTACAGGTAATATACACTGTCACGATTAGCCATTTGATTTATACGAGCCCCCTTACGTCATGTTATCACTATATTAATAAAAAAAAAAATAATGTGACCTTTACCGATAATATATTTCCATTTACTACCCTAGAAATCAAAATCCAATCACTGCCGATGAGTGACAATTTACGTGTTTCTATATTCAACTATCTCGGTAATTCGATATTTTCAAATAATACTTCAATTGTATACTCGAAGTTTTTCATCTCGTATATGTTAGGACTCAATGCAACTTTTAACTCTTAACAGTAGATTGTAATATTGTACTTATTATAATCTAAGTATTATATATATATATACGATGTGCACACAATAATAGTTCTTGTATAATAATGTGATGAGTATTATAATCCGAAAAATTATTATTCGTGTTTTTTTTTTTTTATAGGCTATTGATCGGAGCACCGGAAGCGCAGACGACTCAGCCGGGAGTCGAAAAAGGCGGCGCCGTATTCAGATGTGGCACGTCTAGGGAGGACTTTTGTGAGAAGATACTGTTCGACAAGAGAGGTGAGTTTAGCAAAGAATATAAATACATTTATAAAATGTGCCGCCTCGGTGGCCATTATATTATTATTGGACACCCTATAATTTACGATTCGTATTGCTTATAAATGTGTACCTATACTATAAGTATAATATAATATACTATACGAGTTACACGGTTATGAAGACATTAAAATTTATAAATTATAATACCATATATTACCTGACATTATACTGTATACAACATATATATTATAAGCGTTGGATTATTATTCTTACGCATATGTTCGGACTGTTTGTACGCGTTTGTTGGCACATATAGAACGTGTTATACATTTTTTTTAGATTCTGAGCATAGCGAGGTATTAGTTTTACTATGATATGTAATGCTTATTTTGGTTTTTATTGACTGCAAGTATGTTTTCTATCAGAAATCTTGCTCCAATCAAAAAATGATAAGAGACCTTTTTTGTTGCATTTTATTGTATAGCCAGTTTTTTCATGGATATTTGGTTATTATTACCAACTATTGCGGTGGCAGTACTTAGACGGCGTATTTTGTCTATGTATAGCTTAGGTAAGATTTAGTATTTTTACGCATAGGTACGTGTGTGTGTGTTATATTATTGTAGTGTGGTAGTATGCGTTCAATATTTTCATATGAATGTATAGTTATATGTGATTGAACAGATGGCCACGGAATGCAAAGCCGCGAGGCCAAAACGAAGTAAAATTTATTATATTATATGGAAGTCCGCGTTGCGGCGATTAAAATTTAAAAGGTATCGTGATGTGGTGATGGCCTGCGAGTATATAATACGATTGTTTCGCGGACGAGAGATGGACGGGGACCTATAGAAAAACAAAATGAAAAGGAGAAAAAAAAGTACCGCGATAGTCTGGTTTTTATGATTGTAGCTATATACGATGTGGATCGGGAGTTAATGGACTTGGCGAAGAATATTACTTACTTACGAGGGCAAGAAAGCGAGAGAAGAGGAGGAACACAGATAAATTCATCGCAGTAACCTAATGTACCTATATATAATTATTATATTCTGTATTATTATTAAATTAAATAAAGTCGTCGTCGGCAACCATAATAAACTCTTTTATATACCTATTACGTATACGCACATCTATATACAATTTCGTAATTAATGAAACTTTTTTGACTGCAACATCTCCGATTAAGGTGTTCGGAAAATATTTCTTTAGCCTATATATATAATAGTAGATAAGTAGTTACCATAATAATATCTACTGCAGTTACAAAAGGTAATGTTATAGCTAATGTATTATATAGATAACCTATTATAGGTAATATCTAATGAACAACGATATGAATATATAATATACATTTTAATAAACAACAATATATCTTATACTAAAGAAAACTAGTGATGAATTATCCAAACAGTTACTATCGAACTATTCGATAGTTGATCAAATTCGAAGGGTTCAATCATTTTTCGAAATATTCGATAGTTTTCCTGAATACTATTCGATCATGGACAAAAATATTCGATAGTTAATTCATACTATTAAAAACTATCGTTAATATAATCTATTTAGAGGCATCAATCATTAATAAAAACAGAAAAACGGTAACATATAGTATTCTTTTAACGCTATATTTTACATTTTCATATTTTTATAAATCAAAACATCAAATAACAATATTATTTGAAATGCATATCTACTGAAACTCTGTAAAAATCGTGAAACGAACTTCTAATAGTTATATTTTATTTAAATAACTATATATATATATATATATATATATTTATATCGACTCTATAAATTATCCAAAAATTTTGTACACAATTTTACTAAGAAATTTGTTTTAAAAATTGTATCTTAAAATTATGTATCATCACGTTGTATATTTACATTGTTGGCACCATTTCAAATGGTGATGCCAAATTTTGCCAGACTGATGTTATACTACGTATCGATTTACGTGATGATTTTGTAGTTTAGGTATTATTTTTTATGAAACCTATCACGATTTTGGAAATATGTCAATTTCATAGAAAAAAAAAAACAAATTATAATTTACCCCGGGTTGTGATATGACCACAGATATAGATAATACGAGTAATATACTAGGTTACTAAGTTACTAAGGTTACTAACTGCTGTAATTCATATATTTGATTTAAGCCACAAACCATCGCCATTTTTTTTTAGATCATGGGTGTTATCACCTATTTGTCTATAGATCACTATTGTGTTTGTTTTTTTATCGTTTTTACTGTGGTCACCAAGACTGTGATTGGCGTAATTATGTCTAATGTTAAACATATACTAGCTGTCCTACCCGGCGTTTTTTGTACCAAAAAACGTAAAAAATATGTCATTTGGGTTTTTTGCTGTTATTCAGTCAAAAATTGTTGTAGAAATCTGTAGTTTTCATAAAATACTTGTATTGACCGGTTATAGATGCGGTAAATTTTTCAAAAAATTCAAGCTATTTTAAGGCTATTATTAGGTATTTGATATTTTTGTGTTTTTATATGTAATTTTATTTAATATATATTTGTTATTTAAATTATATTGCTTAAGAGGAATCCTTGAAAATTTAACACAAAGTACATTGTAAGTTGTACTAATTCTAAAGTACAATTTTGATTAAAATACATTAGTTTTTTTATCATAAGTGTTTTTAGGTCAAATTTTGATGAAATTGTAAAAATTACGGCATTTTAAAATATGTCTTACAGAACTTCGCTCTGGATCAGTTTTCGTTAGCTATGGTTTATCCTGTGTACAGATATGAATCAAATTATTTTATGCTTCTTATCTCCCAACTACACACCTAAAACAGTGTCTGAACCCGTCTCCAATATCAACTCTTTTTTTTATTATTATTATAAAACTGTTTGTTTATTTAAATGATACTAATTATGGCTTTTGAATTTAGGTATACATCGTTGTTTTCATATAAAAAATGACCAAGTGGTTTATAATATTAAATTCGATAAATTTAGATTTAAATTGTATTAAATTTATTTTAATTAAGAATTATGTGTTAAATGATTCCTAAATTATTTATGATATCATTTGAACATGTTTTTAGTACATAATATATTACATATAAGAAATAAATAAAGCATAAATTTAAACATGGGTTTGCGCATGGTCACTTTTGATCTGATGACGACTACAATATAATGTATTATTTTTCTTTTGTTAAAATACAAAATTAAATACATAATAACTGTTAAATGTTTTCTTTTTAATTTTCTTCTTTTTTAGGGCCTTGTTGTTAGTTTGGTTCCTGGGTCTCTATAAATGTCGTAACTCGGGACTGCTTGTGTGTACTATGCAATCCATATAATATATAACCTTCCACAACCGTCGACTATTTAAATCCAATTAAGCATTCCGTTACGTTTGATACACGACATTGTTATATTAGTTTACTGAAAATGTATTAGAGTATTGCGCATGCAGTTTGTCAATAAACGAGTATGAGTACATAGTACGACGCTTATGTTAATCAACCACTTCCTGTCTTTCTTGCGTGGGCATTAGTCAAATAGGACTATAGCGAAAACATATGAGTGTATACAGGGTGATCAATGTAAGACATTAATTATATTTAAAAATATAAATTTTCTTCGGAATTTGTTTTTTAGAACATTTAGAAACAAGCAGCTCTAAAATGTCCTATTAGGTAACGTTATTTTGTATCATCCTTATTTTCGAAATGAAACCACTACCCGCTTTGATTTTCAAATAGCAACCTATATTAAAAAGACGTCCTAGGATAATGGGGTCAGGTGCAGCCATTGTTATAAGTTATTTAATGTATACCTGTAAGCAACGAAAAACTGATTCTAAGCGGAGTTCAGTTGATAGAGATATTTTGTCAACAATATATATATATGTCATATTACGGTAAAATAATTAGATACGCATTATATATTTTCTTAGATAATATTTGTTTAATGTACCGATTTTCCGGTTTTTCCTACGTTTTTCCCAGTTTTTTCTATGTTTTTCATATTTGTTGGAAAAACTCTTGAGAAAATTGATAAATGACTTTCCTAAGTACCTTACCAGTCAAAATTTCCTTTATTTTATTTATTTATACTAAAATTGAATCGATTTACTTTCGGAGATTAACGAGTGTCCGACGTTATGCCGATCACCCTGTATAATGTCACCAGTTTATTCCGATGACTGAAATGTTTGCTACTCTTCCGATCTTGATAACGTATAAGTAGCGGAATATTATACCCGTACTGCGGGAAAGTCTAAAAGACAAATAACGTATATGCCACCGCCGCCGCAGTCATCTGTATTCCTTTCGCGTTCACTCGTTCCCCGGTTTATATTATAATAATAATAATATAATACAACCCGGTGGCGGCACATTAATATGCATACCGTTTACCCCCGTTGTACATAAATTTATAGTGTCTACGGTGATGGTATCTGTGGAATATCTCAACACCCATAACGCACCCCGTGTATATATACATTTTTTTCCCCAGTTTTTTGTTTGTTTTTTTTTTTCTTAATGGCACACCGTTAAAGTCTCCGATAAACGATCGTATACAATTAAATAATAATATTATAGTCCTGCGTTCGAATACACGTAAACAAACGAAAACAAATGTAATAATATCTTTTATGAAATTCTGTGGGCGTGAATCAACGATGAAACAAAGCGGTGAGGTCGTCGCGTTTATATTACGGTGAGATGTCATCGTCGGAAAAACCATCATTATTCGCCCGAGGCATGACCATCACTGCAGCTGGTGCGCGATGCTTTATTGTTTTTTCGTGGATACTATCGGGGTTCGGGATAATTTTATTATTGTTATTTTTTTTTTTGGCGTAAAATCAAGTACATTGTGATTATACTTTATAATATGGAAATGTATTATGTTAACTATACGCTACTTTAAATATGAAATTTGAAAGCGCATATAGTTTTTATCAGACTCGTCGTAGCCAGGAATTTCCAAAGCGAAGTGTTATGAAAACTAAAAACCTTAATTGAAATTTTTTTTTATCATATCACAGTAGGTATATAAATGTCACTAAATATTTTGTATCTAATATTTAATATCTTTAACAGATTGAAGAAAATGCTCCGAGATAGATTCATATCTTATCTATTTCGATGGGAAAACGGTGATCGTTGTGAACGGTTTAAATTGGTCATTGTTAACAAGATGTTATGAAATTTACATATAGTTACGTATATTAGGCAGATTGTAAAATTATTCATTTATCACCTTTTTATTATATACCTACCAATAATTAATAAACATGATCAAGGGATGGGGTTTTGATACAGCCGCTACACACCTCTCGCTATGCTACAACTTTTTTATTGTAGTTTTTCTGTTATTATTATTTGTTTACACATTTTATATCTTGTGACCATGCATATAGAAGATAACCTGCATCAATAAAAAAAAGGTTTTTTTTCAAATGACTAATGTGCGATAAAACTAACATTAGAAATAATTTCGTTTTTAGATTATTTTTGTTCATTAATATTATATACGGAGATTGTAACCTATATTGGTTTTTTGTTACCTACTTGTTTTTTTTTTTCGTTAGGGATTGGTTGCCATTTTGAAGAACGCTTTTTCACTTGTTTTAATGTTTTTAAAGTGCTTATAATGAGGTTTTTATAAGACCTTCTTTAGACAATTTTAAGTGCTATGTGTCCCAAACTCTGTAAAACGTATACGTTATAGTTATATTAATAGTTCATTTTAGTAAACTATAGTTTTACTAACCTACTTGTGACATAGATACGACAAAATCCATCGATTCTATTTAATTTATACGCCTACTATAATTTCCATCATATAAATCATTCATCTAGCATGTATATGAAATATCATAATATGGAGTATATAAATCAATATCATTAAACAATTTTAAAAAAATACCAACTACTTATTACTGTATGCACTACGTTAATAGTGATACGTTTAATAAATCCCAGTATAACTAGGTATGTATCTATTATATCGAATACTTATAAAATAAACATTTTTACCGTCAATTTTCAATACTTTCACGTTTTGAAATGTGCGTTGAATTACGTAAAACATGACATATCAGTTTCACATGACTGTTTTATCGGCTCCAATAACTATTATATTTACAATATGGCAATACAATTATTTGTTCGGTATCTATTCATTTTGGCCGCCAGTATATATATTATAATAATTCATTAATTGTGTGTTTTTAACTTTATCCATTGAGAAATGTTAAATAAATACATAAATTAAAACCAGTTTTATCTTAAAATTAATTATTCGTAATGCACTAATGTTAAATAATAGTACCTATATCTATTGTCTAATGAATTATTGAAAAATTGGGAAGTTCAATTGTTTTAGTAAACCTGTTTTGTATAGTGACCTATATCTGAAGTGATGTATTTCCTAATATCCTTTAATATTGTAATTTTTCGTGATTTTATCGAATTAAAATAATGCAGATACCTTATTTATTACTTTGGTTCTCATATTAATAAATCATATTAAATGTAAAACGGTAAAAATGATTATAATTTGTATAATAATGTAGCAATAATAAATAAAAAAGATAACCTTTGTACCCAGGAACTAGGCGCGGTAAGATTTAGGGCAGATATTCCGTACACCTTAATATTTAAAATAATTTTTTTTTACGATATAGTTATAATATAACAGTTTTAAATAGTTTTATTCGTCTGAATATACAATACTTATGACGACTTGTGGAGCGGTCAAGACTGAAAATTCTTTATTGTCCGTATAGATCAAATCACATAGAGACAGTGTTATGTCTGAGAAAAATACCATTCGTTTTATATAAGTATAAATAGAAGGTACATAAAAAAAAAAAAATTACTTAAACGTAAAACGGCACTTGCTGTAAGATAAAAACGATTCGGCATTCAACTGTCGTCGGGCCACCGTACCGCACGTATATCAAAAGGAATGCGATTTTTTTTTTTATCAAACCTTGCAAGATTTTCTTTTTGTTTATATTCTTTTTTAATGTAAATTTTGCCGATAAACAGAATATGTGGGGCAAAGGAGAAGCGAACATATGCAGGTAGTAGCAAGGGGGTAAAAAAACCTGGGTCGTTGAGAAACCCGTTTTTGTATCTGCTGCTGCTGCGGCTGCTGCTGCTTTTGCTGTTTATAACCACGTGACGAATAAACGGTGGAGCATGTCCATTTTTTTTCGTTCAAATCGGTACATGTAAAAAAAATCACGTCCCAGACGCAAACACGGAATCGATTCCGTTGGCCAATAGATCAAGCACGAGACAAATTACAAATTGGTTTCTACAGAATCAATGTGTATAATATGTATATATGCACACAGGGGACGACCGTACGCACATCTGTTTTTTTTTTTTGCTTTTCAAAGACGAGATCATCACCGTTTTCATGGTCTGTATTTCAAGGTCTCGCGTATAAGTAGGTATTATGTATTTATTTGTCACATAAATTAAATACATTTGAATTGGTTCCGACAAAAAATATAGCGGTTTATTATAAGACAAATCGTGATTGCATGATATTGTTGAAATATTGAAAACTGTGTAAAATGAATACGAGGTAAAAAAAAATTCTACATTTGATGAAATATACCTTTATGGAAGAATAACGCCCGTAGAGATATCAATACGAGTATTTTAAAGAAACCAAGTACCTACTGGGATACTTGATTCAAATTTGTTCATATACTGTAACTAATTTATATATAAATGATAAAATATAATATATATATATATATATATAGGTATTTAATAAGATATTATTAAAACAATAGTCAATGAGTATAATGTTAGTTCTTTACTGTATGTGATTTACATTCTATTTTATTTGACTAAATAATTTAGTAAATACAATTGTATTTACTCGGACCAATGTTTTTGATTAGATTATTTGAGTGAAATAAAAAAAATTAACACGTGTTTAATAAATAATATATTATTATTTTGTTTTAATTCGTGTGATAAACATGAATTTTGTTTTGTAAACTCAACATTCTAAATGCATGGAAATAATAATTTTAACAATAATATAAAACACTATATAAGGAGAACTTTAGATGTATAATTTGATTTACATTACAATCCTTTATTGTGCTTATAAACCGTGTATTGCGTTATATTGGGTTTAATGTAAATAAATCGTCAATGAATCGTAATAAGTAGGAGACTTACAATATTCTAAGCATAGTATAAATATATATATATATATATAAGTTGTATTGTATATTGTAAATATTCATAAATAAGACAGTTTCATATAAGTTTTTCCTTGTAAGTATAGTTATATTCAACTACAGCGTATATTTTTTTATCATTATTCTGTTATATTAACCATAAAACGAGAATTATAATAAACAAAAGTCTAGACAACATACCAAGATAAAAATATTCGGAATGCAATATCATACTTATGTTTCAACAGTAAAAAAAACAAAATTTTTTCTTAACTAATATTGAATACAGGCCCATAGCCAAATCATCAAGTGAGGCAAGCCAAATTTTAAGAGAATAATAGAATAACTATAATATACCATTACATATACATATTTAATACTTGTTGGGGGGTAACAATTAAGTCCAAGGAGCAATGCCCCCCTTGCCCCTCGTGGATACGAGTCTGATTCAATATTAAAGATATTCAAATTGAGGTAATAATTCAATTGAAGTATGTGTATAATGTGTACGTAACAAATGTTAATATTGATATTAAAAACAAACGGCCATACTTCGCACGATGGGTGGATCACTGTTGTGGATGAGAAGTTGGGAATGTATTCAATTTAAGGGGCAATTTAATGTACATACGTACACAACAATTAACCATTGCTAATGAAAAACTATTCTGAGCGGAGTTCGGTCATATACATGTTTTGAAAGGCCGTAATATTTATTATTTAGAAATAATACATTTTGTAAATTTTCCCGGTTTTCCTTCGTTTTTTCCTACGTATTATGAAAACCCCTCAGAAAATCAATGACTTCCCTTAAATATCACCTCAGTGAGATTTTCTTTCAGAAAAAATGCTTCACTTAAAAATCGAAGCAAAAATTCTGGTAGTAAAGTTATTCACAGATAAAAAAAAAATAAACATCATTGTAAAACCAATACATTCCTCGCTCCGCTGAGCGAAAATATCTAAAATATTTAAAAAGTAAAATTGGGAAGTTTTCTTTTATATAATATTGTGTTTTGGATTTTCTATGATGTTTATCCAATTTTTTTTATTACTATAAATACTAATTATCACAGTATTGTTGTCTTTAATTTTAACAACGTAGGTAATAGTTTTATTATATATTATAAATTTTGTTTTTATTCTTAAAAAAAATATTCGTAATCGTTATAATATATAAAACAGATTTTTATTTGTTTAAGATCCAGCCAATGCCGTGAGAAAAATCATCCCTTCATAAAGTAAAAAAAACACCCGAGTTTTAAATTTAGTTTTAGGGAACTATTCTGGTACTTTTTAAAATAAATGCCCTCTTGTTGACAGCTGAAAATGAATGAAGGGTAAATTATTTTACATGCTTCAATGATTGAACACATTGTGTTATACACCTACCTACTTTTGAATTGAATTGTACTACGCAGGTATCCGTACGAATTCAATCAAATAATATTAATAATAATAATTCAACAGTCATTCAATATTATATATAGTTACGTACCATGACCTGCAATTACACCCCAATAAAGAAGGGTAATAAAAATGAACTTCGAATATTATTATTTTCTCTAGGTATATACATCTATATTGTTCGGTTTTTTTATTAGCTTTCGAAAATATGGCTTAACAATAATATTATATTGATATAGGTGGTTATGAATATAGTTAGGTACTATAAACACAAACCAGCGATTACGAATAATAATTTATTATTATTAATAAAAACTCGATTTGATTAAATTTTTAATCGTTATTTAGTCTTCTCGCGAGTTTACGAAATCAAATTTGTATAATATCTATATACGGTATACCACTAAATTATTAATACTATTATACAGAATATAATATATAATTATAAAGGTATATGTTATTATACTAATACAGATTATTACCGTATTTTCCGTACCTATATAGTATATTATACATTTTCGTATAATACGTCTCATATACCAAAGTTATTTAGGTCGTATCTATTGGCATTTGATGTAATGATTAGTGAACTTGCGGGTTCGTTAACCTCGAAAGGAAAAGCGTATATAATATATATGTATAGGAAGGAGCACTGGAGGTAAGTATATAATATAAGAGAAGGCAGTTCAAAATAATAGGAAAAAAACAAACTTGTCGTTGGTAACGGATCTGACCGTATAACATTATCATCCGGATAGTTTGATGTTCGTCCGTGTATAGGTACGCAAACAAAACTCTTTTTATTTATTCTGCGTACGTAATACTAGTTGTCCGGTTAAGGAAAAGCGCGTTCTGAGAAGATGATAAAAAAAAATGTCATACACTACTACTACCACTACGTTGACCGTGCATAAGTGGTTCGGATGATGCTGCAGCAGCAGCAATGGCTGCATCAGCAGCACGCAGTAGCAGTTTATATAGAAAAGAAGGTCGTCCCGAGTTCTATGGCGTTAAAAAACACACACCACCACGCATCATACGCATGTATTATTATATTATAGTGGCTTGACTATATTTAGGTATTGTTTTTTCAACAAACATCCACAAGTCCATATCTGTGACCCACTAGTCACTATATTCTGCGGCGACGTATTCGATTATATTAATTTTGTCGCCACCGCCACTGGTACAATAGCTGTTTCATCAGACGGATATATATACCCGGCTGTATCTATTATATATATATATATATATATATTATGTATATATATGTATATTATAACTTCAACCATATGGCCAACCGCTATTGTTAAGCAAATTGTTATTGTTGTTGTTTCTCTGACTTTTGCGTATGACACCTATGACCCAGCATTAAAAAAACAATTCCGAAACGATCAATATATTCATAAGAATCTCATTAATTGTTCGTACTTAGAGGTTTATAATATTACTTATCAACTGATTTTTATTGGGACGCTTACAGATTTAAATTGATATTTTATGGAACGAGAAAGTTAGTATAATGACTTCATTACACATAATTATTATATTATTATAATCGTATATGACTAGAAAATGAATGATAGACCTATTTCATTTTTATCGATAACTATTTTTTTCCTATTTTAAACTATATGGTAATTATGTAGAGACCTTAATCACAATAAAATATTATTTAAATAGGTTCAATTAAATAAAACGGCAAAAAAAAAAATAAATACAAAAATGTATCACTAACTAAAATCAAAATAATTCATATTATTTTTTTATTAATTAAAATTGGAAATCGTACTTAATTTGACTAAAATTCAAATGCCAGTATTTTATAGACATAAGTATGTATTATATTTTTGTAAATACTCGTATAACCAAGAATTAAACATCAATGCATTAGGTATGCAGAAAAAATTAAACAATGAGACGGAACAATTATTTGTAATAGTATCAACTGTAATAGTCAATTCTATGATAAACAACAGAGGAAAAAAATAATTTTAATTTTATATGGGAAAGTTTTTTTTTTTACCAACTATTCATACGTTACGGTCTGTTGAACCCTCTAAGTGCGAGCTATATGTTTAATTAAATGATTTATTAAAAATGTTTTATATTATTATAATGTGTTATATAGATTACCTATTGTTATATTTTAACTTATTCAACTTTTAAACAGCTATATAATTAAAACACTTTTTTTTCAAAAAACAGGAAACAATAATTCAACCGAATTGATGATTCAAATAGACAGTAAGTCACGTCAATGGTTTGGCGCAACAGTGAGAAGCTCGGGAGACGATGGAGTAATTTTGGTAAGTTTTAAACATTCGTGATGACTCGCAATATACAGTTTTATAACTCTCAATCTACAGAAACCTAGTAATTAAACGGTGCTTATATATTGTGTATCGTTTATATTAAATTTACTGTTCCTCGATTAATTTATTTAATTGTGTTTGTCTTAAATTAAGTTCAATAAATATTTTACTGCTATATCAATAGTTATTAGAAGGTATGATGGGGATATAAAATCCCACTGTCTTTTTTATAATGTTATGCCCCTAGTAATCATATTTGCAATCAAAAATCGATTGTGAGCAGAAGAGTATTTGTGTTTTTCCTTGTAGCTAAGGTAACCCAAAATCGACAAAAATAAAACTTATGTATGTTGTTGTTTGTTATTAGTTTTTAAATTAGATAGAAAAATTTTAGAAGATTTAGAAACTGTTTCATATAAAGTACCTACCATCGGTTGTAAAATCCATGATTAATCCAAGCATATTTTCAACAATTTCTGATTTTTCTGATAATTGGTATAATATAGGTATATTTTGATAAAAAAAAATACAGCTGATATCGAATCCTCTTAAAGTACGATTTATTTACGACATTATTTTTACTAACCGAAAAAGTATTTTCCGAGAAAAATAAAACCGACCTGTAGAGAGAGAATTATTATGTACATTAAAAAATTTACTTTTTCAAGTAAAATTCAACCGTGTAAAAATTCCATACATTATAAGGTGCTGTGAGAAATAGTTACTTTTCTCATCAAAAATGTGTTTTTAAAAAAAAACAACAATGCAATTTTTGAAAAAAGTATTGCGTGTTTCAAAAAAAATGTTTGTATTAAATACTATTTGACGGAAAATTTTAAGTATAGCATAAAGGCATAAACAGAAAACTGTTTTTTTTAAAAAAAAAAAAAAACCAAATTAATAAAACAAATGGGCAGCTTTTTCGCTTCACTCATAATCTAAAACATAGACATCTATATAGATAATAGAGGGTGAGATGGGCTCCACACAAAGTTTACCTAACATATTTAGCATCCACTACAGAATAAAATGATAACTACGCCACTGGGTACCTACCATAATAAACAGTAACTAAGTTGATTTATAGGTTTATTCATATAAAAGCTAAAATAATATTACATGATGTAAATACGTAAAAACCTGCAACTGTCATAAACTTTTATCAATTTCGGACTTCATAATATTCATAATATTATAACAAACTAATTGCACCGATCTGGTGCAATAACCAGGCATTGCCGCTTTGTAAATTATCCAGGAGAATCAATAAATACTACGAAGATGAAAAGTTACAGTTAATAAATAATTTCCATAAAACTGCAGAAATGAAAAAAAAAGAAGGCATATAGGAACGAATGTAAAGGGGTTTAATTTTTATCCGTAAGCAATGATAAACGATTCCAAATGAAGTTCGGTTAATCGTGTTTTGGAATGTCGTGATTTTTTTACAATTTTCGTCAAAATGTGAACTTAAATGCTTTAAAAAAAACTATTACATTACGCATATTTTTTGTTTTTTTACTACTAAATATACAACTGATGATATTATATTATCGAGAATTTTGCTTGGTCAAAATACAATTATACCCACAAAAAATCAAATAAGATCAACAAACTACAATAATTTTAAATGGCCTAATAGCTTAAAAATAATAGCCGGAATATTTTGAACATTTAACCACGTTTAGGAAGGGCTAGTATAATTATTCGGTGATAACGTTTTTACGATTATTTGTAAGCGTATTAAAAAAAAAAAAAAAATCAAAACCAAAAATAACTAAAACTAAACCTCGTAGATTTTCTCTTTTTTTCCGACGTATTTTCCCGATTATTAAGAAAAAAATACATACAAGAATAATAAAAAAAATGCTACCTCAGCAAACTAACTAGACAACATATTTTGAAACCAGAAACTTCTTTTGACGTTGACAATCGGAACAATATTTCTGGTAGAAAAGTTATTTACAGATAAAATAAATCTCGCTTCGCTCAGAATCTAAACCGTTATTAAAATACCTACGTATAAAGCTATAACAATACAATTAATTTGGCGAAGATTAGATATGTTTGGCTTTCATCGCGGTACTCGTCGTGTTATTGGTCATCGCGGTCAATTTTATAATATTTTAAAGCCTGTAGAATGCTAATGACTCATTAATATTTAATAGCGACCGCTCTGTATCTATACAAGTGATTTATCACGGAATTTGTCATGGAGTTCAGGAGATTTCTTTCCACAGTCGTATTTCGGTATAATATTTTATACCTCCGCTGGCTACTGCAGTAATCAATCAACATTGATTTACCATCCGAATAATATTAATGTTTCACTTCTCGTTGGCGCATAACGAAATTATAATTAAGCGCTGCATACTATAGGTACAAATAGATATACATGCCTAATAATATAATATTTCGATTTTCATTTTTAATTACGCACAATATTAATTTAGTAGGATGCACGAATTCAATTTGTCTATTTACTGGTATAAATATAGGAATCCCAGGGGGTCTTCTACATACGTGATATTTCCTTCGTCTATATACTCATGTTATAATATAATTGAGTTGTTGTAAAGTCTGTACTTCAACCCACGCGTACTTGTTCAATATTCATGTTAATTGGATTCCGGACTTTTATGTTTAAAAAAACTAAAATATGATACTAAATATTCTCGAAAATATATATATATATATACATATATATATATATAAATATTCCCATAAAAATTAGAAAAATATGTACATTTTTTTTATGCAAAAATAATCAATAAACGTCAAAATATGCTTAATATACTATTTGTTTTTTTTTCAAATGTTATTAAGATGGAATACAAATTCATTGCAACATAAAATAAAAAGATTTATGCCAGACAAAATATTTAATAATTTAATAAACAAATACGTTGTTTATATCATTATGAAAATGACTGTCAGCAGATTAGAGCCACCGTATACTTAGCGAAGACAAGACAACTTATTAATATCAGTGCGTGTCTTTATTTTATTCAAAATGATAATGATATATGAACGATTCAAATAAAATTTTACATGTACCTACCTTAAAATTTAAATTTAAAATATTTTTTTTGTTTACCTACGAGTATATAATACACAAAATATTTTTGAATACAGTAAAACCCGTAATAATTGCATTCAAGTGACTATTTAAAATTAGTCATAATAACCGAAGATTGCCATTAAAACCAAAATGATAAAATCAAATTTAAAAATTTGATATTGTATTATGTATATGTATTTATATGAATATTGTATTACATTCAATATGTCATATTTTTATCACTAAATCGTAATTTAAAATTTAAAAAAAATTATTTTTTACTAATAATAAAATTAAATACAGTTTAATACAGTCAATATAGATAACAGATTTTTTCAATTAACCAAAATTAACCGGCATAACATCCGTACAGTCATTATACAGACATCATAATAATCGATACAAATAAGTCCATATACAATAATAGGAGTTTTGCTGGGACATTCAATCTATAGTTAGTACACCCGATATATTACAACAACTAATTATTTCATTATAAACGATAACTACGTTGAATGTTCCCCAATCCCTGAAATATTTTCAAATATGCAAAAAACACTTTTTGCTGTAAACTCGATGTTTAATGAATCGTACGCGTGTTTTATTCTCATAAAACTGCATATTATATTCAAATAGCTACCAACCATAATCACATTTTACTAATAATATAGGTATCTACTGCAGTTAGTATCTAAATTATGATGAAAATAAGGACAAAGGTAAGGCGATAATATTTTGTATTTACCGAGGATGCCATAGTCGAATTGTGTAATTTAAATTAAATTAAAACATAATTGCTATACATATTGTAAACGTGATGTCGTTAAAATTTTTTTTCAATTACGGAACATTTTATACCTATTACCTATAAAGTAATTAATACTTTCTCAATGGTCTTAAAAACTTATTTACCAATATTCCAATTTAGACGACGACCTTTGTGTTTTTTTTCATTTCAATTTCAAAACATCGTCAGTTAAAATATAATTAATTGATTTAATTCAGATTTTATTACGAAATAATAGCTTATATGGGTATAATATTATGGTTATTACGGATATTTGGTATTTATTGTTTACGTTTATGAGCCAACCGTTTTCCACGTTATCAATTAAATATCATATTTGTTTAGTTTTTTATTTCGTTTATTGTTTACATGTCTATATAATATAATAATGGACCCTAATAATAAAAATAATTGCATGTTACACTATAATTGCTATAAATACTACCGGGATTTTAAGTATACATTTGCATCGACTATACTATGCCTATAATATAGCACACAATCAATAACAATAGTAATTAACATTAATATATAATTAATACGTTTCTGTGACTATAGCCTATAGGCACTTATTAGGTTATGTACTATTTAGTTATACAAAGTGCTTCTGCAGGATTTTACGATTTCCAATGGACTCCATGTACCTAATTGTATAGAAAATTGTTAAATTCTGCAGATACGCTCTGTATACGTATACTATTAACTAAAACGATATAAACATAATATTATGATATTATTACATTAGTATTTTTTGAAACGTTTACATGTAAGTATACGAGATATCGTATGATATTAGAATATACATTGTTAGAATGATAATATATAATTGTATAAACATTATTGAAGGATTTAATTTTAAAAAAGTATAATAGGTGGACGGTTGTGAGAAGATAGGATGTAGTTATTTAATTCATATTTTTACGTAATAATAAATCATTGCCAACGATTTTGAGCTAGGTTCAGTTAAATATCGTATATCTTGAAATATTTTCAAATATAATATATATTATCAAACATTTTGGTTAGACTAAAAATTATATTCACATAAGACAAAAAAATATTACGGGAAATTACGTGATTATTTTATGTTTTCCATTGAATTTTTACTTTCAATGTAAAACTACTACATTGTACTCTCAACTTTTCTTTAGACAATTAAGTACAACTTGTGATGAATTTCGTATAAAATTGGCAAGCATTTCTACTCAGCCGAAACCATTTTATCCACATACCAAACCATGTAAAAACTAAATAAGATTAAATGCCTATTAATAAGTAGCTCAAAAATCTTCAGAATATTTTTAAAATTTTTTCTTTAAATATTCTGTGAAAATTTCTGATCACGAGAACTATTTTTAGTAACTATTATTAACTGTTAAAAAAAAAGCAAGTATCGAAAATATTTGAAGCCATTATTGCTGTAAAACTTTTCCATTTTTCTTACGTTTTATCCTAATTATAAAGAAAACTACAAGAAAAATAGATCTCAAAATGCACACTATACAAAATATTTGTTTTTAGAAAAGATGGTACACTTGAAATCGAAGTAATATTTATGATAAAAAATTTGTTTACATACAAAAAAGAAAATTTTTAGAGCAGTTTTTAGTATTTTTGAGAAACTTTTAAGTCACGTTAAAAATCATTTTTGGAGCATTTTTCAATAGTTTTACCTAAAATTCAGCTGTTTTCACATAATATCAACGACTAGAATGAATTATAATATAATTTTTTGATTTTTCAGAAATATTTAAATAACCTACTATTTATTGAATACTTTTTAGGGCAAAAAATGGGGATCTTTTGATAAAATACAATATTATTTTTTGTTTGTACCACTTATGATACAATTTGAAGTACGCACCTATACTGATTTAATCGTGTGTGAACTCACTGCATCAAATGGTTTTTCTAAATTTATCTATTTGAAAATAATTATTTTAACGAGTTAGCTGAATTGTATACACAATTCTGAAAATCCATAACAAATTAATTAAATATAAATATTTTCAAAAAAGTATTATGTTCAAGCTAAATTACATTTAAAAAATAATAATAATCGAGTAAAATTCTTTATCAAACGTTTTACATAATACCGATGCAATTTTTCTAATGATGTCATTTGAAAATGTTTGGGTACGCTAAACACTATGTAATTATATCATATTATAATATGTTATTATAAATCGAGTATTTTAGTTGTATTGACTATATTATACCTGTAACTAATTATTCTTAATAGGCTAAAGAGCAAACCGTGTTTTTATAAAAAATAAATAGAATTACCCATGTATAATATTATAATAATATGCTCAATACTTTCAGGAATTTACAATCGTTTAAAACAATTTATCCGAGGTGTTTAATACATACAGTGAGTGTAACTGGCTCAATAATTTTCCATCGTAATAATATGTAGGTACCTACCTATGCTACATGTATATTGTATAGTGTATACGCTGTTCAGTACTTTCTATAAAACCGTGCGAAGTAATTAATACCCATAACACTATAGGTGGCATTGAAATTCATTCGTTGTTTGTTAAGAAAAAAAAAATACATACAGCCATAAAAATGTCGAAGAACGGTCGTATACGACATAAACGTATTGCAGAGTTAACTATAAATCAATTACAACGCCAACGATCAAATGTACCAGTAACTATGTATAATAATAAAGCTGCTGCTTGCAGAGTCTTTCAAGATTTCAAGGATATTTTAATTTTTTAAATTTTTATATGATTATTTTCGCAGAATTAAAATGGTATAATATACTAAAACAATAATGTCATGATGATATATCTACGTATTATGTAATATGATGTCATCTGTACATGGCTATAATTTCTACATGTCATGCGTCTAATAGATAATAGCGTAATATGCGTCTAATAATAGCGAAGCAAAACGGTTTATTTACAATACATAATACATGATTAGACCACGGATTTTAAAGTTTTAAAAATTCATTGAGAAAAAAACTATTATATGAAATCGATTGTTTGAAATATTTTCCGCCAATAGGTTAGGAATTACACTAAAATCGTTTAATATTAATAATAATAACAAACAAAAGGAGCAGCATCAGTTCCTTTTTGTTTTAAGTGTACCTGCAATATTATGTATGTGAAGTTGAGAAAATAGGATACATAGAGTTAATTTAATTTATATCTGTATTCGACGATAAATCATTACCAATGAAAAACAATTCTGATCAAAGTATTATTAGGTAGTCGGATATTTTTCTTTGGTGTTAAGCATCACCACTTAGGTTTTCCGATTTATTAAAAAAACTATAATAAAATTAAAAATTGAACTCCTCAGTACACCAACTAGATCAAAAATGTTACAGGAAAATTCCTATAAAGTTTTTGATTAGAACAAGATTTCTGGTAGGTAGAATAGTTGTTTACAGACACTAAAATAAAAAAAAAAATCAATAAATTCCTCAGTTAGCTAAAAATCTAAAAGTTTAAAATCTAAAACTAGAAAAATCATATTTATGCAACTTAAAAAGCTTCAATTAGACTTACGAATCGATTGAAAAAATAAACAGTTTTTCAAAACTTTATAGGTACATAACAATTTATTTGTTGATTACCATTTTGTTGCAGATTAACATTTTTCTTTTCGACTTTGCATATATTTATATCATATTACCATATCGTCACAAAAATGTATCTTTTTTTCAGCATTACTGACGAAAAAGGTCGCATCTCTGTCTAGATCAGATTCGAAATTAGAGAAAAAGTGAAATATGACCTTTTTCGTTGTGGTGGTTGATACGCAGTGACGCCAAATACGTATTTTAGGTGGATCATTTGAAAAACCTAAATTAGGTGGGTGTTTGCTAGCACTGGTTTGTACATAAAGTTTTTATTTAGTAGGCATACTTATTATAATTTGTATAAAACTATGAACATGCCTACAAGTTACAACACCGATTAAAAGAAAATACATTACTTTATTAACGTGTAGCGTGTGCATAAGGATGTTTAAACATAGAATATTAAATATTATGAATAATGAATGCGTGTAGTGTGTCACTGATACGATAAGAGATTAAAGATTTGAACCAAATATAGAAGTTGGAAAAAGTACGAGGATACGCCTTTTTTTCGTTTCGGCAGACTTTTTTACGCGTACATATATTATAATAATATGGTATTTATGTGTATGGTATATGTGATATATTGTTATAGAAGATACGGAAACGATATATTCTTATACATACCTATAACAATATATTTATTATGTACGGTGTTTAAATAGCACTTCCATCCGATAGGTTCGCGATAGTAATTATTAAATAATGTACTTATGTAATATATCTATTCTACCTATAGAAACATGATCAGGTTTTATCGAATGCTGCAATTTTATTATGGCCATATAAGAGACTCAACCTGTCTGTAGATGGTTATTTTTCGAAGAATTCCGTCAACACGAATCCGGTATAGTTTTTTACTATCACGCGCGTATATAGTTGCATATCTTTATAAAAATATATAAAATAACCCCGATAAAACACCGTTTCATCGTCGTCGAGAGAATATAATTATTGATGATTTTTCCTTCTTCAAATATTTTAACCGTATAGAAAAAAAATCCGTTATATCCATACTCTGTATTATAGTATTATGATGGAGTTTTTTTAATACATCATCATCATCATCATCGTTGTCTAGGATAAATATGATGTTAGCCCCGTTTCTCTTCGCAGGTGGTTATTGTCAAAAGTGCTGTTGAGTATACTATATGTTATTATTATTAAACACATGACGGTTTGGAATAATCTCGATTGTCCGTATATTCGAGAAACACAAAAGATTCGAAATCTCTTTAGGAATTGTGATGATGGGATCACCAAAATTTATATAAATATATATATACACATTGCAGCATTACGGACAAAAATTACAATCATATTATTGTGTGTACCGTGATTTTTCGAAGCGTGCGTTAAACATTTATTTACATAATTCTTTGGTGTTTGTTTATTAATGTTTATTGTATAAAATATATATACACGAAAAAAGAAAGAAACCGAAAGAGAATCAATCGTTTAGCGATTTTATTATTTTATACAGACGTATAAAAATAAGAAACAACTAATAAAACAATTGTAATTCCGTGTAGACTTTTTGATATTGAATGTTGCACTTAACCACACTTTTGGCATATGCCTACTAAAGACAGATATTTATATGTATGTGCATATTTTTATTAGTAGGACGAAAAAATAACTAGTTTATACTAAAATGTGTTTCATGACCTACCAATTCTATACATAAAAAATATATTTTGCGTATTTAAAATAGGGTAATCGTATTTTGGGCATTGTACATTTTTAGAGCATATTTTATAATTTTTTTTTTTTATGGTTACTTTAAAAAAAAAAAATACTAATATGTTCTCCTTAAGATTGTAACTCAACCAATCGAGAGTTGTATAATATAGCATATATTTAAGATTTATAAATAAGAGCAGGCGAACTGATAACTTTAGTACTCGAACCAGGAAAAAAAATTATTCTTTTCACTCAAATTAATTGTTATAGGTTTTCCAATTCATTGTAGTTTAGTATAACAAAATATTCATATTTCCAATAGTTTTATTAAAGACATATTTGAATAATTTATATGGTATAACTGCATGCATCAAAGGTCGTACACGAAGGGTTAGGGTTTATCCCTACCCAATATTTGAAAAAAGCATCATATAGGTACTATAGTTTAAAATGTTTAATTGTTTACTTACTAACTCCCCCACCCGAAATATGTTCCTAGAAACAGTTGTATACGTGCCTGCCGTGTATGCCTATATCATTATATTATTATTAATATATTTTTATTTATCTATTAAATATCATTCTCTGCCTTACATATTACTTATAATATTATATCGCGGGTTATATACAAACCGCGGCGAATATACATATGTTCGATGTATTATTATTGTTGTGATTATGAAATCGGACACCCTCGTCGACTATAATAATATGTCTATACGGACCACTAAGTCGCGGTATACAAGAGCTATCTACTCCTGGAATAATACACGCAAATAACATTATGCGGTTATATAGTAGACCGATGTCTTATCATTATCGTTTTTTGTTATTATACACTTGTCCCTGCCGCTGCCGTCACCTGACTTGAAATACTTATGATACTTATAGTATAATATTAATAGTAATAATAATATGATACTATGCACTGAATGAAACAGAATGCCGCCACGCATCCGATCCGGTTTACCCGAGGTCAAAGTGGATTGTAAAACGAGCATGTCGCACGCCTGAAGCTCCTCCGCGGGTACCCGCCATCCACTGCAGTATACATACGTAGATATATGACGTTAAAACGACGTAAAAGGCGATTTTTTTCCCTGCCTTTCTTTTCGCTCTCCATTGTATTCGATTTTTATTTTTTTACTTACATACTATCGTTCCGCGGGATTAGCGGAGGAGCCGAGGGGAGTGTACGATGGAGGGATACCCGAAGAGAAAACTATATTTAAATACAACGACGTAAAACCAATAAATATTAACCAATGTTGTCGTATTATACTATATTATATATTTATACATTATACAGGTAGTCGAATACGCACCTTGCTGCGGTCGTGTGCGGTTTGCAAGAAAAAAACATTATACAACTTCTATGATAAGTCGTGTGTGATGGTGGTCGTGCGAATATAATATCACTGACCCCTAGGTATAGTAATACAATACAAGTGTGCAGTATGGTCGCACGCATTTTCCTCCTCGACTGGGAAAATAATCTATTCGATATAATATAATATCCTAATCCAAAAGCCGCGGTCGTCAGTGACAAATTATCGTGATTGATTTTATTTCCCAGTGGCGGCAATTAATATTATAGTAAAAATATACCCGGTTACTAGTTAGGTTTAAAATTGTCGGTGTATTCGAGTAGCGTCCATAAATAATATTTTGTCCGAGTTGCGTCTAAGATTTTATCACGACACATCAGAGTTGCATCCGCGTTAATTATTGATATATACATATTTTCCTTTCCACTTTTACAGATTGATGAGGACTGTCATTTATATAAATGATATTATTAAAAATATATTATATATTATATATATATATATATACGCAATTAGTGTGCCAAAAATATCCAAGCGAACATGACGTAAAGACGACTATTTAACGTCTATAATTTCAGTGGCATGCCCGGGAATTTTCAATAGGAAAGAATGTAGTAATAATAATAATAATAATAATGATTTTTGAACAAATCTTAGAATCTCCTTTTACTATGCCTAACTCGACGGTGAAAATTTAAAAGCCGGATTGAAAAAAAAACAATTTTTATATATTTATAAACCTAGTACATAGTACCTACATTATTTTATATTCTGGCCCACTGTGGAATGAAAGAATGATTTTACCCCCCCCCCAGTCTGTACTATCCCTGCACTGTATGATGTTATATTACTTGAACTCAACCCAAGCCATTATGACTGCTAATAAAGCTACTATAAAAGATACGTGAAACTTTTGTGTTAGATAATTATATTTTGTATGGTTTTAATTCTCCTTTGTTTACATCATCGACATTAATAATATCCACCGATTTTACCATACATTTGCCGAACATCGTACCTATAGTTTGTATTGTTTTAATTTATAAACAGTGCCTTGGTTTGGTTATAGGTTTTATAACACTATAGTAATAATACATAATCATAATTCATAATATCATCAAACTATTTACCTACTCTTTCTTCACTATATATGCTTATAACGTATACGTGTTCAAAAATAATATTTTGGTAATGGTTGAAGATGCGTAGTGTATACGATAACACGATGATGGCAATAATTTCACAAATAAATAGAAATTATTCCTATAAATAACCGTATTTTTTTTTTAATCTTAAATCCTTTCGCACGTACCTATTTTATTTTTTTTTCAAGTCTCATCCAACCATATGTTGTTTATACTTCATTCACAATTATTATTTTGATCAGTTATGCAATATACAGTTTGTTTTTTTTTTAATTTTGATATTGGCACTTTACCAAAAACTAAAAAAATATTATACAATTCATGCTGTATGTTAATAGTTTATGAATTTTACAGTTTATATATACGATAAATTGGTATGTAATTAGATAGTGCAAGCACGACAAAGGGAGTTATTAATCTCATATGATGCATTTTTGAAATTCCAATCGAAGCGGAGTAAGGAATGTATTGGTTTGAAACGTTTAGACTTCATTTTATACGCGTGAAAATGATTTTAACCAGAAAATTCGCTCCAATTTTCAACATCACAGTTGATAGCTACTCGTAGAATTTGTGATCTATGTATAGTTAGTCATTTTTACAATTTCGGTTATTAATTATTAGTTTTAATAGGTGTGCTTTTTTTTTTTTTGTAAAACCTTTCTACCAAAAATCTTGCTCCAAAGTATCAAGCACTTTTTCTGGAAAATAGTTTTCTTCATTTTTGGTGCATTAGGCAAGTCATTTTTTTGGTTTCAAAGCAGTTTTAAAAATTGGGAAAACCGAAAAAAAACGAGTAAATTTACGAAAATAATGCTATTATTTTCAAATTTGTTTTTTTGTTATAATTTAATTAAAAATATTTGCAGATACATTAAATCAGAAACCTTATATAAGCCTTGTATAGACGTGATCAAATTTTCAAAATATTTGATCCATTTTTGAGCTTATTATAGATATTTTAATTTTGTGAGTTTTTTGCGTAATATTTATTCGGTAAGTACTTTGTGAATAAAATAAAATTAGTAAACCAAACAAAAATACATTAAAATTTAACAAGAGGTTCATTATAAGTTATACTTAATGGTAAATAAGAAAAAGTTTAGTTTAATGTAGTATTATTTTTTTTTTAATAAGAATTGTAATATCAAATTTTGACGAAAATCGTAAATATTACGGCCTTTTAAATGATTCATCGTCGCATATAAAAATAAATTAAATTCCCCTGTATATCTTACCTTTTCAACATCTCACCTATAACAGTAGTCCACCCATCGTGCTAAATATATCCATCTTTTTTTTTACTTATTTATTATTTTAGGAATTTTTAATAAAGGAGTAAAATCACAGGGAAGAAGAATAATAACAACACTCACTACGATTTTAATAAAACTGATTTTGCATTTTTTTTTTTTTTTTTTCTAAAATTTAATTAGATAATCGTAGAGATTGATATTTACTAATAATAATAATATTTATGATGAGTTTTATTAATATTTTTAAGTGATTATATAGTGATTTTAATTGAAAAATCAAATTTCCTAGAATGTATACGAGTACTTTTAATTAATTAATTATTAATTTAATTTCGATAGGTAGCGGTACGGACAATAAATATTAAATTGATCGTCATTGATTTCCCGCCGCTGATATGAAATTCATAGTTTGGCATTGGCAGTGTAGGGTTTATAGTTATATACGATAAAAATTATTAAAGATAGAATGTATAGTAACCGTAAAGTTAAACCCACTGAGATGTTGTTCTAGGTAGTCTTGGTATACTATTATGCAGCGTTGGAAATTTAAAAAAAAAAAAAAAGAGCTTATATTGGAAACGATTACAGCCATTGTTTTAGGTGGATAGTTGGGAAGATCGAATATATAATGTTATTTAATTTACATTTGTAACCAACGATAAGCCATTGCTAACGAAAAGTGATTCGGAGAGAAGTTAGGTTATACATGTTCTGAAAGACCAAAATATTTACGATTTTCGCCAATATTTGATTTTAAAACTCTTATAAAAAAATATTACACTCATTTTTTTTTTCTACCACTAAGTGCAACATATAATGAACCTCTTGTAAAATTTTCTATATTACAATATATAATAAGCAATTTTATCCACAGAGTACCTACCAAATAAAAATTACATAAAAAACTCATGAAATTAAAGAGCCTATAAATAGCTCAAAAGTAATTACAATGTTTTGAATATTTCACCGTGTCTATAAAAGGCATATATATTAAGTTTTTCCAATTTTAAAGTCTCTAAAAACATTTTTAACTAAAGTACAACAAAAAATATAATTGAAGATAATAAAAGCATTATTTTCGTGAATTTACTCGTTCTTTTTAAACATTTTTCGATTTGCTCAATAAAAAAAAAAGAAAAAAAAAAGTATATAAAGAAAATCAATGACTTTCTTGGTCACAAACTAAAATAAAAACTCAATAAAAAAGATCTCTCATTGTTTATTTTTATTAAAACAATATGTTTAGTAGAAAACGAAAGGAGTAAAAATGTAAAATATTAAAAACGTAACATTGTAAATTTGTCAATTATCATTTTAGGTTCTTTCCCGGTTTTTGTTACTTATTAATAATACTACAAAGAAAGTAAAAAAATGAATTACTTGCTCACGAACTAGATTTAAAGTGCAACGAAAAAGGTTTTCTTGGATTTTTTCAGCTAAGAGCAATATTTATGGTAGAAAACAATTTGGGTTTTTCTCATATCTTTCGAAAACCCTTGAAAAACCGAAAAATGATCTCTCTAATGCACCAACTAGACAAAATTTCTTTTCACTAAACTCCATACATCGGAGCAAGATTTTTGTGGAAAAGTTGTTTACAGAGAGAAAAAAAAGTGAAACGTTAAAATAATATGATTTAATATTAAACGCTATTTTAGATTGTATCTATACTGCAGTATACATATATGAAATTAATGGGTTCTATAATGGCATGGCTGAAAAATGAAATTAAGATAAGTCGTGGAAAAAATAAAAAATAAATTACTGGTAAATAACATAATCTACGAGGGCGAACTCTTGTGTATTATATTTTTTATATAAGTACCTATGTGCAATAATAATTCATCCTGCACTAATTTAATATAGGTATAGGTAACGCTAGATGATCGATGCACGATCGACGAGCTAGCGTGCACAGCACAATATTATAATAATATAAAACGAAAAAGTAAATATCAAATCTCGCATAGGTATATTATAATATACTTTTGTTAAAAAATAAAACACCAGACGAATAAACTATATATTTCTCATTTTTTTAATTTGCCCCATCATAGCTGGATTCTATATAACAATTATCAGAGAACATTTATCGAGCCAAATAGCAAATGTATAGTATATTTATAATATAATTTTTAGTATATTACCCATACGAATATAATATAGAACCGCAGTTAATTGCATTAAATATATAATTTAAAAACAGCTTTAGTGTAAAACACGATTTTCTCGGTCACGAATAAGTAGGTAGCACTATTTTGTGATGAATTATGCATTTGTAGTTATTGGTGTAGAATTTATATAATTTTTGTTTAATTTGTTATTCTTTGTTAAAAAATATCATAAATAGGAAATGTTATCAGAGGTGTAAGTATAGATTATTTGTGTTTATTTTATTATTTTATCTGACTATCAACTATTCTGACTGAACTAGGAGTTCAAAAAATAATCGAACTCTTATATTAATTTCGAAATGGAGGGAGGGAAGTTAAACCACCAAACTTCCCATTACCTATATCCCTATATCATTATTATGTATTGTGATTATAACGAGTATTTCACTGTAATATACCTGGCTGTAAAAAATTAGTATCAATAGTAATTTATAAATTTAAATTAAAAACGCAACGCCTTACACTCAGGATATTTATAATAGATACTTTAATTTTATATTAAAAATGAATTTATTAAAGAAATTTAATTTAAATGGTGGTAAATAGTTATCAAAAGTATAAAAGAAGGTCTTTATGTTTGAGTTACTTACATTATGTTATAAAGGCATTCCATCATAATGATTCATAAAAAAATATAACATAGCTATATCTTTACTCGTATTACCTACCTATCTCAATATTATTAATGGTTATTCGGAAAGTATGAAATACGCGTTAAATTGTATTTATCTTACACTCTGCATTAGTTTTGTTTATTGTTTTTTAACAAAATAATAATCTAAAAAGTGTTTCGTTGGACGGCATAATTGAGATAAAATAATTTTTGTTATAAATGGTCTTGTTCCATATTTGTAACGGTCGATTAATCAATGTCTTCAAATCTAAGAGCTACTTGGAATGAAAAAAAATAAATACATGTAACGAGACCATCATTGTTATACACTCGTGCATTACACATTCATTTCTAGATGTTCCTTACTAATTTGTCTGTCATTTAAGGCTCGACTGAATGGAATCAAAAGACTGCAATTATTATTTCCATAGTCATTGGAAAGAAATTGTTGTAGTTAAAATTATAGTCGTAAATGGAAATGCGGTAATCGAAAATTAAATTTAAAAATAAAATATATATATATATTATATATGTATACGAATTACCTATCTACACATAAGTGTACCTTTGATTCTGATCGAATAACTGAGAAATTATTTATTTTACCATGTATGCTTTTATTTGTTGGGTCTGTGAATAATTCAACAAGGGTGGTTTCTTGTTACGAATTCTGTCATGCAAGGAAGTACTCGTCACTTGAGGGCCATTGCGCAGTTCTTCCATGTGAATAGAAAACTAGAGTCGACCTATTGCGGGCCATTCTACTACATATTTATCGTACATCGCGATGTCTATAATAGATAATGTAGAAAACCTGTACAAATTTATTTCATTTATTACTTAAGTACTAACATAAGCATTTAATGTAAGAATTTTACTAACGATTTAACAATCGTTAATTTATACGCATTTGTAATCGCAAATTCCAAATTTATATACCTTTCAGAATTCTCCCTCTCAGTTACACTAGTACTCCACATTTTACACGATGAACATATTGACTTATCAACTCAATTTATTCGTGATTCGGTGTTAAGTTATTTTACGGGCTGACCATCTGGCAGCCACGGAAAATCAACCTAACCATTTATAGAATATGTGAAAAAAAGATTTAAATATCTATAAACAAATAATCCAATTTTAAGCCTTTTTTAATTATAGTAATCGGAAATAAATTGCTGTAGTTAAAATTGAAATCGTAAAATGATAATGTGATACTTAAACAAAAATTAAATTTAAAAATATCATAAATATAATATCATATTCACAGGTATATCTATTTTTTTTTTTCAAATTCAATTTGAATTTATAATATTATTTTGTTAATGTTTCAGGCTTGTGCTCCAAGGTATGTTTACTACTCTACTGGCGGTAACAGAAAAGATCCCGTGGGCACGTGTTATGTTACCAGAAACTTCAATGATTATTCTGAATACTCGCCGTGTCGAACGAGTAAGTAAATTTAATTTGGTGTGATAATAGGTGTATTAATATGGTAATACTTGCTTAGGGAAGGGTGGAAATACCTAGTACTCAGTGTTGTGGGAGAAGAGTGTATTTTTTTAGGTTTTAATACTCCTACAAACGTTCCAAATAAAGCCAGGGAGATAACAGTTTATAATATATGAATGGCTTTAGTACCTATCAAGAATGTGCATTTTGAAAGCTAAAACTTTTAACTATATCTCTACCGTTTTATTGATGATATTATGCAATTTTTTTTGAATTATACTTACTTATAATATAACCTACCTATATGTATCTGCATGTAGTATAATATAGTATTGTATTATTATATTATTCGTTTTTTTATTATTTTGCAAAGAATATTTTCATAATATACAAAATATATGAGATAAAATAAACTCTACTGACGGAATTCTGCTGCTGACTGATATTTTTTTGGTTTACTGGTTTTACTAGTTTCTCATGGATAACACGAACAAAAAAATAAAACTATTTCTTGTATTGTAACAGACAACGCTGTGATGGAATCTCACTAGTAAAAAATAAAACAATCGCGTTGAATATTGTTAAAAAAATTACGGACATACTTCGCTCGATGGGTGGGCCACTGTTGTGGGTGAAAAATTAGAAAAATAAGATAGAGGGGAATTTAATTTATATTTGTGTGCAACGACAAACTATTTCTAACGAAAAAGGATTCAGAACGAAGTTTCTTATATACATGTACGTACATTTTTCCATTTTTCATACGATTTCCCCAATTATTATTAAAACCGCTTAGAAAATCAAGAAATGGCCTTCCTTAAGTACCATCCAAATAAAATCTCTTTTTAGAAAAAGTACTATATTTTAAAATAGGAACAAGATTTCTGAAAAAAAGTCGTTCACAGATATAAAAAATAAATAAATAAATAAACATCATTATGAAACCAATATACTCCTTGTTACGCTCCGAATCTAAAATCTGCTAATTTCGTTATTTTACACGTTATCACGGTACATTACAAAACTATAATTGGGTACTTAACTGTTCATATAAAAAAAAAAATCATTCATCGTTGTATAATTATTCAGTAAACACAATAATATTAATTTCCATTATAACAATTTAATGTAAATATTGTGTTTTACATTTAAATTTATGTTTACTCGTATTTGAAAAAGTAGAGATATGGTAATATACGGATATTATAATTATAACATTATACTAGTAACGAAAAATTATAACATTCGAAAAACGATAACGATTAGAAGTTATATAAGATTAATATTATGAATATTGATATGAACACTTTTTAGAATTTTTTCCTTTTTTTATCATTTTTTCAGCATATAAATTCGAAAAATGACATCTTTAATAAGTATACATTTGAGGTACCATTGTTAATTATAAAAACGAAATACCTATACAGCTTTTTGATTATACTTACCTATTTCTACTGATTCAACAAAAATTGAAGAATTTGAAAAAAAAAAAATACAACTATATAAGCATAATTTGTTATAATCAAGAGTATATATTTTAAAAACAACCTGTGTATTTCATACCTTCCCAATCATACTGCCTATATTCTATTTTGATTAAATTATATTAAATGTTGAAATTAAAAAAAAAAAAAAAATGTATAATTATATAATTAACAGAATATATTACGAACGTGTCTGTTACCTGTATAACTTTTACATTTGATTGTAGGTACTGCTTTACTATAGTATATCATGCCTATAAACTTACATTTAATAAAATGCTTTTTTTTTTTTAGATAAAGTTTTAAAATAGATTTTTAAAGAAATATAGTAGGTAGTTATAAATTTAAAAATATATTACTAATTCAAAATAAACTGGGTCAACTAACTAATAATATAAACGCGTGTATAACCGTCGAATTTACAATAATCGTATTCACATATGTTTTCCAGGGAATTGGGGCCATCATAAACAGGGTACTTGCCAAGCTGGACTGGGAGCATCTGCTTCTAAGGTATACACATATATTATAAAACTTAGCTTTTAAGTTATATTATATTGCTTTAGTCCTTGAAATGTTAAAAAATCATTTTTTTTTTTCAATTTTTCCTATTTAGGACGGAAAACGATTATTCATAGGTGCCGTTGGAAGTTGGTATTGGCAAGGTATTGGCGAGTTTATACACTTAGTATACATTACATTATAACTATATTTATAATTGTATATTAAAAAACAAATATCCTAAAATTAAAATAAGTTATTATAATCACTATATAATTATTGTTGTATGCATGTGAATTTGTAATTTTCCTACGCCAGGTTAGAAAAGATGTGCCTCCTATGCATGTATACTTTTAATTTCACAATTCGGCATGTAGTTTATATGATGCTTATTATATGTCTATATCTTGGGGTTCGCACGAAGTGCCCGGCAAATGTACTTGTATACATCTCTTGTTTAAGGGACATATTATATTATATATACTATTATGCATTTTATTTTATCTCCTATGAAACCTACTGAAAGTTTAGGGCATGTTTTATTCGTTGGGACTTTTTACGTATTTTTTTTTGGATGTAAAACACCATATGTTTAATGTTATTTTACAGGCCAATTATACTCAGTCAATTCGACAGCTCAGTTGCCGTTTACACCGGCAACACAATATATCTTCAACTACATCGACGAAGGTAAACACGTGTTGAAAAATGAAAAAGGAACTACAGTAAAAATTCCCTCCAAAATTCATTGATGGCCTATTAACCTATTAAAGTTTAATCGTAGGGCTTGAAATATTTACTTTTTTATTTGATAATATATTAAATTTACAAATAATTGAACTTTTAATTTGATGACCTCTTCATACTTTTCGAAAGTTTAATTCTTTTTTCAAATATACCTATACATACTTTTCAAAAATGATGCACTTTTTTTAAATCTTTTATTTAAACTTGATTATTGTCTCAACAATATTAAAATTCTATTTCAGTTTATTATTAATACAATTACAATTAATATTAACATTATTAAGGAGTTTCTTAAATAGGTATATTATTAAAACGTTTTTTTTTTCTAAAAATTATTCGTCAGTGTAGATAAGAGAACGCTACGCATGCATTTATACTGTTTCTGTCTGAATAACCTTCAATATAATATAACTACGTTACTTAGAATGTAAATTGTGACATTTAGATTGAAATTAGAGTTTAAACACAAATAACACAACTGAAACAGGAGAATAATTTCAAGGGCTTTTTCTAAAAACAAATGCCATATAAAAAAGTTACAGCTATTTAAAGAAACAAAAACTAACATGGCTATAACTTTTTTGTAAAATATATCCGTACAACCTTTAAAAATATTCTTCTCTTTACATTTTGTTATTTGTATTTAAACTCTAATTTCAATCTAAACGTCACAATTTTCGTTCTAAGAGATGTAATTTTGCTATGTTGTCCGTTAGTTAGACTGAAACAGATGCGTGTACTGTGTAGAGCATCATAAGACAATCGTAGATTCATTAGTACTTAAATTGTATTACCTTTATGTAAGGAATACAATAAATATGATTACAATTAATTTCAAGCCCCGTTTAATTGGCATGATGGTTAGGGTGTGATGAGTTGCATTTTTGTGGAAAATCGTTGGACGCTTTTTTTTTTTATTATTTTCTGTGCTTTGGTCTTGGTATATTACACTAAACATTTTACAGCTTGTTGCTTATAGCATTGTTCACTAACCGTTTTCTATATTATATACTTTTATTTTGAATTACAAGTTTTGTTAAAATGTTTAATAATAATTTACATAATATTCCAGAGAATAGAATAATAAAATAATTATTTTAATCCAAATAATTTTAATTGCATCATCACTTAAAACCACGCACCTATAAAATACGGTACAGGGTGTTTCAAAAAAAAAAAAAAAAAACTATTTGTGAACTTGCTATAGTTTTATTTTATGAACCAGAAAGATGTGTTTAGAAGAAAGATAGCAATAATAATAATAATAAAAAAGACATTAATGCCAGGGAAAGAGTTTAAACTCAAAACGAAGTTCTATAAATGGTCTATAGTCAGACAGGTGTACTCCTGATGACAGATGCTCATTAGAAACACGAGCAACATGTCAACATCTAATAGACTCACGAAAAATCCTGTACTAAAAATATTAACATATTATACATGTATATAAAAATTGAAGAAAAAACTGTACTAAAATTATCCTAGGATAACATTATAAAGAAAAATAAAGATGGATTAAACATTGTTTTTAAGAATAAAATTTAGCTTTTTTTTGTAACTCACTAAACTTGGATAAAGGAATATCATTAAATACAGAAAGAGTGAAAAAACTATTTTTATAATATTGTATTAATTTTATCAGGTCAAGTATACTCACAAAACTTATATAGTCGGCCGGAAGTGTTTTCGACCAACGAGGGACCGCAAACAGACGATGATTCGTATCTCGGTTATTCGGTTGCTGTTGGTGCATTTGGATTTGGTTCAGAATCCGGTGTAGCGGTCGGCATGCCCAGAGGCGCAGAACTTTTTGGAAAAGTATAGAATAACTGAAAACTGTAATTTATATTGTTTTATTCAGTATTAAATGATTTTTTCTTTTGTAATGTAATCCACGCAGATCGTATTGTACTCTACCAATTTGACAAATCTATATAACATTACCGGAGAACAAATCGGCGGATATTTCGGTTATTCGATTTGCGTTTCAGACGTAGACGGAGATGGTGGTGACGATATCATAGTTGGCGCACCAATGTACAACGATTATTCCAAACACGATGAGTCTTACGAGACAGGGAAAGTGTATGTGTACTTGAAAAAAGACGTAAGAAACGACTAATTTTGAACATCGTTTTATGTATTTAAGTTGATGCTGTTTTGCTGAGTTATATTATAAATGTATGTACTCAGTGGCACGCCAAAGAATTTTCAATAGGAGAGGATTTAACAAATAAGAATCGTGAATAAATCATAAAATCGTATTCTCTATAGCGTTATACCCAACTAGATTAAAAAAACAAATTTCTAATCAATACACCAAGCTTTTCCTCGTAATTTAGCTGAAATATATTATGTATTTCAATATGAGATTACTAATATTTGTTTGTATTTTTAAACCATTGAATGGAAAGATATAATCCCTAACCCCCCTCTCCAGAGCACGCCACTGTATGTACCTCATATGCTTGTTATGATGAAATTACAATTCCATTTAAAAAGTGCTCAATAAAATAAAATAATAAAACAAACAATTATCTAAAAATTAATTGTTAACATTAAATATAATATGCCTCATTATTTCAATGCATAGTAATAATTAATATAACAGAACGTATAATATGTGTTTAGGATTATCAATTTTACAAAAAAAATACAATAATGGGATTTAATTCGAAATCTCGTTTTGGATTGGCTCTGACTAGTTTAGGTGATATAAATTTAGACGGATATGGAGGTATGTTGGTTCATTTAAATATTAGTACTTTTCTTTTTACTAAAGAACTATTTTATGATTCGTTTTAATCTTCAGATTTTGCCGTTGGAGCTCCGTACGACGGTCCTGGTGAATTGGGTGCAGTATACATATACCTCGGGACAAGAAAGGGTGTTCGGGAAAAGTACTCTCAAGTGATTAAATCTGAAGACGTGTCCATAGGACAGCGTGTATCGACATTTGGTTTTTCGTTATCCGGTGGAACAGATTTAGATAACAATCAGTACCCAGACCTGATCATCGGTGCTTACGAGTCGGATACAGCTTACTTCATGAGATCTAGACCAGTAGCTCAAATGAGTACATCTGTATCTTTCTTGTCTGACAATAAAAAAATATCATTAGAAAATAGAAAATGTACAACCAAAGATGGCACTCAGGTTCCCTGTTTGTTTTTGAAAATTTGTTTACAGTACACAGGGATTGGAGTTGACGATCAACTGGGTAAGTACCGAAACAAAAGATATTTACATCATAATTTGAAAAATTATAAACTGCAATTATTATTTTATAGATATTGAGATGCGTTTAGTGTTGGATGCTAAAAAACTAAAATTTCCGAGAATGTTCTTTTTGATGGAAGAAAACCAAAATGTACTGAACCATAGTTATATAACATTGGACAAAAATATTCCGTGGTGTAAACAATTGAATGTTTACTTAAAGGTAAAGAATTTAAAGATATAAAATAAATGTCGCGATTTTCATCAAAATTTAAATTTAAAAAAAAGACGAATATACTTCACACGATGGGTAGGCCACTGTTATAGATGATAAGTTGGTTAGATTGAATATAGATGGAAATTTAATGTATATCTGAATGCAATGATTAATCATTGTTAACGAAAAACGATTCTGAGCGAAGTTCGGTTATATTCATGTTTTAAGAGGACGTAATATTTACATTTTTCATTAAAATTATATATTTATATATTAATTTATCTTTAATTTTTAGAACTATACTTTTATAAATGCATTATAAAAATAAATTATTAACAATTTTTAAATTTTAACTATTTTCATAGAACTGTTATATTCATAAAAAAAAGCCCAAGAGTAGGGGTGTGTACACCCAACCCCTCCCATGTGTACGGTTCTGCGATACTAAGTATAACATTTGACGTATTGTTCACAGATACAAAAAATAAATATCATTGTATAACCAATACATTCCTTACATTCCTAACTCCCATTCCCAATTCCTTAATAATAATTGGAACGGGTGCAGCCACTATTATAGATAATTTAATGTATACCTAATGTATACAACGATAAACCATTGCTTACGAAAAAACGATTCTGAGCTGAGTTCAGTTGATAGTGCTGCTTTGTCAACAATATACATGTATATGTTATTTTATAGTAAAATAATTAAATTGAGTTTATATATTTTCTTTAATAATAGTTGTTTAATGTTGACCAATTTTCTCAATTTTCCTACGTTTATCCCAGTTTTTCACATTTAATGGAAAAACACTAAGAAAATTAGAAAAATAACCTCTCTAAAGTACTTCCTATGTGAAATTTCCTGTTAGAAACATTGTTATCATTATAATTTGGACCAAAGTTGCTGGTAAAAAAATTATGCATAGAAAATAAATATCGTAATATTTTAATAATATATTTCATACATTTTCTCGTTTTTCCTCCGTTTTTTTTGGTTTTTAAAATTTGATGATAAAGTCGAAAATCATTAAAATACCTCCACACACCGACTTTCTTTCAGAAAAGGTGATACACTTAAAAATCTGAGCAAGTCTTCTAGTACAAAAGTTTCGCACAGATAAAAAATAAAAAAATAAACATCTTTGTAAAACCATAAGCTTCTTCTCAGAATCTAAAATAATAGAAAATATTAATAAAAAAAATATTTTCTATCGTATATATCAAGATAACAAGGAAATTGAATAAAAGTATACTTAGTACATGATATCATACTTACATTTATGCGTGGGGGGCAGGGACTCTTTACGCAAAATATGAAATAAATAAAATAAGTAGGGACCATGATCACGCATGGAACCGTTACCATAAATTAATATGAAACGTAAAAAGCGCTCCATGCTCAAATGTACATGTTATGATTTAATATAAGTATGATTATTCAATTTTGATGTTGTTATAATATTATATATGCGAAAAAATATTTGTAAAATATTTTCCATTATAATTTTACTTTTTGTTTATTTTAAAGTATGATTTTTTAATAAAAAATTTTGTAAATATCCAACATCAGTATTTAATTTAACATACAACATACTACTAAGGAGATCTGTGATTTGAAAATTATTTACGGGAAATTATTTATTTTTTCTAAAAAAAATAACCCATACAACTTTTCTCATTTCACAATCTATTCTAGTACGATAATAATTTGTAATGAGTACATTTTTACAGTCTCTTTGGAATTTATGTAATTTGATACTTTTAATTATAGTGTACAGTGTGCTTATATGTAATTCAAATATGTCGATAAAAGGAAATGTTTAAATCTTACGATAAAAATAAAATTTGTTTAGTAAAAAAAAAATTTGATAAACGAATTGCATATTGAATAATTAAAATAATTTTCTAACTATAATTACTTTTTCATTGTGTTCATTATTCAAACGAGTTACAGTTAAATCAACATTGTTTTGTACAACAACGTGAGCCATTATAAATTACAATGAACTTAGCATATTAGATAAAATAAATAAGATTAACATTAAAATTTTTAATAGCCCATGGACTAATTAGGATATAATATAAAAAATCATCAAAGTACACTGTACAATATATCAAAATTAAATATTTAAATTACCATCTTTTCAATATAATAATTGCTACATTAATTATATTTTGTTTAAAATATATCTAAATTGACTAAATTACTAACATTTTGTTATGGTTTTAGAATAATATTAAAGATAAATTAACACCGTTGGAAGCTGAATTATGGTACACAATCAGAGAAGAAAACAGACTATTTACAACAACTCTTACTCCTATTTTAGATCTGGAAAATGAGCTCTTTGCTGTCTCAAAAGATTCGATAAGTATACAAAAGAACTGTGGAATAGATAATATTTGTATACCAGATCTTCAAATATTTACACCGTAAAAGCATACCACAAAATGATTTTGAATTCATTTTTTGATATAGTTTTTTTTAATTAGGACTTCCAAAACCTATTTACTTGGATCTAATGAAAAACTAAAAATTGATGTCAAAGTTCAAAATCTAGGGGAAGATTCTTTCGAAACTACTTTTGACATGACTGTACCTCTGGGTGTTAACTATGTAAAAATAGAAAAATTAGATGATAGTGAAAAAGACATACCTGTACAATGTTCAGCTCCATCATCAATGACAAACAATACTTTACACTGTGACATTGGAAATCCTTTGCCTGGAAATAAATCTGTATGTTCTATAGTTTCATACAGCACTTTAGTTATATTTAAACTATTTATAATTATTTTATGTTCAGGTTCAATTTAGAGTGGTTTTTGAACCATATACAACTACTGAAACAAAAGACAGATATGAATTCTTTATGATAGTAAATAGTACAAATCCAGAAACTTTAAGTTCTACATCCAATAACATACATACCTTAAAAATACCACTTTGGGTTGAAACCGATCTTATCATAGAAGGTTCATCAAAACCCGTAGACGTACATTATAACATAACAATGGAAGAGAGTCTTAATATAACTGATGAGAAACAAATTGGACCACAAGTCATTCACATATATGGAATCAGAAATAAAGGACCTTCAGATATATTAGAAACAGAAGCTTACATCGACTGGCCCTTATTTACATTAGCAGGTACAAATATAATACATTTTTAAAATAATTTCCAAAAATAAATTTTTTATAATGTTATATTATTACACACAAATTACTATTTTATTTTAAATTTGATTTAACAAGATATTAATTAAATTATTTATTTTAATTTAAATGTTTTTATTTCAGGTGAGCCATTGTTATACTTACTTGAAATGCCTGAAACAAACGGACAAGTAAAATGTGAAGCTTTAGAAGAAATCAATCCATTGAAATTAAATGTAATTATTGATTTTAAACGTAAAATTAATTATTGTTTTCAACATTTATTCATTATATATGTATGATTACAGATTGACCGTAAGAAAAAAACATATTTTGAATCGAGTGGCTTATTTTCTAGTGGTTCCGGTTTATCCGGCAATGCTAAAGGTGATGGTAGCAGTTTAAGTTCTAGTGAAATCATAACGGGAACTAAGACATTTACCGAATTAACAGAAGAAGAAAAAAGACGTTTTCTAGACATTCAAAAGAAACACGAAGAAGATTCAAAATTAAATTGGGGCCATGGTTTGCATGAACAAAATATTAGGTATACAAATTCAAAAACGGAAACAACTGGTTTCATAGAGGAAGGCGGAAAATCCACTGAAAATAATGAAGCTTCTGGCACTTCGATTGTCAACGTTAATCAAGGGCCAACGTTCATTGTTGGTTCTTCAGAAAACGTAGGTCTAATTAAAAATGAATATGGAACCAGGGGATCTAGTTCGCTGGATTCTTCTGTTTACATGGGATCGTCTTCTCATAGTAGTGAAAAATCAGGTAGTACATCAAATGCAGGCGGTCATAGAGTGCAAGGTGGATCAGGTTCTTCTACTGCAGTACATAAAGAGGATATTCAAGGCAGTATAGAGTACAGTTCATCTAGAGGAGTTTATGGAGCGGCGCATTTTGATGAAACAGAATCCGATAAGTCGCACTTTGGGTCTGCAAGACCTAGTATTCAAGAATCGTCTAGAGGAACTGTTGTGGGTACTTCGCACCACTTTGGAACCGAATCTAGTACACAAAGAGAATCGTCCGGAGGCACTTTTGCCTCTACTAAACACAATGAAGCCGGATCCCGTTCTCGAAATGAGGAATCGTCTGGAAATGTTGCGGGTACATCGTATTTCGGTGCGGGATATGCAGATTCCAGCCAAGGGTCATCAACCCACAGAGAATCGTCGGTAAATATTGAAAACAAATCGCGTTTCGGAACGAATTGGGAAGCCCAAGGAAGTGGATCGTCCGTCACTGGAGAATCATCAGCAGGAAACATTGCAGAAAGTATATCGAATTCCGGTTCAGCTGGTTATGATTCCCACGGATGGTCATCTAATCATCACATACGAAATGGAAATACTACGCATGTCGAGAACGGCTTGTTAGATTACCATGATGCAATAAGTAAAATTAATACTGGCACCGTTACGAAAGTTCTGAGCAGCATACCGGGCGACGACAGTGACCTATCAATGAACCTCCAGAATACAGTAACCGAACGCACGGGTCAAGGGTTCAAACAAGTGAAAGTCGACGAGTCGGAAACCGTGTACAAATGGAAGACCGTGGATGGCAAATTATACAAGGTGAAAAACGTAGATGACTGGAAGTCACTTATCTCTCAGGATATATCAACAGAAGTGTATGAGGCCCAGGACTATAGTCCGCAAGACTTGAGGAAGCCCATATCATCTGAAGACATTGATGGCAAGTTCAAGTTGTACAAGAGGTTCAAAAGGGACATAGAGACCAAACAGTGCAGGCCCACCCATTGTGCAACGATCAAATGCAAAATTGGTCCGCTATCCAAGGACCAAGAAGTTTGGTTGTCATTCAGATCGAGAGCATGGGTCAACACACTAAAAAAGGTATTTAGACGGTACCTAAAAACGATGCATTTAATAAATTTAAAAATTAATTAACCTTTTAAGGGGGCAATGAATCGGCCGGTGACACTGAGCTCAATGTTATCCGCCAAAGTCACCAAACTACCATATATTGGTAAGCCCGACAGCAAACTGGCTCAGGTCAAAAGTCACGAAGTGTTTACACATATCGTTCCCAGGGACCTCGGAGTGAAACCAGACATCATCCACCCATGGTTTGTTGTATTAGCTGCTGTTGCAGGGACTGTTATTTTATTGTTTCTGGTCTTCCTGCTCTATAAGGTAATAAATATTTAAATTGAATCAGGACTTTTAAATACAAGCAATAATTGTAACACCTTATTAAATACTTATATTTAAATAGTAACTGCTTACAGTATAGTTTATCTAATTTTCATTAATATCAATTATCAGTAGTACCACTTTTTTCTTTTAAAATAATATAATTATTTCAGAGTGTAGTAAATACACAAACTACACTAGTATAGAAGTCTGTGAGTAAATAATATCTTTTAATTTTTATATTATCTAAACAGCATACAAATAGAATTTATTAATATTTATACCAAAAAAAAATAATTCCAATACATAATAAATTATTATTATTCTTGTTTATAGTGTGGGTTTTTCAAACGTAACCGACCGTCCAATGCACCAGAAACACAACCACTGACACACAGAAATGGTCAAGCCGAACTTTATCAAACAGGAGATGAAGCTTTGTAGACTATTGAAACTGTTAACATTTTTCTGCCAAAATAAAAAATAATAAATAAATATTGATTGAAAATAAATAGCCATATTAAACCACTTAACTTATATAATTTGTTATTATTTAATTTGTAAATATTTTGAAATAACTATTTTAGGAATGTTTTTTTTTCTTTTTGTAAATAGTATGTATACATTTGTTTTCTTATATTAAAAAATAATGTAAATTCTAGTTTTATTGTAAATTGAATTATTAATTAATTAACTGTACTTAAAGCCTCTAAAGTAATTATTTTTATACATAAAATAAATTAATTGTATTGTTTTAAAATTATAACGCTCTAGTCTAAAGTTTAAATTGTAAATTAAATTACAGTTTTATACTATACAAAATTAACATTTAGTTGAAAAATTAGTTTTTAATTTGGATTTAATTTTAATAAGACATTAATAAATTACGCTTGTGAAATTTTAAAAAATATATATAATTTTACTTATTTTAATAACGACTGATAATATTTGTTTATGTATTATTACTATTTAATAAAATGAAAAATGAATTGTACATTATAAAAATAATAAATGATTTGTTTATGTTTTATTAATTTTATATTTCCTTTAAAGGTATGTGGTAAAAGTATTCAAGTATTTTCCAATAAAAACTATTTGATATTTGACATTATTATTATTTTACTTGAACATCAGACGATGATAGGCAACAAACTAGTAGTGATGTGATAACAAATCAGAGAACTTACCCATTGTTATTATCATTGATTTTAAAAATCGATTGATAATATCTAGAACCAAATATCTATTCTAGTTAGAATTGAATTTTCAAAATGTAAGGTATATAAATATGATTTTTCATAAATAATTTTAAGATATGATAATAGAAATATATTTCAATGAAAATAATGTTAATATCTAATTTAGTAACTCAATGGTCGTAGGTATTACAAAAACTAACTAACAAATTGCCATTTTTACATAAAATAGCATCACAATTTATAATATCTTCTGGACAAACATTTTGAAATGTATTTAAGAAGTAAATTCTTTGTCGCGCATATGGATACCATTCTGAAATGTAAGTCTTTTTATTTGAGGCCCCAAACGAGATATGATTTTCTGTATCCAAAGACCAATCAGTCCAACAAACAAGACCATGGCATGTACCTTTGCTGAAAACAGAGAAAAAGCATACTTATTTATAAAAAAAATATATTATTTAAAACAGTAAAAACAAAGATTGCCATCAATTTTAATTTATAATAAAGTAAATCAAACAATTTTAAGTTGAAAATGTAAAGTGGATATTTGAAAAAATAACTATTTTTATAAAAAATTTTAAATTTTGAATACAAAATAATCCTTCTTACTTTTCAATATTTACACACAATTTATTTTTCAAAATCAAATTGGATTCATTAGCAATGTTCTCAAAATTTAAAGTAAATAAATCATAAACATTTGAAAGACTTTTGCTTGGATATTCCCATAGTGGTTTTTCTTCTAATATTCCATCTGATATCTTTATACTTTCCTGAAAATATTTAAAATTAATTATTTAATATTTCTATGTAATAAAACTAAAATTAAAAATTTGGCTTAATTTTATTATAATTTAGCTTTTGAATTAGATTACAAAATAAATAATTAAATCCAAAACAATACATAGATTATTTATAACGTATTTTTAGTCCTAAACATTCTTACCTATGTAAAATGGTTAATTTGTTAACCATTATTAATTTTAATTACATTACAAAATATAATTTAACAATTTAAAAATATATTACTTGTACAATTTCACTGAATGGTACAATTTCAAAACCTTCAACTTCTGTTAATGGAGCTCGTATTTTCCAAAGGTCATCAAATTGAACAGTTTGTATTTTAAATTTGACTTCTTTCGGAAATATATTGGTTTTGGGGTTTACCTGAAGAGAATATTTGACAATGTCAATCCATTCAGGTAAAATCCATTTGAAAGGTTCTGTAAACACGGTGTAAATTTCTTCTCTATTCTAAAATAAGATATTATGAAAATAATTATAAAATATTTTTTAATTATTCTTTAATAATTCTGGACAAATATTTTATAGTATTATTTAGATAAACAACTCTCAAGTCCCTCAAGTATTATTTATTATATTTTTAATTTAATGATAATATATAGTTATTAAAAAACATTTACTTCTTTTTGTTTTGAAATTATTTCTAATACATCTTTGTAAGATTTCAATAAAATAATTTTATCTTCTAATTTATTAACTCTAATATATGAATTTAAAACTCTTCTAAAACTCTGTGGTCCACTAATATCATAGTAATAAACCTATATGCAAAGTATAATAATACAAATATGAAAATAATAAATTTGCTATAACTTATAAAGATCAAGTATAAATTAATACTTTCATTGCACCAAATAAAGCTGCTGCTAATCCTATGAAAGATAAATTTCCAACAAATAAACACACACTATTTGGTTGCACATATTTTTTTAATGCATTCAAATATTTATTGGTAAGGTTATTATCATTAATTTGCCCAATAAGCGTTCTGTTAATAATTCTATGAAAATCACAATCACAGTATGGAAGAGAAATATCTAAATGTGAACTGAAAAAAATTAAAATTTTGATAAAATTATTTCTCAGCGATATTATAAATTAATAAACAAAAAAATTAATCACTAATAATTGTAATAACTACCTTGACTTATTTGTGTCAAACCAAAAAGACAGCTCATCGTGGTAACCAATTATATTAACTTCCTCATTTAATTTTAAATTGATTTCACCAGGAAAATAATAAACTCCTTGTATCCAATGATCTCGCCAAGGAGCATTGTGATGTTCAAAATGCCATTTAGGTGCACAGCTTAAGATAATTTCACCTTCAGAGTCCATGGCCAAGTCCCACCACACAAATACAGCATGAGCAATACCATTTTCTTTTGATTTACAAAGTATAACATTTTTTCTATCAGTTGTCACACCATTTTTATCACTCCAATTGAATCTTTAACAATTTAAAAGGTTTAGTATAACAAACAAGAATAATATTATAGTAACCAAATAATAAACCACAATTATCACCTGAACATCTCCTGTGCTGGAATTAGAGTTTTAAAAGAATCCATTGGTAATTGACTTAGTTGTAAATCGAGTACACTTTCAATCCCTTGACATTTCTTTATATTTTCAGGTACCTTGATCAATAGTTTACCATTATGATAAACATCATTGACTCTGTTAAAATTTCTTATATACTCGCTTTCAACTACTTGAGTGTAAACAACTGCCTCAGAAGGTATTACAATACAATCGTCCTGATAAGTAATAAAATACAAATGTTCATAAGTTAGTTATGATTAGGGACCGGAATTATATGCTCCAAAAACCTTAGAAATATGCTCTTATTTTGTAGAAATATACCCTTTAAAAGAAAAAATATAATATAAACAATATAATAAAAAACATATGCACAAAAAAAATCAAATCAAAATTTATTATTTTTATTATTTCCATCTTTCTTTGTAAAGTAGGTACAAATGATTGATTTGTAATGGTATTTTCGACATTTTTCAATCTGAAAAGTAATACTTACATAAAAATTTTTTTAAACTAATATAAATATAACTAAAATATTACATATTATGCATTTAAAACACATTATATGCAATGAAAAATTGTAAAATACAGAAATATACAGTACATGTCAAAAAATAGTAAAATATGTAAAAATATGCAAAATAAAATTTTGTATTTCAGTACTATTAACTATGATTCTAACTTGTAGCTTATCTAGCTACTTTTTAGACTGTCTAAAAACATGTAAATGCATATAGATATGAACCCTAGATAAGATATTAAATAATTATAATGAAATAAAATAGAGTATTAAAGATAATAACCGTTAAGAGTTCTCGATGTGCATGATTGAATACTGAAATAGCACCTTCACCGATAAGTTCTGTGTCAAAAACTTCTGTAACTAGTAAATTCATTCGATGTGGCAAATCTATTCCAACTTTTAATTTTTGAGAGCTTTTATGAATCAGAACAACTTTATCGTCAAACAAATTTGACCTTATTATTTCTTTTGCACATTTATATGATTCTTTAAATTCCTAAATAATACATAAGTTTATAAATCAAATTGTTTTACATCCTTATACAAATATTGTATACTTCACAGGCGTAAACAGAATCAGCACCACATTTAGCAGCCATCATTGCCAAAAGACCAGTACCAGTTCCAATATCTAGGACGTGAACTTTTTTACCAGCCTTATGTAACTTGGTAATTTCTTTTTTCAATGCTTTATAGTATAATTGATTCTGCAACAACAAAAAAAAAAAAAAAAAAAAAATTATTTTTATCATTTTTACAAAACCATACATTAATAATACATTACAAGATATTTTAAAATATTAGTTTCCACAATATTTAGTACTTATGAATATTTACCCTGTCACTATCATGAAGCATATCTCCAAAGGCAGCTCGGGCTATGTTCTGACAGTAATCAAACTCATTCATAGAATTTACTTCCCAAGTATTATCATCCATGGTGACTGAAACACATTTTACAACAATAAAAATATTTATTTTGTAAACTTTAAATTACAATTCACAACATGAATTTATACATTTAAAAATACTTTAACGCAAAGTCAATGTATTATTTTTATTCACTAAATATACAAATATTGACAACAAATTTCCATTATTATTGTAAATACGTACATATTGTTATTAGTTACCTACCTAATTAAATTTAAAATAATTTTAGACTTGAACCCAGTAAAACGAAGCCAAAACTTCAGCGATCTCTCACTCCTCGCAGTCTTGTGATGAACATCAAAATTCACCAATGCCCATAGTCAACAAATTTTGGATAGTAAATTTTAAACAAATTACAAAGTTCAAAGCACGGTGTTTATTGTTTTGTAAAATTTGATAATTGATTAGTGAATAATGATAACGTGTAAGTGATAAAAAGAAAATAATATTAACCAAAGACCAAAATAATATGTCATACCAACCAAAAAAATGTAAATTATTCCAAATAATAATTTAATATCAGTTTGTATGTCAGTCTGTACCAAGAACTAAGATTTATAGAACTGCAAAAAGCTAATGTTTTTTTTTTACGAAAATATAAAAATTGAATTCAAATTTTAATATGTGTAGTCCTTACCCCTACAATTAATGTCAAAATTAGAATTTTAGAGAATTTTCCGTTAATAAAAATTAGTTAATAACCTAATATCGTTGTTACTGAACTCTTGTCTATCGACTCTCTGTATATAATCATTTTGATTTCAAAGGTATAAAAAACTTTTATTAAGTTTATTTATAATTTTTCTCGTCATTTTTTAAGTTCACCAAAATGTCATAAACTATAATATTATCTTTATAGTAATGGTCTAGACCCTGTACCACGAGAGAAAATGCCGGATCTGCGCATCATTCGTCAACCGACCGGGCCATCGTATTCCCTCCATGCATTCAAATTTCATTGTCGATAGCGATGGATATGCTCAGAGCCGACCAATTTTTACTATCGCGCGGTATGCTCTCTCGTGGGACAGAGTATAGGGATTTTAGGTTAGATTTTAAGTGTTGGTCAATTTGGTCTAATAAAATATTTTTTTATTACCAGTTTAAGAGAATTCTTATGAGCTACACTGCAAAAAACCGTTGGTCACCCAATGTTGTTGATAAGAGAGGGAACTTTTGTGACGCATCCATCGTCGAGATGGGGTTGGATCGGTCTCGCCTTGTCTTGTCCTCCCTTGTCACCCACCCATCTCCTCGTAATTGAATTGAACTGTAAAATCTTATAGTTAAATGTTATAGTTAATCTTATGGTTATCTTATAGTGCAATGGTCGTGACCAGTTTGAATATCCGATATAAAATCATAGTCGAAAATATGATAAAATAAATGGCGCCAATGAACGAATACATGGAAGAAGAAGTATTCAAAACTTTTAGAATATCCTTGGTTGATATACATTTTGTATTTTACTGTCTGTGGAATTGAATATTGATGAAAGTCATTCTTTTTGGTTATGTAGTGTTTTACTCGAACGTGTGTAGGGTCTCTCTATTCGAATTTGTCATAATTGTCAATTGTTAAATTAATATTCTCAGTTGAAAAAAATTGTTATAGCTAAACTTCATCATGGGTCGGATGCACACACCCGGGTAAATATTTAATTGATTTTATTAAAATTCGTTCAATAAAGGTGGACCTTAGAATAACTATACGACAACGATAATATGCATTCCATATTATACAACAATATAATACTATGTTTTCGTTAGTCGTTTTTGTTGTTCGTTGAGAGCTTTTTCAATTATGTGTATAATTTCACAAATATTTTGTGATGTGCTTGCAGAAAAGGTATTTCAAAATCGGCATTGCCATACCGCCGCAGCGTTCCAACATGGTTGAAATCTTCGTCTGAAGATGTCAAAGATCATATTTTCAAGTTAGCCAAGAAGGGTTTGACCCCATCTAAAATAGGTAATGAATAATAAATTGATACTCTTATATTAAACAGGACATTATGTATAATATCTTGAAACTGTCAAGCGCTCTTTTATTAATGATAAAAGAGCATACCTACATATAAGTTATTATGAGTTAAACATCATGCACATCATATAATTGTAGATTTAATTTTTTTTTGTTTATCATTGTACTCTTAAGATATTGAAGTGTTTTAAATGAAAAAAATGATTTAATAAATTATCAATTTTGAATATTGTGGAATAAGTGTTAATTTTCGTCTGGGAGCTATAATTTATTTTGTTTGGTTAAAACATTTATATGTTAGTACCTGGGTATTAATTAAACTAAAGAATATTGCTCTATGATGATTTATATACATCTTTCTGAACACCTTTTTAATTGGTTTTCAGTTTTATATGGTCTATAATGAGGACTTAACGAGGCATTTGTCTGAGAGCGTAATTATTTGAGATTTTTGTGAACACTATTGAAATTTTTAAGAAAAATAAATTTGCCCAATATCCATATCAATATATAGTTTTAATTTTAAAATTTTGGATGAGGCAATTGACATTTATTTAGGAGCCTACTAAATTAGAACTAGACTTATCGCTTATTTTGAGTTATATTTTAACTGTATGTTTAATTATATATCTATTCAAAAAAATTAATATCAAAAGTAACTAAATAATTCAACAATTTGTAATTATCCAATTTACTGTACAATGTGCATAGTTCATAAACTTTTCCCATAATTAAACTACTACCTACTGAATATTACATGTTATCAATGTTGTATATGTATTAATCTTAAGTTAATTTGTATTATCTCTGCTCAAAGAATTTTAAAATGAAATAATGATGCTCTATGATGATTTATTTACATATTTTTCTGAACACCCTATTTAACTGGTTTTCAGTTTTATTAGGTTTACTATGCAGACTAATCGAGGCATTTGTCTGAGAGCTTTTATATTATTCATACTCTGTATTGATAAATTACCTGTCTACTATACTCTATTCCTGTTAAGAATACACCAATTCGCACATATGCGGCTGAGTGCCAAACATTAGCACGCCATCGCTGTGTATACAGCGAGTCATAATATCTATAATACCTATCGTCAAACGAATCATGGTAATATACGCGTATATTATACAAACTATTATCAAAATTACGCAACTTAAAACAGATATATGTAGCTTTTAGGTTGAAATTAGAATTTAAACACAAATAACATGTTTAGAAAGGAATATTTTAGAAGATTTATTTACAAGAAAATTAAGTTATATTGACATTTTTTTTTCAAATTACTAATATATTACAAAATTAAACATTTTCAAAACAAATTTTAATTTGATGTAGTTTCTTTAGTGACATTGAAAACTACTTGTTGAGTTTCCGCGGTCAGCGTGTCATCAACAATAAAATCAATTTTCAAAATTTGTCTTCTTTTTTTTATTGTGATTTATGAAATTTGTCCACATTTCAGAATTCACACATTCTATGCCTTTATTCAATAATACTTTTATGTCAGCCAACTTGTACATAGTGTTGTGGGAACGCATGCACAAAAACGAATGTGTTTTCGTCTGCCACCAGGTGTACTCTTAATTGGAAAAGAGTATAAGAAAGCTAATATTTAATAAAATAAAAATGCTCTATGATGATCTTTATACATATTTTTTCTGAACACCTTATTTGACTGGTTTTCAGTTCTATTAGGTTTACTATGCAGACTTATCGAGGCATTTGTCTGAGAGCTACTTTTAAGTTAAAATTAATATTGTAGAAACACAACAAAATATATTGAATTTTTAATATGTCTACAGGTGTTATCTTGCGAGATTCCCACGGTGTTGCCCAAGTAAGATTTGTGACTGGAAATAAAATTCTTAGGATCATGAAAGCTATGGGTCTAGCTCCTGGTCTTCCTGAAGATTTGTACCATTTGATCAAGAAAGCTGTAGCAATCAGGAAACATTTGGAAAGAAATAGGTAATGTTCTGAATTTCTATGAAGTCAATTAACAATACAATATTTTAACTAACTGTAACGTTTTACATTTGCTTATACTTTACTATCTTAAATATCCAAGTTAAATGTTCATGGTTGCTAATTGGATTTAAATTGGTCAGGAAATTCATTTTATTTTCTAGAATTAAAAAATATATATATTTTCTTAGTTATTTATGTTATTTATGGTTTCAAGAACCATAGCATATCAAAAATTAAATCAGATACTTGTTATCAGGTTATCAAAAAAAAAATTAAATTTTCAGACATTTATAGTCTTACCATTATCATATTTAACCAGATTAATACCATTGACTAAATAGTTTGGTACATCTAATGGGGTCTAACGTGTGTCACGCCTCCCCCCCAAATCCTGTACCATGGTGCAAAAGTTATCGACACTATGGCTTTTGGCTATTATATTATAAGAATCTTTTTTTGTTAACCTTTTTTTTCTGCTGATTACGTTTTTAGAATGTTTTATTTTTTTATCCAATTGAGATTTTATATTCCTCTGATGCGGTTTCAACCACTCTGGGGTTTCTAGATTTACTTACATAGGTAGCTTTGTCATGATCTGATCATGACTGATCCCTGTGTCCACTCTTCTCCCCTTTGAAGAACTTCTGTATCTGCCCTTGGGTGCAGCTGTTTACATATTATATTTCAATGGACATTTGAAAAACAATTATTATCATTTAAATTTTATTTTTGTTATATTATAATGATTCATATTAAATACAATGAATAAAGAATTTAGTATGTCTGATTACTTATAAATTATACAATAATAATGCAATTGAAAAATAATAAAAAAAATAATTAGATATTTTATTGTTATGTTTAGGAAAGACAGAGATTCCAAATTCCGTTTGATTTTGGTTGAATCGCGTATTCACCGTTTGGCACGATACTACAAACGCAAGTCAAAGATTGCCCCTAACTGGAAGTATGAATCCAGCACTGCATCTGCTTTGGTTGCTTAAATAAACTGTTTTATTTGTATGGATGTTAAAAAAGAAATATAACTTACAATTTAAGTTCACCAACTATTCTTTTTATTTATTTATTATTTAAATGTATTCTTTTTATTTATTTGTGACTACCTATCTCTAATTGGCTCCTCTACCACTACTTTCATTAGGATAGGTACTTCTATTTATTTTTTCAATATAGGACAGTTGGCATATTAAAAAAAAATTTGACTTAATAATAAATTGCTTTTTAAAAATTAAAAATTCAACATTTGATTTATTTTATAATAGATATAATAATTAACACAGGGCCAGATTAAGCTATCTGTAGGTCTTGGGCAGGGATTAAAAAAATTGTATTTCATTTCATTGGTACTTCTGTAAACAACTTTTATCGGGTTCATGTTATACCTCAGCTATAGATATAAGGTATCATATCGATTGGTATTCAACAGAAATAATAATTATTAATGCATATGTAATTTATTAAAACATAAAGACACTAATTGACAGTAACAACAATAATAAATTCTTTAACCTAACATAGTGAAACATTTAAAACGTTCATGTTAAGATTGCTGTTAAGTTGAAATTTAATAACAAATTGGATATAAGTAAACTTTTGCTTTGTCTCTCTCCGAGGATCTATTTCTCATAGGCCTTAGGCACAGTGCCTTGTGGTTAACATGACCCTGGGTAAACATTTTTTTAGTACAATCAATTAATGGACACTAAATATTTTAAGTATATCATATTTAAGTTTTAAATATGATTAAAAATTACATTTGTTTAAAAGATTTAATATTAACATAGCTAAATTGTTTCACTGATAATTCAGTATTCGTTTAAATGCTTGTTATAATAAGTATACTTAACATAATTGTTAAGCCAATTGGCATATAGTCAATTGTCAGTGTTATAAATGCATAGACCTTCAGCCTAATATTTGACAAACAATTGTATATAAATCCAATAAATACAAAAATAATTTAAATTTATCTATTTCAATTACAATTCTGACCAAATAATTTTATATCAGTACGTGCAAAACAAAATACATCAGTATTTTGTGGTGTATTTTGCAGTGGTTTTCATACTATATTCTGTGAGCAATATTTAGGTTTTTATTTTATATTAAATTAATACCTATACATTAATTTTATTTTATTTATATATACTAGCTGTATTATAATTATACCTATTATACATAATACTTTTGGCCAAAATCATTAATCAATAACATAATTAGCAACTGAAATAGAATTATAATTTATTGAAACCAATTTTTATATTCATGGGTTAAACAAAGTTCAAAAATTGTTTTCTGAAAAAAAGTAGTCACTACCTAGAAAAAAATATGTTTAAAATTAAAATAATCAAATACAAAATTAAATTTAAGAGTTAATTTAGGAAACTCATGTTTATATTTTATAGAAATAATACAAAACAACCCCGAATCCTCTATGCTACCTGTACATAAATACTTTGTAATAAACAGGAGCATACTGCCTTGTCAAAGTAAAAGGCAGTAAACCTCCCATAGACGTACAATAGTATTGTACAACATTAGGAGTTGTGCAATAATATTGAACGCGTGGTTCTAGTATTGAAAGATGGTGCAATTAATTGTACGATATCAAAACAATTAGATATTTATTGTACAATGTGGCGTCAGTCGGTGTCAAACACGTTTTCCGGACGCGTCACGATGGCTTCTAAAAATGCCGATAGGCAATTTATGCTCGAGTTTATAGACGTTTATCATTCACTCCTTTGTGGGATATTATGTGCAAAGATTGTACTAACCGGGAGAAAAATAATGAACAGTACGACGTGTTAGTTGAAAAATATCGAGAATACTTTCCTGACGCCGACAAACAGGAAGTTATAAAAAAAGTCAATTATTTGCGGACAAACTTCCGCAAAGAACTGAAAAGTATTCGAGATGCTGAAAAAAGTGGTACTGGTACAGAGGACATCAAACCTTCATTGTGAAACAGCAGCCGTAAACTTCATATCTTCGAAGTTATTTCCAGTTGCGAGAAACGTAATGTTATCGACATTAGTTGAATCGCAGGAATAGCATCTCGCATAATAGTATCTCTTCTCAGAATCTGAGGAGTAACCAAAGCTAGAAATTCATCGAACATTTCAGCTTGCACGTGGATAAAGTTTCGGAAGTCATTCGGCTCAACCAATCTCAACTCGTTAAGTAAAACTTCATGGGTGTGCTTCTCTCGGTCAAAGAACAACTGTTTGGCCCACTTCCGACGATTTCGTGTTTTCTTTTTCTTTTTTTGAAGGCTTTTGCTTGTGGTGATCAAAACACAACTTAGTTCGGTGTCACTCAACATGTTCACCCAAAAGGATTTACATACGGACAGGCAAAATATTGAACGTCTGTACCCAACCTTACACAATACTTTGAACAACCTTCAATATATCATTGCACAAACTCGATAATTTTACAATATTATTGTACGTCTATGGGCCGCTAACCGACAATTTTTCATAAATGAGATTATTTTAGAATAGGTACCTATTGTTTATTAGACATTTTACATCAAATTGTCTACGTTAAAATGCAGTAAGATATCATTTACAGGGTCTAAATGAACTTTACATATTATGTAGTATTTAGGAAAATATCACTGAATACTAGACAAATAAGCAGTAAATGATATATTCTAGAAAAAGTGCAGTATAATATGTTGTTAGTTACTATTATTAAGTTATAGGTACGTTTAGTGAATTTATTTAGTAGAATATATACTGCGTAGTTTGTATGTATTTACTAACCTTAGAATTTAGATAGTTAGATTATCTGATCTATACATAATGTTTAGATTATCACATGCATAGTTACATACATTTATTTAATGCGCTAAAAGATGATTATGATAAATACAATTTTTTTTTGGTTGAGGGGATGGAGTGGTAATAGATAAAAAAACAGAAACATTTCATCCCCCTCCCCACAAACATCACCAAATTACGCCATTGCTAACATTACTTAACCATTACAGCAATTAAACAAAGGGACCTCCTTTTTAGTTACTGTGTTTTGGGTTGCCTTACGTTCGGGAAAACCGGGACTGTCATTGGTTTTTGACTTGGTATACCAATGCCCCAAAAATAAATATTGGGACTCCTACTTGTCCTGACTTTAAAAAAAAATGAATATTATTTAATTTTGAAAATTTTTCGAATATCTACTTAATAATTGTGAATACCTACGTACTTACCAAAATAAATACTTTACTCCACCTCATGACCCCCCTCATGCTCCCCTAAATTAGGTACGCCCCTGGGTAAGATATTAGGTATATATTATATAATTCCTAAAAATATACAAAAAATCATAAATTACCAATGTTTTTTAATCGTATTTCTTGAGTGCCTAATTAGTTGTTCTCTATAATAGGTTCACGATTTGACAATTCCAATGTCGAGCAAGGCTATAAAAAAAACCTCAGTTTCAAAAATCTTCAAGATTAAAAATAGGTGCATTTTGGCTTCTCGGAGTTGAAGAACGAAAGCACGTATAACGGCTCTGAATGTCCAGTAATACGCGGCAAGATGCCAACCAGTTTTAGTTTTTACTAATACAGTTTGTGTTTTATAGCATCGCATGCCAAAAAAAAATATAATGTTCAATAGTTACTACTTACTACTTAACAGTAATCGTATACTGATCAACGCGTAGTTGTGTGACTGCGTTTTACGTCTGTTGGTTCAATGTTTTTATTTTTGTGTGAGTAGTTTTTGTTTTTCACTTAGGTACTTTATTCTATGGGATGATAACAGTGAACTTTTGAAAACTTGAACAAATTATATACCTTAGTAGCATTAAAATTTCTTACGTTGTAAATTATACGATCTTGGTCATATTTTGGTAAGTCAATTTAATTTAACTAAGTATCTAGTGATAATAAGAATTTCATTCAAAAAGTAAAACACTTTATTAAATCATTCCTAGGGTAAGTCAATTTTTGAAATTTTTTTTTGTAATTTTGTCCAATGTAGGTGATATTTTTATCTTCATTTTTTGGTATAAAATGCAAAGTGTATGTATTTTTAAATTTAATTTATTTGTATTAAAAACTATTAAAAATTAACATAAACCCATTTCTTTCCTAAAGCCTAACAATTATGAATAATTATTAAGAAGATTGTTTTTTTTTTAATTATCCAATTTTATATTTATTTATAAGTTGTATTGAATATATAGGTTATGACTAGGCCTCGGAAGTTGTAGGATTTGCATGTTTTTTGTATAATTTTTATTTATAGTGGACCAAGTTACAAATTTCTATCATACACATAGGGTAGAGTGATTCACGGAAATAAAACCTGGCGGGAATATTTAAGGATTCCGAAAAAATAATTTATGTTTATTAAATCTTACATAGTATTGTATAAATAATAGAATACAGGGGCCATAGACCAAACTGAACATTGAAATAGGTACATAAACGTTAAGTTGGACTTTTGACCAATAATAGTACCTTATAACTAATAGGTAATCAATATTGATTTGACTGGCAAATAGATAGTTCAAATTCAATTAAACAAATTATTTAATATTCTTCAATAAATGATAGGTAATAATAATATAATGTATAGATTTAAAAATATATTAAAACTTAATAAATGACTATAAATTTATAAGTAATTTAATGTTATGCTCAGATACCATTTTAGGTGTATGCTTTTAGATTCCAAGCGTAGCGAGGGAGCTATTGGTTTTACTTAGATGTTTATTTCTTTTTTTTTCTTTGTTCTAGTCTATGGACAGGTTTTTTCTTAGTAAACTTGCTCTGATTTTTACGTGTATCAACTTTTCTGAAAACTCAAGTTGTCTAGATGGTATATTAGAGAGGTCATTGATTTTCGAAGCCATTTTTTAAATAAAGGCATTTAAGTGAAAAAAAACGTAGGAAAAAGTACAATTTCACGATTTCATTACTTTATAAAAATACGGGCGACATTTTCTACCAGAAAAAATGATTTAATCGAAAAATCACAAGACAGCTTTTTTGCCTTTTTGATTTACTTTTTTACGATATCATTGCCAAAACGTTTGAGCTTTTAAGGAATTAAAATTTTTAGTAGTTTTTTTGCTGCAATTCGGTTATAAATACACGTAAAGATTTGAAACTTAGTAATAATACTTATATTGGACTTACTTAGACGTGGTAAAATTTTATTAATAAGCGTTTTGAAATCAAATTAAAACGAAAATCGCAAAAACATAATTTGAAAAAATCGTATTTTTCGTATTTTTTTGTTTTTCCCAATTATTATGAAAAGTACTTTGAATATCAAAAAATGCCTTTTTCAGTCAGTGAATATATGTTAAAATGAACAAAATCGACCCCTTATCATTTTTCGATTATAGCAATATTTCTAATAGAAAACATAAGTTGTAAAAACTAAAAACCGTGAAAACGGTGATACCACGGCTCGGCGTTCCTTAAATATTTACCGTTTTACCTATAATTTTCTTTTGAGTTTTCCCAATTATTTGACAATCCCTTAAAAAATCAAAAAATTACCTTTTTAGTGCACAACTAGTCAACTAGTCAACATTTCCTTTCAAAAGAGGTACTATACTCTGTACATCAGAGCATGATTTCTGGTAGAAAAATGGTTGACAGACAGAAAAATAATTTAAAAAAGAAAAGATCTGATAATGGGGATGGGAGTGGCCATTGTTGTAAGTGAGAAGTTGGAAAGGTAAGATACATAAGGTTATTTCATTTTCATTTATATCTGTAAGCAACGATAAAAAATTGCTTGGCGAAAGACGATTCCGAGCGCATTTGGGTAATACATAATTAGAATTGCCGTAATTTTAAAAATAATATTTTTAATTGAATTGCATTAAAAAGAAAACTTCTAAATACTAAAAAAAATATTTTCGTACATTTTCCCGTAATTTCTTCGTATTTTTCGGTTTTGCTCAATAATTAAAAAAACTACTAAAAAAATATAAAAATGACTACTTTAATGCACCAACTAGACAAAATTTCATTTCAGAAATAGTACTTTACTCTACACATCAGAGCATGAATTCTTTTCGAAAAATTGTTTACCGACAGAAAAAAAAACAACGCTCTGAATCTAAAATTGATTAGGATAGACCATCAAACTAAAATAAATATTTATTATATTATTTTATCTATTTTTGTTTTAAACATTTTAGTGCTTATTGATTAATTTTAAGTCTATTTTTTAAAATGTTTTATACAGCTATAATTTTATCCCAACTCTATTTATACAATTGTATAACTAATTTAATATGATTATAAATATAATTTATATTTCATAAAAATAAAAAAACCAACCAAAAAAATATTATCTAGCTAGTACCTTTAAGTTTAAGTAGTGAAGCATCATTCGTGTGGCGTTTGAATACTCTCCCGGAACTTACGAACCGGAAAACTTAAAAATGAAATACTTCGTCAAAGGATTGCCAGAAATTAAAAATGTCAACACTAAAATGTATTTAACCTAAAACGTCATCTATTTATGGAATTTTAAATGTAGGTTAATATATGAAAATAAAATTGTGTATAGTATTTTACCCCCCAAAATAGGGACGATAAAAAATAACAGCAATGCAACATTTTAGAACTGTTTGTTTTTAAAATTTTTCTAAAATAAAAAAAAAAAAAGGAACGATCTAAGAAAAAAGTTGATATCTAGATTCCGGGTTAAAGAGTGTCTTTCGCGTTATGTTGATCACAGGGTATATAATTATACTATTTTAACTAGCTGCTAGGCAGTGAGTATTTTAAAAATATCCGTGTTTATAATAGAATTCTGTTTATTTTTTTTTAAATTTCTTATGCTATATATATTATATACAAAATAGACAAATCGTAAATAAATGTAGTTATTATTTATATAAATTAATATAATGCATTAAAACCGCGAAATAATTCATTATAGTCAACAGTATAGTACTATAGTTATAGTATCATATACACCGGGAATTAGTTTTAGAATTAGAAAGGTTTATTTTCATATTATTCACCATGACAAAAGTTAGAATATTTAAAATAGAGTTGCGAGATAGATGTGTGACGTCAATTTATCATTGGATCTAAACACAATAATGTATTTATATTCTTTTAGTAGGTAGGTACTCATTTTACACAATCGTTATCGAAAAAATGCATACACGTACTCATTATAATTATTATTATATAGATTGGCCGTTGAGCAACTCATGAATTTGTTTACACAAAATATGTATAGATTAATATGTAGCATAGGTACCTTATATATAGCATAGGTAACCTATCTATCAATAGGTTTATTTTAAATCGTGGCCCATGATCTATGATTTAACAGTATTTTAGCAATTTTTTAATGTAAATAAAAATATGACTAAAAAAAAAATTGTTCAAAACATAATTTTGTAGCTGGTAGATAAAATTTATTATATGAGTATTTAATTGAAGTATTTAGTATCTAGGTAATACAAATGTTAAATGATTATTACTTTATAGGTAATAATTTTCTTAATTTAATTAGTAAATATGTTTGTATTTAAAAGATTAATAAAAGGAAAAAATAATACTTTTTTGAAAATAAAGCAGAAAATATGGTCTATAATATTCTTGTCAAATATGCGAAAAAATCTTTTTGTCAATCATTTTTGGACTATTTAGGGTCTACGTACTTTAACTTAATGCCATATGAGTAGGGCCCGGAACTTGATGACTTATAAATCTTTAAAAAATGCACACAAAAAAATTATTAAAATGACTTAAAAACATCAAAAATGACCATAAAAATATCATAAAATTTTCAAAAATTACGTTTTTTAATAATAAATCATCGTTTTTAAATCATTTATTTAGTAATTATCATTTTATTCATTTTAACAATGCTAATAAAGATATAAATTAAATGTGTTACATTGAACTTGTCAAAGTATGTTTAATATTTTCGAAAATAAAAGATCGGTGATTGTCCGATAATAAAGTTTTTTTACCTATAAAGGTAAAACAAACTTCTTTTCACTTCAACAGATGTGATTTGCGCATACTTGAAAAAAGTGATGTCATCTATATTAAAATCTTCTGGCAAGCTTTCTTTTGTTACTTCTTGTCCTTCTAACATTTTTGATATAATCTACATATTTTTATAACCACTATTTTTTTCTAAAACACTTTTGAATTTATTTTGAATTTCACGTCCAACTATATTTTGTGCATGATGAATTTTATTTTTTTCTTCTTCTACAACTGGTATAGCATCAACAAGGCATATGTTTGATGATTCTAATTATGTTATTTCAAATATTTAGTTTTGTCAAAATAATATATAAGAAAAATGTAAAAAATGCAAAATAAAAATTGTTCCATTGAATTATACATGACATAAGTCACATTTCTGTAAAGACAAGCCTCGTATAAGAAAAGTATAAGAAAAAAAGATTCAAATGCTTCAAGTTCCGGGCCCTACATATGAATATAAAAAAAATATCTGAATCAAAATAGTGTTAAAAAATTAGTGTATAAGTATTTATTCTTAGAATTACTTTAAACTATTATTGTATTATTCATATATTACATATATCACATATATTATTCATATATAGATACATTCAAGTCAATTTAATTTAATTTTAACTTATTACGGTCAGAATAACTGTTTTTTGTATTATTTTTATTATAATTTTTAATTTTAAATTGTAAATATGTTTAAAAATTAAATTTATTATTTCTCTTCGAATTTTGATTTCTCTATATTATAATTATTTTATTTAAATAACTAATAATTCTGTACATTATTTATGTAATTGTAAATTTTTATTTTTTTAGAATTTTTACTATAATATTTTTACACTCTCTAACTCTAACTCAAGCTCTAAAAAAAAAGCATTGCTATCAAGTGAACTCCACTCAGAATTGTTTTTTTGTAAGCAATGATTTAACGTTGCTTACAGGTATACATGAAATTATCTATAACAGTGGCTGCACCCGTCCCCATTGTCCTAGGACGTCTTTTTCTATATCAATTTAACGAGATAAACAAATTAGTTAACTTACCCCCAGTCTTGTTTAGTTGTATATTATATAAACAGATTATATTACATATTGTTATAAAATAAACACGTCGAGTGTTCTCAAAATATTTACAATATAATTGTTTTCAGGTTTCAAATTACAAACGTGCAGTGTACCTAATATTGTAGCTGAATGTATTAGCCACCAAACACCTGTCTAAATACTATTTATGCCTACATTATTATGACCACGAAACGGACTTAACTAATTAAAATAATGATTCCATTACAGTCACCATGTTACGTATTTAAAGTATATTATTATTATGCTATACTTTTAACTATGTTATGCGGAAACGAAGTACTCGGTTACAACGTGGATGTTACACATTTCGTTAGACACCGAGGACCAATAGGATCTATGTTTGGGTTCAGCGTGGCCCAGTACAAGGTACCCGGAGAATCGTGGTAAGTCTGATTTAAAATTTAACGATTTTCCATTTTTATACAGTAGACCTCTGTTCGTATTGTTATAATTTTAGATAATGAGCGGAGTCAAATTTATTTGATACATTTCACGTCTAACGATCTACTACTAATAGTTATAGGAAAAATATTTCAGTTTTCGGCCTTCAAAATAAAATATAGGCACCTCTGCTCAGAATGCAAACATAATACTTTGTACACTCGCTTGAATTAAATGTCAAATATTCCAAACATATATAAACCACAAACGGCTCATACAACGACCGTGTATTTGATTTTACTGTTATCTAAGAAATTTTGAATGTCCACTGTCTTAGTAGCATACTTCTGGGAGTATGATGGGGATATACCCCCTTAGTCTATTTTTAATCAAAATCGATTCTGAACAGCGGTACTATTAGCTTGTTTTTTTCTTGTAACCAAGGTAATTTAAAAATCAATAAAAATTAAATCTATATAAGCATCGATTAATAAATATGTCTAGATATATACGAGTATGTATGCATATTGGTGATCCAAATTTATGAAAATCTTATCTATTTTTCAGGTTGTTGATTGGAGCACCAAAGGCGGACAATATTCAGCCAGGAGTCAATGAGGGTGGATCTGTGTACAAATGTAGTACGTCAACGGATAATGAATGTGAACCAATAATGTTCGACACGAGGGGTGAGTTTTTTCGTCATACAACAAAAAAAATCTTTACGAAACTTAAAGTGTAAAAATTGTGTAAAACATATAGTAAAGAACCAATTTATTTATAGTAGATTGAACTATATTGGCAATAAATAATGCAGACATAGAAATTACATACTGAATATAAAATATGAGAAATTATGCTCATTAATAGCACATTCAAAGCTTTGACAAATTTAATCTGCAACTAAGGGGTAAAACAAAATTCAACATAAAGGAAATAATAAATAGCATATAAAATGTTTCAATGTCTTTCTACACTTGTTGAACCTGTGCACTTGTTCAGCATTTGTCTTTGGAATCACTAATATACACACTATTTTTTGATATTTAATATACTATAAGCAATTATAAATATATACCTATTATATAAAAAAAATCGTTATTTATTAAACAGGAAATAATAGTTCTACTGAATCCATTCAAAGAGACAGCAAATCATATAATTGGTTAGGTGCTACAGTGAAGAGCTCGGCAGACAGCAGGACAGTTTTGGTAAATTTTAAATATTTATTTATTATTATTTTTTTAATATTAGGTATTTTATATAATGTGTTATATTAAATAGTTGTCTTTAGAAAAAAAAAATCGTATAATTATATTTATTATATTTCATAAATTTTCCTATTTTTTTCTACTTTTTGCATTTGATGAGAAAATTCTTAAGAAAATCGAAAAATGATTTCCATAAAGCACCTCTCCATACCGATTTCCTTTCAGAACAGATGATACACGTAAAAATCTGAGTAAGTGTTCTGGTAGAAAAGTTGCATACAGATAAAAAAAAAATAAATAAATGAACATCTTTGTAAAAGAAACTAAAATGTTTATATATTTTGAAACCATTTGTTAAATATTTAATAATTTATTATATAACGATATACCTACCTACTTTATTAATAATAAAGTATATCGTTTTACTAATCTTGAAATTGATACCTATATTACATATTTGACTATATTGACTAAGTATTGTAGTTTGATCAAGTTTTTATATAAAAAAAAAACACGTGTTACATTATATGTTTCACAAAAACAGTGATATTTGTGTAATGTTTATATGTACAAATAGTTAGAAAAGAGTTATTTATTTTATACAACAATTATTTTCATTGCCATAAAAAAAATTGTATTACAAAAAATTAAATGGGTCGAAATAAATGGTAATGTGCCAATGTAGTATACTAGGTATATGTAGTATAACACATTGACTACACAATTATTTTCGACGAGATTGGAAAATAATTAATTAGGTTTAAAAAATACACAAATATATATAAACCGATATTTATATATTATTATACTTTAATATTCATTCAATATTTCTCCAGGCCTGTGCTCCAAGGTACGTTTATTTCAATTATAAGGGTTTTGAAGTGATGAGAAAAGATCCTATTGGTATGTGTTATGTCACCAGAGACTTGCATCATTTTTCTGAGTACTCGCCTTGCCAAATTGGTGGTTTGTTTTTCAGATTTATTAATACTATCATTATAAAATAGTTTAAGTTTTATATATTTTAATTAGATTTATTCAGTTTCATAATTTGTATAGATTAAGCTCATTATATAAATAAAATTAAACAAATATTGATTTAAATCTTGTTATTTAACGAAAACTATTGTATACCTAATAAAAATAATTTTATATTCTTGAAATTATTATCGATTATACATTATATTAAAAACCACATTCAATTGATAATAAATAATAATATCCATATACATCATTTTTAGATAATATGACTGAGAGAGATCAGGGTACTTGTCAAGCTGGACTAGGAGCATCCATTTCAAAGGTATTCATAGGTGAATTGTAATAACAAAACTAATAATTCCTGAATCATAAAATACATTTTTTCAATTTATTTTCAGGATGGTAATCGAATATTCATAGGCGCTGTCGGGAGACGGTTTTGGCAAGGTAAGATGAACATTCATGAAAGTTTATAAAGCATAACTGTTGTTTAACTAGTTAATTTTTAAATGTCATTATTATGCAGCGTAATTCATTTCACATAAAATACTTATTATTTCGCAGAGTATTTAGTTTACAAATTAATTTTTTTGAATATTTAAGAAACATGCAGCTCTAAATGTTACATCACCATTATTTTTTGTCACTTTATTTTTGGGGGGTGAAAATACCACCTATTTTGATTTTCAATTAGTGATCTAAATTAAAAATTCCATAAATAGATGGAATATTAAATAAATATTGACGTTAAAGTTTTTCATTTCCATAAACCCATTGATAAGGTATTCCACTTTTAAGTTGGGTATGGAGAGAGTACCTACTGTCGTGCTAAGCGCATAATAAACAGTGTTTCTATCTAACCAAGATATTGGGTAATCGGCTAAATAATTTTAAATACAATACTGATCAGTGTACCAAGTATAATTATTAACATTTAACATATAATACTAAAAAAAAACGTCAATATACTAATTGTATGAGTTTTTAAATATTTTACATTAAAATGGACTTGCCTTTTATTCGTCAAGCACTAACGGAAACAAAATTAAAGTGAATCCATTTCTAAGAAAATACTGTTTTTATTTTAGATTCTAAGTGGAACGAAGAAGCTTATAATTTTACAAAGATATTTATCCTTTTTTTTAACTGTGCGCAACTTTTTACCAAAAGACTTGCTCAGATTTTAAAGTTTAGCAACTTTTCTGACAGAAAATCGGCGTGGGGAGGTTCTTTAATGAGGTCATTTTACGATTTTCTCATCAAATTTGAAAAATCGAAAAAAACAGAAGAAGAACGGGTAAATATGAGAAATGCAAGATAGCAATTTTTCTGAAAGGAAATTTGACTGGAAAAGTACTTTAGGGAGGTCATTTTTCGATTTTCCTAAAAGTTTTCCTAACAAATGTTCAAAACCGAGATAAAATATGGGAAAACCGGGAATAACTTAAAAAAACTAGGAAAATCGGTTCAACATTAAACAAATATTATTACAGAAATATATAAAGCTTATTTAATTATTTTACTCTAAATGGCATATATTGTTGACAGAGCATCATAGTCATCAGTTTTAATACATTTAGTCTATTTGTAATGAAAAACTTAAACGTGTTAATATTTAATAACAGGTCAGTTTTTCTCAAAAAACTTAAATGGTCAACAAGAAGTATTTTCAACTAATGAGGGACCAAAATCGGATGACGATTCGTATCTTGGTTATTCAGTTGCTGTTGGTACATTTGGATTCGGTTCAGAATCTGGCGCGGCGGTTGGCATGCCCAGAGGCTCAGAACTTTCAGGAAAAGTAAAATCGCTAAAATTAATTTTTATTTCACACTACAATTTTTAATATTATTTTGCAGGTTGTCTTATACTCTGCCAATTTAAAAATTCTTTATAATATTTTGGGCGATCAAATAGGTTCGTATTTTGGTTATTCGATTTGCGTGTCAGACATAGACGGAGATGGCGGCGATGATATCATAGTCGGCGCACCAATGTACCACGAATATTCAAAAAATAACGATTCTTATGAGACTGGCAAAGTGTATGTGTATTTGAAAAATGAGGTATTAACAACAAATAATTTAAAATTTCAAATAAAATTTGTATAAAAGAAAACAAATTAAATAAATATACCTGGGACTTGATCACAAATTAACTCAAGCTCTGTATAATTTAGCTGACAAAGATTATATTTTAAAACGTTTATTGTCGTTTTAGATTGATTACATTTTGATTTCATAGCTAATTGTACTGAGAAAAAAAAGTAAACAGTTGTTTTTTTGTAAATCTATATTTGTAGATACCTAAAATATTTTAAATGTAAACTAATGTAGTCTATAAATATGGCTATACCGGAAATTCACTTTATATTGTTTAATATATAAAAGTAATTATTAAGTGTGAAGAATAGATATTTTAATAATGTACTCCATACCTACATGCCTACCTAACTTATATTTGTTTATAGGGATATGCATTTTATGAACGAAATACAAGACTAGGATTTAATTCAAAATCTCGTTTTGGATTGGCTCTAAGTAATTTAGGAGACATAAATAGAGATGGGTATGGAGGTGAGAAACACTATTGACTTTGATTTGTTATTATTAGGTACATAAATAATACTAAACAAATATTTATAATTTTTAATATATTTTGTTTTAAATTTCAGATTTTGCGGTTGGTGCTCCGTATGATGGTCCTAACGAGTTAGGTGCAGTGTACATTTACCACGGAGCCAAAATGGGTTTTCGGAAAAAGTATTCTCAAGTGATTAAATCTGAAGACGTGTCCATAGGTCAGCCGCCTGTATCGACATTTGGGTTTTCGTTAGCTGGTGGAACGGATTTAGATAACAATCAGTACCCAGACCTGATCATCGGTGCTTACCAGTCGGATACGACTTATTTGATGAAATCTAGACCTGTGGCTCACATTACAGCATTGTTATATTACAAGTCTAACAATAAACAAATACAATTTGAACATAGAGAATGTACAAACAAAGATGGCACTCGGGTTTCCTGTTTATTTTTGATTGCCTGTTTACAGTACACAGGGATTGGAATTGACGATCAACTGAGTAAATAACTAAACAAAAGATATAATTAATGATATATTTAGAAAAATAAAACATTTAATTTATTATTTAATAGATATTGAGACACATTTAGTGTTAGATGCAAGACTGAAATCTCCAAGAATGTTCTTTTTATCTGAAGAAAACCAAAACATAAAGAACAATAGTTTGATTTTGAAAAAAAAAAATACTCATTATTGCCTGACATTCCAAGTTTATTTGAAGGTATAATAAAATAAATTACTTTAATAATAACAATAAAAAAATTTAAAAAAAAATTGATTTATGAATAAGGGGTGATGATTTAATGATAGATCCAAGATCCAAAATAATAATAATTAGACTGATGACTAACGACTTAAGTAGGTAAATCACAATTTGTGTGGTACCTATCGACAATGCCGTGCCTCACAAAATCAGCAACTGGGACCAGACAAATGTAACGATACGCAAAAAAAGGCCCAATCTAGCTGTTGGACGTTCACTTAATACGTTTATCATCAAAATATTCAATTAAAAAACTTTTTTCAAATGACCGGGTGCGTGGGCACTGGGTACTTCTTGCACCCTTTTAGATACGGCCCTGCCTATCGAATACACTAAACAACAATATAATACCTACAAATAGTATTTTGTTTAATGTATTTTTTACGTACATTTTTTGTCAACATTTCAGAATAATATAAGAGATAAATTGACGCCACTAGAAGCTGAGTTGAGGCACAGAATCATTGAAGATACCCAAAGATCTACTACTCTAACACCTGTTATAGATACGGAAAATGAACAGTTTGCTATCTCTAGAGCTTCGATCAATATATACAATTACTGTGGAAATGATAATATTTGTATACCAGATCTTCGACTGATAGCTATGCCGTAAAAGCAAGCCACGAAATAATTTTAAATACATTTTTTGAAATAGTTTTTTCTAATTAGGAATTCCGAATCATATTTACTTGGATCTAATGAAAAATTAAAAGTTGATGTCAAAGTTCAAAATCTAGGAGAAGATTCTTTTGAGACTACTTTTGATATGATTTTACCTACAGGTGTTAATTACGTAAAAATAGAAAGACTAGACGATAATGAAAAAAATATACCTGTACAATGTTCAGCTCCGTCCAAAATGACTAACAATACTCTACACTGTGACATTGGAAATCCTTTGCCTGGAAATAAATACGTACGTTAAAGTTAGTTACATTTAAAACTTTAGGTAATTATCCATAAATTATAATATCAAGATATTTATATTTATTATATATTTAGATACAATTTATGGTGGTTTTGGAACCATATCAAACTACTGAAACAAAAGTGGCCAGATATGAATTTAATATGATGGTAAAAAGTACAAATCCGGAAAACTTAAATTCTGTATCCGATAATGCTAAATCCTTGACAATACCTCTTTGGGTAGATACCGAACTAATTATTGAAGGATCGTCGAAACCCACAGATGTATATTTCAACGTTTCAATGATGGAAGAAAATCTAAATATTATCGAAGAAAAACAAATTGGACCACAAGTCGTTCATGTGTATGTAATTAGGAATAAAGGACCTGCAGATATATTAGAAGCTGAAGCGTACATTGATTGGCCCTTATTTGTAATGGCAGGTACAATTAATATTCAATCTCTACTTTTTTAAATTTTTCTTTTAAATATTAATTGCCTATAAAAACTGAACAATTTCATTTTAGGAAACCCATTGTTATATCTCCTCGAAATGCCAGAAACTATTGGACAAGTGAAGTGTGAGCCTATTGAAGATATAAATCCATTCAAATTAAATGTAATTATATTGTGAAGACATATACAGGGTTATTAATCCTCGATAAAACACTCATTTTCTCAGAATTATTATTTTTGACTATTTAAGAAACAATCAATTCTAAAATATTATAATATTAATTTTATTTTTGGTCGGCTTATTTATTTTTGGGGATTAAGGTAGCTACCTAACTTACTTTTAATATTCAAATAGCAACTTAAATAAAAAAATTACATAAATACCTACTTAAGTAAATACTTTAAGACTTAAATTTTAATTTAAATACATATGGGCGTTCAAATTTTTAATTTCCGTCAACTATTGACGAGATAAATTCAAATTTGTAAGAGTAAGTACCTAGCATCATTTTATGGTGGCGTAGTGCGCGGCGTTAGTGATGGAAACGATCCAATCATCTCAATTATTTATAAATCATTTGATAAATCGTAAACATTCAATATTTAAATGATAAAATAATTTAATTATTTTTAAATTCTAATTATTGATTTCTAATTTGGCAATTTTTAATACTTGTGCATACGGAGTGATCAATCAATCGTAAGACACTCATATCTTGGAAAGTATTAACTTTTTTCGACATTTCTTTCATAGAAAATTTTAGAATCAAACAGCTCTATAAATTTTACATTTATGTTATTTTTTGTCACCCTAATTTTTGAGGGTGAAATTACCAAGTATCTACCTATGATTTTTCAAATGGCAACTTTTATTAAAAATTCCATAAATAGATCGAGTAGTAGTTAAAATAAATTTTGATGTTAAAATTTTTAGTTTCCATCAATTGACGAGATATTCTATTTTTAAGTTTGGGTCGGGGGAGAGCAGTGATACATTTTTAAAATGCCGCGCGCTATGCCTCCACACAAATGTTGCTCCACTAATCTCCCCCGACCAAAACTTATAAATGTTATATCTCGTCAACGGATTGATGGAAACTAAAAATTTTAACATCAAAATGTATTTTAACTACTACTCGATCTATTTATGGAATTTTTAATAAAAGTTGCCATNTGAAAAATCATAGGTAGATACTTGGTAATTTCACCCTCAAAAATTAGGGTAACAAAAAATAACATAAATGTAAAATTTATAGTGCTGTTTGATTCTAAAATTTTCTATGAAAGAAATGTCGAAAAAAGTTAATACTTTCCAAGATGATAAGTATCTGATGATATATTGATCGCCCTGTACACGTTTATTTTAAATTTAAGTATAATAATATTATAAAAATAGTGGTTAGAAAATATGTTCTTTTATAAATATTATAGTAGATATTAGATGTTGTTAAGTCATATTACCAAGTATAATTTAATTTAATCAGTACATTTACTATTTTCAGTGAATTTATTCCACAAATTTATTTGAGTGAAATACCTATAGGTACCTACTGAATCTTTGATTATTAATATTTAAAATTGCTTGATTAAGTACTTAAATTTGAATTCGAAAATCATTATATTTTTTATATTTTTTATATCGATACCTAATCATTCGATTATTTCCACTACTAGTTTTAATAGTTTTTCAATCTATTACTCTTCCCCTACCCAAATTTAAAAATGAAATATCTCATCAGAAGATTGACGAAAGTTAAAAAGGTATTTAAACTAAATTGCATTTACTTATGGAATTTTTAGTATACTATTATAGTATACCTATAAGGTTGTTATTTGAAAACGAAAAGTGATTAGGAGTTTAACGCACAAAAATAAACGGTAATATAATATTTTAGTTTATTGTTTCCTAAATTGTCTATGACCACTAAATATAAATAAAATAATATACCTAATTATATGATTTATAGATTGACCATAAAAGGAAATCTTATTTTAAATCTAGTGGTTTGAAATTATTGGAGCGATTACCGATTAACATAACAAATGAAGATGACCTTTTAGGAAACAGTAATGTGAAGTTAAAATTGTATAGAAGGTCCGAGAGGGACATAACAGTATTGAAAAAACGTTGTGGGCCAGTTTTGTGTGTAACAATTAAATGCAAAATTGGTCCGTTTTCAAAGGACCAGGATGTTGGAATATTATTCAGGTCCAGAATGTGGGTGGAAACTCTGAAAAAAGTATATAAGTATAAAACAGAAATTAATAATAATGAAAACCGTCCCTTTAGTGTAGATGTGCATTGGAACATGTATAAATGCACAATGTCTTAATTTGTTTTGATTTTAATTAGGTGGAAATAAACCAGCATTTAAATCTGAGCTCTATGATATCTGCCAAAATCACCCGTCTTCCATATATCGGCAAACCTGTGTCCGATAGTAAACTGGCTCAGGTCAGAGTTCATGAAGTATTGACACAAATCATTTCTAGAGATTTTGCGGTGAAACCAAATATCATTCCTATGTGGATAGTCATATTAGCTGCTATAGCTGGAACCTATGTTCTGCTGGTTCTGATTTACCTTCTTTACAAGGTAACAACTGTACAAAACATAATACCATGAAAATAAACAAAAATTGTAACTGCTTTGTGGTACTTAACTTTAATTAAGAAATAATATCTTTATTAGCATATATTATGAAATACAATAAATCCTTAAAGTGGAATTGCTTGGTACAAACTAATTTTTCCGTTATACAGAGACTAAAATATATGGGCTATAGGCTATGCAGAACTGTTTTTATTTTCTATTTTAAGGAGATTTTCACCTTATAGGGGTCTGTCATGAGGAGATTTTACTGTATTATATTTTGTTAATCTAAATTCTAAAAAGAACATATTTTGTAATGAATATTCATAATAAAAATATTTTTAAACTTCAACTATAGTCTAGTGATTATCTAGCTAAACAAGAAAATGATTTAGATACATTAATACTTATAAATTTAAATACTAATAACAGATTAAATTTGTTTAATCAATTTAAAACAGAAAAATAATCAAAAGATAAATATAATATAGAGTATTCAATACATAAGGAGCGTTTCATATTTGTCAACAAAAAATATATTATGTATAATTATAATTATCACTATAATTTTGGTTAATCTCAATAAATTAAATAGCACTCATTTCTTTAGAACTATGATTTATTTCATTCTAAATAAATTTTGTTCATTAATTATTCAGCATTAAGATTATATTAATAAATTAAACACATAGAAAAATGTAATAATTATTTTTCTTTAATTTTAATTTAAAGTGTGAATTTTTCATACGGAATCGCCCATCAAGTGCACCGGAAGAACAACCATTGACACACATAAAAGATCAAACTTTATCAGACGATAAATGAAGCGTTGTAGAAATCTTCAATTTTCTACTGCTAAAAATAAAAATAAATAACCAAACATTAATTGTTATTTAATAAATGTTTTAATTGTTTAACAAAAGAAAAAAAATACATTATATTCATTTTATATTTTGTTTATTTATTAGAAATAAAATGTATGTGTATAATTTTATATATATTCTATTTAAGAGAAAAAATTTGATACTTTGAAAAGTATTCATTTTTTAAAAAAATTATTATAATTTAAGAAAAAATTCCTAAAATGTTACATTGAATTTTTTTTTTCGCCCTTATTTATGAGTTGGCTGAAATCAAGTGTCAACATTAAAATTTATTAAAACTAATACTCCAAATTTATTGATGTAATTATTAATATAGGTTGATATTTGAATATTAAAAGTGGCACCTGTTTCACCCCTAAAAACAAGGATGACAAAAACATAATATTAATGTAATATTTTAAAGTTGCTAATTTCTTAATTTATTTTTTGGAAAAATCTATACTTTACGAAATATTGATTTAATTAGCCACTTAAACAGATAATTTTTATACACAGAACGATTCAAAATTTACATTACAACCATTTTATCAAACTAATATTCATCACATTCTAAATGCAACATCTTGTCGAATTAGTCATGTCTTGAAAACAAGGGTGACAAAAATATCCTTGTCCTTCACTGCTTCTTATAGGTCTTGATAGGACGTATAACCCAATCTTCTCTTTTATGCCATGCAAATTATTAATTGTACTTTTTCCTCTTGATCTTTAACACATTATTCTTACCTTAAATATGTTATTTAGAAAATTATTATAACATACTAAGTTTTAGAAATTATATTTAGACCACACACACTTTTCACATAATGTGCAGTGTTGCTACTACAAACTAGTTATAAATGTATTTGTATTAACTTTAAATAGCTCTCAATCATAGTTTTGAAAAACTTAATGTTATTCAATCATTAAAATGTATGGAACAAATATTTTCACATTATTGCATTATTTGCAAAAATATAGGTTTCCATTTGAATTTCAAAAGTTATTCCCTTTCCCCCTCTCTCTACTGAAATACTAAAAAAATAAAATGTACAAATCATTTTAGATGTTAATAAATCAAAAAACTTGTGTGTAAAATATTTCTATTTTGAATATTTATATGATACAATGGCTACAACATCAATTTTGAATCACATTATATGTATATACCAGGGAATTCATTAAAGTAGGTACACTCATTATCTCAGAAAGTATTAACTTTTTCCCGAATTTATTGTCTAGAACATTTAAAAAACAAGCTATTCAAAAATTGTATATTTATGTTATTTTTTGTCAACCTTATTGGATCACCTAATACATATAAAAAATTGATTAAATCTACATTTTTTAATAATTCTGTAGAAAAATAAAAATTACAATTTTAGTTTAATATTTATTCCATGTAAATAAATATTCAGTGGTAAAACTTATTATTAGTTTTTTAATTAAGAAATTAAGTAATTTTCCACTTTGAAAATTCTAAAATTCTAAATTAACCTATTTAAATAATGATCCATAATATTTTTATTTTGTTATGCAGTTATTTGTATCTCTATTAAATTACTCAGGTTAAGAAATTGAAAAATTGAATAATTGTAGATTTTTTTTACAGTAACCCTAAAAGTATATAAGAACAATCATTTTTGAACTCAGTATTGAAAAACATACATTTTGAAAATAAAAAAATTGCTTGAACAAATGTTATTAATTCTAGTATTTTATTAAAATTATCTTAATTAGTTATTACTCATTTATAACGTACCTTTGCATTAGCATGTATACATGTAATGTATATTCTAAATATTACTAATCAAATTATTCTTGAGACACATGACTCAATGCTGTTTTAATATTGGGAGATTTATAAGAAAATTGTAATGAATTTAATTTAGTTGACTCAACAGCTTGACCTTCTAAAACCATTGTAGCACGTTCCTTTCCAAAAATTAACTTAAAAATGAATTCGGGAACTTTTAATACAAAACTATGACCAAAGACTTCGACAAAACTCTTGGCAAAATAATGATGTGTAATGATCTGGAATACAATACAATTAAATATAATATTATAATAAATGTCAACCAAACAAATAAAAGTATTACTTCAGGTGCAACTCCATTTAAAATACCCTTTACAGCATTATTCTCAATGGCAAATAATACAATACGGCATACATCATCTACATGTATCCAAGGAAAGAACTGAGTACCTTTACCCATACATATTCCTAAACCAAATCGAAAGAATGGATATAGTTGGCTTATAAATCCACCATGTCGGCCAAGTACAACCCCTGTATTACATATACATATATATATATATATATATTTTCTTTTTAAATTAAATTAATCTTTGTAAAAACAGAAGTTTGTTTTACCTAATCTAATTATTACTGAACGTACATCGTCTGATTTGGGCTGAGCACTATCTTCAATACCAATCACCAATTTTGATAAGTAATCAAATTCTTTAACACAATAGTTTTCTGTATATGGTTTAGACTTGTCTGAATTTGGTGGATAAATACCTGCAAATTAAAAAAAAATTAGTTTTATACCTAATATTAAAGATTCTTAATTTAAAAAAAAAATTAATATTATTAATTGATTATTCTTAGTAGATAACAATTAAATGAACATTATAAATTATAAATACATTTATTGAATCAGTGCACTAATATAATCACCACATGAAAAATATACTAATTTCTTAATATATTACTGAGAAAATTGATATTATCAAGTAAATATTACTTTAGATGTTACTATCTTCAGTACAAAACAAAATATTAAGGCGATAAATTTAAACACACCTACTCCAGAAAATGAAATGAATAATTTTGGTTTAGGTGATTTCATTTGATTAATTGCATTAACAAGATATTGGTTAGTCAAAACTCTACTATCCCACACAGATTTTTTGAACTTTTCGGTCCAAAATTGAGTAGGTTCTAAAATTGGTTCTCCAGCTGTATTAATAACTGCTACAGTATCAATTGGTATTTCATTGTTTTTCACTTGATCCTATTGTAATATACACAGAACTATTTAAAACTGTAATTTTGAATAACAACTCTTATATGTTTTTGTTTTTCACATAATCTTACCCAACTTATAACGGAATCAGATTTATTTAGTAAATTTTTTTTTCTCGATATGATTGTAACATCAAAATTATGCTGTATCAGATATTGTTTTAAGTGTTTACCAACAAACCCTGTTCCACCTCCTAGAAAAAAAAATATGTATTTATGTATTATTAAAAATCATAAGAAATATTATTTAACAAGTTAATAAATAATTTAACATGTATTCAAAATCCTATATTTTAATATCAATACAGTTAAATATTATTTTAATTTTAACAATAATTCATTCCATAACTACAAAATTGATATATAATATTATATTTATGCTATATTGTTATAATAAAACTGAAAAATTATAGTTACCAATTAAAACTCTTCCTTTACTTGTCACCGAATAACTTCGGCTTATTGAAATCATGATAAAACAGATTATTTACACACAAAAACAAAACGTGACAATATAATACAGGTTTGATTTTACTATAATTTAATAAATTATTAAACACATTAAAAACCAAATTAGTGAAATTTCAACTTTAAGTTGTTATTATTATCATTAATATTATTATTAATGTTCTCTAGTACCACGATAAAAGATATCTTTATACCCAATGTTTATCTAATGACCTTGTTTAATACATATCCTTAGATTATAGTATAATCTGTGATATAATATGATCAAATGATTCAAATATCTATCTATAACTAAATTTCAGGGAAAACTATAACATAGATATAATATTACTTTAGTAAATCTAATGATTATAATATAAGTATATTATACTTTTTTTTATAGTATAAAAATATAAGATCTATGAGCTGTAATCATGTCTCATACAGTTAATAATTATACATCTAAATGGAACAATCAGCATCAAAGCACGTTCCGGTGGGTAGTTTCATTTTGAGTCTGAGGACAAAAACACGTGAGATAATAAATGGAATGTTTTAATTGTCTGTCCTCGGAGTGCAAATTTATTTTCTCTCATAATAGGCTTTGTACGTAGACATATAAAATAATTGTACATGCCTATGGCTTTATATCAGTATATCTCTCGAAATCTATTCGAAATGACCATGCTAACCATGTCTATGATGCTAACTGATGGGCGATAACCGATCCATTGAATAAAATACCTCCGACCCTCTGGGTAAATAGATTATAGATTATAACCAAACTGTCCTAACCTTTCTTTACTATGTATGGTCTAGGTTAGTGGTTCCCAACCTTTGTGTTATGACGACCAAAACAATTACTATTTTTTAGATATGCGATTCATATTAAAAATAGCTCCCCTAAGATAATGGGAGTACAACCATTGTTGTAGGTAATAAGTAGGGAAGGTAGGATACAGTGAATTTAATATATGTTTGTAAGCAACGATGAACCATTACTAACGAAAAAACAATTCTGATCTAGGTTCAATTGATAGTGATGCATTGTTAATAATATATATGTCGTATTATGGTCAAATAATTAAATAGGTATTTAATATATTTCCCTTAATATTTGTTTAATATTGTACTGATTTTCCCATTTTTGACGGTTTATCACATTTGTTTGGAAAACTTTTGGAAAAATAGAAAAATAACCTTCTCAAAGTACCTTCCCAGTCGGATTTCCTTTCTAAAAAAATGCTATCATTGTAAATCGGAGCAAAATTGCTGGTAAAAAATTTGTTCACAGGAAAAAAGAAGGACTTAATATTTTTAATTAATACCATAGTATAGATATCTGTGCTTATACCTTATACCTTTAATCGTAATATCTACACAGTAGATACAGCTGTTGTCTATAGCTGTACTACTCAATATAACTAAAGTAAATTAACGTGGATTTCGCGCCACAACGTCATCAACTTTTTTCTTCCATATTAATTTCATGTTTATAACCTCAAAATTGTGTTCGCTGAGTTGGCAACATCCCCTCCAGCCAACGTTTATTTCACGACGACCCGACAACGGGCGTCATTTCTAGGCGTCCAACACACACTTATTTGTTCTCGCGTTGGACTGAAGGCTCTCTGAAATCTCTCTCACTTGGTAAGTATTTAATTATATTTTTTTTATGGTTTTATTTCGACGGTTTGAATTGATTCTTGTTTATTATTAAATAATTCGTGTTCCCGATTTTATTTATTCTATGATACCCGTGTACAGCTTGATATAATACCATGATTAATTTCCATGACCACGTGAATTTTTTTTTCGTCACGTCATTGTTCTCTTTTTAATTTGAGTATCTTTATATCTATGTTTGCTCTTTGATTTTAGAATCTTCAGCCCGAAAATGAGGGCTAAGTGGCGTAAGAAGCGTATGCGTAGGTTGAAGCGCAAGAGGAGGAAGATGCGTGCGAGGTCCAAGTAAACCTCATGGCCGGCTCCGGATATTTCATTGTCATGTTTTGGTTAAAAAATACAACAATGCTGTAATAACTTTTATATTGATAAATCATTAAATAATTAATGTTCTACATCTAAATTTTTGTTTTTATTTATATTGGTTAAAGTATACGTTTACTTTTGGTTAATGCATTTTCTGATTTTCCGGTATATCTCTAGTTTTGTAGGTTAAAATATATTTGTTAATATATTATAAATTATTCATTTCTAAACTAGTGCATTAATGAAGTACATCATTTTTAAGTGTATTTAATTAAGTTATTTGTGATATTCTTTAATAAATTAATATGATAATTTAATTTTAAGTACCACATTTTGAGGTTATCTAAACAAAATATATGACTAATAATAAATAAGAATGGGTTATTTACGCAATTATATTTCACAAAATATCACGGTACGTATAATTTTTTTTAATAATTGAACAAACTACCATCAGTAGCATAATAAGTGGCTCATGGCATTCTTAATTTTGCTGTATTTAAATTGAAAACCAAATTCCTGTGTTCTAAAAGGTATTACTTGTCTATTGCTAGATAACAATTCTAATCTCTCTTTTCCATACAGTGTTCTTAAAACTAAATTGGGGATTTTGAATTTAACTGAATTCTTTGAGATTTCTGCATATGTGGTTGTTATTTCACCATTTGTGGCAATCTATAGAAATTATTATTTATCACTAAAGTTATTTTAACAATTTTTGAACATTCATACTTCTGGTGATACTCCATTTAATATGCCATGTATTTTTTTATTTTCTATAGAATATAATATAAGATTTAATAAATCTGACATATGTATCCAAGGTTGATATTGATATCCGTTACCTATTGTAGCGCCTAAGCCCATACTTGTTGAGTGATGTAGCCATTTTATAAAACCTCCACCATGACCTAGTACTGTTCCTAGTTTATAGAATTGTTAATTGGGTTACATAATTTGAAAAATATTTATCTCAATAATTGTAAATATTTTGGAGAATTTAAGTGTATATTTTATTTTTTAATAATTTGTTAATTTCTTTGAGTTAAAAATGATGTTGGATTTTACCTGTTCTAATAGATATTTTACGAACTCCAATAGGTAAAAACTCAGTAGCTCTTTCACAGTATAATCCTAATGAAGTAAAATAATTATATTCCATCATAAAACTATTTGGTTGATAGTCTTCCGTCCACGTTCCAAATGATGGATACATCATGTCTATTGATGGAGAAATTAAAATTACACATACTGACATTCTTAATAAATTGAGTCAAATATACTGGCATTAGTGACTGAAATAAACACATTAGGTTTGCATTGAGTTTGGCTTATGATATCTGCAAGCAACATTGTTGAACCGACTCTACTTATCCAAATGTCTTTCTTAAATCTATATCCAAATTTTTTTAAAGGAATCATGATGGGTGCACCAGTCAAGTTTATTACTGCATTAACGTTATCTGGAATACCATTGTGTATTATGTCAGCCTTCAAATAAAATTATAATATGTTACAATTAAATTAGGTGATATAGGTATTTGAAATATTAATATTCTACCCAATTGATAATATGTTCTTCTCCTGTCTTAACTCTAGATATAACTGTTACTTTGTATTTTTCTCTTAACAGTATTTCTCTTAAATTTCTACCAATAAATCCAGTCCCTCCACCTAAGATTTTAACAAATATTTATTACTGATGGATAAACTGGTTTTTTTTTTAGGGATATACCAATCAATACATGACCCATAGTGTACAGTACACAATACTAGTAGATTCTACAAAATTATTTAAATATAACTGATCCTTAATTGGTGGCTTTTTTTATTTGTCTGAAATAAATAATTGTATGTATTTAATTATCCCTATACACAACTGCATGGTACATTTACATATCAAAAAACAAAACATTAACTTTTTTTTTTGTTACCCAACATTGTAGTATTAAACTTAATATTACCTATTTGATTATTTTTTTTAATATAAGACAGTTTGATATTTTCACAAATTAATAAAAATGCACATGATATTTATGATTTAATTAATAAACACAATTTAAAAAAAAATAACCAGAATACTAAATGAGGTATTAACTATTAAAAAAATCACTAATGTGAACATACCATAGGGGAAATTATATTAATATACTGTGGTAAATACATAGATATATAATATGTATAATATTTTATATTTATTATAATATATTATCTATGAGTAAATATAATAAATGTTAAAATATATAAGATATACCTAATAACTAGTAGGTAAATATGTACCAGTTTACTGTATGTGTGGTTGTACATTTCTACACATAATAGAATTTTCATTGATGCTACAGTAATATAACTACTACTTCTACCACTACTACTAATAATAACAATAATGTATCACACTCTAGATATTATAATCTTATAGATTAATAATAATTCAAATTTACAAGTTCAATTAAGTCATAAGAATCAATAGAGTATTAGTATAGTATTTATTGTTAGCAGGATATTGAATACATAGGTATTTATGAAAAAGTAATTTTAAAACAATGTATTTAAAATTCTACAAAGGATACTACGTAAACACATAACATTAAGTTCATTTTAAATAATTTTTTTATTATATTAACTATTTCCTTAAAAGCTACAGTTCCTGTATATAAATTGTATATTGAGTATAGTAAAAATATTACTAAATATTTTATTGTAAATTGTAACAAATTATTAAAGGATCAATAACGAATTATTGAAGGAAGTTAAGGCATAATAAATGTTTAATATTTTAACAATTTACATAAAGATAAAAAGAAAAATACATTTTAAATAAAAAGGAAATACATTTGTTTATTCATAATAATTCTAATTCCATAATAATCACAACCAATTCATTTTTAAATTACATAATTTATTAATGGTATCCAAGTTACACTTTATATAATATTAAATATAACATATGTCACATACGTATGCCCATTTTAATTAAAAATAAATAATACGACTAAAAGTACAATATAATGAAAACAAATTTTAATTATGATAATTTAACATTCCTATAAGAAAAAAAAATTGTAGGGTTATTTAATTTATTAATTAAACTATTTCACAAAATTAATTAACATTGATAATTCATTATTATTTATTAAAAAAAAATATTAGGATACCAAACACATTGAATTTTATAACAAAAATAAGGGAATATCCTTCGATTGTCAATGTTTAACATATTTAAAATTTTTAATAAACAAATATATTTTACTATTTTATGAAGTTGGGTTGTTATCAACAAAATAAAAGTGCAATATATAATAATAATAATATGTAAACACCATTGCTCCATCACTAGTTAAATATATTAATTCAACATTGGTGATTTACTTATTAATATTATTATATAGCACTTTTATTTTGTTGATAATATATCAATGAAAAATAAAATAATATTAATATAATTAAATTATGTATATTATAATAGGGTGTTCCTTAAGTGATTTTTTTAAATTATTTTTTTAGTAGATCCCATAATTTAATTTTGATACATATTATATATATAAATAAATTATGGTTGATTACTGTTAAGGTTTTCTCAAACAATCCCTTCCTTTTTACTTTGTTTTATCAGACGATGAATGCCATTCGAATACATATTGAAACCAAATTGAAGGTATCAAAGATTAAAAATAAGGACTACTCTAATATATATTTATGGCACAGTACAGTGATTGTACAACTGTCAAGTATGACAGTTTTGTTGTAAAATAATATTATCTAAATTATATGAAGAATTATTTTAAACATTTTTTCATAATCAATTAATTAATTTATGTAATATATTTTTATCTGCAGCAAAACTTTTAAAAAAATTATTTTTGGGAACTTCATCATAGTATGTAACTGAATCGGGTACTTCTTTTATAAGTTACACATTCATATATGACCACTTGGCATATTCATATATAATTTTAAATTTTAAACATGACCATTTTTTCAACACTTTTGACCAAATGTTTTTTCTATTTATTAAATTTTGTTACATAAAAATTTTGCTGCATTATCAATATTACCTAGACTACTTGTACTTGAAGCATATGTATTAAATATTTTAACCATTAAATAAAAAGAAATAATAATAATAAAACAACAATATTCTTCTAAACAATATATAAAAAAAAAATGATTTCTTTGTGATCTTAATTGAGAGTAAAATTGACTAGTCTGATTTCATAAATTAACTATTAAGTTAGGTATTATTTTTAAACCGATACATTTAATATTTTATTAAATTAAAATAATATGTATTGATATTGACTAAGAAACTTAAGAGAGCACTACATATGTTTTTATTGTCTCGTCTCTATCCTATAAACTCATGACAGCAAATTTGCAATCAGCAGAACCAAATAAATGTTTTAAATTTTAGTTTAGTAGATTTATCATCAAACTTTAAGGTAAAAACATTCTTCACAATATCTGTATTGATTTTTATAATATTCTGATTTTTAAGCAAGCTTAGAAATAAGTTTTTGTAAATTTACTTATTTAAATTTTAAATAACAAAAAAAACCAACGTACAAACACAGATAATGTTCTTACCTTTAGGTTTGATAAAAGGTCAATTCATTTTTTTATTAAAAATAACATCCCAAAATTGGATCTGCTTAACACAAATTTGCTATACTATATGTTTTTTTAGAATTATGACCAAATAAATGTATGTATGCCCTTGAAAAAAAAAAATTCCATGTGTTCTTCTACTATGCAACACATTTTAAGCTAGTCTTTTATAAAAGTATAATGTGTAAGTAAAAATTAACTTTGGTTAAATAACTAATTAAAATATGCTAACGAAAGAATACCTTATTAAAATAAACCATTAATGATCATAAAATAAATAAATTAGTCAATATTGGACTAAAATTCTAGGATTATTTTGATAAAATGTTGTTATGAATAAAAATTAAGTAGAAATTAAAATTTTAAATAAAACATTATCATGATGTAATAATGTAATAATAATATCCTATAATTATGAGCATCATAATAGTGTACTAAAAAATTGGACGTAATGGTTTTTTTTTTGGTAAAATTTTAACAATTAAAAACAAAAAGGAAGTAATATTAATATAGCTAAATTAAATAATAATACATTAACTGTGCATTTTTAAACTACGGTTATTAACACCTATCTATACTCACTTCTCTGACAGCTATTTTAGAATTTGCCATCTCTGAACATGATTTTGCTTTATATAAACGGTTATCAGAACTCTTTTTGGAAAATAGAATTTGTGTACACAGTTTTCTCTGTAAATTCAAGTACTTACTGAATAATGAAACACGTTTGGGCGTCTGGTGTTTTTTATGCTGAGGTAAATTTGATATGGCTATAGGATTTTTATCAGTAATTGTATCATTTGTAAACACCTATATATGAAAAAAAAAACATATCTATAGGTAACTAATAACAATAATAACTAATAACTTTATATTATAAGGATAGATTAATGTTACTTTACTGGCCCACTTTTTTTGATAATTTTAATAGAATATTCTCCCAATAATTGAAATTATAATACTGTTTATTCATATCTTTTCCTGGTATATTTGGATACTTAGAACCAGAACCAAAATACCTCAAACTCATGAATCAGTTTTTTATTATTAAAAAGCAGATTGATAATTGGCCAAAGCAAATAATTGAGGTGGATGCAAAGGAGAAGAAGATTGTAGTAATGAAAATGTGTGATGAATTTTAATATAAACTTTTCACATTATAGGAAGAGGGTGTCTATAGATTTGTATACCAATAAATATAGGTCCCTAAAAGGGGATGCAATTTTGTATATGCATAGAGTACAACATTTCTAATATGTGCCTTTAGGTGGTTTTAGCTTTCAATCCCCTCCCCTCCCCTCCATTTTTATGATCATATTTCAGTTTCACTAAAAATAAAGGGTTTTAAATATCACTACAAACTCAGGAAAGTAATTTAATTTAAATATATAAACAGAATTGTTGCAAAGAATGTGCTTTTAGAAGGTTTGAACTTCCAACCTCCAAACTCACAATCTGTGGTAGCATAAATCTTGAAAACTACTTTAACTATTTTCAACTAAACTAAACATTTTTTTTACAATTACTTTTCATTATTTATGTACATATAAAAAAAAAACTGAATATTGTAATGGAATAGTTAGGTCAAATAAATCAGCAGAGGAAAATTTGACAAGCGACAGATATCTACTGCTCATATATATACATTTTATGAAAGACATTTTTTGAAGCTAATTCTCAAAATATTTGAATTTTTAAAGAAAACAATTAAAGAAGTTATAGCTTTATTTTATGGTTTTGCAGTTTTATGTTTGGCGAGGTTTAGATTTATTATTAGGTCTCTTCCTTGAAACAGCATTAAGTTAGAAATGCTAGTTGTGGTAGGGAAGTTAAGTTATCACCCCCTCCTTTTCATAAGGGGGAGTCGAAGAAGGTTACACTGACTCCCTTACGTGTACAATTGTTTGTTCTGTGTTCAGTCTATCAACTACTACAATTTCTAAAATAATAGTTTATGAAATATTCTGATTTTACTACAATCTTCATAATTAAAAAAAGAATTGATACTAGGAATGGGAACGGCTACTGTTGTAGTTGAGAAGTTGGGAAAGTAGGATACATAAGGTTATTTCATTTATATCTGTAAGCAATGATAAACCATTGCTTGACAAAAGACGATTCCAAGTGCAGTTCGGTAATATGAAGTGCCATAATTTTTTTTTGCAATTTTCATTTAAATTTGATTTCAAAATGATTATTAAAAAAGTCGTACGATGATTTTGAAAATTTTACTACTTCTAGGTATGTCTAATATAAATATTATTACCAAGTTTTAAGTCTCTAGGTATATTTATAATCAAATTACAACAAAAAACTCCCAAAAATTTAAATTCCTTAAAAGCTCAAAAGTTTTGACGATGATTCTGTATGAAAGTAAATCATAAAAGGTAACAAAAAAGATATCTTGTGATTTTTTAATTAAATCATTTTTTCTGGTAGAAAGTCATTCATATTTTTTATAAAATAATGAAATTGTGAAATATATATAGTGGATATGAAATAGTGGATGATAGCAAAGTTAATTTTCCTTAGGTAAAATTGATATAATGATTTATAAACCTGATTATTTTTGTTATTGAACTCAAAATGATTGCAATTTGCAGTTGAACTGGGAGTATTTACTTCAGATTCTTGAACTTCAGTAATCCGATTCAGACTTTGGCTTTCCCTCAACCTAGTTTCAGCAGATCGACCTCTTCGACTTCTAACATTTGCACTTATACATCGTCGTCGGCCCGCAGTACTGCCACTCGGTCTTTCAGTTTTATTTCCACTATTTCCATCCTTTTCTTTGTTGCTAGTATCATCTTCGTGTGTAGGCTCTGGTCCTTGACCACCAGCATTGCCCATTCCATCATTATCAGGATCTTTATCATTACCTTTAAACGAAGCCAATGACCTACTACTGCCACGTTTTTTACGACCATCAGTATCATCGTCACTGGTTTCAGAGCTACTACAGGAAGCGGTACGATTTTTATGCATTTTGCTTCGTCTTTGTTCATATGTTATGTAGTTACCAATCCTATTCTGCTTATCGTCAAGTAGTTGTGGTGAACTTTGAGCAGACACGAAAGGTGTTGGAGTTCTGCTACAAACAATGGAAATAGGTGTAGTATTTGATTCATGAACTTCAGTAATAGAAAGTTTTTTTGTTCGTAGTTCAGAAGCTATTGTATTTAATCTTCCTTCCGATCGAGAGCCTCTTCGATTTAATGAACTATTGTCATCGTCATCTTCTTCATCTTCTTTTTCATCTTCTTCTTCAACTACAACACTACATTTCCGAGTTCTCTGTACAAATATTTAAACAATATATATAAAAAAAATTCTTATATAAAAACATTTTTTCATATTACTTTGGGTCGATCAGAATGTAATGATCCTAATATAGCAGATTTTGGCGATACATTGACTAAACCCAAAGCATTATTATTTTGAGTACAATTTTCTAATTTTAACTGAGGAACAATTTTATCACTGAAATATTATTTTTGTATATTAATTTTCTTCATAAATGGTAAATTAATTATAAATTAAACACAAATTACCTTTTATTATTCAATTTTTTTGGTATTGCTGAGTTAAGTTTTCTTTCTGCAAGTAAATAATAAGTAGCAGTCATATGATTGTACTCATTTTTATCCAAAGCCCTAAAGTTTAAAAATTGTATTAATGAAAATTATTCATTTTTATACATATATAAATTTCTTAAGTATTTAAATGGCATATTTTGTAAGTTGTACTCACTCCATGATTTGTTCTTTTGTCGCAATTTTTCCTGTGATCATTTTTTGTACAATCAAAGCATGATCATCTTCATTAATTAATTGTTTAGACACTAATGGACTTTCATCATTATTTATCACATCAACATTTTTCAACCAAACATCCGCGGCAATTTCTTCAAGAGATGCTCGTTTTTCAGGATTTCGCACAAGCATGCGACCAATGAGCTGTTTACATTCTTCTGACACATGATTGGATACCTTATACTTACAGTCCATTATCATAGTTAAGGTTTCACTGTCATTAGCTGAATGAAAAGGTGCTTCGCCACACACCAACATGTATAGAATTACACCCAATGACCAGATATCTTTAAAATATAAAAAATAATTTCAGTTCTATACTAATATGAATATACTGCGAGAAATACTGTATGAATATATTTGATATTAAATCAATTTTTTTTCTAAAACAGTATTTGAATATATTTTATGTATATTAAAGATTCATAAAAACTTGAACATGTATAAACTATTTAATTTTGAATTGCTCTATTAAATCATTCAAGTAATTAGTTTAATAAAAATTATTGTGATAATAATATAACCATATTAAAATATACTGTGTAAATTAAATATTCAACTATATAAACGGATTATAAAATAAACATTGAAAATAGTATTTAACTTAACCTAACCTACCTATACCTTTAATTTTTCTAAACTTTTAAACACTTAATAAAAAAAAAAAAAAGGCCATACTTTGCACGTGGGCACAGTCACTATTGTAGGTGGAAAGTTGGGAAGGTAGGATACATACAGGATTTTAATGTATATCTGTAAGCAAAGATAAACCATTGCTAATGAAAAAATGATTCTGAGTGGAGTTCAATTGATAGTGCTGCTTTGTCAACAATATAAATTAAGTATTTCATATTATGGTAAAATGATTACAACAATGTGTAAGTTCCACAATAACAATAATTGTTTAAAAACGATTAAAATAATAAAAACTTAATAATATAGAAAATTAAATAAAAATGACAGTTGCCAATAACAACCTTATTTTAATTTTTCAATCTTTTTTACCCTAAAGAACCAGGTTTTCCTCATTATCTCGAATAAAATGAAAATGTCAATAATGACCTCTATAAAGTACCACTCGGAGTAAACTTTCTGGTAGAAAGTGTTTACATAAAAAAAAAATAAACATCTTTGTAAAATCTATACATTTTTTGCTAAGCTCGAAATCTAAAAATACATATTTGAATTAAATACATTAAATAGTTTTCTTACCAACAGCAGTAGCATTATATGAGTTTCCAATTAGAATTTCAGGAGCTGAATAAGCTAATGAACCACATGAAGTTTCTAGCTTCTGCCCTGGGCAAAATGTATTACTAAAACTTTAGGGAATATTTTTGTTGGGTTAATATTTTACAAAATATAAAAATAAACATAAGAGTAAAAATATAACTCACCCAAAATCTGTAAGTTTGACAATGCCTTGTTTTTCAAAAAATACTACATTTTCAGGTTTTAAGTCTCTGTGGACTACATGTAGCTTGTGACAGTACGATATTGCTCGTACAATTTGTGCAAAGTATTCACAAGCCAATTGCTCTGATAATCCACCTTCATGCCGCATAATGTAGTCATATAAATCTCCACCATCCGCCAACTCAAGTATGAGGTACAATTTACTATGTGTATCAATTACTTCATATAGTCGTACAACGTTTGGATGTTGGACAAGTTTCATACATCGAACCTATACAAAAAGATATACAGCTGTCACCAAATATTCTTCTAAAAGGAAAATTAAACTATAATTAAGTTAAATATCATCTTGCAGGTTTAATTATTTCAAGATTATCTACTTTTATGCTATCTATGTTTAAAATAAATTTTGTTTAGCCTACTTAAAATAAATAGAAACATGAATATGTATGGTTTACATTGTTTATAATAATATCATGTAAACATACCTAAGAGGTTTCTTTTAAAAGGCTAATGATTTTATTTCACTCTTTTACCGAAAAAATTGATAGGTAGAACATTAAATTGTTTAGATAGTGTACTAGTACATCATGGATTTAAACGTTAACTAGACAAATTAATATAGTGATAAGATTCTATGTAGATCCATAACATAAAAACAAACCAATTTTGTTCAAAATAAATTTGATGTCACAGCATTTTATCATAGAATAATCTTAAATTGTACACCTTTAATTAAATATTAAAATAATAATTATTAATTACCTACTATACAATTGTATACAAGAATAATATGATAACATATTGATAATGTATAAATTATTATTTTAACCTATTTAATATTAATATGCAAGTATCAAATGTTTTAAAGATAAGTGTCTATTATAGTGTAATAAATTATTAATTATAATTAAATCAATTAGAACCTAAATCCATAATAGGAAAATAAATACAGATGTAAGATATTTGTATGTGTAAATATGATCATTAGGTATTGAATGGTAATATTAATATAATAAATTAAGATAAAATTTCATAAATAAAAATAATTGAAAGACCAAAATAATATAACTGGAGTTATACTTCTGTATATTGTCAGTTTTTGGAATTTTAATAAAAATTATTTTTCCTTCTACTTAATTTCCAATTACTAAGTAATTTTATTTAATTGTAATTAGGTAATGGTGAACTGGTAGTACATAGACAGATAATTTTGTAAAATTTAAAAACTAGTATGTAGGTAGGTATGACTAGGTTGTACGTAGTATAAAAAACTACACAAACCTCTTGATATAAATGATTCCTAGAAACTTCTTCCAATTTGTTCTTGTCAATCACTTTAACAGCTACTTGTTCACCCGTGAAAACATGTCTAGCTGATTTGACGACGGCAAAATGTCCTTTACCAAGTGTTTGTTCCAGATCATACATCCCAGCAATATTACCACCATTATGCTTGGCCGGTTTGACGGTGTCCGGTTTACCAATCACGCCACTGCTGTGTTGCATTATATACTTTATAGCACTCGACTCGATTGACCAACCCTTATACACAACTTACTGGTAAAATATACAATTATCTGTATATATACATAAATTATACTTTTATAATTTCGAACAAAAACGGTTGTAATGCATTTCGCTATTGAGTGCACGGCCCGACTAACTTCAAATACCCGAACGGTCTTGATTTTCACGAAAAAGGGTTGTGACTGGGTGTTGGTCAGTGTCAAAAAACGCCCAGCGCCTATCTCAACGTTCCCTCTTTAAAATAACAACACGAAAACCATAACACTACAGTGTACAGAATGTAGTCGATGCTATCACTTATTTTTTTATTTTCATTTCAATGAATCGATATAAACACCTGTCTTTGGTTTCAAGGTCGAATATTATGTTTTGATAACCAATTATCACGTCTTAATAGTGTTATCACGAAAGATTTGGTTTAAATTATAATAGAGAACAGATTAAGAATCGGTATATGATTTCTGTGGTCAAAAGACTTGGAATTTTTTACTTTTTCATTAGGTAGTTGCTAGGTGTTACCACTGGGTAATTTCCCATATTCAAAATATTCGTTGCAATTTCTTATATTCTTACATTTCAATTGCTAAATATAAATACTCTTGTATGTTATAAAGATTGTAATTTACTTTATTAAGTAGAAAAAAAAAAGTAGTTGAACGTGGGAGAAGTTAGGGGACTTTTTTGATAAGAAATAGTGTCAGGGCCGTTGTATTACTTGAGTTGCCTATACCACAGATATTAAAGAAGTAATGTACAGTTATAAATTTAACACTGGATTGTGCAAGTGTACCTCATTAAAAAAACCTAAGTTGGTATTGCCAATTTATAATATAGATTGGAAAAACAAAAAGGTTTTATTCAAAATCATAAATTATTTTAAAAACATAATAAAAATGAAAGAAGTATTAGAAGTTAAGAAGTAAAGAAGTAAGACCCCCCCTATTTTGATTGACTTATTCAAACAATACTTCATTTTTATGTACAATTCGATTAATTCAAGATGTCCTAGAAATTAATAAAATTCAATAACAATTCTGAAATTCTAGAATATAATTTAATATAATTTTAGTACCTTTATTTAATAAATAAACATTATATTATGTCATGATGGTACCTTTTACACTTGAAAAGTTCAACATTTTGTATATTTAAATGCTCAATAATAATTTTTTTTTTTTAAATATTTTATTATTAGAAGAAAAACATTTAAATAAATACATTTTTTTTAAGTTCTCTTCTAGGGATTCCATATGTTTCCTATTTTACGGGATTTCCCATATTTGAGACAAGTTTCCCGATATCCTGACCAAATGTTCTAAACAAAACTTTTGTCTCATATTTCGAATCCCCCATTCCGTGTCCCTTCATTTTCCTTATTTCTTTAGTTATAAAATTCAAATTAGCGTGTTATCATGAGATTGAGTAGTAAAAATCACATTTTTAAATTATGTTGACTTTTAAGTCTATACTAATAATATGTCAGTTTAACTTCAACATTATTTTTCTTAAACTTTTGATGTTGTATGGGTAACTATTGAATTACAAACTGGTTTTTAGGGCTATGTTCTTACCATCACCCCCTCCCATCACATAAATTGTTGTAATATAAATAAACTTTAAATGAGATTTAAAATGTCCCGTATTTATAATACATAAATCTGAGATCCCTAATCACTTCTAATATTGTGATTTTGTATAATATGTCTTGTCAATGAAGGTCAAAGGGACCATAGCCTTCCCTGGCTTAAAAACTTTCCATATAATCTAAGATAAAATAAGTCTTTCTCTCTTTGCCATTCTGGAACATTTCCCTCTATTTTGTTGGTATAGCCCATGATTTCAGATAGTCTATCTTAAATCGTGGTATAGACATGGCCTATCCATTCTTAAATATCTATGATAGATCCTTATCATTTATTTCTACCATACATAATTGATCATCGATTTCAAACAATATGTATACATATTAAACTATAAAACTCTTTGGACTTCTTTATTATATATAGTGTGACGTCATATTAAAGTAGATAACAATTAACAAAACAAATTTGAAAATTCTTTAAATATTTAAAATTCTGGGATATGAAAATGAATTTATAATATTTATTTTCCACGTTGAATTATATTTAGAATTAATAATTAGATTTTAATTTAAAAGTTTACTGAAACGCACGCCAACAGTGTTATTATCTCTTGACTCTTATCAATAATTGTATAATAATATACCATAATATTTGGACCACGATAAAAGATATTTGGTTACATTATATTCTACTTTCCAGCTGCAGTAGTTATTTGTTACCTGTTTTTGTTCGCTCTTTTAAGTTTTAAGTCGTCTGTTCTCATTTAAAAATAAAATGATTGTAGCTTAGTGATTCCATTTGTTACAATGTATTAGACTTTTTAAATAATATTAGATTTAAATAATATTAAACGAAGTTTTTAACAAAAACAATGTCGTTCAAATGTTTTTGTTGGAGTTTATCTTTTGTTTTCCTAACTATCACTATGGTGTTTTCTCATGAAGGTAATTAATTATGTTCCTACCTATTATATCATATACTTATTATCAGCATCATACATATTAATAATTTTATTTATATAATCAATTAATATTCATTGATTGTCAACATTTATGTAAAGGTGTTTTATAATATACTATTTAATTAACTACTCAAAATTAAAGTTTTTAGTTATATAATAGTATTTAAACCACTTTTCTGTGTTTATTACTATACAAATTAAAATATTTGTTACTATTTTATTTAGAGGTTATAGTAATTAGGACTTTCATTTTATAGTATTATAATACCTACATTAAACGGTTGGGTATCTAATTAATTAATATTCTAGTCTCGTGGTGCTGCTAAGTGTTCCCATAAACTTGAATTTTTTGTCATTTCCTTATGAATTGTATTATCTCACTTCCTAAATGTAGGTACTCTTTATACATTTCAATTGTAAAAATTAAATTAAATATAACACACATTTTAAATGCCTCACACTATGTACAATATGTTTACATTTACCCTGTTACTCGCCAATTTTTACTAATAAAATACAGGAGAAGAAATTGTTTTCAATTTATAAATAAAAACACAGTACTGCATTGTACAGAGTTAAATTAAACTAATTTAACACCTCATAATCTCAACAAAAATTATTTTATTTTTAAAGCACCTATTTTGATAAAGTATCTAATTTAATTAAGATGATGTTACAGAATATTTTTATAAAATATCTTCACAAGAAGATCATTTAGAAATGAATATAATAACACTTTCAAATTCACGAAAAAAAAGAGAAGTTCTTCCTTCTACAACTGATACAACCAGTACAACTCCTCAATATAAAAATTCATCTATCCAAACAATTGTGGATAAAAACAATGGAACAAAAACAACAAAAGGTATCTGATAATAATGAATAATTGAAGTGTTGAAATTTAAGTTAATTTATGTGAACTTATATGAAACTTATATATGAATTTATATTATTTATAAGGGATATTTTTTAATTTATTTTGAGTTCATAAATAAGATTTACATACCTACCTATTATATATAAAATAAAGTTTGATTTATATTGGCTTTTTATAAAAATACTATTCATTTTCTACATCACAAAATTCAGCCCCTATAAAGAGTGATTAGCAGATTTTGGTATTTTTGGAACAAAAATTGAAATTTTTTGATAATTAATGGGTTACTTCAGAGAGTAAATCACTAACGAAAATCATTGTACAAATGTTTTGTCATCATAGAATCTTTGGCAATCTTACAGGAAATTGTATTGAAATTTTAGTAATCATTGTGAAAATCTTGGCATTCTGAAATTCTGGTATACACAGTATTGATCAATGATTTATTCTCTGGATTACCTTGTCAAAGCAAATGAAAATTATTTTATTACAGTTGTTTTTTATTTAATTTGATTGACAAGGAAGTAATCTTTTTAAAAAATAAAATACTAAGTAACAACAATTAACTTTGATAGGAATAAAGGGAATCCCGGGAAAAACCATGTAATTCAAGTAGTTATTAATCCAAAAATTTGTTTAATTATCATTATTTATTTATTAAAACACATTTCAATATTTAAATCTGCAACAAAAATTGAGTACATTTGTGCATTTCTACCTAAATCAATTGATTACTATTATTAGATATTTTAATCTATTTAAATATTTGAATTTTTTTTGTTTAGTACCAAGCTTATCAAACACATCATTTGTTATGAAAGATGTTGAAAAGATTTTTGGAAGTAATATAACTTCAGTGAATAATGAACCTCCTGTTCAAGGCAATTCTGGTAATATAAGTTATATTGGTATGTATGAAGTTGTTGTAATAGTTAAGTAATTATGTTAATTTAACATGTATACATTTTTTAGCTACACCTCAACCAATTAATTTAGATTTTCCTTCATCAATTACCAACGAAACACTTGAAAATAACAATATAACAAAAACTAAAAATGTAAGTTTAGTTCAATGTATCTATACTTATTAATTTACTATTATAGTTTTTAAAAGAATTTGTTATTTAAATTATTCTAAATTGATCTAATATGAGAATTATCTACACAAATTAATACCGAAATTGTGCACATATTAAATGTAATAAATTTTAAGTGTCTACACCATTGGCGTATCTGGAGCTTAATCAAAGATGGGGCGTTTTAAAAATTGTAATACATCACAAAATATCACAAGGGGTTTCCTTGTCCCAAAGAAAAAGAAACAGTTATCAGTTTTTTTTTTTATAATTATTCATCTTCTTGGCAATTAAAAAAATAATTTGTGTATAAACTATAATTAATAACATACAAAAAATAAATGCTTTCCTAGGATAATGGGGATGAGTGTAGTCACTGTTGTATGTTGGAAGTTGAGAAGGTAAGATGCAAAAGGGAATTTAATGTATATCTGTAAGTAACAATAAACCATTGCTAACGATTCTGAGCAGAGTTCTATTGATAGTGATGCTTTGTCCACAATATATATGTCATATTATGGTAAAATAATTAAATAAGCATTATATATTTTTTTTAATAATATTTATTTAATATTGATCCGATTTTAATGGTTTCCCCATGTTTTCTTGATTTTTCACATTTTCTGGGAAAACTCTAGGGAAAATCAAAAAAATGGCAATAACCTCTCTAAAGTACTTGTCCAGTCAGATTTCCTTTTAGAAAAAGTATTATCATTGTTAATCGGAGCAAAATTGCTAATAGAAAAGTTGTCCACAGAAAATAAATAAACTTAATACTTTACTAATATATACTTGTATATATAATATAATAATATATTAATATTTCATATATTTTCTCGGTTATTTTCCTTTTTCACTTTTGATGAGAAAATTTCTGAAAAATCAAAAAATGACCTCTCTAAAGTACCACCCTATGAAAATTTTATTTCAGAAAAAGGTCTACATCAGAGCAAGATTTCTGGTAAAATTTTTATACACTGTATAAAAAAAAAAGAAAAAATAAACATCTTTGCTATATTCAGAATCTAAAAATAATAGTGTATTAATAATATAGATGTAACAATCAAAATCCGAAATTGGGGAAAATTTCAGAAATGTAAAAATTGAAGTTTATAGACATTGTAGTTTTGTCCAAATTATGTAGGTCACTACTGTATAGATTTTTCCGGAAAAAATCTGAAATATGATGCTTTGACCACCGTGTATTGTGGCTATTTCATATTTTGCCTGGGCTTTTTTGAGATTTACATGATTTTGGCCTTTACCCGTAATGGCCATAATAATATACATAATATATATTCATATCGAACAATTATACACAAAAATATTTACATAATTTTAAAGTGATATTAATCTTTTTTCTCCTACAAATTATTCTATGATGACTACTGTTTGGACATCCACATTGATATCCTTATATATGTTTTGGACAAAACATTGCTCAATTATCACCTATAGCCATGATTGAAAAATCACAACTAAAAAAGTCCAAGGACGAGGCAATCCACCCATCGCCCCCATTATATACGCCACTAATTTACACTCAATATTTTGAAAAATTACTTTTTTGAAATTTGTATTTTTGTTAAAATTAATCTCAAACTTAATATATTACATAATATATATACAAAATTTTAATATAGGTTACCATTTGAGAAAACTAAATGTTGGTTATAGTTTTACTCCCAAAAATAGTGACTGCAAAAATTAATGGCAATGTTCTAAAATGTTTTTTAGAGCCGCTGGATTCTACACTGTTATAATAGTCAAATTCCAAAATAAGTCAATATTTTCTGAAAAATTTAGTGTAGTCACTTGAATTAATCACCATGTATATATCATAATTAAAAAATTTACATGTGATAAAAGTTTTATTATTTATTTAGATATTGCATTAAAATTGATTATCAGAGTATTGAATTTGGCTTGTTTGTACTATATTTTAATTATGTAGTATTTTTGGATTTTAAGAATCATTATCTTTTATAGTTTTACCTTAAGCATACCCATTTTATAGTAACTAAATGATATCTACATTTTGGAGAAAATATTATTAATTTGATTATTTTATATAATTTTTAGGATTCTCATATATATTACAACAGTTCAACAATAAATAATAAAAGTTTGTTTAATAATTATTGGATTGACTTAGAAAATCACCCTAATAGTAGCGTACACGAAATGTTATCAGATTCTCATCGTAGAGCAGCGGTAAGTTAACAATATACTTCCAGATTAATCATTAAATCAATTATTATAACTAAAATAAAAATGAACTTATTTTCAGACTATAAACTTAAAGTTTCAATTTCCATTTTATGGTCATCTTATAAACTCTACTACTGTTGCTACTGGAGGTTTTTTGTATCTAGGAGATTACATTCATTCTTGGTTGGCAGCCACTCAATATATAGCACCATTAATGGCTAATTTTGATTTTAGTACATCAAATGAATCAAATATTTATTATATGGATAATGAAACAGCTTTAACAGTCACTTGGCATAATGCTATTTTACAAGACAAACCTAAAGTTGGAGGATTTACTTTTCAAACAACATTGCATTCAAATGGAAACATTGTATTTGCTTATAAACGTTTACCAATTCAAATCAAAGAAATTGATTCTACTAATCATCCTGTGAAAATTGGATTATCTGATGCTTATGTACTGGACAAAACAATATTCTGTAAGTAAAATTGTGTTATTTTTGGCAATGAAAATGCTCAGTTATTTTCATGCAGTCCTTTAAGATTTCCAAAATTTCTCTTGGTGATACCTAATTTGAACCTCTATCAATATTTTAAACAGTTCATCCCTTAGATCAGTAGTTCTCAACCAAGGTGACATGGACCTGTATAGTAGTGACATAAAATCCTCAGGGAAAATAAAATAAGATAATTAACAGTTAAAATTGTTTAAATATTCAATGCATTATACATATTTTGATGGTAGGGCGACACAGTGTCAGATTATCATGGATACGGGTGACATGAATAAAAAAGTGTTGACAACCACTGCGTTAGATCTTTTATACCAGTGGTTCTCAACCTGAGGGGCACGCCCTCCTAGGGAGGAGTGACAATTTTGGTGGAATGTCACCTGAGATGTGTATTATCGTCAAACATTAAAAAATCGATTGGAATTACATGGTGCCAACCATTTCATTAATTTGTATCTATTTAATAATAATAAATCTCAAATGATAATAGTATTTTTTTCCTAATAAATAAATTCATTAAACAGTTAAAAAGATTCATTGGACATTCATTGCATGTGGTTGCAGCCACTGTTGTAGATGGGGAAAGTTGGGAATATAGGATACAGATGGATACAGAATTTAATTCTTCGCTCCACTCAGAATATAAAAAAACTTCATTGATTATCATTTATAAATCCAATAATCAACATTAAAGGCATGATGTATATAAATTTTTTGTAACATAATTCAATTATTATGGTATGGAGGGGTGTGTCATAAGATCATAAAATCATAAAATAGTATGAAATTGGGCTTATACCTCAAAAGATTAAGAACCCTTGCTTTATATAGTATTTTATGAATTTCTGGAAACAAGGGAAAAACACAACTAATTTTATGTCACTCAAATTTTTTTTTTCATCTGCTATTATTTATCATAATATACAGTATACAAATTAAATTACCAAATATATACCTTTTTAATTATCCACCTATAACCGATGGCATATTTAGGTTTTCTTCGCTTATAGGTACTAACCAATTCGCCTCTTTTTCCTCTCCATCATTCCTATAATTATTGATAAAATATAATTTTAAGAGTTAAAATTTATTATTATTATTACTTTTTTTTATGGAAATATATACAGGTATATATATAATAAATATATATAGGTATCTTTTAAAAATAAAAGATACATTGTAAATGAAAATTAAATTTTATGCAATATCTTGTTTTAATTTAGTTTACTCTAATTTACAATTTAATTGTGCTTAAAATTATATATTTTAGATTCATAGTAATGTAGAGGATGTATTGATTGGTTTTACAATGATTTTTAATTTTAATTTTTTTTTTTGTGAACAACTTTTTTACCAAAAATCTTATTCAGATTTTCAATTAAACCATTTATTTCACACATCATTTTTTTGTCACCCTTATTTTTGGACTTCCTTTTTTGATTTAAAATAGTAAAGAAATATTAGTTTAAATAAATTTTGTTATTGAAATTTTTGATTTCCGTCAACAACAGATGAGATAGTACACTTTTGATATTTGGTCTGGGGATTGTTTTAATAATGTTTTTATTGTTGTGTTCTATCACTGGATGGTCTCTAGTTTTATGAAAAATAGTTTTTGTGATTTTGTAAACAAAAATTTAATGCTCCCTAATTGTTACCGCTCTAGACCCGTTTCTGTAGACTATGGAGTATAGGGACTGTGCCTATATACGCCTCTGCCTACAACAATGGTCTATCAATGAGGCGAAATATGTCTAAATAAATAGTTTTTCTTATTTTCTACTAGGTTTCTGCTACCCTTCCTCCCATATCAATGCATTTAGACATTTTGAACTGAGAGACAAAATTTTTACAATCATGTAAACAACATTATTTAATGTTAATATTATATTTATGTTTAGTTGTACGACGAAAAACCATTTATGAATATCATAGAGTGTCTTTTAATGAGGATGAAGTAGCAAATGAAACTGTTATAATTTTAACTGCATTACAAACATGTCTGGAGAAAAAAAATTGTTCCAGTTGTATTAAAAAAGATACTAATTTCCAAGTAATATTATATTACAGCTATGATTAAAAATAATAATTAAAAATATAAGGTTTTTTACTATATTTACTTGGTTTAATTAAATATTATTAATTATGCATTACCTAGAATTTATATTGTACAAGTTTTGTTAAATAATAAGTTTTAATTATTGTGTGTTAGTGTTTCTGGTGTGATAACCGTTGTTCTAACGGAATAGATCGTAATCGTCAAGATTGGCACAAGAAAGATTGTGAGAAATTGAAGCTTATAAATGAAGATATGTGTACAACTGGAATAACAACATTCGCACCTCCAATTGATAATTATAGTGTGGAATCTGTTAAATCTGAATCTCGTAATAAACCTTTATATACTAAGTATTATTATTAGTTAAATTAATAGTATATTTTTGTTGTTTAGATACAAGTTCTTCATCTTCTAGTACGAGTTTGTTCTTCATTGCATTGTGTGTTTCATTAATGATAATGTCATTAGTTTGGATATTGTATGCCTATTTAAATCCACATACACGATCTGGACAAATGCTAATTAAAGTATTAAAATTTTAATTTATAAGTTGTAGTATACAGTGTTTTTTTTAATATTAACACTCATTATTTCAGGAGTTTTATTGGCATTTTCTTTATGTTAAATTAATAAAACATTCAAATTTTATATTGTAATTTTCAAACTATTACTAATTTATTAATTTAAATTAGTAGAGATTTAGATGAAATAAATGTTGATGCAAACGTTTCCATTTACATGGCGAGATATCTTACTAATAAGTATATAATTTTTTTTTTTTTTTTGATAGTGTAAGAGTAGTGAAGCATTAATTATCTGATTGCTGCTCCGCTACTCATCTATATCAGCAAAATAATGAAAATTTTCATGTAACACATTGTCAAATTAAACATTTCAACATCAAATTGTATTTCAACTAAAACTATGGACATTTTTAATGTAGGCTGCCAATTAAAACATACTGGTATACGTTAATACTTCTTGAAGTAATGAATTTTTAGTGGTAAAAAATGTATCCTGTGTTGTTGATTAACAACATATTATATGCTTCTAAAAGTTATACTATGTAAAGTGACTGCTTCATAAATTAAAATAAATACGTAGATTTTTTTAAATGGTTAGTCTTCAGATTGGTGTAGTTGTAAGTTCTGAACTTGAAGACTTTTTTTCCATTTTTAGTTTGGACCTACCTCCAGTTATAACTAATTTATTTGTATTTTGTTTTAGTATCGACCAAATCAATGGGGTTGGAGAAAAGGAGAAGCTCGCTATACAGCTGCTACTATTCATATGTGAAATGAAATGTTGACTGATATTAAAACAACGAAAAGGTTGTATCATTGATAAATAACTTATTTTAACATGCATTTTTTTTTAAATATTTACAGCATTGAAGTTTGCTGATTGAAGTCTATGTTTGTAATGCTTAATTGACAACAAAATATATTCATAATAGGTGATTTTTTTTTTTTTTTTGAAGAACTTATTTTTTAGATATGAATTTTATTACTTGAACAAATAATTGATCTAATGATACACTTATACAAACACACCACACACACACATACATACATATATATATATATATATATATATATATATATATGTATATGTATATGTATATGTTTTTATGATGTGCATATGACTAGCTGCGTATCTTATGTTATCTTATAACTTTAATAGACTAACCTTTCATTACTAAACTATACAATTTATTATATGTACCTATATTTATACGAGAAGATTTATAGGTATAATATAATAGTTATGAATTGGAACTTTTATATTATCTTACATTTCAAAAACTGTTATCATTTGACAATAAGAAAAAAAAATAACAATTTGATATATTAATTTTTTACATATTATAAACTTATATTCAATCAGTTTATAATATTACCTACTGTATAGATAAATATTTTTTTTAGTGGTGTTTATAAACAGAAATATGTTTAATAGTTTTCCATATAAAATGTTTAAATACAAATTTTTTAGCTAAATATTTATTTTATATGGTTAATTAATTTAAAATTAAAAATGGTGTACTTACTTTTTTCCAAATATTTACTATTATGTAGAAGCTCAATATGTTTTTATTATGGCATTTTTAATGGTTGTTGTTCAGTATACAATCTATAAACTAATTTATGTTTTCACCTTGAATATCAAAACTATGGTATATTTTTATAAGTTTTACTTAAAAATTACCGTTTTACTATATTAATTAACATTTATTATTTTGTTTAGCCAGTTCTTTTTACTCTATTAGGATAGAAATGTTTAAACTATGAATGTTAATGTGAACAAATTAATGTAAATACTAGAAAATACAAAACGAACCAATGTAAATAGTCAGGTCAAACATGAATGTATGTATTCATTCATGTTTGTATTCGTTTTCTCTAAAAACAGTAAATGTGTGAATAATAAATGAAATTTTTTTATATGCATGATGTACTTATTGGACAAAAAAATGAATAGTGTAAATAGTACCATTAAATGTTAACTGAATTCTATTTAGAATTTGTTTGGATATGTTCACCTATAGTCTAAACATACCTCAAGTCTATTCCTAACAGCTTTAAAAACTGGTTGTGTTTGCATATCTTTCTTCCCCTTCCCTACATGAAACATATGACCATTGATGATGAATGAAATCTATTAGTTATCAATCACAACTTAATTTTCATTGAAAGTTTGTTTTGAGTGTCTATAATTACTATTAGTTTTCATATCATATTTTAACTGTTTAAAATTCATAAAAATGGCTTTATTTTGTATTTAACTTATACACAAAATTCTTTTAAAGTATACGATTTTTGGAAAAAATATAATTCATAATAATGTATTAGAATTTGGACATTGTTACATGTATGAACAACAAATTATCTACTATTATATATACTTCTATTATTACTAAATAAAACAAACTTAAAAATAGAAGTAAAATAAACATATTAACATAAAAAAGAGAAAAAAAATTGTTTGTTCCCAGAAATAAATAATCAAGGTCAAAAAAAGAATCTGTAATAGCACAATATTAGAAGTGTATAATTTTATTTAGTATAAGAATAGTATGTAGGTAGCATACTGAACAACAGCCTTAACATATTTACTGACTGGATGTAGGCATATGGTTATATTAGGCATTTATTAAAAATTATTAGGCAAATTGTACACACATTAATAATTATAGTTTTAATATCAATCTACTATTTATTTAGAAAGAAAGAAATATTCTTTAAAAAAGAGTCCAGAATTATATGCATTTAAGAAGTATACATATATTATTACACATATGTAATTATATTACTTTTTATTATCAAAAATGATTTTTAACAAAAACCTACTATTTGTACACTGAGAATCAGTGGATTCTCAGTGTACTGGACTTTTTGTTTGCCGAATAATTGCTCAATTAATTATAATCCCGAGTTCATACTTTGAACTTTAAAGTACGGTTTTGTTTCTGCAGTCGACTGCAGACCACTGGTCTAAACACCAGTCACTACAGTCAACTGCACACAGCATGTGCGACTGTTGCAGCAGATGACACTCGTAGTGACTGCTGCATTCGACTTCAAAAATGAAATCATACCTTAACTAGCTAATTTACTTATTGTATTTTACCTTATAAAGATCCTTTAATTTTTTGATTTTATAATTATAATGTGTTCAATATGTAATAATTCTTTGTGCAAAACACTATTTTATACATAATTAACTCATATTGGACATTTAGTAAAAACTAAACATAAACTAATTTCAAATTTAATCAATTAATAAATTATATGTGCTTAGGTATTTAGTTTAATGTCTAATTTAACCTTGTGCCTATGACAATAGATATATTTATAATAATTTATTATAATGTGAAATTAATATGGTTAAGCACATTAAATATTGTACTTACATGTACCAATTTTTATTTTTTAACTCAAGTATAAATTGAAATAGTGATCTTTATATCATTGTTCTAAAATTAAGTTTATTGTTTTTGTACTGTTAATCTTATGAAATAACATAATTTGTGACATTGTACTTATATTTTAGTCTTAATTTTTTATTTTATTAATAACAAAATAATATATTTACATGTTAAATCACATTGGGTATCAAATAATTTACATTACACTTTTGATGCTTATCAGCCAATTTATGTCAACAATAAAAAATTTGTTTAAAATTAAAATAACATTTAATTTACTATGTTCTAATAATTTCTTAATGTATTAACGAGCTTTATTTGAATAAGTGTTGAAAAATTAATGTTTATATTTGTATGTTTTAGAATCTATTTCTGATATTTTTTTAATTAAATAAAATCTTTATATTCTTTATTACCTTAAATATTTTCACAAAGTGGAATATTGGATTTATTTTATAATTTCAAATTAAAAAATGTTAATAACTATTTATGTTGGTAAATGTTATATTTTATAATTGTATATTAAGTTTTTATGGTTTAGGGAATTGGCAATAATTTTAAAACTACTAAGTACCAAATTTATTTTTCAATATAACACTGTTATGATTATTACATACAATGATCATAGTTTTATGTAAATTGTTAATTTAATACCCTTTCCTTCCATAACAAAATAGTTCTGTGACTTTTATAATTTAGAAATTCTTAGTTGAACTCAACAAATAAAAATTATGTAAAAAACTTAAAATTAAAATGTCTATAAATAGCTAAAAAAAAACTCAAATGCTTTGAAAACTTATCCATTTTAAGAAAAGTAAGTATACATTTTTTGTCAAAGTTTCAAATCTACGAATATTTTAACCTAGATAAAAACGAAAATAACAAAATTGAAAATATTAAAAGAATTATTTTCATAAATTTGGCCGTCCTTTCTACGTTTTTTCTATTTATCTAAGCTTTAAAAAAAAAAATATATAAAGAAAACCAAAAAACGAATAACTTGATTATGAACTATATTCAAAATGTAATAAAAGAGGTATTTTGTCGTTTATCTCTTGGAGCAATATTTATGGTTGAAAATGTAAAATGTGCGGTCATTTGGAAAATCTTGTACCCATATTATATTTTTTCGGTTTTTCCCAATTACTATTATTATTAATACTTAAAACATCAAAGAACACCTTTCTCTGTCAGTGGCTATATGTTAAAAGTCAATTTTCGATTGAAATAATATTTCTGGTAGAAAACAAATCAAATATGCCAAAAAAAAAATTAAACCGGGACTCTATGTTTCTTTAAATATGAAACAATTTTAATATTTTGGTTATTTCCAATTTTTGGAAACCGATAAATGATACGAACAAAATCATTTTTCGATTAAAGCATTAATTCTGACAAAAATATTGTGCAAACATAATTAGTGATAAGACCCCATTGAAAAATCAAAAAATGACCTCCACAATGCCCAAAACCAAAGAAAATTAGGTATCTTTCAAAAAAGTTGCTATTGTATTGTCTGTACTTCGGAACAATTTTTCTGGAAGTAAAGTTGTTACAAACAAAAGAAAATTCTGCCTTATGATAATGAGGACGGGTGCAGCCATTTTTATAGGTAATTTAATGTAGGTATATATGTAAGCAAAGATTGCTAACGAAAAACGATTCTGAGTGAAGTTGATAGTGGTTGCTTTGTCAACAATGTTATATATTTATCATATTATGATAAAATAATTTCATAGGTATGCATTATAGATATATATTTTCTTTAATAATATTTGTTTGTTATTGTAGGTACTAGGTACCTATTTTATCGATTTTCACATTTATTAAAAAAATCAAAAAACTCCCTCCTTTAAATATCTTCCCAATCAAATTTCCTTTTAGAAAAATTGTTATCATTGTAAATCGGATCAAAATTTCTGGTAGAAAAGTGGTTGAAAGAAAAAAAAATCCTTAATATATTTTTATTAATACCTACATTTAGTACTTTTTCCTCTGTTTTTTTCCGGTTTTCCAATATATTAAAAAAACCCCTTGGAAAATCAAAAAAGTCTCCAGTCAGATTTCCATTTAAAAAAGTGCTATACTTGTAAATCGGAGCAAGATTTCTAAAGGAAAAGTTATTCAAGGATGGTAAAAAAAATGAATATATATATATTGTAAAATAATAAGATTCGCTCCACTCAGAATCCAAAAAATAGATGATCCTGGGATAGAACGAAGTGTGGTTTGATAAAGTAGAGAAAAGCGTCAGGTATTTTATGTGATAAATGAGTATTCCAATAATGAAATTTAAAAGTAAGTAGATACTACAAGAGTATAGTAAGACCTGTTGTTTTGCATAATTCGGAAGTTGGGTGGTTGACAGAAAAATAGAATAGAGCTGAAAGAGAATACTTATAGTCTATCCCAGGAGATAAAGGTCCACTTCTGCGCATGTTTTCCCCCTCCACATAGCTGATTGTCATTTCTTCCGTCGTCGGTTTATGACTATACACCGCTAGGATATTTTGTAGAAATTAAATTATTATTATCAGACATCGCGCATCGCACGTTTATTTACCTTTGCTGTTTTATAACCTCTTGATAATTTTTCAAATAGTAAACTATCGTATATACAAGCACCTTCTATAATAATCCAGACTTTGTTTTTTTTGTATACATATTTANATTATATTAAAACATTTCATTTTTTATTCGTTAAAATTACAATTTATCATTTTGTCATATTGGCGATAAACAGTGGACTATCGACAGACAACAGTGCATTATTTGAAACGCAGTGTACAAAACCTGTCAATAGATCCGGAAGGGAATAAATTGATAGTGTTGCGGCGTGGGGATGCGCAGTAGCGCTTCAATTTGGTCGGAGAGCGGACCGTTCTCTCCTGGGACAGACTATAGGTGGATGAATGAAATGACGAGATAAGATACCTTAAAGAGAGGTGGCTTCGATAGTGGGCAAATATTGATAAGTACAAATCATATATCAAGTTTAATTTATCTTTGTATAATTAAACTGCATGTATGACATTTATAATAGGTATGACTATTTGGAATCATTTTAGATTCTAAATGGAGCGAGTAATGTATTGGTTTTATTATGTTTATTTTTTTTTTTGTGAAGAACTTTTCTACCAGAAATTTTTCTCCGATTTACAATGATAGCACTTTTTCTGAAAGTAAGTCTGGCTGGGGTGGTACTCTACGAATGTAATTTTTTGATTTTCCTAGGCGTTTTCCCAATAAATGGAAAAAAAAACAAGAATAATGGTAAATTGGTACAATATTAAACAAATATGTATTATTAAAGAAAATATATAATATGTAATTATTTTACCATAATATGGTATATATTGTTGACAAAGCAATACTATCAATCGAACTCCGCTTAGAATCGTTGTGTATAGGTACTTATGGATACATTAAATTTACCCTCTACTACTACTACCTTCCCAAAATTTCACCCACAACAGTGGACACCCATGTGTGAAGCATGTCTCTCTTTTTATCCATGAATCGATTACATTATTTATACTTGCATCTTTTAAACTATACATTAAAAACCAATAAGTTAGATTCTAAATTGAATTCGAATTATATTACTTCAGAAGAATCATACCCATTTTTGATACAATCGCAAGAGATGCGTGTCTTAGAAAAGGCGTTTCAAAAAAAAATTTATATAGTTTCCAAATTGTATTATCCAGTCATAGAAGAAATCTTTTAAGAAAAAGTATCTATAATTCACAATTAAATTTGAAATTCTTAATTCTTGAAAATGTTAAAAATTAATTTAAATTTTAACATAATTTGTTTTTTTTATTTTAAATATGCCAGGTGCTTTTTATTGCCAAATTAGATTCAATCATTTATTTTTTTTGAACACATTTTGGATTAATTCCAAACTGCTATTTTTAAAGGTACTATTAAAGTAAGTATGATAAGTAAATTTTATTTATACTAATGAATTAATCATTAAAAAACACATTTTGGAAAAAAAATTTTAAATTTCAATAAAAATATACACGAAACGAAAAACCTTAACCACATGAAATTTAACCCCATATCTTCTAAACAAAGTTCATCAAAATTTTTCTAGATTCTTAATGTATAGGCAAAAACACATATTTGAAAAACGAGCTTGAGTCGTAAACTAGATTTGTTCAAATATTACTAAAAAAGGATACTTTCTGCATTAAAATCAGGGCTTTACTGATGACCTAATTAGTATTTTCTAACTATGGTAAAATTGTTGAGCTGTACATATATTTCACAAATTTTGGATTCTGAACTGAGCGAGGAATGTGGTTTTATATTTTTTTTTCTGTGGACAACTTTTCTACAAAAATGTTGCTCCAATTTTCAATGATAGAACTTTTTCTGAAAAAAAATTGTACTGGGGAGGTCATTTTTTGATTTTTCAAGAAAATGGAAATATGGAAAAATAGGTACATACAACATTAAACAAATATTAAAGAAAATATATAATGTATAATGTAATTATTTTACATTTATTATATATATATATTGTTGACAAAGCAAACTGTATTTTCGTTCGAAATGATTAATTGTTGCTTACAGATATACATTACAAATCGTGGGAATTTTAGAACATGTTTAACCTAATTTCGCTTAGGACTACTTTCATTATCAATGATTTATATCAATAGATGATAGGTATGACTTTTTCCTTACAAATATTTATTTATTTATTATTTTTATTTTTTGATAGGTAATTGTTATAAAACAAAACTTACAAATAATTAAAATCAAATTATCAGAATATTGGTATAATACATTTAACATTTAACCGTTTTGTTAATTTACATATAAACAAAATATGTTAATATATATACTAAAAGTTAAACTTTTTGAAAATATTTTTACATTTACAAATAAATATCAAAACTAATATTAAATAACTATGATTAAAATGTTTTCATCAATACAATATCTAATTTTTTGCTACAAATGTACACTTATTAATATGTTTCTTTCATTAAAATATTAATACATCTAATTAAAATACATCATGAATAATAAATTTCATTTCACAATTCCATTAAATTATGTATGGCAAAACTAAAAATGTGAAAATGTTTTTTTCTTGTTATATGTAATTATAAGAATGTGTATATAAATATGCGTAGGTTTTTAAAATTAAAAATGAATCAATTTATACAGGTATTTTATCATCATTATAAATAAATTATTATTAGGCAGTACAAAACAATTTAATTATTTATATAGCGAGACCAAACACTGATACAATAACATACATAGTTTTGTTTTCCCATCTCACAGTACAACTACCATCTGTTAAGTTGTCCCAATAACATGAACTAGCAGCGTGGAAACCAGCTCCGTTTTTTTGCATAATAGCACATGTTACTGTCAAATAAAATTAACAGGTATACAATTAGATAACAGTAACAAAAACCAAAAAGTTAAAAATAATGAAAGTTTTATATACAAATGATGAGTTACCTACATTAAAAATAATAATATTAATCAGTAGAGCATTAATGATAAAACTGTAAACTTGAACTGGTTCCTTCGGACTTAGATTTATAACTTATCAATATTATAATACAATGTATATATTTGGCTATGAAAAAATACCAACAATTAATGTCATGTCTATGTTACCTATATATTTAAAAGGTTTGGCCAGCTTGCAGAGTCTAGTTAGACAGTTTTCAACAACAGAGTCCGTCCATTTATTTACCATATTTTGTTGATATAATTGACTGCCGATTGAATGTTCAATTGAGTCCTTAATAATGTCACTTACTTCATCCACAACAAAAAGGGTCTAAAACAAATAATTTATATCAATATTGTTTTCAAATTAAAAAAAAATGTTACCTGGTAGTGCAATCAAGTTGGGTAAAAAAAATAATACCTTACACTACTTACATAAAATGAGTTTTAACAAGATATAAGATAATTTTTTTAATAGGTATTTAAATAAAATATTTTTAATGATAAGTAACTAATCATCAAAAAAATAATATTTAACTAAACTAAATGCATAGGTAGTGGCTATACAATTTTCAAAATGTTTCACAATAAATATCATGTTTACTAATAGATACTTAAAATCCACCAACAATTGTTAATTTATTACTGTGAAGTTTATATTTATTTAAATGGCACACACATTAAAAAACAACAAAGATTAGTGATTACACATTTCAATATTTTGTGAGTAAAATGAATATAATAAAGTCGTGATTTTCGTTAAAATAATAAATATACAAATATAATTTCGTAAATTAATAAAAATGATAAAACAGTATTTTAATATTACAATACACAATTAGTATTAAGTATAAAATAAAATAATGTAAGTACGGTAATTTACAAGGGCGATTTTTTAAAACAATAAAAAATTGTTACCACTTCATTGGAATCAACCATGATTTGAGTAGAAGCAAATTGTTTGAAGGCGATATGTGTGATAAAGTTTTGGATTGAAAACGTTTAGCAAAAAATTATGGCAATACCAAAATTAGTAATTACAATAAATGAATAGAGTTTATGTTTAAAAGTAATTCAAACAAACTAGTGAACGAAAAGATAAAAATTGGACAATGAAAAAATTATATCTTTTAACCATAAAATGTAATCAAAATAATAATCATAGATAATACTATATACTAGTATCAAGGACCCATCTTTTTATACATATATATCTGTGGGTAAGGTTATTATCATAGATAATATATATTATCTATGATAAAAATACACCTTTTCACTGAATGTTTTGAACGGCTTAAAAGCGAGTCTTTAGTCTTTTCTCGTATGAGTTTACTATAGTTATATACTTACCTAATTTTATTCTACAATAAAATTGTAATAATTGTATATTATACTGTTGCTTACATATTTTTAAATAAGAGAAAAGGAACAACTCATATTACAAGAAGAAACATCCATAACAAACAAATATTAAATTAATTATTTAATAATACAAGTTTTTGTCATGGAAATAGGTATTTACCATAATATAACATAGGTACCTAAAATATAATAACCACAAACATGTTCGGTTTTTTACAAGCGTAGCGAACATAGGTTGAACTGGACAATTATAGCCAATGATTTTAAACATATTTTATGTAACAAATATTCATTCCTATGAACTGAATAATTCATTACATTTTTTTATTAATTAAGTAATATAATATAGGTAGAGTTTTATTTTACAAAGACCTCATTATTTATTACTCTATCTTTTGATCATTATTAAATGATTAATTGATTATTTCTAAGGTCCTTAAGTACCTAGAATTTATTAAGCGCTTTTTTAAAGCATTCACCTCACTTTTCTGTCTCAGGACATTATATTGTGTGCTGGTTTGTTTCATACCTGGCACCCCTATCTTTTGAAGGATAAATTACACATTAAAAAGGTCCAAAACAGATTCCTTATTTATGTCACCTATATTTTAAAATGGAACATCCTTTGGCCTCTGCATGATTATTCAACGGTTCACCAATCTCTTGATATTCAAAAGACGTTTGTCCACAGTATTATACTGCCGATATTAGGTTTCTTTCCTATCTACTGGATGGTTTCTTTGATTTTTCTTCCTTTTACTTAGCTAGGGTGTAGTGTCCAATTCGGTCTTTCTTTTTACCCTACTAATGATCATATGCTGTTTATATACAGGCTGTCCCACGATCTTCATATATCTATACATCTGGAGATAATAAAGATAATCAAATTTGGTTTTTTTTTTTATATATTATTCACAGGGAAAAGGACTACAAATATTTATGTTTGGATTAGTTTTTTTTATTAAAAAAATAACTTTTTATTTTATTCGGAAAATATTAATTCTGTAAAGATTATTTTTCTGAAAATTTTAATGTATCAAACATTTATATCCCATGAATAGTTTCTAAGCAACAGCCGTTTGAGCTTCTACTAATCCGTGTAAAAACTGTGTAACACGTTTAGGTTCCCTAGACTGGTTAGGTACCCTTCATTGGTATAAATTCAATGAATTCAATATCCTATAGGCTTGAACATATTCCAATATTCCATTAAATAGATACAATTATGACACCTATATTATCTATAACATAGGTAGCCCATAGAAATAATTTCAATTTAAATACTATTGAAAAATTCAATTGTAGTATAAAATATCAAAATAATATGTCTAGAAAATTAATTGAAAATCTAAACTTAATACAAATAATGTAAAAATTGCTTTTAAGACTAATAATATAATAATCAAACATATATACAATAGAACTAAAAACTTCACAAAAAATCCCTCTTCTTTTGAAAATGTTGGTATATATAAACTTAAATATAACTGTAATAAGTTGTTTATAGGTAAGAAAAATAGAAATTTTAAAATAAGATATAAGAAGACATTTCTGAAATAAAATTAAAAAAAACTATCCCTAGTTCAAATTTTGCTAAATGTTTTAGAAAATAACTGTAAAATAAGTTTTGATATTAATACAGACTTAGAAATATTAAATACTCAAAATAACATTTACATTAATTAAGTTTTAGTGAAACTACACATATACAATAAAATAAAGAAAAATTATTTTAATAATATTTTAAATTTTCAAACCAATTTTAAAAATAATATCTTATATAAATACCTTTTAGTTAAGAAATAATAACTAAATAATTTATATTTCTTAACATATTTATGTCTAATAATAATTAATTTTAAATAATCTCTCCAATTAAAATGAATTGTTTCTATGGTAAATGACCAATTTATATAATTTAAGATTCTGAGCAGAGCAAAGAAGCCTATACAAAGATAATTTTTTTCTTATCTGTGCGCAACTTTTCTACCAGAAATCTAATGAAGGTCTATCTAACCTAACTTTTCTACAAGCAATTTGCTCCAATTGACAATAATAGCACTTTCTCTAAAAGTTAATCTGACTGGGGAGGTACTTTAGAGAGGTCATTTTTTTGATTTTCACATTTATTTTCTCAACAAATGTGAAAAACCAAAAAAAAAAAACAGGAAAAACAGAAAAATGTAAGAAATGTAGGTATTAGTTAACAATATTATGACCTTTTTTCGTATGGACAACTTTTACATCATAATTATTTTTAATTTTATTATTTGTTGCAATTCAGTTTAAAATATCCATAGACTGGAAATTTTGACAGAAAACTTTACCTTTGGTTCAATTTTCAAATTTTTTTAGCCACTTTTGAATTATTTATAGATCATTTTGAGTTTTGTACGTAATGTTTATTTGGTATCTGTGTTAAATTTGTCAAACTAACAATTATACTTTAAATATACCCTGCCTACCCCATGACTATTTTCCTGACCTCAGCTGACAATCGTTACTCACATAATATGTCCTACCTAGTAAAACTTATCTCTTCTGCCATAGACTTGTCAATTTTAAAATTCCTACACTATCTACTCACAATAAAATTTCTTTCCATATTCCTCTCTGCACAACAAATTACATGTTTAATGAACTAATCAATCGGTTAATGAAACTGGCAAATGAGGATCACTCTTCCCTTAATATATAAATGTCATTAGCTCATGATTGTTAAAAATGTTATATTGTTATACTATATATTATATTATGTTATATGTAACAATTTTTAATTGGGCATTAGCCCATTCATACATATAAATAAATAAATACTTTATGATGTATTGATTTAATGATAGTTACTGTTATTGGTGATGAAAATTGTGAGTTCTTGGTGTTTTTTTTTTTTTTTTGAAACCTAAAATGCTTAAATACCTATACAAAACATAGACAGTAAGTATTAAATATTTTAAAGGTACAATTTATTTATCTACATACATATTTTCACCGTGATTATTAATTTTAAAACTATTTTTTGAAAGTATATAATTTTATATTACACATTATTCTAATTTATTGATGACATCAATTTTATTTTTCTTTAATACAATTTTTAAATCAAGATTGCACCTTAATCCCAGGCCAGTTCTTCACAGTGCAACTGCAACAGTGAAAAAGTGAGAACCTTAAATATTATGCATATGTATTAAACTCATTTTTTAGCTCTAAAACCTTACAGGAATGTAGAAATTATGGCACACTTTAAATTATTTAATTCAATTATTAATACATTTGATATATTTTATTATGTTTTTATTATTTATGCATTTAAAAAAATTATAATACATAAATATAACTTATTTAATATTAGTACCATTATCAGTGGTTCTACTATTTCTTTACTATTGTATTTACATAATATAATTCCACTCATCTGTAATAATAATTAATTTGAAGTTCAAGGACTAAAATAAATTCTAACATTTTTATAAAACATAATTATTTATTCAACTAGTGATGGTACATAATATAATATTACAGAACATTAAATATAAATTAAACAGCCAAAATAGTGAATAGTATTTACATCATAAATGATGTTGATCGCATTATAGGTCTAAAATCGGGTAACTCAATTCCAGATTGTTCTGGTGTATTTGTTTGATTATTCTGTATATTAACTAATGTTTGTGGAGGACTGTTAGATGATGAAGCGTAAGCTTCAACAACTTTTTCAAGACTTATTCTCATTACTTTATACAACATCCCTACTAATACTGTTTGAAGTAATAATGCACCAAAACCTTTGAACAAACCTAATCGCCCTTCTTCTGTGACAGTGGTCACAAAACAGTCTATTGGTCCTGTATAGGCAGTTGTGATTGACATCACAGAAATGCCTGTATCTAAATTGTCAATTATAGTTCGTGTGCCTTGCAGATATAGACGATGCATAATTGTCTCCAAAGGAAAAAGAATAATATCACTGACTGCACAAGTTATTAAATCAGAAACTGCTTCTATCCGTTCGTTATCCAAAGATGTAGAATCATAATCTTTTGGTATTGCACCTGTCTTACGAAGTTTATGCAATTCATACATGACTAAGATGTGTTTTACACTTTTACTGACTAATATATTAGTTAGATATTTTAAAACTCCATGTGTTACTGTGGGCGTAACTATAATCCAAACTGGCAGCATTCGGCCTAAAATGTTATATTCAAATTAGATATTAATCCATAATTACTTATAGATTATTGTTTAAGATTTTGAACGGAGCAAGAGAGAGAATATTATATTTAATTTTTTTTAAATTGTAGAATTTTTACTTTTAATATTTTTTTTTCTTTAAATATATTTTGTGCTATATAATAATAAAGACTTGGGACCTGGAATTTAAATGCACAAAAACTATTGAAAAATTCTCTAAGAAATAGCCAAAAATGAATTTCAATAAAATAATATCATTCAAAAAATTGACCCAAATATGTTTTAAAACTGCTCTGAAATTGGAAAATATTATTTGTTATTATTTAATTGATTGAGCTGAGGCATCACAGTCATTAGTCAAATTTAACACTAGGTTCACTATAGGTTGTACTTAGCAATTTAAAAAGTTTAGTATGCTTGTTTTATTATAAGCTTTTTTAAATCCAAATTTTACAAAAATCATTAAAATTATGACATTTCAAAACATGTGCAACCAAATTACCCTCAGAATCATTTTTTGTTAGCTATGTTTTCAGATAAAAATTAAATAACTGTATGGATCCTCTTTAATTAATTTTCCATTTACAACTCAGTATCAACTAATTAAAATTGATGTAAAATGTTTAGTAAGGTTATTAATTAAATTTGTTTTTCTTATGTATAAGTTGAACAACAAACTCTGTAAACAAATATAAAATAAATTTAACTTACCCTTTTGGGGACAGTTCCACTGGAGAAGTCTAATAAAACCTTCTTTGAATACATCATAAAATGCAGTATTTTCACTTACAATATTACTCTGAACAGTTTCAACTAGGCATGCTGAATAAAATGGTGTAATAATACCCAAGCTTGCACTGTAAATATGTAATTATAAACACTTTTTAGATCACAATTACTGTAATATTAGTAATATACTAAGAGGTATATTTATATGCATAAATGTTTTTCGGTACAGTAATATTGTCAAAGTTGTGTAATATATGTACATTTTTTTTTTATACGTTGGTATTTCTGTTTCAGATTTTTACATAGTTAAGTTATTTAAAAGTTTTGACAATTCACAAATACAATTTGACTAAAGTATGGCCGATGGTCCGAAAGTAAATTATAACTAAACCAACAAATATTTACAGTGCACCGCTGTGGTACCATCTTCATTGTTTTTATTATATTTACACAATGTTTTCTACCAGAAATAATACTCCAATCAAAAAATGATAAGAAATCAAGTTTGTTCTTTTTAATATATTGCCACTGAGAGAATAATATATAATAAATACATTTTTATATATTTAATGTGTTTTTCATAATAATTAAGAAAAACCTAAAAAAATGAAGTATATAATTTTTTACAAGGAAATTACAGAACGATTTCATTATTTTAAATTTGTTCAGTTTTATTTTCTACCATAAATATTGCTTAAACATGCTAAAATATTAAATAAATAAACAACAAGAGACCTCTTTGTTGCATTTTTAATATAGCTCATTAGTAAGTTATTTGTTTTTTGATTTTCTCTGTAGTTTTGTTGATAATAAAGGAATGAAAATAAGAAATTTCATTTTTACATTCATGTCTTCTTGACACAAAACCAAATTGAAAAATTATTTAAAAAAAAAAAAAAAATAATAATATTGACAGAGTTATTAGTATTTAAATAACAGTGTATAACACCCTGTCTTTAAATTATATTGAATACAATATAATAATGAAAATATAAGTTGCACAGCACCAACTAGTCTACTGAATTTTAAACCAACCCAACCATCATAACAAGAAATAAGCAGCCTTTTTATTTTTTCAATTTTATATTTTAATGTCTAGGAAATTCTATACATCATGAAGATTATTTTATTCTTCACTTCAAAAATTTATCTTTATACATTAATTTTAGATTCGGATTGTAGTACGGAATGTATTGGTTTTACAATGATGTCTGTTTAAATTTTTATTTCATCATCTTTTTTGAAAGGAAATTTTATCTAGTTGATACTTTAAACATGTCATTTTTGATTTTCTAAGGAGTATTCATAATAATTGGGAAAAACCGGGAAATTTAGGTACATGTATAAAATGAACTTCACTCTGAATTGTTTTTCGTAACCAATGGTTTATTGGTGTGTGCAAATATAAATTCAATTCCTCTCTATATCCTATCTTTCCAACTACTCACCTACAACAGTGGCCCAATGATTGTATAAAGTATATACATCTTTTTATCTTTAAATTAATTATATTAAATATATTTACTTATAACTTGATTTATTTTCATCAAAATGTAATTATTAACTGTCTTCTATAGTTGCATACAGACTACAGTGTGTATTATAAAGATCTGTCACCTGAAATAACTTTAATACTCTTCAATATTTTTAATATATATATATATATATATATATATGTTTCATCCAGATTGTGAATTATGATGAAAATTTTAATTATATTGACAATAGATAAATTGTACACTATTTAATTATAATAGCTTATTTAAAAATACATTAAATTTTATTTTTGATAAACCATACAAATTATACAAATAAAGATAAAAATAATAATGTGATACTCATTCTCTGTATTATATGAGAGAGATATCAAATTGAATTCCAGTAATTCTACATCCGATAATTTTCCTTTTTGGATACCTATATTAATTTTAAGTTATTCAACAAATATTATTAAGTAAGTGATTGTCTATTGTATACTTGACGTAGGTACTTGTGTGTGTAGTTAGTATGTGAATTTAACACAGCAATTTTAAATAAAAATGATAAAAAAGAAATGCATATTATGAAAATCTAAATGAAAATTAAAAAAAAAAAACTGTTCATTAAATGTACTTTATTACAGACGATTAATGAAGAGTAGAAATGTGAAAAATCAAAATGTAAGTAATTTAGGACTTACTTCAATAGTTATAAAAAATAAAATTAGTTAATTCAAATATAAATTTTAACACGTTTATGTAATTAGAAAAAAATTAAGCTATACCCACAAATTTTAATCTTGCTTACTATTATTTATTCGAATAGTGATAATGATGCATTTAGTACAGCAGAGAACAAGTATTTAATATACAAACAAAATACGGCAGATGAAAACATAAGGTAAATTAATATAATATTTTAGACTAGTTCATATTCAATTTGAAATGCATATTAAAGCATATTTTGTTTTTGATTGATCATTTTTGCATAAAAAAAACATATTTTTATATTATTTAAAAGAATATAAAGAAAATATTTGTAGTTATTTTTAAAAAATATGAGCATTACTACATTTTTAGTTTTTTAACATAAAAATCAGACCTTATTCATAAATTATATTTTTTCTTTTTGATCCACACCTCAAATGTCTTGTATAGAATTGTGTTTTGTCAGAAAAATAATTCTTTGGGTTTTTTTTCTTTCGAAAAATACAGTAAAAATATAAGTAATATATATAGTACTCCCTTATCATTTCAAATTTATTTTCTTATGAAAATATTGTTTTGAAAAATATGTATTGTATATAATATGTATGAGTTCTTACCATGATGTAGAACACAAGAATATGGATGGTTGATGATAAATCCAAAAAGTGGAGTATTGGATTATATTTTGTTAAATTTCAAAAAAATAGTTCATTCGATCGAACAATCAGATATAGCCTTTATAAAACTTTATTTGGAAATGACCCAAAAATTGGACAAAGTACATCAATTTTGTCATCTGAGGGGCTCTTTATTTTAAAAAATATAAGTTTACATATTAGAAAGAATCTTCTTAAAACCTATGTTTGGAGCATAATATTGCATGGCAGTAAAATGTGAGCGGTTACTAAAGAATATAAAATAATAGAATAATTGAGATGTGCTATAGGAGAATGCTTAAAGATATACAAACAAAGAAGTATTAGAAAGACTGTCAAAGAGGAAAATTATAATGAATACTATCAAGAAAAGAATAAATTAATAGATTAACCACATACATGAAAGTTTACAAGAGTTAGATTAATATAAGGTAATAATTATAGGGGAAGAATGGGTTTAAAATATGTGCAACAAATAAAGATGCACCAAGGATATAATTCATATAACAGGTTAAAAGTAAAGCGAGACACAAAGAAGAATGGAGAATTGTTGCAAACCAATCACAGAATTGAATATGAGTAGAAGAACACAGAAGTAAACTAATTATTTTACAAAATAAAATAAAATAAAACAAGTTATTTCAGGTGACAGACCAAGGGTGTTAAATCTTGTTTAAATAAACATATGTTAATTGGAATTTATTTCATAATAATATAATTATTATGTATCTATATAAATTATACTTAAACTAGATGCTTTTGCATCATATTTTATAGGGTTTATAATTTTCGAATATTATTGAAAATTGTTTAAACAAATCTGTCCTTAATGAAAATTGTACGTACTTACTATAAAATAATAATAATTACCATTTTAATAAAACATGTTTTCCGAAACTTTTCAAATTATTTAAGGAATCAGCATCTCTGAAAACATAATATATTAAAGCCAATGAAATATTAGCTATATCATAGATAAAATAAATTACTTTGGTAAATCAAATATTTCTGACAAAAATGCTTCAACAGCCATTGTCATTCCTTTTAAAAGTAACACAGTTCCAAATCCTTTCCACAAAACAGAAACACCTTGACTCTTGACAAGTCTACACACAACTGGTATTAAGGTAAATGGTACTATATGATAGTAAGTAGAAGCATAATGTAGCTGAAACAATTAAACATTTTACATTAAACTATCTATTAATTGTATTCAGTAGTATACAGAAGCATACTAAGGAATTATTCAAGGGAGGGAAGTGACATCAAATAACATACATAACAATTTGACGTTCCCAATACTTGCATATAATATAGGAATTCTAGACTGAACAAAAACTAAGACAATTACCTAATAATTATTATTTTCTAATTCTTAATTAGAAAATCTAACAATCTAAATTATTTTATAAAACATTTCTCCTATTTATTTTAAATTTTATTATTTTAACATTGAAATGCACATATCTAAAATATGGTATTTTCTGCCCCTCCTCTCAGTTCCATGAAGAATTTTTGGATCCGACCCTAGAAGGCCTATGTATACCCCATATTTGTTTATTTTCAATTAATTGATTTTTCTTACTATATTTACAAAAATGAAGAAAACACTGAACAATACTCCAAGGTAGTTAATAATTAATAAAATTTAATGTCCATGTACTATAGAAAAAAAGTATATTAAGGAAGGGAATCTATCTCCCAAATAGGCCATTGAATGTATGCAATAGGACATGTATAATTTAAAAATAAAACATGGTATACTTGGCATTGTCTTCGTAATACAATTAATGGATAGCTCACGACATGTTGTAAAATAAGACATGTTGGTTTTAGACATTTGTTTACAGTACCATTAACTAATACATCTGAAAATAAAAATGTGGAATATTATTTAGCTTAGAAGTTATAATTTATTATTATATAGAACATTAGTATCAATATACTATAATTTAATTTTGAAATTACCTTTGTCCCTAGTCATTTTAATGAATTTCTCTCGTTGTTGTCTCATCATTTCTGTATCTAACATATTAGTTTCTAGTTGTGGGGGATGTTCTGATATACTTCTTGATGGTCGGTGTCTTTGGTTACCCATGTTGAATGATTCTAATCCGGCCATTGTGAGCAAGAATTCACAAAATGTGAAATTAAGTTACTTATTTATTATAATACTTATGCCATTTTTTTAAAAAATAACATAATAATATATTAGATTTCAATTATTGAAAATTATTTACAGTTGTTCAGCAAAGTTTTCAAAAAGTTATGAACTCAGAATAGTCTATAAATTGTACTCTAATGTCATGGACGGGTCAGAGACAATTATCCAAATATGATAAAAGCCGAACACGAAAAATAGTAGCACCCATAGATAATATAAGAACAAATATAGATGTTTGGATATGAATATATTATCTATGATAACACCACAGATATAAACATTAAAGATAATATATTGGTTGCCCAACTCGGCTGATAAAACAATTCCGTAGCGCTCGTGATCGCAGTGAAATATTAATGTACTATATTATATAGCTATAGCAAATTGCAATTATTCACAAAAATATGTTTATGGCTGTGAAATTTTAAATCATTATTCATTAGTGATTACGATTTATGATTAAATTTAATATTTATGACTAAAATTACAGTTAAAACTAACAAACTAAAAAAAGAGTATTTCACATGAAACGAAACGACACGGTGAGTTAAGGACTCCCCTTTACTCTATGGTCGTGTCAATAGCCATTCTTTCTTTCTCCGTTTGTGTCGTGCATTCGATATTCATTTCGCACAACTTTTTTTCTGTTCAAAAGCATCACTCCAGAGCGTAGATTTTGTATGCTGTTTACGACCATCAACGTGGCGGCTTAAACTACTAAGAACCTTTGGCCATGTGGTTGTAATTACAAGTTAATTATAAACTATTTTTATTTATAATTTACTATAAGTAACTTACTGATCCAACCATTAAATCTGAATATATAATTTGGTGCCACTGCTCGTAACTATAGGTACACAATAATATTATATACGTACCATTAATTAGGTTTGTAATTTTCTACCGGGTTTATAACCACCTGCCGGTCCGTATAAACAATCCGTAAGTCATGACTGTTTTTGTTTCCATAGGACACGAATACGTGGAAAGATTTGCTTTAGGCTTGAATTTCTCTTCGCGTCCAGAAACGCATGGTAGATGAAAACCATTCTGCATCGTGGTCATGAATGACATAGGGCCTTTGCCCCCGAGACAATGAATTTTGGGAACAATTTTTGTACTACCGTCATTTGCGTCACTCATCTGCAGGAAAAAAAATAAATTATAAACGCCTATAATAATAAATAATGCAATACCTGTTTGTATTCTACGGATTTTATTAAACAAAAATCCCATTACGAACTTGTACCGTTTCGTTTAGAAACTCGCCAGCCATGGTGATTTGATCTTTTCATTTGATTGGCTTTTTTCGAGCTCCATATATAGGCCCGGCAAAAGAACAGTTGTAAATTGTGTTTTTAGCGAAACATTCGTCGTTCATAGAAATTTGTTTACATAACGATAATAATATAAATAAGAGGTGGGCGTTGAAAAGTCCATTAATATACTACACCTTAACAGTGGCGTGCCTATGAAATTTCAATGGGAAGGAATTTAGCAAATAAAAAATAAAATCATCTTCTTAACTCAACTAGACTAAAATATAATCAATTAATTTATAATCAATACATCAAGCTTTTCCTCGTAACTTGGCTTAAATGTATGCATTTTGATATTAGACTACTAATATTTTTTGTATTTTTAAGTTAATAGGAGTATATAACCTCTAACATTCCCTCCTCTGCGCACGCCATTGCACTTCAATCGAACACAGATTTATTTGTAAAAAGCCAAAAGCCCATAATATTCTTACACGTATAATCAGGCTTGTATTGGTTACAATCAGTGGGATGAGGGCGGTAGAATACAAATATAGTGGTACGTACTCTGTCCTTCACGTGTGAAAATGATTAATACAAGTTAAAATGTTTACACAATTAAATGTGAAATTGATCGTCATAAGCAAGAGCTATTAATACGGGTGTGGCAAACCGAAGACGTTCCTTTATAATGGATGATGCATGTTGATGAACCAATGAGAAAACGTGTCCAGGTACGGACGTGCTACCAGGCGCCAACAACGGTGGCGTCCGCCACCATCTAGGCCCCGACCAAGGTGACAAACCATATTTTATAAGACTACCGGAAGAATCGAAATAGAGACTCAGTCAGTTCAGAACAACGGAGGGAACCACGAGCACCACCTACGCACGAGAGGAATGAACACCGTCACTTCGACGTCAACTCTTAAGTCATTTATACATTGCTATTATATCTGGTAATACAACTAAGTCTTGACCCGGGTCTGATGTCGCATCATCATACATATTATATTAGTATTTATAATTAATGATAATGGTTGTGTGCTTTAAATTAGGCGGGAATATAATTTTACAAAATATTGTAATATAACATTATTTTCACGGACAGAGAGCGCACTAAGTTAGTTGAGCGGCTGTGGTTTCTGAGAGCAATTTCAATTGGAACCACAGATAGTTGTGTTATATATCTATGAAGAACACACAGATAGAGTTGATATTGTTCGATGGTATTACTGAGGTCACACTGGCATGTTTCCCGCTCATTCTTGGTGTTATTGGAGTAAATAAAATATTATGTTGTAAATAATACTGTTATCGCATGAACGTGAACCGTTTTATTCTTCGTATAATTTTTTTAGTACTATAAAGTTACCTATTTACTCAATGTTGTTATTTATATATTAGATGTTATTTATTATTATTTTTATATTTGGTGTTTAAACATTAACCATGGAACCATTAATGCCTTCCGAAATCGCTCGACTAGTATACGGTAAGTTCTTTTATTTTCATCGTTTTGAAACTTGTTAAAGCAAACCAGTTTAACTAGTTCCAAAATGTTCTGAACTAAAAATTAAGTAAAAATGCGATCCTTAAATCTACAATTGAATTCCTTAATTCTAATTCTCGTACATTTCTAAAAAATCAAAATTTAGTCCTATAACTACATTGACCCATCATATTCTGTAGTACTTTTTACTACCGGTTCAGAAAGTCACTAATGTGTCATGTGGATGCTTATTGACAGAGCATTAAGCTCTTGCGGGTATACCATTCCAATAATGGAAGCAGTAAAAAATGTATTTTAAGAATACATACTATATGCTCATTACAATTATAATATGTGTTTAACAAATTTCCCAGTTCAAGTTTGTACACGTTTAGAACTTTTGCCCTGAAACAAATTTGTTTTTTTTCAAATTTCTCTTTGATTTCACTAATATAATTTCATACTAAGTTCCTATATATTATTTTTTCTAATCTCTATGTTAAGTATAAAGTTTTAAATTCCTTACTGTTATATCTTAGCTTATCAATGCTTAGTTACATATTATTATTACTTGTGGTGTTCAGATATTTGGAACATGCAAAATATAGTTTTAATATATTTTAAATTAGGTTTATTAAACTTGTTTATATTGATGCGCCATTAATATTATTTACCAATAAATCTACTGTAAGTGTATATTTATAGTGTGTATGGAACTAAATATATCTTGTTTCTTTTCGTGTGGATTAATTCATAAAATCAGAGAAGAGATTTTTTTTAAATTTTTTTAGGAAAATTGCTTTATTTTAAAAAATTACAATTTATACAGTTTGTATAATGAGTAATATTAATATTTACAAACAGTTGAAAAGAATATATAAACACATTAGGAGGAAACCACATATTTGTGACACCTCTAAGAATTATTTAGTTACTATATCAAGTTAATAAATTGCGGCACCAATTCTTTTTGAGGTACCTGGTTGAATTGCTGGGGAGTGTGAGTGATACTAATTTGTTGATAAATTGGTTGGGATTACCTCGCAGTTTAGTGTAGAAGCATTTATAGTAAGAGCTGGTTCTGTTGATAGGTTTGATGGTCCTTTGAGGTTAGAATTTAGAGATTCATTTGAGACGAACCAGGGTGGGCTAAAAATTACATATAGATATACATTTTGGAAGGCTTTTATCGTTCTTTTATTTTAATTTTTGGCAGAGTCCCATATAACAATGCCATACGCTCAGAGGAAAAAGAAGAGTTTTATATAAAATAATTTTGTTTGATAAAAGAAATAATGACAAACAATAAAAAACAAAAAACAATAATAATATTCCTATTTTATTATTATTTGTTTTTACCTAAAGTTAATTATGTATACATTTTTTAATAATAATTATTTTTACAGGTTATTTAAAAGAAAATAAAAATGATGATGCAGCTGAAAATTTTTTAAAATGTTCACCTTATTTAACAGAATGTTATCAAATGTTTAAAGCTAATAGACGGTTTAATTTAAATGTTAATGGTTTTAAACTACTGGATATTTTAGACCTTTTTGGAACTATGTGTAGTATGAGTAAGTTTTGTAAATTTAGTATGTATGATATTTTTTTTTTAAGCCAATTATATTTTGTAAATATCTTGATTTTTAAATTATGATGTATATCTATATCTCATATTAAAATGTGCATTCATTTGTGATATTAATTAAACTGAAGGGAAGCATATAATGCTACGATTTTAGCGAACCCAGTTCCCCGAGCTCCTACTGGTGGAAAGTTTTTATATAAGTGATTCCAATAGGCATATGGTATTGTTTCTGTAGGATGGAGGAATTTGATTTATAGTTAACAATACCATTTTCCTTGTGAGGGGGATCAGAACACTACTATGATACTTTCATGAGATACAACAAATTATGAGATGTCTGATCAACAGTTAGTATACAATTCTGTCAAACAATATGAAGAGTTCTAAATAAGACTTTGGAGGATTGTCCCATCTCAAATCTGCATGGTGACAACAGATGAGAGGAAGTACCATGGTGTATGATGTTTGCAGATATAGCTTTGACAGGAGAAAATCTGGAAGAAATTAACAATAGATTTGTGGAATGCAGAGTAGCACTTGAAAGAAAGGGACTCAGGATAAGTAGAAGTAAAACAAATTATGAGTTTGAAGAAACAGTTCAAGATAGCTAATCACAATAAGCTGTAATATTTGAGGTTGAGAGATTTAAGTACCTAAGAGGATGTTAACAACCCACATCTTCTGTCTCAGTCTAACTACCTGGTAACATACAAGAATAATATTTTGGTTCAATTAGTTATAACTTGCTATAATATCAGTATATAATAACAACTGTAATTTAATAAATCATTAACATTTTAATATGAAATATATAAGACACGAGTATGTACAATATATTTATGTTTTTATTTTAGTTAATGAACGAACATCAGAAGTATACCAATCTAAAACATTGATTGAAAAATTACAGTATTTATTAGATGTTAATCCTTTACCAATAAAAAAAGATAAATGTACTGAAACCGAATTAATTATGGTTGATAAATTTGCTGGCAATGATGATGAAATCAATACTGAAAATAAAAATAAAAATATAGAAACAAATAAAAGTATATCTGAAGTATTAGAAATTCCATCATTCAATGACATGGTTTCTTGTAATTTGTCTAAAATAGAAGAATTTGATATAGTTAATAATAAAACAAATATAAATTCTGAAAAAAGTCAATCAACACAATCTTCATCTTGTTTACCTTCAACAACACAAGTTATAGATAATGTAACTACACCAAATTTTTCTATTATTAAAAAAAACGAACCTCATACTATTGAATTCAATGAACAAAATTGTAGTACTCCAGCAAAACCAATTGAAGAAACAATAAATAGTATTAAACCAACCATACAATTTAGTCCAATAGATATTCATAATCAATTTGCTCAGTATGTATTATTCATATTATTTTACAAAGTATATTATATTAAATGTATAACCAAAAAATGCATTTACATTATTGAGTATTGTTAATAGTTTTAAAGTAATTAAAGTATAGTGTTTAAAAACAGTTCATTGAATGTGATATATTTCATCTTAATACTTAGTTTGTCTAAACGTGAAACTTTTTAGTTAATTTTTATTTTAAAATTATTAATTATTATTAAAAAATATTTTTATAGTAATCAGTCTAAATCTCAACAAATACCACAAACAACATCCTTAGAGTCTATGCCAGGTTTATCAAAAGACAATGACCCAAAGGATAATTCTGTTGTTATTGATACTGGTGAATTAGTTGATACATTTTTGAATGACAAAAGTTTATTGGAAAAAATTGCTGATACAATAAATAAATCTATGGACGCTCAAAAAAAAGTTGGTGATGTAGATGAAAATAGCATCTTGAATACTACTCTTGAAAAAGCATTAGATTCTACTCAGTCTGATCCACATGTCAAAAACATACTTGATGAATTTTTAGGTAAGTAAAATTTTATCAAAATAGTTACTGATATAAATTATCAACCCAAACCCTATTTGGTTTTGTAAAGACCACTCAACTATCCCTCAAATTCACAGATAAACTGCTTCTATAGTTAGCTATTTAGAGAAAAAAATTTTACTGCTCAGCAGTTCTACTTGACTTGGTCCAAGTTTTTCACAAACTTAATCACCCTAGTCTTTTGTACAAACTAAAAAAAGATATGTCCTATCTTACTATTTTTACTATTTATATTTAAAATTGTACCTTTTAGTCGATTATTTCATAACCAAGGTATGGTCTAAAATCTCTTTTTTGGCCCCAATATCAATAGTAGTCTCCCAAGGAGCTACTTGATGCCTCTATCTTGTATTCTCATCAATCTATACTCATATATGGCAAATCAACTGATGACCACCCACATTTGTTGCAGATTTTGTCAATCACAAAATAATTTATTTCTCATACAAAGATGTAATAACTGTTAGTTATAATCTTCAAATTTTTAAGATTTAGATCTTGAAGAAATTGGTTTTTTTTAAAAAATATATTTAAAATAATTTCACAGCACCCTAAATTTAAGTTTGCGGCACCTTGGTTGGGAACCTCTGGTATAGAGAATAATCTTAATTTATCCAAATTCAAAATAAAATCTACTCTAATCATGTTATAAAGTGTTACCATTGGGTGGCTGTTTTCATATTCAGAGCAAAGCGTGGAATGTTTTGCTTTTATGTAGAAGTCAAAAAAAATTGAAAAAACATTACAATGTATCAAATTTATATGAGAATTTTATTTGTTACATGCAGATAAATATTTAATTCCCCTCTATATCGTATCTTCTCCAGTCTAACCACCATGCAAAGTATGCCTGCCTTTTTTTTTCTTCTGTCTAAACATCTTTTCAAAAAGAAATCTTGATCTGATGTATAGAGTGTATTTTTTCTGAAAGAAAATTTTATTTATTTGATGCATTATAAAGGTCAATTTTTTTATTTTCCAAGTAGTTTTCAAAATAATTGAGAAAAACCGAAAACAAAATTTCGGTAAAACTGCAAATATTTACGGCCTGTAGGGACATTACCAATTTCATTGTTATTAATTAATTTTCTACCAAAAATAGTGCTCCAATAGAAAAACAACAAGAGGCTTTTTTTTTGTTGCATTTTTAATCTAATTAGTGAGTTATTTAGTTGTTTTTAAATTTAGTTTCGTTTGTAATCAAAAAAAAAATTGATAAAAGACCTGGAAAATATACAAAAATAATGCTGTTATTATTTTAAATATTATTCATAGAGATTTGAAATTTTGTTGAAAACTGATGTTTGCTTTTTTTAGACATGGTAAAATATTTCAGCTATTTGTATATATTTTAATTTTACAAGTTTAGTACGTAATTTTTAATTGGTAGGTACTCTGCAGATTAAATTGTTAGATCAAATAGAAACACTTGAAATATTGACAAGAGGTTGATTTTAAGCCGTACTTAGTGAGAATATTACAAAATTGAATGTAATGTAGTATTTTTTTTTCTATTAGAGTTTAAATCACACTTTGTTGAAAATCGTAAATATTTTGGTTTTTCAAAACATGTGTAAGCGAACTTGGCTCCAAATCGTTTCCTTTGTTTACTTGTTCATTATATTATATTTTTTATTATATATATGTATGTTATTTTTATTTTTAATTTAATAATATATACAATAACCTAACTGTTAGGTACAATTTAAAAGTATGTATACATATATACATATTTAATAATTTACTAATAGCTTATTAATGCGGCACTAATATCTATATTTTATTTTTACTTTTAGTTTTTAATGTAGAAAATCGGGATGATGGTAAAAAAAAAATCATTAATAATCAGCAAAATTCAATAAAATCTCGTTTACGTAGTGCCAAGAAAAAAGGACAAAGTAATATAGGTATATCTTTTAATTTTCTTACTATTTTCATGGAAGGATATATATATGTATGTATTTACAATATATATACCTGTTTGTTTATTGTGATAGATGATATACCTAGCAAATCAAAAAAAAATAATTTGAATACAGTTAAACATATTCACCATAGTAGTAATGAAGATAACGTGAACATCGACAAAAATATTTTATTAATACATGATGGCAATCTCAAAACATCATTTTTTGAGAGTTATGATTTGTTATCCAATCAAATTATTTTACAGCCCAATAACTCTAGTATTGGACAATCATTTCACTTGAACAAAGGTAGACTACAAACGGGGTTTTTTTTGTTTTTTTATAAAATGTATAGACAAGTATGCTTATTAACCATCCTATTTTGTTTGTAGAAGAAGATTGTTTGAGTAAAACAAATTATGTGAAAATCACCCAAAAAATGGCCTCAATGTTACAAACAGGTACTTATTTTATAAAATTAAATCTATTATTAATATTTATATAAATTTAATTAACGTTTTACAGTGTAAAAGGGGCTAGGGTTGTTAAGATTGACTCATAAAAATTATCGTTATTTATAATCAGTGTCAATGTTTATTGCAGTAACCCTGACCTTAATTGGTTGAGGTAGTTTTTTCCTCCTGGGTATGGGGATTTACTATAGGGCTAATAATACCATATAATAAAAAAGTTTTGTTAAGAAACTAATACGAAAGCCTTGAACTGTAATTTTGTAGCAGCTGCAATGGCACTTGATGAACCATAGAGCAAAAAAAAAAAGTATATAACAATAATAATCGATATTTTTATAAATAACTTTCAAAATTAAATGTAAGCATTTATGTTATTACTAAGTAAATTCCATATCAAAAACCTAAATTTGTATCTAAATCTTTTCTTATTTGTATTAAACATTGTTTGTTATATAAGTAATAATCATTATATGGCACTATTTATTTATCTTTTTTTTTTGGTTTATAGAAGAAGATTGTTTAAATAAAACAAACTATGTAAAAATAGCTCCAAAAATAACTCCAATGTTAAAGACACTTCAAGGTATGTATACTAGGTTTAGAGCAACATTGATGTAATTTTTAAATACTATTTTAATATATTCAAACTGTTAACATATTAACTTTTTATTCAATCTAATCAATTAAACATTTTTCTTTTAGCTCCTGAAAAATGTATTTTTCCAAAAAGAAAAAGACGATTAAATGAATTTGATGTAGTACGAAGCCAATTTAAAAAAGGAAATATTACTTTTGTACAACCTCCAAAGGAATCGGTTCAACCTACCAAGTCAATTATAATTGAAGTTCCTAATCAAAATTCTTTCGAAACTCAAAATGATTCAAAAAAAGATACTATCAAAGTACCAGAGGTATCCAATGTATCATCTATTGTAAAAGATACAGTTTTACTTGATGACACACCAGACGATAGAACTAAACCGCCAAAAAATAGAAGTCTGAGTACACCCCGTAGAAGAAGTACTCATATAAGATGTTTAGATTTTAGTACTCCACAACCTAAGAATAATAATCGTGATCAGGCTCGTTCTAAACTTTTATTTGACACTCCAAAAAGATATGAAAAAATTTTGGAAGTACCTTCTGCTAGTCCTTTACCAAAACTACAAGCTGATTGGGGATCTGTTAATGGATTTGAGTCAATTGTTAAAAAAGAAACTACCACAGATTGGGATACAGATATTAGAAATATGGTTGGGGCTGGGATTTTAACGTCTGATGCTGACAGAAGTAAAATGAGAAAGAAGAAGATTCCTAGAAAGAAAATTAAGTCACAAAATGATAAAATTAATTCTGAATTTGACGAACAAAATGAATTACAAATTGACGGAACTAGTAAACCAAAGGATTCTGAAAACTTATATGATGTAAATAAGCAAAATTGCATTGGATCATTACTAGATGATAAAATATCATCAAAGGATCAAAGTGAATTTTCTATTCCATTGAAAATTTCAGATGAAGTTACAGAATTATGCAATGAACAACTATCAACCAAATCAAATTCTTCAAAAGGTTTGAATGGTTCTACATTTTTGAAACCACAAAATGAATTTCCTATTTCATTGAAAACACTAGATAAAGTTACAGAACTGCATAAAGAGCCACTGTCAATCAAATCAGATTCATTAAAAAGTTTCAATAAACAATTATCAATTGGATCTAATTTTTTAAACTCTGTAAATGATTCAAATTTATTAAAGATTAAAAGTGATTTTTCTATTTCATTGGAAACGCCAGATAAAGTTACAGAATTGCCAACTAAATCAAATTCATTGGATAGCTTCACTGAACAACTGCCAATTAAATCAAATTTTTCTAATAATTTTAATGATTCAAATTTGTTGGAAACAAGAAGTGAATTTCCTATTTCATTGGATACTCCAGATAAAGTTACAGAACTTAATAAAATAAAATCACCAATTAAGTCTGATTTTATAAACAGTTTGGATGATTCAAATATGTTGAAAACACAAAATGAATTTCTTATTTCATTAGAGACCCCAGATAAGGTTACAGAACTGTTTAAAGAAAAACCACCAATTGAATCAGATTCATCAATGAAAAGTTTCAATAATGAAAAACCATTAGAAAAAATTATTGAATTTCCTATAATTTCATTAGAAACTCCAGATAAAGTTACAGAATTATATCAAGAACAATTGTTAATTAAATTGGATTCATCAAAAAGCTCCTATGATAAAAAATCTTTGGAAAAACAAAGTAATGAATTGTCTATACCCCAAAACACTTCTAATAAAATTACAGAATTGTGTCATAAACAATTGGATGTTGTATCTGATTCATTAAAAAGTTCTTATACTATTCAAAACAAACTGGAACAGTCTCAAATTAATGTTAAAGAACAAGAAAATAATTTAAATAAATCAAAAACTTTAGATGAAATAGATAAAGCAACCACCACTTATAATTCAAAACTAGTAACTGCAGTTAATCCTAGTGAATTGACAAATAAAAACCAAGTTAAAGATCCTAAATGTTCAGAAACGTTAAATCATTTTAAGTATTTAAAGCCATCAACAAATGAACAACCAGAAAATAATTCAAATGAGTCAACTGAAAATTTAAAAAAACAGCTTTTAGTTGATTTAAATGAAACAAACTACTCAAAAAAATTGAATACTCCTGAAGAAGTTATTCAAAATCAGCCTATTGAACACAACCTTGTTGAAACCCCATATAAATGTGATGATGCCGCGGTTGATGTTCCTGAAACTCCAATTTCAAAATTACTACGTGAATATGATCCGAGTAAACTTATTACACCTTTACATTCTACACCTTATCATTATGATGATTCAACCGAGACGCCTTTAACTAAAGTATTTAGAGAAACCGCGTTTTTAAATCGACCTCCAATATCACCTTTTCCTCCGACTCCAGGAAATTCAAGGTCTGTTGATACTTTAATTGTACCACTAGACCAAGACTGCTCAAAAACTTCAGTTAATGATAAAATACATAGTTTAAAAGAATTTCCCACACAACTTAGTCAAACAACTAATAATAATAAGCCTTTAGTAAAGAAAAAGAAAGTTAAAGTTAAACCATCACCCTCAATAACTAAACCAAAGCTTTCGGTTAAAAGTAAAAGTAAAACTGATTTAAAAGGAAAAACTATTGAAGCAAAAATATCACAAGTATATGAGTCTGTGAAAGTTGAGTTATTTGGGAGTGAAATTTCATCAAGCTTAAGTGTGGATGAATTAGTAAATATAACAGAACAGCCCAAACAATTATCGATGAATAAAAAAAAAGAAGAAAAGAAATCAGGTTTTAAACCAATACCTAAAAGAAAATCAATTCAATCAGCATCTATTGGAATTGGTGAAAGTCATTTTTTAAAAGAACTTGATCCAAAAATTAATAAATCATTAACAGATGAACAAAATGAGAACAATTCTATAGGAAAATCTAAAAACATTTTAAAAACTAAACAGTCAAATAAAAGTAAAAAATCTATGGTCCATTTTGATGACCCAGTAGAGAAATCCTACTTTTCTTCTACAAACATAGTATCATCTGCACCCAACACTATAGTTTCTAATAAAATCCAAAAACAAAATTTAACTAATGAAAAATCTGAAAATTTGATTGGATTGAGTAGGTATTTGAATATACCAGTCAAATTAACTGAGAATAACTCAAAAAAAATACTATTGAAAACGATTGAACCAGAAAAGAAAAATTCTAAATTGAAAAACTTTGATTCTACCATTAAATATTCAAAAATTGCCAATGAAAATTCACCTGAAATGTCTTCAGATTTTATAAATATATCAAAAACACACAATAATAGTAATCAACAAAATAAACTATCTGCTATTTGTTCAATTGACAGGAATAAAATGTCTGACAAACAAGATAATATCACTTTCAATAAATCAAATACATCAATGGAATCTATATCCATTGATACTAGAACTTCTGATAAATCAAATCAACCTGAATCAACTAGTATTAGTTGTAATAATAGTATGAATAATATTTCTTTTATTTCTGTTATCCGGAGTGATGAGTTAGCTCCAGTAACAAAGGTTTTTGATCTAACAAATAATTTGGAATATTTAAAAAAACCTAAAGCTTTTGAAATTTCTACTGATGACAGTAAACAAATGGTATGTTTAGCATTAACCTGGTATTTCTGTTTAGTATAGGTTTTTTTCTTTTAAACTGCGTTTTAGTAATATATACTATAATTAGATTTAATAGTATTATTTGATTAAACATTTATGATGTTTAATTTGTCTCATTGTATAAAAATAATTGTTCCGTTTTAGGGTATATGTATATATATATTAAAAAAAAAAAAAAAAAACTTCTAACATATCATATATATTTACATATATTATCAACTTGAACATTTTTCATTAATAGTTTCACCCTCATATATTACATCTTTCTTTTTTTTTAATCTCAACTAAAGAAACAAAATGAAATACATAAATAAATAAAGTATTTTAAATTTAAATAGATTTGGAAGAAATCTCATATTAATTTACTATAGTGTGAGGCTTGTCTTACTAAACTTAGTTAATGTTTTTTGTAAAAATAATAAGTGACATTGCTGTTTAATTTTAGTTTTAAATAAAATAAACTAATTACATTTTTGTACAAGGATAAAATATTCAGAAACTCATTTAAATTAAATAAATAAATGAATATGTCGTCTGGAGTATTATGATGTGTATTATGCGATCGGTTTTGAATTAAAAATTCATCACCAGGTATATCACAAAGTCAAAAATTAAAATGAAGGATTACATAGAAATAAAATTATACAAATTAGTAATTTTACATAGAAATAATTTATTTGGTTATTATTTATTATCAAAAATTTATCGATTTAAGATTTTATTTTGAAAATCTGTTTGAAAATTAAAATATTAAAATAATTTTTCTTTATTTTATTCTGTATGTGTAATTTTTCTAAAACAAAATTGATGTAAATGTTACTTTGGGTATTTAATATTTCTAAGTATATTAATATCAAAACTTATATTACGGTTATTTTCTAACAGATGTTTAGTGAAATTTATATTTGTCTTACCTATATGCAATTTATTATAATTATATTTATACCAGCATTTTAAAAAGAAAACTGATTTTTCGTAGGTTTTTAGTTCTATTGTTTATGTTTGATTAAATTATTATTAATCTTTTAAAAGCAATTTTTACATTTGTATTATTGTTTAGAATTTTAGCAAATTTATAAGATATACTATTTTGATATTTCATAATTTTATAACTATTCAAAATTTTAAAATAACTATATATATATATATATATATAGTATACTATATATACTATATATACTTTTATAATAATTTTACATTTTAAAATAAGATATATATATATATATATCTGAGATAAAATTTTAAAAGACTGCCTCTAATTTAAATTTCTCTAAACATGTTTTAAATAAAACGTAATGTAAATTTTGATATTATTACAGACTTAAAAATATTAAATACCCAAAATAGCATTTACAGTAATTCAGTTTTAGAAAAATGATTTAATGAATAATATCTTATATTAATAAATTGTTGATAATAAGAAATAACCAAATAAATTATTTTTCATAACATATCTATGTTAAATAATAATTCATTTTAAATAATCTACTATTAAAAAAATGATTTCTATGTAAAATTAAAATGACCAATTCGTATACTGTTATCTCTATGTATTTCATTTTTCATATTCAGTCGCGTTTTACTTTTTGACTGTGTTTGAACTGATGATGAATTTTTAATTCAAAACCAGCCTGTTAATACACATCATAATCTTCCAGGTGGGTGCTTATTTATTTATTTACAAGTATTAACCATTTTCTAATTTTGTTTTGACTTTATTACATTTATTATTTAAATTTAAGATTAGAATTATGTTAAATAACTTTAATAATGACAGTAATGAAATTTTTTGTCCTCTTAAAAATATTGAAATATTAATTATACTAATGTACTGAATTCGTTTAGTTATAATTTTTCAATTTTATTTTTTTATAGGTTGGGTATTTGAACCTGTCAGATTTCATAACTCTTTTTTCACTGCAAACATCTAACAATGTTTTACCTTCATCAAATACAATTACTTCCCCATTTGTAACCAAGAAAATCCACGAAAAAGAAGCCGGTGAATTAGAAGACGACGATAACAATTTTTTACCTGTAACCAGTACTCCCAAAGATACTGTAAAAAAAATTGAGGATAAACAATGTAAAGAAAAGCAGAGTAAAATATCAGATGTTACTCATGTAAAAGAAGCTGGTAAATTAGAAGACAATGGTGACATTCTCATATCTGTTACCAGTACTCCCAAAGACGTAGCAGTGAAAAAAAATGAAAATAAATTGTGTAGAGAAAGAAGGAGTCCTTCATTTTGGGAAAATTCAGTTCATGTTAATTATCGAAATAAATATAAAGATGACAGACATAAAGAATCATACCGTTGGCAAAAAACAAATTATAGAGATAGATATGATAAAAAATATTGGTAAATATTTATACAATTATACTTCTATAGTTCTTATATTTAAAATAAGAATGAATTATGAATTTTAAAGCAAGAATAATTAATGAATTAACTATTAAATAATTTATCGCGAGTTAATTTTATTGGATAGTTTAATAAAATGTGGAGTATGTTACTGGTAATTAACGTGTATTTAGATAAGGAAATCATTGAAGAAAAGTTTGAAGGACGGCAAAGGAAGTAGTAAGACTTAAACAAAGAGAGGCAAGTGGGATAAAATTATTTTACTTGATATTTTAGATTGTAATTCAAGAAAATTGGTTAGTTTGTAAAATGTCCCTATGTATATTTTACTATAGTGATTTTCTCAATGATTGAGATATAATTTATTAATGTATTTTTTAGAATTGGGCAATAATCAGACTAGTTGCTGAATAATGCAAGAGCAAAATCCTACAGCTGACTTATTATTAAAAATCTTTGTAGTCTAGAATTGAAAGAAACTTGATATTAAAGATTCAGTTCGTCAGAAAGGGGTAGTAGTATGATTTATAGCAAAAAGATTTGATTTTAAAAGTTAGTTTGTAACCATGAGGGTTATATTTGAGGATCAGATAGATGTTTAGGATATGAGATGCAATAATTGCAAAATAATTTTTAATTAACGACAAAATTGTGTGAAGAAAAATTATTAAAGAATGAATTACAGTATATAAAATAAAAACAAGTTGATAAAAAAAAAAATAAACGATATATTGTGGAATTTTGAGAAAATCAATTAAGTGTTATTAAATAATTTTTAATGTTTTTTATTTAGATATATTAAGAAAGATAATAAATTAAAATAATTTATTTAAATTAATTATAAGTATTAAAAATTTGAATATTTTGATTATTTACATGATTTTAAATGAATGTATTCATTAGTGTATAATTGGATGTCAATTATGTTATTAGGCCCAGCAAATTAAGACATAACGATGATAGATCACAATATGATAGTAATAGTCGTTTTCATTATGCAAGTATAAAAAGGGAATTTCGTGATGAAGAAAGACGAAGTCGTGATTATCGAGATTATAATATCTATGATAAGCGTAAAGGAAGAGATCGAATAGAGGATTCAAAAAGAATGTAATGTATACACATTTATGTATTACCTTTTTGATATTTTAATTTTGAATTGTAAAAACAAATTATATATTTTTGTATACAAACAGTTATATGCAAAGTAAAATTATTTAAGTTAATTTTTTTAATATCTTTTATAAAATAACTTTCATTTAAAATATATTATTTTTATTTAAAGGACCATCCAATTCAACAAATTTTCTTTGTCTTAAATTATAACATATACTATGACGAAAAAATGATATTATTAAAATTTGTATCCGTTCACTAGTTTATTATTAATATTGAGCGTGACTTTACTGATTCGTTCACCGCGGTCACTATTTATACATTCGTTTTTGGTTTAACGTAAAGTAACTGTTACTGAACTTCTTTTTTTTCGAATGACCTAATCAAATGTATTTAAGAATACCTCAAATGTTTTCTATTTATATAATTATATCATATTTTGGTTTAAAATGAGTGAAAAAACAACAATTATAATATTATACACCACTGTTATAAATAGTACTGCTATGAGTTCATTTTAGATTCTGAGTTAAGCGAAGAAGCTTATAGTTCTACAAAGATATTTATTTTTTTTTCTGTGGACAACTTTTCAACCAGCAATTTCACTCCAACTTATAGTGATAGCAATTTTTCTAAAAGGAAAACCGATTAGGGAGGTATATTTTAGAAGTCATTTTTCAATTTTCTCAGTTTTCCCAGAAAATATGAAAATCAGGAAAAACACGGGAAAAATGCTACTACATTAAACAAATTATTAAAGAAAATGTATAAAGCCTATTTAATTATTTTACTATAATATGGCATATTTATTATTGACTAAGCATCACTATAAACCGAACTCTGCTCAGAACCTTTTTTTATAAGCAATGATTTATTGTTACTTGCAGGTATACATTAAATTACATATAACAGTGGCTGGTGCAGTTCTCATTATTCTAGGATGTCTTTTTTAATTTTATACTATCAATGTTTAATATTTTGTCTTAAAATTGAGTTGGATGTAACATTGAAAACCATATGCATTTCAGTATATATTTATAGTACTACTCATGTTTTTAATTATATTATGATTATTTTTATTGGTAATAATGTTTTAGATTACCAAATGATACACAAATTTGGCCTAGATCTGAGGATAGTTTTAAGAAAGTTTTAAAAAGGCCTGCTGATAGATCGGATCACTATAAAGTAAGTTCTAGTATTTACATCTATGTAAAAGATTTTCTTCATATAATAAATTTAATTTTTGGATTTTTTTTTCTAAATTTATTTTATAGTATTTAAGTGGTACTTTCATTATGTGCAAAATGAATATTGTTTTATTTATTTTTAATTACATAAGAGCACAAGGCCTAATTTAGCATGGTGCAATAAAGGTGAAGTTACTTATAAAAATATATATAGCATTAATGAAAGTTTAACAGTATATAGTAATTATACATACATAAATGAGGATAATATTGTGTCAATATTCGTAAAGGGACATTCAACATTGCATTTCCACCATAATTAATTTTTGATGAGTAAATATAAAAAAAGGAAACAGAATTACACATTGGATGAGGAGGCACCTTAAAGGTTACTTTAAAGAGTAAATCTGTAGAGTCTATATGTCCGGTTATAAGTTTTAGTAGAAAATTCAGCAGCATGTTTTTGATTAACCAATATCTCCATATTAAGCTGTTTAAGAGCTGGAGAATAGTCATATGGTAAACACTCATAATCATTGATGTCTAAATTATTTTTATTTTGTATAGTAGACATTTTTATATTGTATGAATAAATACAATTATTCCTCTGTGACAAAATTTTTCATTTCAAAATTAAAGTGGTTTTATTAAAATTCCTACATTACAGATCAAAGGTCCACAGACAAAGCAATTAATAGCTTATATTAGGAAACTTTTGTTTTTAGTTTTTACTAATTTAAAATATTACATTGTCTTGCTCAACAGTAGACATATTTGTAAAGAATTAGTTAATACAATGAAATTTTAATTTTTTTTTTTTAGACTCCAGCCAAAGTATCTAAAGTTGAACATCAACGATTACTAAGAAATGTTGATGTTGATGATTTTTTGTCTGTAGTACACGGCAAAAAATAAACCAGTGACTAGAGATACAATTATACTTTTCTTTGTATTGTTTTTTTTTTTTTTATGTATATATATATATTTTTGTAATAATATTGTAAATAGCTTTGTATTTAATTTTAATTTTATAACTTCAATAGTTTTTACCTTAAATATATATAATTCAAACAAGTTCCTAATGGAGTATTTGAATAATATTATTACTGACTGGTGATTATTAACAAGGAATAATACGGAAGTCTTCATAACTAGTAATATCAACTTCCGAATAGTTTTTTTTATTCAAATAGTGGCATGCTTGATATATACGGTTACGTAAAATATATTTTTGTATTTAATTGAAATGTGAATAAATAAATAATTAAATATTGAAATGATAGAAATTAGATACACAATCTGATAAATATCATTCAAGAATATACAACCACAATCATATCACAAACATACCTAATAACTAATACAATAATTTATTGTTATTAATAATTTTATGGTAGACCAAGTACAAGAATACCCAAATAGTTTGAATGAACTATTTAATTGTATGAATACTGCTAAGAAATTAAAGTTTAATTGTTAATTTAAAAAAAATTCTTTAATAAAAAAAATTTTGTTTCAACTTTCCAAATACTCTAGAAAAATTTGATTTTGGAAGTTAATAACTTAATAAACATAATAATTACAAGCTACATTTTATTTCTGAGAATATTAAAGAAGCTCAATAGTTTTACAGTTATTTTTAGAAAAGTTTTCAGTTAGTATAAATTGTTCAAATCATAATACAGTAAAAGGTTATTTGACCAGTAGACATCTTTCTAGATTCTAAATATTTTTAGGAATTGTATCATTAAAATGTAATGTAAATTTTACACTATTGAAAACATCTAGGGTTTTGGGCTATTTTATTGTTTTACTATTTTACTCAGTATATAATCCAAAATATAATGGTGTTGCTTATGTTTATTTACAAAGAGCATATCTTTTACCTTGACATTATTATAAAATTGTTTGAAAGAACATTATTTATGCATGATAATACTATTTACATAATCACTTCAGCGATTCCAATCATCGGACCATCTCTCATTTTTTCTCTTCTATATGCCCTACTTTCTAAAATTCTCATATACAATAGTACCACATCAGTAGTATATTTTTGAGTTAACCTAACCTTTTGCATTATTTGATTATAAGGGAAAAAAACATCACTATACTCAGTTTCATGAGAGAAAGTATACGTTTTTTCGTTTGTTGCTGCGCATCTCCTCGATTTGTGTAATGGTAAAAACTATACTACACTATACACATTGCGACTAATGTGAACAGGGTGTATAATCAATTGTACGCACCACCTGGAGGTAAGGAGTGGGAGAAATTCGGACTTAATGTTCTCGCTGATGCATGGAGCATGTACCTTTACTCGTGAAATGGAGTATAATAGTTATCCAATCTGACCAGTTTCTTAAGCTCCACTTGAAATTATTTTTTGATTGCAATATTTTATTATTCTTGTCAGTATAATATATAAACTAAATTACTCTACATGCTATATCTCCATAACTTAATAACTAAAATAATAAGAAGTAAGTAAACTTTAAAAACTTTGAATTTTCCCAAGATCCCAATGCAGTAATTCTACGGTAAAAGGTTACATTAAAGCAAAACTTACCTGAATGAACATTGTGATTACAAATACATAACTAACCTCAATCAAACGTATTTTTGTTATTTTATAACATTTAAAAAATAGCAATTATTTATTTTATTTTTCTTTATTAATTTAAATTTTTGTGTGAAACATTCACACCGGTTTTCCACAAGTATAGTAATATAAGTATTTTAAAATAACCAATCAGCTTTTAAACACATTTAGTTTTTTATTTTTACTAAATTCAAACACATACAATTAAAAATGAATGATTTGTATAATAAAACTAAATTAATCAAAATGAGTGTTATATGAACGAAGGAATGTACAAAATCCTTGTATTTAATTTATTATACATAAATTTTTAAACCAAAGAGATTTTGATACAGGTAAAAAATTTGAGGAGAAATATTGTTGAATATAATGGGATTCAATATAAGACAAAAATTGAATGTACAGTCAAGTTGTAAACATATTACACACAAAAAAAAAAATTAATACCGTTTCTTGTATGGAAAACTTCTTCTAACAGCCCTAGAAAATTTCTGTCTTCCAACATCCCCATTATTACGTTTTTTAATTGCTGTTAGCACTGTTTTATCAATTGTACCAAAACGGAGTTCACGAGCTTTAAGTTTATCTTCTTTTTCACTCTAAATTAAGAACAGAAAAATTTCAATTGTACAAATTATATCACAATAATAAAAATTAATTTTATTTAATAAATTATTTTCTCTTCATAAAAATAAGGGCCATTGAAGGATCATTTTCTTGGAAATAGTGGAGTATTGATCAAAATTTGAATTACACATATACAGTTGATTATCATCATGTTTAAAATATTTGTTGTTTTGTAGAGGTTTTCATGTTAAATACACTTCTTCATTCTTTAGCCTTAATTATATTAAACTCCGGAAACTCAATCTTTGATCAGTTTGAAGTCAATTTTAAATCATAGACTCAAACAAACAATTTAACTATTTATCTTTTTAATACAATTTCTAATATTATAAACAAGATATTTTAATATTCACTGTAGTATATCACCCCATTTTTAAGTTATTTTAATACACACAAGTTAAATATAATTAATAATAGTTAATTTGATAAATTATTAAATAATAATTGATAAAATATAGATAAAAATACCTAATAAAAAAATCATCAACTTAATTATGATTATTATACTTACATCATGCAAAGTTTTAGAAACTGTTTCACCAAATCTTTCAGCTCTCATTTTTAATTTTTCGTTATCAGCATTAGCTATGGGTTTCTAATTTTAAAAAAAGTCATTAAAATAATATTGTATCATAATTTTGTACAGTTAAATTTATTTTACATGGTATTTCTTAAATTTAAATGCTATTAAAATTTATCAATATACATAATAGATAATTTATAATAATTAGCCATAAATTATGTTTACTATATTGCCATACATAATATTTAGGGCTGTGAATTTAATACAATAAAGACCCTTAAAAAAATGCACTTGACATGCCAATTTTTTTTAAATGCTTAGAAAATCACAATTTTTAAAAAATTGAAGATATTTTCTGACATCTAAATATGCTTGTTTCTTCCAATGTACTGATTTATGTCATAATTTTATTTGTCTGGAAATTTTACATTAAAAGTTCACATATTTTGCAGTACAATATTTTACCATTAGTAGAAAAAATATCTGTATCATATTCATTGACATACTTTCACAAATTTGATGATTAAGTCAGTATTGATTTGGACATTTTACTGTATGCAATAACCTCGCATACACCAAACGGATTCTAAAAGACAATTTCTATATTGCCTAATAATTTACTGACCTACTAAGATTATAGATTAATATTACAGGTACAATAGTTTAATATATTTACTTTACAAATTCACTACAGATATGCTATAAATAAATTTAACCCGTCACATATTTTATCACATTGTAACAAGCCAAATGTTATACCTACATGGTTTATACAAACAGCTTAGATATTAAATAAAATATAATGTATATGCAGTTAGTATTAAATAAAAAAAAAATAAGTGTGTAAAGATGATAATTTACAGAATTAGATAAAAATAGTGTAAATGGAAAAATGCCTTTAAACGACTAAAATATTTAAAGTAAAAAAAATGCAAGTTTCACAGTAGTTGCATTTTTTTAGTTACACAGTAGTTTGGTTTGTTGTTACACAATTCAAACTTGATGCCAAGGATGCTACGTTTTACAATCTACTAAGCAAATGGACTTTCATACAAATTCACAGTTCTAGCAATATAATATTTTAAAATAAGTATACATGCATAGTATTATAGTAGTCTTTGATTATAAATACTAATATTACTATACTAGTCCCACGAGATAGCATGCCGTAGGATAACTAAATTGGTTGGCTTTGTGCATGCCACCGTTGTCAACGATGAAATTTGAATGGACGGAGGGAATACGATGAACTGGTCGATGATAAACGATGCGCAGATCCGGCATGCTCTTTCGTAGGACAGGCTATAGTTTGAGTAAATGGTTTTAAAATATTGTTAATTTTACATACTTGATCAGTTATGGCACCAAATTTAATTAGCCGGGCCAATTTTTTATCCTCTGACACATCATTTCCAAATTTCTTTGCTCTCATTTGTATTCTCTAAAATTGAAGTCAATTTTTGAAATTGATTATTCAAGAAGAATATTCAAACATTTTACCTCAGTTTGACTCATAGTTTCGACATCATCTAACTTAATCACACGATCCTTAATGTCCAATTCTTCGATTTCTTCATTTTTTTTCTCTTCTTCTTGTGGCTTAATATTATCATCACCGTTTATTACAGTTACAGAAGTACGTTTAAGTGTCACTTTTTTAGGTTGTATTACCTTAACGTCATAAAATTCTTAAATTAATCAGTTTTCATTATTTTTTTAACTAAATACATGTGTTTAACTCAAATAACATTAAAAATATATACATTTGGTGTATACAAAATAATAAAGTATAAAATACTTTTTAGTACAGATATGTGATAAATTATAATAAATACAATATTATCTCAATTGGCTTTATCTTATATAATATGATATATTAATAATAATATATGTATTTTTACAAATCTGTTTTGATAATTTCAGATTTTAAATTTTAGTTCTAATTGTTGATTTAAACTCAATTTTTTATCTAGATGTTATCATTAACATACAAACAATTTTTTATGGTGGAGTAGGATCAGGATCCAGAACTGATTTTAACTTAATGTTAAAAATGTATTTTATTTAATATTTTAACTCATTATGTAATTAAGAAGACGCTTTACCCACTCTTAATCCAACCAATGAACAATATAGCAAAAGCTACATTACACAGACTGAGAAGAACTCTTTTAATTTTGGTTTTAAAGTAAAATCACATATAAAATTAAAGGAGGACAATATTTTGGAGGGCAAGACAAAGCAATTTTCCTATTATTCTGGATAAAACGTTCAATATTTCATTTAGGAATTGAATAAATTTATCGTTCCTAAATGACTGTAACATTTCAAAAAATGAATTTATAAATAAACTCATTGTCTTACCTTACGAAATATTTTTCTCTTTTAATTTTATAATAGGCACTTTATACTCTTAAACCGAATTTAAGCAAGTTTTATGGTAAGGTAGATTTTGATACATTAACCATTTTCATCTACTTTTGGAAAACATTTAATTTTTACATAATACTACCTAAAGTCTCTATTTTTTTGTATCTCCGTACCATTGATTCTCCATTAGCATTGTTCTTAACATGACATATATCTTCTATATACTTACGCATTTTATAAATATTTAAATATTATAATAGAAAAAATATTATTTTTTAAATTTTGAACTATAGATATTTACTTTTCCCATATCCCACCCTGTGTGTATGCACTCTTGTTATATAAATAAATTCTGAACCTTAGTGCTTTGACCATGATAATCCTGGACATGTGTCTGGTTTAAAATACAACTATTAAAATACCTGTTTAACTTCTTTTTCTTCATGAATAATGCCATTTCCAACGTTGTGATCTTCTTTTTCTGCAATATCTCCTAGAACCTTTGATTCATCAATGTCAGAGTCATCGAAGTCATCCTTAATTATAAATGAAGTTAAAATGAATAAATAAATAAAAATGGGTACTAATAGTAATAAATACCTCTAAGTCTTCATCTAGGATATTGTGCTCATCCAGCACTGTGTCCTCAATATCTAAAACTGAATTTTTGTTGGTTTTCTACACCTTGTATAAATTTTTAATGCCAAACAAACCTGAAGAATCTGAATGATTAATAATACGATCTATAAGCTCCTGTTTGTTGCCAACTGTACTTAAACCTTTTGACTTTAATTCCTTCTTCAAATCATTGACCTATTAACAATAAATTTTAAAAAAAAGATTAGTTTATAAAAAGAAGTACTTTAAAAGTCAATAAAGAATTTGCTATTAAAACAAGATCTGAAAAATGGCTAAGTACGAGTGAAATCATTATATTATGAATCCATTATTACACTTGCAAGTTAAAATAAAAATGTATTGATAGTTGCTTATGCTGACATAAATATTATATACCTATGAAAAAATTAAACTGAATATATTTAAACTTATAATTAACAAATTAAGTAAATAAATAATGTATATTTTGTTACATTGTAAAATACACAATTATAAAATTAGTTTCGATACCTACTGTTCATAATATAATATACATACATTTCCTTTGAACAAGTACCATATCAAAATTATCAACCCTATGTACACGAATAAATACTTGATATACATATTTCAAAAAATAATCAGACTACATAGAAAAATACTCACAATAAAGTTATAACAAAATAATAGTAAAAATATTTAGAACGACAGCAATTTATGTTGAAACGTAAAAAATCGTTACACTAATATGTACTTTATTAATTATTTCGTATTAATTACATCAATATTCTTACTTTCATTTTGCTGAGTTCTTCGAGTTTGTGAGCATTACTTGAATCTGACATATTTAGCAAAAACAATTAAGAATTAGAATGATTATGCGAAAATAAAATTTAACCACTTTTTTAAAGTATCAAAATACTATAAGCAATCAATAATAAATATATTCGCAATTTATATGTACCTAAAGGATAAATTATAATAATTAATAATAAACCAATGCGACTTTGTAAGAAGGAATAATGTAAATCGTAATGTCCGTGCGACGGCCGTCGATTGTTTATACTTGTTTAGTTTCTTTAACGATACCTTATCATTTTTTCAAACAAGTTTGAACAGTGTGACCAATAATTAACATTGTTAAAATTAAAATGACTTATTAAATCCGGCTGCAGACATTTTTTCGACAACTGATAAGAAACTGGAGTGTTATACTTATCCAATGTCACCAACTTTGAATAAATAAAATCTGAATTTGTAAATTCAAGTTTGCAAATTTAACAATAATAAAATATAATTAACTACAAGTTACAATAATATTACAACCATGCCAAAATAAATTGTATTTATTTATTTTGTTTATTTTGTCATGATTACAACTACGAATTATCTCTTATAAAATATAACTAAAATAATCGAAACTTATAAATGTCATCAATAATAATCACCTATAATAATCTTAGAAGAATGATTATAATCATAGTTTAGCCACCGAATAACAGTTATTCTGTGGCTTAGCTAAGGTACATAGAATATTAACACGATTTAAGATTGATACCTACTATTTTAAATAGGAGATATCCCCTCGAAAAGCCCACCAAGTCTCCCCAAAAAGTTCTTGCAAATATACAGATTTTTATAAAATATTCTCAAAAAAACAAAAATATATAACACATAATATATTTTAAAATATGAATTTATTTACATTAAAAATATTATTGTATTGGATTTAGTGGATGGTTGCGGTCATCAATGTATTCTAGTCAGAGTAACAATTCCAAAAATTATTTAACACATTTTTGGATAATCTATATCTTTCTAAAAATAGTTTATTGTCAAGGTCTTTGAAATAATTTTTTCTGAATATCTAAAAAAGTTAGATAGTAATAAGAATTTCCAGTATCATACTCAGGACTGGCAAGACATAATAATATTAGGCACTTATAGTAAATAACTTTTGCATACTAACCTAATAAAGGGTTATTGAAGTGGTCATTTCTATTATTCTCTAAATACTCAATATAAAGAAGTTCCTCATCAAATGTCTAATTCATTATTGTATTACTATTTACTATAGTAGACAAAAATATAAAACAATATCTAAATTATAAAAATATACCCAAGTATTGTTGTATTATTGTACATAAGTACTTGGTATGTAAGCACTACAATAACAATAATTGTAATTAGGTATTAATAATTAAGGAATGGTTTTTGGATTTTGTATTGATAATTCATATACTTTGTAAGAATTCAATTTGTTTAATTGATTGATAATTTGATAAGTCTATTACGAAATCCCAATTAGTAATATGTAATTAGATCTATAGCATTTCAACATGCCTATTAACTATTTAATAAGCTCATTTAACTTAACAACCGTTTAAACAACATGTTAAAGTTCGAATCTCGATAAAACCCAATTTTTACTAACTAGATGTTAAAAATAATTAGCATTTAGTTAAAATCTTAACATATGTTGATGAACCTAGTTGAATATTTTATACAAAAATTAAAATTATATGTTGAAACACTGTCCTAATGATAAGTTTTATATTGTTTTTAGTTATCTTCCGTCGAATATCTGTTGTTATTAACTGTTGATTTAAGTAGTTATTTTTATTTTTTTTTGGAATATTCGTATTAAACTGAATGCCTAAAATTATATTAATTTCGAAATACCTATACTGTCGATTGCCAAAGCAATTATTTTGTTGATTGTCGTACTACCGCAGTTTTAAATAATATACGCGATTGAGTTTAAATATGGTTTTTGAGTCTGAGAAAAAAATTTCGATTTTTCCATTTACAGACTATTCTCAGTCCGTACACTTTTATATTTCGTTATGAAATTATATGTTTTTAAGTACCTATTATTATTTATGAAAACACGATTTTTGATTTTTATGTACCCATATAATGTACTCGTATGAGTGTAAATGTGAGAAGTGAATTATCGTATACAACATTACCTATGTAGATAATTCCAACTATTTTTACCAATGTTATTTGGCAGACCAATTTAATGATTGTATTGTGAGAATGATATAAAATGTATAGGTACCTATAATGACAAATTTGATATTAATTACAAACTGACAAAACAACTATCTCGTATTGAAAACTGTTCTTTTCAGGAACATCCCTATTGAAACAGTTGTTTTTAGGGCCACCAAATGTATACTATTAATTCCTGATTAGTCGTTAAAAATCTATAAAATATAATATTTACCTACTGTCGAGAAAATTTTTTTCTATATTTGGGCTTTTTTAAAAATACTACAAATGTTTAACGACTATATGTGTAGCACTATAATAATATACCCAACTGTATTTAAAATGTGAATACATGGAACAATAATAGTAAAAACTTATATCATACTAATTGGACAGTTGTCTGAAGAAGCAGTTGAATTTAGTAAATAAAAACATTCGTAATTTTCGAGAAAATTGTACACGAAAATTATCACGTTTACATACGAGCAGTGAATTATTTCATCGATTATTGGTAACTTCAGATCCGTATATTTCACGGTCAGCCCCCTACCACGAAATATTTAAATCAAACTTATGTCATTTGTTTGTGCTTTTTGTCCCATCGTTTGTGATCGAACCCTTCCCGAGATATTCAACTTTGAAAGTTGGTAGCTGAAATGTATCCCCAACAAATTAAAAAGTAAAAAATAAAATTATTTTGTCTTGCTTTTATCTCTATGATTTATACTATAGACCTTTCCATAGCGATTTCCTTTCACAAAAGATGCTACACATAAAAATCGGAGCAAGATCTCTGGTAGAAAAGTTGTTTACAAAAAAAAAAAAACCCTAACCTTCTTCGTTACACTCGGAATCTAAAAAAGGTTTATTGATATTACTGTGGTCGCCAAATTTAAATTATTTTCAAAATGGATCGTACAATACAAAATTTGGGAACCTTTGATCTACAGTCATAAAATTTTTAGTTTTCCAGAAAAAAACCAAATTCATTATAGTCGATGGGGCGATGTTCGCACTTAAATTCTGTCGCAAATTTTCATCGCAGATGTTCGACTTAAATGTTATATTTTTCCTCTATTTATAATCATGTTATTTAAAATGATAATATTTTAATACTATTAAGGCTCCCATACACACCAAACAAATTTGTGCAATGACTGTGTTTTTACAAACATTTTGAGCGTGTATGGCATGGTTTGAGTAGTTGCGCAACGGTTGAAATAAATCGGACTAGTTCGAAATTTTTTGTGCAAATACTTCATGATTGACAATCAGTTGAACGTCTATGGCAGTGTTTTACGAGCATTGACCGCAAAAGACCGCCAGACAATTGGAAAAACGTATTATACTTTCTTTACTTATAGTATAATAATATATTATTTATATAATATAATTATATTTTATTATTATTGTTATTATTAAAATATTAATTACATATAAAATTTATTTTTTTAATTATGGAGTCTAAAAAAGATGACAATAAAACATTTTGGCTTGAATTTATCGCCCTTTTTAATGAGTTTCTTCAGATTCCCCCCTAAACATATCTTTTTATAATAGCCTTTTGTGGTTAAAATTATAGCTCAATAATTAGGTAAGTAATACATACAATAATAAAATATTTTTTTAAGATTACATTTCTAAAACCAGCCTCCAATATAAAACAATAATTACATTGATGACAAGAGAATGTTTTCGTGTTGAAAAAAAATATTTGACCCGCCCTCAGATCTTTTGCTCTGGTTTCGTGTCTGCCACTATGCACTATAATGGAATAGATATAATAATTTAACAATATCAACTTGGGAATATAAAAAAACGTTTTTCTCATAAAAATAGATGGTACAAATAGACCACCCACATGAACATTATAGTCTTAACTACTAACTAGGTTTTACAGTATTATCAAATAGTTATTTAATATTTTGATAATATTCAATGAACCTTGACTTTCAAATGTCCAAATGGGTTTTTCATCTGATTGATAATCGAAATTGTCAAGAAATACACGAACACCGGATTAACATATACCACGCACCACGATAAGTAACAAAATAAGTAGTATAAAATTGAGTAAAAAACACAATTTATAAGATGTAAGCAAGGTGCATCAAAGATAAAACGCGTGTGATAAAATGATAACAATCGCGTTTAAAAAATAAACATTAACTACAATACAATGTTGGCTGGCGTCAACATCTCCCTATATTCTAGTATTCCTGTATCCATGGATAATACTGATATTCGTAATACTCTAATAATAAAATTAGATAATAGAAGCACGCTGATCTTACGTCACAGATATCTATGTCATAGAATAATCTATAACTTATTATCTATATCTCTGATCATTCGTCATTCAGTAATCAGTATGATATAATACAATTTAATTCATTGATAATGTACAGACGTTTAACAAATAATTACGATTCACAATTTATTTTTAAAATTAACTATATAATTCAACATTGTTTTAGTTCAACATGTTTTCTAGGAATATACTATATTTAAAAAACAGTGTTCGATCATCATTTCTATCCCGAACATACAGAAATGTAAAAGCAAAACCTGTTAAACAATTGAAAAATGACAATGTAAAAGGTAATCCTGGAGGTAATCGTATGATAGCTTTGATCTTGGATGGCGAAGCTCCTGATATGTCTAATGTTACATTGGAAGACATTGAAAACGGAGAAAATGATTTGCTTAATTCACATTTATTTTATGATCAACACATGAAGTAATTATTAATTGAATAACTTATAAGTAACGTAAAGTGCAAATTATTCATACTTTGTATACACTGAACTATTAAAATTTAAAGTGGCATTAATACGTTTAAGTGTTGATTTAAAAACTAACAAGTTTATCAATTTAATATTTTGTTCTGGATCCACAGTTGATAGAGTGGAGTTGCCGCCCATGCCCACCTTAAAAACTTTTTTTTATTAATATTTAATTTAATTTATCTACAGTTATTAAAAAACTACATTATATGTTGTATAGCTTAAATTTCAAAATCTCAAGAACACTAGCCGGTTCACACACAAATATATTTGACCGTGTGAACCAGACTTATGGAGTAAACAGTAATTTGAATACCTATTTAAAATCATCGTTTTATGCATAGATACTTATTATTATTATTTATTGTTTTATGAACATCATATGCTATTTATATTTATAAGTAAATTAATATAAAAACAATCATGTTATGACTTATTCAATTACAAAAAATTACACTATCTACGAAAAAAAAATAAAAATCGAGACCATCTGTGATATCTTCGTCATACATTTTTTTAATGACATTTGTTTTTTCAGTGAAATAAAACAACAACGAAAATTTAAATCATTTCAAAATATTAAACGGAAATATTTTAAAAATAATGCAGTACAGACAAACTTTTTAACATATTTTGAAAAACAACAAATAAAGAATTTACATGAAAAATCTCCTAAAGAGTGGACCCCGGAAACATTATCAACTTGTTTTCCAGCAACTCCAGAAATAATAGTTGTGAGTTACATAAATTATCTATATACAATTTTTTCATTTTATTAGGTATAGTGGTCGTGATAATCTTAAACCTTCAATATTTGTATATGGCATTTCTGTGATAGGTAATTACTTCATAATCAATCTTTGGTTTTTTTTTGTTTATTATGTATGATGTAATTATACATAACTGTTAGTGGGATATTGTATTAGCTATATATATATATATATATATATTATTTACTATGTAAGTAATATCTGCAATGTGTGTAGGAATTATTTAAGAAAAAAAAAAAATGGTATTTTAGAATCTCTAATAGCCTAAACAAGTGATGCCAAAAATCATTTCAAATATTACTAAAACCACTGTATATATATTCTTAAAACTTAATTAAAAAATAAAAGTTACGTGCCTAAAATTTAATTTTAATTTATAGAAAATATTGAAATCTAAATGGATAGCTGATGAAGGACAGAAAATATTAAGACATGATAGATTTGTACAACAAAATTGGGAACGCTTTCGTAATGGATTATTTAAAGATATTTTATCTAATGAACATAAAAATCATTTAACCAAATTTTCAGATCGCCGTCCTACCTTGATTACACTAGAACGTAAGTAAAAATGTGATTTTGTTTCTATAGCATATAATTGACTATAGCAATATTATAAAATATACAATTAAAATGGTTGTTTGTTATAATAATAATAATTTATTTTAAATATTTTAATAGTAAATTTAAATGACTTAGGTATAATAAAGATTAATTACATTAAGTTTTTTATTGAGAAAATTTTGTAAATGTTTTAATAACAAAATACCACAGCTATTATTAACTATTTATATAATTAGGAATATCTATAGAAAAAAAAAATATTGATTTTTATTTTCCAGCATAATTCATTTTATGATGACAATATAGATTGCAATAAATAAATTAATTATTATAAAAATGAAATTGAAGAGTATGATTTGTAGGTGACCTAATATTTATTCAAACAATTTTAAATACAAATATTGATCATTAAAAAGCAAATAAAGTAGGTGAACAAAATATAAATTCCTAATTTTGTCTCAAGATTTAAATATTAAAATTACTGTTCAAATTTTGGAATATTATATACCTATTGAATTTCTTTTTCAATTTGTTAATACATAATTTTTATTCAGATATTAAATTAAAATACACACAATGGAAATATTATACAAGATATTTTTATAGATTATATTATAGACCTATTAACTAATGGACAGTGTACCATACTTCCCGTTACATATAAACAATATAGTGAGTAAGAGGGATATAGTTTGGGCCATATTTTTCTCAATCTGTATTGTCTTAATGGTTTATTGAGGAATTGAGGATATGTTGTCCATTAGTTAATGTGTTTAGGGAGTATACACTATATGATGGCGTTCTTATTTAGATTTTATTATTAAATTAGAATTAAATTACAATAGCTTCTGATCTTTTTTCTATAGTGTTAACTAAAACTACCTATATTTTTATTAATTACACTTACACAATATATATTGATGTATTACAGAAGCTGAAGCCTTTATTTCAAAACCAGCTTCAGATTTTTTAAAGCGTGAAGAATTTGGTCAAATAATTACTAGTTACCTTGGTGAACCTTCTGATCAAAATGAACTTACACAAATTGAAACTAAAGAAGAACCTCATGTTGAACGAATTTATGAAGATAACACAATTACTGATAAATCAAAGAAACATTTTACATTAGATGATATTAAAAATAATTCACAAAACAAGTCATTCAAATGGTATATGCCACAAACCTTGCAGTCAAATGAAAAAAGTGTTGACATAGCCACAGTTGAAGCAAGTTTACAAGAGAATACTAGTGTTATTTCTCGGAAAGAAGTTTCAACATATATTGATACAATGAATGACTATCCATTGGCTATACGAATACCTAAACAAGTTTGGAAAGAAGGATATATGTATAAAGTAAAAGATTGCTTTTATGATGATAATGGAGATTTTTTATATAGAGTTCCAGGTTTAATTACTGATGGAGATAGTCAACAAAAATGCAAAAATTAGATTGATTTAATTTGTAAATATGATGAACAAAAATATTAATAAAAAATATATTATCAGTTTATTGTTTACATGAATAATAAATTCAATTTCGCCAATAAGTAATAAATTTACTATTTGTAAAAACAAATTATTTTACATAAATAAAAATAAAAACATCAGAAATAATTGTTTTGTATTTTAAATATTAACATTTGGTTCTTCATATTGATAAAAAAAAAAAAAAAAATAGGCCAGAAGTATTTTTGGTTGCTGTTTATCTAGGAGTGGTGATTTTAACAAATAACCAGGTTTTAATAGAACAACTATTAATACTTCAGGCCAATCTACTATAAATTAATATTTGGAATGAATATTTATTCATTTTGAACAAAATAACTTAAAAATGTGTTTAAATTAAATATTTATATAAAAATGCCAAAAACAGTAACGATAGCTTGAACTGTTTGATTTTCCCATTTAACTGTGCAACTACCATCTGTTGTATTATCCCAATAACATGCACTAGCTGTATGTGTATCAGCAGCATCAGATTTTTGCATAATAACACATGTCACTGCCAAACAAAATAAATATATTAAAGCATTTGTATTCAAATTTATTTTAAATACTAAATGATTACAATTATATATATACATACAGTAGAAATCTTTTAAATATGATAATTAGGCTTAGGGACTTCTAACTCAAAAAAAACATGCAAATATCCTTAAAAAAGCAACCAAATATGCAACTATGCTCTAGAAAATATTTTTTTATTGAAATTTTATACTAAAAACTTTGTGATAAGATTTTTAATTCAAGTCATTGACTTAATGATTGTTAACTAAAGTAATTATTTTAAGATAGTTTATTTGACTTAGCTATTGCACATTAAAGCATATGAATTTAAACAATAAAATAGAAAAAAAAACATTTATAATATGTGGCATACAATAAGATGAGATATGAGTGTATGTTATTTTATAGCACTTAAAAGCTAAATACTGCTAAACTATGCAAATATAAGTAAAATTAAATTTAGGGTTTAGATTCTATACACAATGAAAAGTAATTATATTTAACTCTGCTAATGTTTTAATCTTTCAAAAATAATATGCAAATGCTAGAAATCTCTCACCCATATGATAACAGATTCTAATATTATCAATAATTGTTTAGAAAAGGTATAAGTAAAATAAAAGTGGGAACTATAACATTTTTATGGTATTTTTAATGAAGTTGAAAATTAATTTTACTAGAACATATCTTTTTTTGATATTTGTTCTATTAGTATAATCATAACTATATTTTAACTAATTATATTTTCACTTTACCCATATATTTAAAAGGTTTGTCCAATTTGCAAAGTTTTGTTAGACAATTTAAAATTACAGCCTCTGTCCATATATTTTCCATACTTTGATCATAGCAATTATTACCAATAGTATTTTCAATTGATTCTTTAATAATGTCATTTACTTCTTCCGCTACAAACATAGTCTAATACAAATATTTTTTATAATGTAACATTAAAATATAAAAATGCATTAGTAATAAACTGATTCCAAATAGGTTTGAATTTATAGCTATTATTTTGTTCATTATATTCAGTTTTAATATGAATAATAATTTTTGTAATGGTGTATCTAAAATACTTATAATTACATAAATATAGGTAATAGATATTTATTTAAAATAATATAAATAATAAAATTAACAATACTCGCTATATCTATATAACTTTATTGTTGTAATATAATAATGTATTTAATGTAAGAACAAATCATCCAATTTAAAATGAAAAAACACTAAAGAAATAGTAATAATTTAAATTAAATATAATCTGTTAGAAAAATAAATATAAAAGATTTTTACTTTATTAACTGAATTGTATTTGCCATATAAAAATTATCGTAAGAAAATCAGTAAAATTATAAAAGTAATGAACAAAAACTCCAAAATATTAACTTGTGGTGAACTATTTACAAAATAGGTAAGATTGGAATAAAAATAGTTTAGTTTACCCCTTCATCAGCATCAACCATTTTCAACTTGATTTGTAAACAAACAATGTCAATAGTAATTGATGATTTTAATTAAGATATTTTGGTTCGTGGTAAAAAGTAATGAAAAATGGAAATAGAGAAACTAAACAAAATATGGTTAGGTACATGTCTTGTGAATTTGAATTTTGAATTTGAATTTTCTATCTTATCTTTCCTATATCGTGATAATAGAGATGTTAGAACCATAGACATGTTAACTAAATTAAACGAAGTTAATATGTCTATGGTTTTAACCACGGATATAGATACTATAGATAATATATTGCAAGTTATATTATTATAACTACCTTGATATATAGTATATATTATCTACGCAGATCATAGTTTATAATCACAGATCTATATTATAGTAATATATTATGTTTAAGATATACAGGTTGCATATTATCGAACTCCCATAGTATCACTGAAACAGCTGGTACCGTTACCACTAGCGTGCCCTCACTCCCTTCGTGAGTACACCATGATGAAAAAATGAAATATTGTCTAGTAAAAATATATGTTGTATAATATGATGTTAAAATCAGTAGTACAACTTACTGTATTTATTTTCTGGGGGGAAGGGTTATGAATTTAAAAAAAATGCCCTTAAAAATTGCTATTAAATTTTATTTACTAAACAAATATAAAAATACTCCACGTTTTGGGGTAATAAGAACTTGTGCATCGTTTTATCAAATAATATTTCCACCGCAGTCATCACAATAAGAGCCCTAATTAAAAGTTTTGGGGCCCGGGGCTAATTTTTTTATTGGGCCCTTAAATTAAATTATAAGTTCAGTTTTTTTCCTTATCCGGTTCCGTAACTAAACAATAAATTATAATATAAAAATTTTCAACCTCTAATTTTTAAATTCTGATTGGAGCAAGGAATGTATTGGATTTACAATGATGTTTATTTTCTTTTTTCTGTAGACAACTTTTCTATCATTAATTTTGTTCCAATTTTCAAGTAAAGCACTTTTTCTGAAAGGAAATCTGACTAAGGATGTACTATAAATAGGTAATTTTTTTTTTCCAGGAGTTTTCCCAATGAATGCAAAAACATGGTAAAAACAGGAAAATATAAACAATATTAAATAAATATTACCAAAGAAAATTTATAATGTATAGGTATGTAATGAAAAAAATCAACAAAATTGCAATCAAACCGAAAATTTGACTAAAATTTCAAAAAGTTGCACTAAAAATGTTTAGATTTTAATTCATACTAAATTGTAAAGAATAAATTTAAAATTTTCTTAGCAATAAATTCGTACAATAGAAAAAAAAGTTGTAAATGCAACAACTTCCTAACCCCCATAAGTCATATCAGTGGCGGCGAAATAGAGTATTTCATGAGGCGATGACCTCATGACCAATTTGGTGATGGTACCCCCAGTTAAAAATATGAATTATTATCAAATGATACTTGATACTTTATTGTTATTAGTAAAAAGTATATGTAAATATTTATATAATTTAATTATTTTACGATACCTATAATACATATAAATTAACTTAGAGAAAAATCACAGACACACAACTATACATGATTCTGCAAAAGTATAGTACGTTTCAAGAAACTAGCGACTCCGCAGTGACGATTCCGGTGACGAAATTTTGGTGTTCCGCGGTTTTTCAAACTTGCACACAATACGCGGCAATTTGAAATATTGCACGGTTTTTAAAAAATATAAATAAAAATAATTATTTTATTTATGGTATAATAAATATGGTGGTTATAAAATGTTTGGCAGTGGAAGGTAAAATTTATATCAACAGGGTAAGCTGTTCGATGATTGATTGCCGCGCTTTTTTAAATCACACGTTTAGGAAACCCTCACAAAAATTCGCCACCGGAAGCGCTACTACGGAGTCGCTAGTTTCGTGAAACGTACCGTAGTTAGTTTTATATTTTAACAAAAAAACAAAAGTTACAATATACATTTTGAGGTTATTGGTACGAATAATATTATTATCAATACGATTTTGGTGGATTACACCAATACACAAGGTTTATGATAAGGTAAAAAGTAACGTTTATTTACAACATCAAAACATAATACAAGTTTTTGCGAGCTGACGGCTTTTGACGGAAGTAAGGGCGAACACACAACAATTAAAATAACATTAGTGGCAAAAATCAATTATACATAAAAATAATTCGGAGTCGGAGAACAATGCTTCGCGTATGGCGTCGGTGCGGAGAGAGCGAGCGGAGCGGTCGAGCAGTCGAGTCGGGCGGAGCTGTGGCCGATGACTATTGAACGCCGACGGCGAGGGGAGAGGCCGACGTCCGTCGCGAGTGACGCGCAGCGGGAAGAATTGTGGCGCGAAACCCGCCACACGATTATAGATAACAACATTCATACCTATATATTGTAATTCGCTAATTCACTTTAACTTGCTACCTATTGATTATTCAGTGTTAAGGTAACCAGCAAATATTTTAATAAACCATATTTTTTATGAAAAAGATAAAATAAAATTGATTATTTGTTAATTGTATAAATGTATTAAAAAAAATCACATAGATTCTTAAACTCTGTCAATTAAATGTTGCATGTTTTACATGGTTCGGCATTTCGATCATTAGTCTAATGTTCTTCTATATTAACGGATAGCGAAATAAAAAAAAAAACGTATAATGCATTATAAAAATATATGAAATGCCCAGTTTTATTTATTTCTGATATTCATAAAATATAAAATCACCATGACAAAGCATATAGTCGTGGAATGGTAAATTGATGAAGAGGGGGAGGAAGTTAGTGGGGGCTTCGTCCCTGCGACTCAGTCTAATAGTACTTAGGTGGCGATTATCAATCATTAACATCTATGTTTACACTCATGAAATAAAAAAGTTTATGCCACGCGCCACCACTGTAATCATAGTATAATAATTTTTTTGTTTTTTTTTTTTTGGAAAACGATAAAATACTTTGATTTTTTTCTTTTTTCGCTTATTTTAAAAATATTTTTTAATTCGTAATGATAACAATCTACAACTTCATAAGTTGCAAAAATTCCAAATTAATAATTAAATTAGAATATTCTATTGATAATAATAATAATAATAATAATGAACTAATAAATCGACTGGGACAAAGTGGATTAATATTAATTAATATTAATCCACCATATACTGGAAGTTCTTGCAGTAGGCAGGGTTTTGTAAAATTTGATAAGAACGGTTTTTTCCTGTAGCACATTATAAGCTGTCACGCAATCATAATATCTATAGCTGTGGTTCTAGCCACAATCACGCCATAACTACTATCACTTATTTATATACAATGTTACATTATATTTCATATTGGTTTTTAAATCATACACCAACATACTACGTAGAATTCTTAAAAAACTCACAAATATATATGTTCCATATTTGCAGTGGTGTATTTAGGGGGGGGGGTGTTCTGGGGGTTAACTCTCCAATATTTTTTCTAGTTTTATTCATTACTGAAGTATCACAAAATATTGTTGACGAATAACATAATATTTTAAAACTGCTTTTAAAATTTTTATCATGGAGTAATAATAATTGGAGATTACTAAACGATAATAATATTAGGTTTATGTGTATTACGCGAATACATTGTGAATATATGAATACACAAAATGAATCAAACTGATATGGGAAATTATTCAGTAAATTGTGTTAACTGTTAAATTAGTTTTAATTTATTCAGTTAAATCGTTTATACTTTATTCCTATCATAATTTTATTATAATTAAAAATTCAAGTAGCAATCTTAAGATTTTTACAAGAAAACTACCACTTAAAAGATTTTGAAGGTGAATTATAATCGGGTAAGAATTATTCGTGATGAAGCTATGTTAATATTTGTGGAGAAAGTCAGGACACTCACTGAAAAAAAAGTCTAAAATACGCCACTGCATATTTGTATGGTCATAACCCCCACCCCCTCTAGTGGCGCCACTGGTTAAAATAATAGGATACCTAATACTTATTTTGACGGTACACGAGAATATGTTGTGCGCGTGTCGTTTGTTACATGATCAAACGTAAATACATGAACACTGCGCATGCGAAAAATTTACCAAGGAACGTAATTTAACAGGCGCGACTATTGACACAACCAATGGCAAGAAAGATGCGCCCGCCGAACAGCAAAATCTGCGACTGACGAGACTAACGAGTGTGGTCGCCGGTGGCCGGTTAGTTGTTACTTGTTGCATGGCGGTCAACTGATTAGTGTCATCCTAATCTCCAGTTTATTTGAAATGATTATTCTGTTGTGTTCTAATTTGTTAATAATTAACAATCGAAAAAAATGAATAACATGAGTAACATATAGAAAAAAAAAAAAATTAACATGAGTAACATATAGAACAAAAAAAATAACTAACATAAGTAACATATAGAAAAAAAAAAATGAATTAACATAAGTAACATATAGAAAAACGTTGAACGGACTGATTTGAATTTCCTCGGCGGTGACCGGCGTATGTACCGATAATAATACTCTAACAGACTCGTTTGGATCTCCTCGGGCGAATGTTTGGCGGTGGCCGGCCTACGTTCTTCTGGTCGGTACCCAGGAAGCGATCCTCAATGCGTCAGCTGGAGAAGAACTGATCCCGGTGCGGACGGCGACTTCCCGGGTCACGGAGTGGGTTGTATTCCGGCCGGTCTGGTTTTTTACAGCTCGGCGTCACACCGGCGGTGATGTCGACAGCGGCGTCTTCTCCACGAGCCACGCGACGTCCGTATTCCGGCGAGCCCTTGCCGCCGGGAACACCGTCTCTCTTAGGTCCACCGTGCTTGTTCCGCAAGGGCCGGGATGGTGTTCTCCTTTTTGTGGATCATCGGTTTTCCGGATAAACCCCTTTCGACCTGAAATCAATTTTTTCGAGTGTGTGAGGGACTGAGGTGCCCTCACACACAAATACGACCGAGAGCCCCGGCCGAAATCACGGCCTAGTAGCGCGAGAGTTGACTTGCAGGCTGACGCTGATAAACTCTATCCACAAAGTCTACTGCATCAGTGGCCTACCCGCAGCGATTCGCTTTTTGAGATTGTATTCTTAAAATATTCAGAATACTTCAGATTTTCCGGAGTATTTTGAAAACACTATTTTTCTAAAGTACCTATTTAAATGACAAATAAGTACATATTCTGTATACTACCCTACCTATGTTCTTTGTACATCGTGGGCTATGCCTAGAAAAACCTCGCAAGCCGATAGCTGTGAATAAAAGCGAATAATTTTGGCAAGAAAACTACAATGAAAATCAAAACATGGCCTCTCCAATACACCGACCGGACAAACCAAATGCTCCAAAAAAGTTCTCATATTATGTTTGATCGGAACAAGCTATCTATTAATAGCGGATAAATTGTTTACACCATAATACCTATATATTACACGTAGTAAAACCATGACGCTCAGAATCTGAAAACGGTCAAAATTTTGACTCGGAGCCGACGATGTTTAAACTGTGTAGACGAACGAATATACGTATTTTATTTCCGAACAACTATAAAGACGGTGTTTTTTAATAAGTTTTTCACTTACCATACAGTAGTCTGGGGAATACCGGCAGCGGTCGACCTTCCCGGCGGCAAAGACTCTCCGAAATACGGACCGTCCCGTAGCCCGTGAAGGGAACGCCACCGTCGTCATCACGGCCGGGGTGACGAGGCTGTACTCCGACCTACGAAAAAAGCGAGAACGACCGGAATACAACCCACCCCGTGACCTGGGAAACCGCCGTCCACACCTCGGGTCAGCTCCTCTCCGGCCTACGCAGTGAAGATCGCTTGTTGGGCACCGGCCGGAAGAACGTAGGCCGGCCACAGCCAAACATTCGGCCGAGGAGATCCAAACGAGCCCGTCAGAGAATGCTTATCGGTACATTATGTTATCTTAGAATATTGAAGAGAAATCACCGGTCACCGCCGGGGAAATTCAAATCAGCCATTTCAACAAACGTTTTTCTACATTTCACTTATTGATGAGAAATCGGCCTACGAATAGAATATACATTAATGTTAGGTATAAAAATACAATTTTTTTTTTCCAAATTTTTCGTTAGGTGTTCTCAAACGGCGTGTAATCCTGTAGAGCATTATACGTACGTTGAGATCGGCGATTATTTCCGACCGGGACATCGCATCGTACTGCGCCGCCGGGTGGATCATCTTGCTTTTGTCAGCATGTTTCGCGCATTGCTTTTCCGACGGACGGCAGATGCCGTCATGACGCTTCTGACGAATCACTTTTTTTTCATCTTCCTTACGCTGCAAATAACTGTTTCTACAGACGCCGTACGCGATTCCAGCGATCAGCGCGGTGTACCGACCCAGACGAATCAACGGCGACACGTTTACCGGCTGTTTGAATTCTCTCACCATATTAGTAAGATTTCGACAAGCCGTAGGAAAATGAAAATAATTAATTTCAGTGCCAAAATCGTTCACTTTTCGTCGTAATGAATCGCATACAACACTCGGACTGAATGTAATAATAATATTATACGCGCAGTTGCCCGAGCGACGAGATGTACCTCTCTACGCGATAAATCAACATAATTAATACCGTGTTGTTTTTTTTTTTTATCACCAAACAGCAATAATTATTATCTCGGAGGATTTAAGCGAATTCGTTTGCTGTTTTAGATTCGGCGTTTTTGTGGCGGTTTTTAGGGGGAGGACCTTTCCAGTATTAACTTCAAGAGTGCTACAGCGTTCCTTCGTTTCCATACCCCATTGTTTTTTTACAATAATGATGTGACACAAGATTTAATCAAATAGTTAATTTCATTAAAAGAGTTTATTCGACAGTCAAAAATGAAAGCGATTCAAGAATTGTCATTTTTTAAAAATGATTTATCTTCACCTTATAAAAGTGAAATTCTAATTACAAATAACTCCTCTAAACTGCATTATATATTTAAGTCTATCAGTTACTGTCACTGTTTTGTTAATAATTTATTTTATGCTATTTATATTTTAATTTAACAACTAATATTGTGTTAAAATTGGAAAAAATCAACATTTATAATATCTTGTCTATTGGTGTGTGGTTGGAAANTTAAAAGTATAATGCACTTGCACTTGACATTATCAATATTTATTTACTTATATTTACTTCTACTTATACTTCTATATTGCTTTGAAAATTTGTTAAAAATTGGGACCCATAATTATGTCTTGCATTATGGCCAACCATTAGTAAGTTGCGGTACTATAACGCATAATATCTGATGGTAGCTGTTATGACAACATTTAAAAATTAGTTTAAAGAAGTTTGATAGGTGTGTATCATTTAGTGAAAGGATACTTTCTCGGATTTAGGAAAAGAAATTATTATTTTATTGGTTTTTTTTTTTATAATGTTTAGGACATTGTTTTTTTTGTGTATTGTAGGTCTTTTAATATCGTTGTTTCACCAGGGAACACTAGGTTTATTGTTGCAGTTTATAAAACTAATAACTGATATTTTTGTTGCTGAGGTTATTATGTTAGTTATGTTTTAACTTTGTTTTCGATATTTGATTGGTCATAATGTTTAATTTTGTTGATGTTATCTTCTACAATATCACTGAAGGGTTAAGTTAGATTAGGTTTTCCCTCGACGGGACCCACCTTGACGTGGTGGTGGGCTCACGATTAAACGTTCGTACTAAGCAGTTCTAATAAAATTGATTGACTTAGTTATTTAACCAATTATATTACCTTTTTACTAGCAGTATCGGTCCTTATACTTTGTAGTATTTTGGACCTACGATTCGGTTAACCAGAAATAACCACAATCTCCAAAATAACAAAGTATCCAAAAAAATCTATGTATGCTTTGAATTCATCCAAATAAATGCCATTATATTCTTTAAATAGATGATAATAACCATAATAACCATAGACTTTTATCACTTTTTCAGTGAATGTATATTATGTGCGTCTATGGCAGCCCAACGTGCCTTTATATTTGATCATGGTGTCTAGCATAGATAGTAGAATTTGTCTGTTATCTTTATGCCCTATGATAAAAATAATAGTCAATTTTACTTTTATAGGTGAATACAAATATTAAATTACGTATTAAGTATTTAAAAGTGTATTATTAACCATTGACATATAAGAAATATATATTTTCTCCAAAACGTCAAAATCCAGAAATTTCTTTGTCTATATATGTAGGTAGACTTAAATTATTATTTGTTATTAAATAGTATAACTATTTTTTACTTATAATTGCCTTCGTGACTACCAATTCACCGATTATATTAATTTTCACCGCGAGTCCTTTTTTTTTGTTTAAAACCTAATGAAAAAACTCTGTTGATTTGCAAGGTATACTGGTGAGATCTTCACTAATATATATAGGCTTGTTCGGGGCACTTCGTATTAAAAGTCCCCTTTTGATTTTTTAATCCAGTATATTTCGGTGGGATTTAGTGTCAGGACAGAGTTTTATTGTTGAAAAATTTGGCCTAGTACCCCATACAAGTCCCTTGCCATTGTTTGACACCATACAATCCCTTCCAAGGGAACTATCCTGGAGTTTGTCCGATCACTACAAAACTTTGGAAATTGTCCTTAGAGCACCCCTATTCACCCTCTCCAAATTTAGTAGCAACAGGAAGGGATCGGAATGAGAGTTTCGGTTCGAAATGAAAGGTGGATCTGCTTTTCCGAATTTCACCGTTGTATGGTATCATAAGACAGTTGGGCACGCGCGCAATCTCCTACATGCCGGAAACGGGTCAAGATTGCAATATTCGCGCTGATCGTTCGGGCGACTGTTTTATGTATTCGTTGAGTAGGAATCAAATTAAAAACACAGACTGTTGTTCAGAAATCCAATAGGTAAATGTATAATGTTTGTAATAATAAAATTATTTAATTAATTATATAATATTATGACGTTTAAAACAACAATGATTTTTATATATACGGTAATAAGAGAAATACAGCTGATATATTAATATTAATTAATGAATTATTATATAAAACGGCCGCAGTGGCTTATATGGTAGAAATGTGAATGTAAGTATGTATTTATATTTGCGATCGAAAATAGTTTCTAACACAAAAAAACAAAAAAAAAATGTTGACAATTGAATCGTTTATACGCGACATAATAGGTTTTTTATTTTAAACGTGGTCGTCTCATGTTTCTTTTTTTATTTTTGTGTATACGTGTTCGTGTGTTTCACGTAATACGAACAAACATACAATAATATTTTGCATTGTCCAAACGACTTATATTTTAATAATATACTATATTAATAATATTACGATGATAAAAATAATTAATAATAATGGCAATAGAAATTCAAAATCAATATAATATAGTAAGTATATAGGTAATAATAATTAACAAAATTTCAGAGCTATGTAATGAATATAATATAATAAATGTATTAATAATAATAATAATAATAATAATAATAATAATAATAATACAAGTAATAAATAAATCGCGAATGTGATCAATATATTATGATGGTGTTTTGAAAACATTATATAACTTATAATAATAATACATAAACACATTTTTTTTTCTTGAGTTACTTATCGAATCGAATGTTATTTATGATTAATTATAATAATTTTAAATCTGCTATAAACGGCACGACAATTATATATTATAGGTACCAGAAATATGTTTTCAAAAAAAGAAAATTAAAAAAAAGAAAGCATAATATAATAATTTATTATTTTTATTTTTATATAGTAATAGTAAAACACAATAAATAAGCACCAGTCTTTTTATCATAATATATTATATTATTTTTATGTAGACTTGTTATTTTTTTTTTTAAATTTTTAAAAGTTCTCATCTATTTAATAATTTAATATTATAGGTATATTAAATATACCGAAAAAATGATTAATTAAGAAAAAAAAGATTATAATTATATTAACTATATAATAATGTACACACATTCATCATGTATGTGAAATTTTTTTGTAAAATGTATTAAGTCATCTACACTGATCAATCATATATCAGTCGCAGTCGAGGATAAAATATATTATTATTAATAGATATCGGTTTAAACTCGATTTTAATATAATTATATAATAATATAATATTTTCATATAGAATATACATTTTTTTAAAAACCCTATAAAATGACAAAAAACAAAAAAACAAAATTCCGTTTGACTAGAATAATAGTAATAATAATAATAGTAATAATAATAATAATAATAATAATAATAATAATAATTAGTTATAATATATGTATAAGTATAATTTTAAGTATTGTACAAAGTGTGAGGCGATGACGAGAGAACGACATAAATTAATATAATATTATTATAATTAATTAAAAGAAACTGTATAATATTATGTTTTATACAAAATGATTTACATAATATTATTATTAATAAATCATTGTATATACGAATAATATTATATAGGTAAGTATATATAGAGATAGATGTCAAATTTTATTTCTAAAAACTGAATAAAAAAAAATGTAATACCTTTTAAAATTGTTTTTAAAAAATATTATATGCATTCGTGGTATTGTATATTATATATATATATATATATATAATATATAATATATAACAATAAAAAGCATACTTTTGTATATCATTTCGAAAAAAAACCACATGTGCACATGTTAATATATATCGCGATGTAATCGTATTAGATACTTATTTTATAGAATATTATTAATTTATATTATAGAATCGAACGTACAAAGAAAAAATATAAATCGTTGTAATAAGCAGTTTTTATTAATATTTGTATAATATAATATTTAATAGAATTAAAAATAACCAATCGGTTATAAAATACTTCGAATAATGCATTTTTATAATAATGAAAGATATGTGTCGTATAATTTATTATTTGAATATATTATAAGTATTAATACAATTGTATGTATTATGAAATTTCGATACGATGACGAAAACACAATAATAAATAATATGCGAAAAATAATTACGTGATAGGAAAAAAAAATTATGTAAAATTTCTGTTTTTTAGGAACGTAATATATTATCAATGGCGTATTTATGGGGAGGAGGTTGAAGGAGGGGTATTGGAAGTATCCACATCCGCCCACTTTTATGTAATAATGGTACGTTTGACTTACGTCTTATACAATTTAAATATTTGGCCGTCTAAATTTTGTTAATGTGCTCCGTTTCTCCCCCCCCCCAAAAAAAAAAAAACAAATCGTAAATGTGTCGCCACTTTTTATTATATATATTATATACCTATATAATATTATACAACTGCGATGACGTATAGCAATAATATTTAAGTGAAAATTGAAGTGAACAACGAAGTTATGCGTGTTCCTGAAAGCAGTGTTGAAGCTCATTTAAGAGTGGACGAATTGGTATCGTATAGATATTGAACAAAAATTGAAGGGGGGAATCTGAAATTGTTTATGTTCAAACGTTCGTACACCACTGGACTTCTTAAATTTAAAGACAACAAAAAATCCAAGAGGGAATGGTGATCATCACGCCATCCCAGCCACCTATTAAATCTGTCACTACTTGCGCAGTGCGACCATTGTGCGTAAGTATAGTCGTATATTTTTCGATACATTCAACCACGTTGCTATACCTTTATGTTTTTTGTTAGATTCGCCGTGAAAAAAGTTCAATGAAAAAAAAAACCATGTGTATCAATATTACATAAGAACACAAAATATTATACGGTTGATAAACATGAAGGAAATTATAGGTACGACTGCGATATTATTATAATAAAATGCAGAAAGTGATTTTATATGAAGACGTTGCGCCGAAAAAAAATAGATAATAAAAATCTCTTATAGCTTTATAAGTGCTTATATATAATAATAATAAAAACGATTTGGTAATTTTTAATTGACTACGAGTATAAATTATTATAATATTATAATTAATAATATTTTGATATGGGTGTCTAATAACTATATAATACCTAAACTACTTTAGAGAAATAGATAGAAGATTTTATATGAAATAGATATATTATGTTATAAGAATTGGCATATTTTATTACAAGAAAATAAATGAAAAAACAAACAAATCGTCATAAATATCGACATTTTTAGAATATAATAATGTTATAAGTATAATGTGCAATTTTTTTTTTTTGAAATTCAATAATAATCGAGTGCGTTTTTATGCTATATATTTTTTTATAGTCTTTTGCTATTAATCACGAACCATTTTTTCTTACGTTTTTTATATATAAAAAAAAAAAAAATCAATTTTTTTAAATGTTGAAGGTACACGGCTCTGTAGTTGCTCACTTTGTTGGCAGCTTTTCAACTACATAATATTATATAGGTTGTAAATTGTATGTGTGTGCATAATATATTGCAGATACATCACGCAGATTCCGTATAGTACATAAACGTATATAGAACATAATACAACAATAATTATTATCAACTTTAAAATCAGTCAAAATGGAAAAAAAAAATTAAACAAAAAGTAAACACAGATATTATAGAAAGAGAGAGAGAAAGAGAGAGAGAAAGAGAGAGAGAAAGAGAGAGAGAGAGAGAAAAAAGAGAGAAAAAGGAACAAAAACGTTGTTATATTAGTGGGCTTCTTTGTTTGTTCTTCGTTCATTGTATACGTTTTTCGTCGTGGATCGGTATTTATTATTTACTGATAGCGGACGGCGAAAATGCGTTGCTGGTTGATGCCACCGACGCGGATCGATGAGAGTGTACGTTTTGCCATTTGTTGTCGCGTCTGTGCCATACTCTTGTCTCTTCGTACTGGTGCGATCTAGGAACCCCTTGTCTAAAATAAAATAAACAAGGGTAAGACAACTGCTGTTTAGACTTTTATCGTGTACATTTTAAACGAAATTAGTCATCACGAGTTTAACGGTCGAAAGGTGACTACGAAATCAAAGGTTCGCGAGATAATGATATTTACCAAAACCAAAAATAAAAAGGAACTGATACTGCTAATGGGTATGCCCCTGTTGTAGATGAACTGTTGGGAAGGTGAAGGGCGTTATTTGTGGGATGCTGTAATTTTTACGATTTTAATCAAAATTTAAACTTAAGTGATAATAAAAAAAAATTTCTTATTAATGCGCTCAATTTTTTTTTTAACTTATGATTTATCTCGTATAAAATTGTTAAGTATTTCTTCAAAATAATTTTATTCACAAATAAATAAATCAAATAAAATTTTTAAAAAATAATAGAAAACGTCAAATGCCTAATAATAGTTCAAACATTGTCAGAATGTTTTGAGCCTTTTACCGAGTCTAGAAAAGGCCAATATTTTGAACAAATTTCAGGTTTTTACGATTATTTTTAACCAAACTACAATCAAAAATCGAAAATAATTAAACCGCTAGTGCTGTAAATTTTCCTGGTTTTCCTAATTATTAAGAAAAATGACAAAATATAGATCTCTCAATGCATCAACTAGACTACTTTTCTTTCAGAAGGGATGCTACATTTGAAATTCGGAGTATAATTTCTGGTAGAAAAGTTGTTCACAGACCCACATAAAAAAAAACCATCACAGTGAAACCAATTAAAATTAAAAATTATAACAATAATAGATATTTATTGTTGTTAAACCAATAAATAATAACAACCTAAGGTAACAATTAAATAAGCGAAAAAATGATTACATTATTGAAAAAATTTACAGGAATAAAGGAGTTCATAATACGAAATGAAAAATTTTCATTAATTATTAATATTAAATTGTAGTTTGACTTGTTTGTGGTGAAACAAAAAATTCGAGGGATTATAGCCGAACGAGTTTTCTGTACAGTTGGCCCAAATGCAGTGTTGTGAATCCAATGAAACACTGCATAAATGTTTAGAGATACAGTTTCTATTGGTGAATTTTCATGTGGTATAATATTATAAATTATAATGTACCGGCATTACGTTAAACTCGACTTACTTGTCGATGTACTGTACGAGTATAATGTATGCAATGCAAGCCGCGTCGTCGCCGAGTAAATGCACAGTCGGGTTCAGCACTGTCGTGTTGATGCCTCGATTTTTACCTAAAACTGTCAAAACGGATTCTATACTCGACCTAGTGAACCATGTACTCGCTTATGTTAACTATTGACGTAAAAACCGGTAGACTACTATAGAAGGTACCGTCATACCGTGGTCAAAGTAGAACTTATGGAACTCCATGCCCTCCAACAAGTTACCTAGCGCTTCTGGCTCAAATGCCGTCATATGCGGATCGCAGATTTTTCTGAAAAAGAACATTTGATTTATTTGTATAATTGTTTTGGTAATGCGAATGATTGTTTTTTGATTTCAAGTATCCACGAACGCGTATAATTTGATCGATCGTCAATTATATAATTATACGCTATAAGTTATAAATTATTATAACGTCTAAATTTTCGAGGAGCTGTTGATCCCCGCCCAAAAATTCATATGAATCTTGAATTATTGAATATTATATTTTAATTGTGTGGAAAGTCAGGAAGGAATATTACATAGATGAATTTATTTTGTACACACTGAAAGAACGATAAATTAATGCAGTCAAAAACGATTTTGAGTGGGGTTCAGTAAAGTGGTAATAATATTGGATTTATTATAAGTTATAGATTCGTGATATTTTCCCCTTTCAAGTACCTAACCCAGGAAAAAATCCGATGTACTTACTGTATTTAATTTTTAAGTTTTAGAAAAACGGTATCTAGAATCTAGATAAATTGTTCGAATCAATTTTCACTGATTGCAAAATCCGGATTTTTTAAGATAAAATATGTATTTTTTTTTTGTTTTTAAGAGATTGTCCGATATAATAATATATATGAGTATACACGTACGTATATCCTTCGAAATCAGCGTTGTTGATCGATTCGATGAGTTGTTCGGTGATTTTAACGATTTCTTGTTTGCGGGCTGAAACAACATGACGGTTAAACATATTATTATACATTATGTTAATGTGTAACATACACACTTGCAGTATAGGTAACTGGAAAGTATAATAATTGATATTGGTAAGTATATGTATTATTTTGTATCATTTATTTATATGCTTTTTATGATATTACTATTATAAATATATATATATATTACTTATGACGTTTTATAAAACATCAATATAAGTAAATAATAATAAAAAAAAACAAAACAAAAAATACAAAAAAACACGTTTTATTGTGTTAATGATTAATATAAAATAAAGTATAATAGGTATATAGGTAGAGAAGTAATAATAAAAGCTTTGAACGCAATACGAGTGGAATGTTAATAAAAAAAAAAACAAAAAAAAAAACGTATATATATTAAAAAAATAATAGGTATAATAATATACAGGTATAATAGTATATAAATGTAAATATATAGGTAATCTAAAGATAAAAAAACGGGTTGTCAACAAAACGCATATATATATATATATATATATATAATTATGTACATTATATAATAATATTACCGTGTGGGAAAATGTGATAATAATAATAATACAAAATACTATCTATATATTTGTATATTGTTTGATTTTTTTTTTTTTTGGACTCACCTGAACCGCAAGAGTTAGTCGAGTGCTGCGAGAATGTCTTGTTGGGACAGACAATCCTCACGTCTTTAGCGAAAACGTGGTGAGAGAATAAAACATAAAAAGAAAAAAGAAAATGCAAAAGACGAAAAACGGGTATAACAAAAAAATATTGAACACGCACCGTCGTCGATGCGCGTTTGTTTTTTTTTTCTAATCCTAAACGCTAAAATTGTATTACAAGTTTTAATAAGTTCAAGAAAAAATCGATACGTACGAAATCTGTCTAGCGTGAATTTTTTTTTTTATCATTCTTAAGGACTTTCGGACGGTCGTATTATAGGTATGCATTGTTTTATCGGATTCCCGTAAATTGAGGAGAGAGGGAATTTCGATCAAAAAACCATCGAGGATCAAAAAGTATTCATCCTCAAATATAATTTTCATATAGGTTACAGGCGGAACAGAAAACAAAAACAATTAATTTGCAACTCACCGCAACTTCTCGTCACTCAAGGTGACCATGGATACTGGCCCTGTTTAGCAATCCGAGTACACCGTATATAATTTAGTGCAGACGTCGAGTATCGGTCGTATTAGGTCAAGTGACGTATCGCGGCGGTGGTATAAGTCGTAAATATTATTATATAGTTGACGGAGGGGTGGGTGGGTAGATAGCCGTATTATGCAGCATAATAATGTACTTTTTTGTTGTTTTTTTTTTAATACTTACAGGCGTCCTCTTCCGCTGCCGCCGTCGGACGGAACGGTTCCATCGAGTTACCGGGTTCCAGACGTTCTACGGCCGGTTCGTCGGGACATTTACTGCAAAAGCACAACACCATACTACTACTACTACATACAGGCCTGGTGGGTACGCACGCCGGGAGTGGGGTGACGGGTAATACACTGCGTCTATATACGAAGTGGGGACACGTCTCTCTCTGTATATAATAAAAATAATACGATAATATTGGGTTTACGGTTTATAAACCGCGGGGCGTAATACCGAGTGTGTCGTCGCGACGCGCATGCCGAGTGTTTAACGTACGTGTATTACAGTATTATTTGTTACGCATTATCGTCTGCGCGTATTATTATTATTATTATTGTTGTTGTTGTTGTACCACTCACCGGGTATTATACCAGCTATTACCTGCGCGGTCAAATGTCGTGGTCGCGGCGGTCGTGCAATAAATCGGCGCCCGCGAGAGACCAGAGAAATACGCGCGAGACGCGACGACGACCGCGGAACGACACTGGGCGGCGGCGGCGGCGGCAGTGGCGGCGTGTTAACAATATTATATCGTTCTATTGTTCGTAAAACACTTCGAATTCGAGTATATCGGTATTATACAAAACGACACTATACACACCGAACGGTTGAAAAAAAATATTAACAATAAAATAGTAATTTTTAATACGATAATTGACATACCTTACGCGTACATTACAGCGTTATATAATGAATAACGCGGCGATTAATTTATCTATATTATAATAATTATTGCATGTCTGGGTTGTAGACGGTATATTTATGTGACGTGGTGCGAATGCGATGCGAAATCAAAAAAAAAAATCAAAATAAAAACAACTGTATAAACAGATTATTTTTTTCACATATGTTTTGTTAATACTAAAATGTATAAAATTACGGGTCTACTGGGTATCGTATCTATAAGAACGTTTACGAGAAAAATGAATCTGTAGGCGTTCAGAGGGGAGCACTAAAAATGTCCTCCAATAGTAGCTGGAAGAAGTTAAATATTATGGAATTGGACGTAGGAAAATATTCGTAGGGAGAGAGTTGAAAAAATAAGAGTTAACACCGTCAGATTTTAATAACTATTTGTTACATTTTTATCAATTCTACGTTTGAAATAACTGATCCCGTAATTTTCAAAGAGTCCGCCACTGAAATTTTATGAAAAAAAAAAAACAAAAACAAACGTATTACTATAATTTATTGTGCCATAATATTAACGACGCACACATAAATACTATTCTTACCCGTAAAATAAATCAAGAAAGGTGTCGATGACGACCATTTTTGTCTCGCTTGTCGCTCACTAACCGATGCAATTAGAAATCAGAAAAAATACATTCAAATCGGCCAAAATTTCGCAAATTAATTCTACCCGAATAGAAATTTAATAATTTAAAATCGGACATCGTTCGTTTTGTGGCGTTTTAATAACTGAATTCAAAAATCCTAAGTTATTCAGTGTCTGAGTCATAGAATTGCGATCAAAACGTTTTCAAAATTAATACATAGTTTTACTGTGTAAGTTTTTTAAAAAAACAGACGAAATCTCAGATTATTTATCGTGAAAAAATATGTAATGTTATGTATGTATATGTAATTACTATGTATACGATAAACCAAGTGGTGTATTGGTAAATAAAGTCATTAATATACACATCTAAAAGGGGTTTAATAAACTCCCAATTTTTTTTCGTTATATTATACATCAAACTACCTAACCACCTCACTAAACCGATACATCGCCTAGATGTGTATGTGTCATATCGTAAATAATTTTTTACTGGCTGCATACTTCTGACATTTTATATTGGTAATTTATTTTTGCAATAGTTTTTAACAAATATTCGCAGAACTATTAATTTATTTTAAAATTTAAACCGAAATTTCGAAGTTAGTAATATTCAATCGAATCGTGATTTAATATATATGTGTTAAATAGTGTAAACGTATATAGACTTAGTTTGAAAGTGAATTATAACCTGACAGTATTATAGGTTCAGCGGGATGTTCTCTATGAAGATCTATATTTTAAACTTGACTACCGGTTAGTATAGTATTGTGACGATAAAATAAAGTCGCGTAGGTTAGGTTAACCTTTAATGTACATATTTTTAGTTGGCGTATACCCATAATCAACGAATTTGCTTATAGGTATACGCATAAATCCGAAAATAGGGATCCGGGTACCTGTACGTCGTATACCTACGTACACCCTCCAATACATCACTAAATATACTTAATAATAAAAACCACCGTTGTCGGATTTTGAGTAAACATGTCGAAAAGGCTGCAAAACGAATTACAATAAAGCATAATATTATCATTCAAACCGATTCCCGAGTTCCCGGGTAATTATTTTTTCATCGTATTTCACAGTCTTTTTCGTTTTTTTTCTTTTATTATCTAAACGGTCGTATAATTACTGCTCACCATGACCTTTAAGCACAGACAAATTTAAGTATAATAACGTACGTAAAAGTAATTACTTTTTGTGACATTTTCAGTTGGCGAATTTCACAAACACATATAATATTATACTTTCGGATTTTGGACTAGAAATTCAAACGTAACTACAATATTGTTTTAACGAAAAATATCAATTCGAACATAATATATGAGTGTATGACAATCATAAATGGGGGACGTCTGTAAATGCAGGGAATACGTGTACTTACATATATTTTTATACAGTGTCAGGCAAAGGAAGATGTGTGCAACGAATCTAACAGTAATAATAATATTATTTAAATTTGACGACTATAAAGGGAAAAAATTATGTAAATAACCGTGGCTATACCGGTTTTTGGAACCCTTCGTGGATATATCGGAATCGACATTTTTATATTTAAATAATTCAAATAAAGTTAGGTACTGTCATTTTTTGGGGTAAAGGTATATCTTTATAAACTGAAATTACTGAAATGAAATTATTTTTATCTTAAAAATAATGATAACAAAAACTAAACAATCATGGATAGATTGATTAATGGGTTTACGGCCAAAAACTGAGTTATTATGTAAGGGTCGCAGAAGCAGTCGGTTGTTGAGTGGCAAACGGCTGTCAGATGGCCGAGGTCGGTGTTATTATGACTGTCAAAAAATGAAAATGAAATTCTTGAAGCTATAAGGTAACCAATGTATGCGTCAAACAGCAAGATAATTTTTAAATACATAATATTTATTATTTTTATTTTATATAATCAATTATTCAACATTTTTTTTTTTTTTTGATTTCATTTTCATGGTTTTGTTTTTACTTCTCACGAGAGATACACGAAATAAATATATTTTTTTTCTGTAATAATTTGGCATCCACAGTAATACGTAGGTATATTACTATGTTTTTATTGAATGTTGTTTAGCTGGGAGTCCAATAAAGTGAATTTTTTATCAACGGGGTAGCACAATTATGGTACAGGTTCTGAAAGGAAAAAATATCTTACGTGCCAATCATTATACATGCATAAGGTAAATACGAACCGTACGACCAGTGTCAATTAAAAATAATCTGAAAAAAAAAGTTTTGCGGTACACAAAAGGGCTTTAAAAAGACACAACAATAATGAAACTAATCAATTACATTGTCGTAACTATTATTAAATATTTCTCAACTCTCAATATTAACGCGAAAACGTAATAGTAATATAATTATGATTATTATGCGTTTAATACTATGCCTATCTCATGACTGACAATATGGCCGCCGTTTTTTTTCATGATAAATTATGTTGAACGATATTCTTTTACTCAGTTCTTAAACGGATTCTATACAAAAAACTCACAACCATATTAATTCGTACAAACAACACGTTTACCAATTTCTAAAACTGTAAGACTCTTGAATTGGACGTGCAGTTGTTTTTAGTAGGTACATTAGTATTTTAATGATTATGGTTGTCGATAATCATGTTGAGCTCAAGTTACACAATTATAGGTATAGTTGCTAAACAATCGCATACCTGATAGTAAATTTTACGTACAATTAAGCTAAGACTCACATTTCTGTTGATTTACATTTCAAATGTGATTGGTTGTGTTTGATTTTAACAGATATTTAAACAGTGCTAAATATCCTCCAAAAAAAAAAAATTTAACCATACGTACGATTATATGTCGCATACGTAAACACATAAAAGTAAACTTGTTACCGAATTAAACGACGAACCTGTTACTGAAGTAGTAGTGTAAAATATTAATGGTATTTCCTTGAAATAGTCTTTCCAAAAAATCGATACGGCGGCGAAAATTAAATGAATGAATGATCAAAATCTTTAATTATTCTTGGACTTCGTCAAAGCGTTGAATTAACAATCAAGAATTCAGTGGTCCCCAATAGGCTTTAAGAAAGGGTCAAATAATCATTTTCAAAATTACTTGCGGGCCGCATACATTTTTTAATAATAAAAAAATAAACAATTCATTATACAAATAATTAACTAATTAATATTAATTAACTAGATAAGAGGCGGTAAGTTTAAAAAAATTAAGTATGTTGAGTTGTATAGTGATGATTAATATTATACATTTTTGGAATATGTATAGATTTATAACAAATTAAACACAAAGAACTTACCAGAAATACAGAAAAATTCCATTTCCCAACTATCTTGTTCAACTATTTTGTGTTCTTTTATTTTACGTTTTGCCATCATAGACGATTAGAAATTAACAGCTTAATTAAAAACAAAAATAAATTTGTTAACACAACGTGATAAATTTCAAATTAACAATGAAGACGGAACTATTCGTATATGACTATATGGCAAAACTACGCTGAGTGATAGAAATAATTAATGTAGATTCAATAATAATTTTTGAATGTTTATTGTAGCTACGTCTCTTGTCAAACCGGCGTGTCAATAAAAGTAGAAACGATAAAATAAACAAGAATAATATAAGATTAGATAAATAAGTTATTTCATATAATATTATACTTAAATCAAAAATTACATATTTTATTTTATTTATAATAGTATTAAATTGTATAATGTATAATTTAGTTTTAGTACGAGCCGCGTAGTGGGGACTGCTAATCTAGATTATAGTAGAACGTAATCGCTGACTGCGGTGTACGATTAGAAAACATACTTTTAGACTTATGTTGTGATGTTCAGAGATAATTCTAAAGTAATACATCATAGTATGGTGAATGTATCAAGAGTTGGTCTTTGATGATTTTGAGGATGAGGCAGTCATCATGTGACCTTATCGTATGAACAATTTTACAAGTCATCAGAAAAAAGAAAATACGACATAGTGAGATATCAGAATACATTGTATTAATAAAAAAAAAGCTAATGAGATAATGGGGACGAGCGTAGCCACTGGTGTAGGTGGGAAGTTGGGAAGGTAGGATATAGACGGGAATTTAATGTATATCTGTAAGCAACCATTGTTAACAAAAAAATGATTCTGAGCGGAGTTCAGTTGATAGTGATGTTTTGTCAACAATATATATATTATATTATGGTAAAATAATTACACAGGCATTATATATTTTCTTTAACAATACTTGTTTAATGTACCGATTTTCCCGTTTTTTCTAAGTTTTTCCCTTTTTTTTCTTTCGGTTTTTCACATTTGTTAAGAATACTCCCGAGAAAATTAAAAAATGACCTCTTTAAAGTACTTCCCTAGTCAAATTTCCTTTTGGAAAAATTGTCATCATAATAAATTGGAGCAAAATTGCTAATAAAAAAGTTGTCCACAGAAAAAAAAAAAAAAAAGTTTTTTTATAAAACCATAAGCTTCTTCGCTCCACTCAAAATCCAAAAGTTAACAATATTCGAACTTTATTTTATATACTAGAAATTATAATAGATATATGGATAATTTTTCAATGCTGGATAGTTCATATCATTATTTTTTGTATTTAACGCGGCCAATGGGGAAGGGACTGATGCCCCTTTAGCCCGCCTTGGATACACTACTGCTGGTATTCACTGATATATTAAAAATATAAAAAATTTTAATTATTATTTTCGTATTTTATATTAAATAGCTGACCGGTTATGATTTGCTATTGCTACGTAACTAAACTAAGAAAATAAAACCTAAAATGTTAAAATCCTGCCTTTGATAACGCGGATCGTTTCGCGAAAAACCGCATAAAAATCGGTCCAGCAATTTTTCAGTCTATTAACCTCAGATTAACTGTGGAAGTATTTTATGCCTTTGTGTAAAATGTAAAGTCTCTAGACTCAGCAAATTTAACCTGAGCATAGATACCACAGTTCATCTTTTTACATGCATAAATAGAATTAAACGAAACGAACGTTCAAGAAAGGTAGGCCAGAGATGAGTCGATAGTCAGAACTAATCTAATTAGTTTTAATCTCCATAGTTTTTACTAAGACCAGAAAATTCGTTTTTTTCAGTTTGATCGAAACTCTGCATAGCTGCATATATAAAGAAAAAAATAAAAAAACATATATTTTATTTCCCAAGTGTCTGACTACATTATATTGTACGGTATAGTACGGTATAGTGATAGTTGACTTTCATGATGTTGAAAAAAATAGAAAAAAAATCAAATAAAAAACCTATATGAAGCCTTCGATAATTGCGCACATGCAACAATAACATACCTCGGAATAAGTAATAAGTATACGTGCGTAAGTAGTTGACACTCGTTTGGACGTAACTCACGTATAGGTTTATTAGTGGGTTGGCGAGACCGTATACATATATTATCATGTTATTGTGTTATGTCAAAACGGCGAAAAATTGGAAGTATATATCGTGTTAGTGGTATGCATAGATATATAAAACAATGGAAGTAATATGTATGATAGAGTCCCATAAGAGGTATGAAGTCAGCAGCCGATAAACTATGAAACATTTGTTTACTTTACGACATGAATGATAGAATAATAGAGAGATAATGTGTGATTAATTTCGAAAATGTTTTATATTATCACATAATTCATGGTGGAAACAAATATTTCACGGATTCATTCTATAATAATTGAGCCCCGAATTAATTCAAGTAGTACACGAATCCGGTTCACAATACGGTACTTATTAGTATTATTCTTATAGGTACTCAGTAGTACTGAACTGTTTTTTTTTGGTTTGGCGAGAACAAAAAATAGCAATTATCCGTCCTCTCCCTACATCCCCTTCTAATATTAAAGTTCTTAGACCATATACTCTTTTAAAAAGTGAGGCAACGGTTACAGTTAATACACGTGTATTTTAATTACAAGCAATGAACTCATTTGAAACTCACACGAAAATATCTCCTGAATGTCTTCGGCCTAAGTTTAAATTATTGTCATCCGTGACGCAAATTTTGAATAATAATTTATCGAGCAAAATAAAACATTTTAAGCCATATTTGTGTTTTATTAATCTATTAATCATATAATCAGTCCCGAATCTGCAAAATTGAGAAGGAAACTGGAAAATGTCTTGTATTTGTTTGTAAAAGTCTAGATCTAATTATTAGTGTTTACTGGTGAAAACTGTGTACTACATAAATAGATTTGACTCAACTAGTGTACCTATTCGCAGACTGTCAAAACCGCTAAGGTTAGAGACTCGATTCGGACACAGCCGATTGGTTAATGTTGATTGAAACCGAATAAGTCAACTTAATCGATCTATAAATGTAAGCAGTCAATTGTTTTATATATCCGTGGGCGGTGGTTAACAATTAGAACACCACGTCACGCGGTTAAGCAGGTATATATACTGTTAGCGGTAACCACGTAATTCGTTTTTTGACGCGGGTCCGTGCGAAATTCTGACCTTGAGTGACGGCATGTTGGGGGTTGTTGGCGGCGGTGGTGGTGATTATCGACAATTTATTATGCGTCTTGGATCCGAATGACGTGGATGCGGAACTCTTGAAACAGCCCAACACGCTTCCGGCGGAAGAGGATGACAGGGCCGGGGACGGCGGCGGCGTGAAAACGTTTCCTTAAACAACGACACGCTTAGTATAACAATACTCGTGTATGGGGGTGGAGGCGGCCATTTCAACGGACAGTAAGTATATATGCAGGACGAGTGTAAGTACGGCGTGAGTGTAATAACTGTATACGAGCAAGTATACATTAAATACAATATTTAGTGTACGGGCGACAATTAATGTATTAATGATAGGTACCTATATAATGGTATACGGTACGTATCGTGTCGAAAAAAAAACGAGCGCGCGGTCGGTATTCCGTGTCGAATAAAAAGGAACCGCACGATAAAAACCAAAGAAAAACCTTACACATATACGGATACTAATTTTGTTATTATTATTTTTCAAAAAAAAAAAAAAAATGTTACAAAACAACGATAAAACAATGCATACAAAACACAAAACGTTTACGGTTAAAAGTTATTTGTATAACGTCAGTACACATAATGCCGTGTATATAAATATATCTATACGGAGATGGATTGATGTGTGTGTGTGTGTGTAATGCGTATATAGACTGCATAATAATAATAATAATATGCATATATCGTTTTAAATGATATACGCATATTACTAGGTGTAATATGTAATATAAATCGACGTGAAAGCGGAATCTAAAAAAAAAAAAAATCGTCGTTTATCAAAAACAACGACTTCATATTTTATAATATTGTCTTTATTTAGTGTATTATAACTTTTAAATGAAAAAAAAAAATTCACGTTTCCGCGTTCATATTGTTTTTCGTGAACGATGAAAATATTTTATAATGGTTGATGGTTTTTATTTTTATCATTGTGATGGATAATATTTACCTTCCGCGTCTTTGGCAATTACTGTAGAGCTCCGGTCCACAGTTCCCTTTTTGTCCTCTAAGAGAAAAACACACTTTTCATATTGGAGTTTTCATACAAGAACAAATTGGTAAACGGTATACGATCTTTTTGTTCGTTTTTTTTTTTTTTTAAGACTGATTTTTTTTGTTGTTCTTATGTATTATGTTCAAAAATATTGTATATTATGGACTATGAAGTTTGAGTAATAACATATATAGGAATGTGTTTACAGAGTGAGTTCCCAACCACATCCTGGGATGGGAGTTGGTATTCCCTACGCATGCATAATACATACATATATATATATATACATAAAAAAAAACTCCTACACCGGGCTTTCTAAATGTCATACCTAATATAATGTAAGTATATTTGTATATGTGTGTGTATACATATATATATATAGGGATGTGTAATATAATATATAGAGGGATGGTGGTCATGCTAAATGTCGTACCTATATATATATATATATACCTAAGTCGGCATTTAAGAATAATAATGTATCGGTTGTAACATAATATTATGTGTTTACGGCATTGTTTTTTTTGTTATAAATGTTAACTATTACAATATAATAATATAAGGTGTGTATTCCTAAAAGTGTAAGCGTCACACTGCTCTTATTTACAAGCAAGCAGCCGGGGTATAACAATAATATGTATAAAAGTATAAAATATAATATTTACAGAAATAGTTTTTTTTTTTTTTTTTTTTTATATAATAACGATATTATAAGTATTATCGGTTTGTAATCGATTATTTAAAAAAAAAAAATTAATTAAATTATTAAAAATTACCTATATGTAACGGATTTGTTCACGATTCTCGGTGAAGTTATTATTCGTGGTGTCATGCGTTTAAATAATATACTTGAATTATAATATTTTGTTTAGATGTTAATTAATAATTCGTATAGGTATTTAACGACAAATAACATTATAATTACTATAGGTACTGCTGTACAATGTTAAATTGTTAAACATTTTGTCGTGTTTGATAAGTATTATATTATTATGTATTAACTGTTAATATTATTTTTTAACTGGATTCGTTTTTACTGTTAAGTATATACGTATAGAAAATATTAGGATAATATTATAATTTAACGTTTATTATTGCAATATTACAGTTTTGGTATTTTACGAGTTTTACATATTATAATATGTTGTTCAAGTGTGTTTATTTAAGGATTTGTTCAAAAAATGTATCTAATGTTTATTTATGAATGTATTATATTATTATATCAATGCAAAAACATGCATATTATTTATACATATATTAAATATTATATAGGTTTTAAGAAAATTATAGAAATAGATAATCATAATAAAGTATATTATAATATAAAGTGTAATAATATGAAAATTATTATAAAACGAAAAAAAAAACGAAGGAATATTATTTAAAACCCTGAATAGATTTTAATATAAAATTACATGTATTATATGTTTTATATTAATTATGTCTACTTACCCCTGACATCATCGTCTTCTAATGTTGTGTTGCTTTCAGTTGATTCTTTCACTTGAGACCCGTCTCCTTTTTTGTTAGTTACAATACTGCGACCTGACAAATTATAGTTGATATGAATGATTAGCCATGTAACACAATGTGATTATGAACTCAAAAATACTAATTCATTAGTAAGTAAGTAATTTAAACATCTAGTAGAATAATAATAAATGAAAAAATACGAAAATGAATTATAATAATGTAGTACGTACAGTAAAATTACTCGTAAATAAATACGTACTTAAAATATATTATATATTTTACATTTAAATTGAGTTGAAAAACATTTTAAATGGAGTTTTAACTATAATATAGACAGTTTGGAAAATTTAGTTTTGTTAAACTTATTTGTAAAAAAAAAAACTCATTTTGATAACTATAATCGAATAGAAGCTGACGTGTTTTTTGGCTCAAAAACATTATTCCATAAGTGATAAATTTTCATTCCTCGTAGAGCGATCTGATTTCGATAATTATTATTTTGGTGGAAAGAAGAACTTCCTATATACCGCATTAAATTCCGTTTTTCAAAATTATTGTTACAAATTTAAAATACGCCTATAAAAAGGTAAATTTTTTACTCTTTTTTTTTATTATTTACAAACTTGGTACCATTATTTGAAATTAATTGAAAAATTGGAATCTGTGTGGTTTATAGAATGTTGTTGTATATCAATGAAAAAAAAATAAAAATTTGGAGGAAAATATTATAAAAATGTAATATAACGACTGTGACCCTTTTTCCTAAATGGGTGTCGCGCAGTAGATTAAAAGTCTAATCTTTAAGGTGGTCATTAAAATGTTAAAAATAGTTTTCAAATTTTACAAAATTCCAGACTATTTTAAAAACCGATACTGGGCCGGTAATGTAGTATTAACAGTATTATTTCAAAATCTCATTTTATTAAGCAGAAGAATTGTGTTGTATGGTTTCCATACAACAACTTTACAGCTCTGAAGTTGTTATCAAAATCGATGAAAAAAAATATCATGTAAATTTAACTAAGGAGTGAGTTATGTTTTAAACCTTACGCACTCCAGTATTATATATAAAATTAATAAAATTTATACTTATCACAACTGTAACCAGAAAAAATTATAAATTAATTTTAGTTTTGAAGTACACATTTTATATCGTTTTAATGTACCGTTTTATACAGAATAGATGTAGAATAGCTGATATTACGAATAAGCGAATTTCGCACCTAATCCTGTGACCCAATAGGTATCAAAATATTAATTATTATAATTTTTGTTTTGGTTTTCAACTCAATTCATTTTAAAAAAAATATATATATAATACATTATATTTACATTATTGTAATGCTAAATATCGGATATTTCAACGAATAACAAAAATGTAATAATATTCAAAATTAGAATAACGTATATATTCTAATAGACGTTGTTAAAGTAAATAATATAAACAACAACAAAAAAAAAAAACAAATCGTAGTTAATATAGTGAGATAATAATGAAATCAAACGGAAATGCGGTAATAATTGCTCGTCATTATTTGTTGTCAATCAACACAATATATTTGAACCTACAAAAATTTGAATATTTTTAGGTACTTTGAGCGCAAAAATTGTTAAACTTATACGAAAATAATTTCTTACGAATAATTTACAAGCACATAGATATAAAATATTATATAGGTTCAAAATATGAAAAAAAGAACATTGTGTTTTGAAAAATTAACACTATTTTAAAATGAATCAAAGATTTAAAAAAAAAAAATTAAATATTATCAAATACTAAATTTGATTTAATAATTATTATTGTATGGTTATAATAATCAAACGGTTATGCTAATTAAAATAATTTAGTATATACAAGTATTAATTGTATAACAAAACTAACAGATAATATAATATTATGTTAAAATATGCTCCAGCAAAATAATAATAATATGCATTACAATATTATAGTCCGATCATGCCTTGAAATTCAATAACAGCGATAACTCATAAGGTATAGAAATTATAAATGCATTTATATGTGCACATTCACCAGTATATTCAGGACCGGTGTTACCGATTTTTAAATCATGAAGATATGTTAAATTTTGAAATCGACATTTTTCCTAAAAAAATAGTTTTACCACTACAAAAAAGCATTGACGGTACCTATGCTGCAATGTTTACACCGGCCCTAGAAATACTGTTAATGTTATAATACGAAAATTGAACCAAGGTAAAGTATATTACATTATATAGTAATTCGTGCATTTGTTTATTGTATTATATAAAAAAAAAAATGCTTAATAATTAGTATATTAATATTAGGTATAGGTACTATTATATAAGTATTAATAAACATGCGTTATGGAGAAGCGTATTACAAAAATTATAGTATCGAGACTGCTAGCAATCGTTTCCCATTTTCAACAACAACCCAAAAGTGATGTGATCGCATTAAAAATGATTAAAGAAATATATAAAAAAATATATAAGTACAACATCTATAGTTTATCTAGAGTAATAAATTAATAAAATAAAGCAAACGCCCAAAAAAAGAATTATTGTATAATACCAAAACAATGACGTTCACAAAATATTAATGTAAATCGGAAAAAATAAAATAAATATATATAAAATATTTGTTATAGATACAGTCTTACCACTTCCTGTTCCGGAAAATTTTATGGTAGTTTTTGAAGAAGGTATAGAAGTGTAGTGAAGTGCGTTTATAGAATATTCGCGAAGAGTACAGGGAAGAGTGAACGAAAACAAATAAAATCACAAAAAACAAAACAAATGATGAAAGGTAAAAATAATTTACAGGTAAGTTTTGAGATTAGTCTGATGAACATAAAAATGTGCTCAACATTAATATTATTCAATGCTCAACAACTCAGTTTTTCTCTTTTTTTTATATTCATCAAATCGTAACATAATAATAATATTATAATAGTGTGTTTATATTTTCGTATATCGATAGTTCAAGTAAGCGCCTCATATAGAACCTCAGCATTTATAATATTATTTTAAATCAATGGATAATTTTATCAGATACACGTGTCACGCGTGTACGAAATATAAAGGCGTCACTCTCACTCTTTTATAGGCAATATCATGGCCATCGAAAGTCGATTTTTACCACCACGGTAGGATTTTTTTTTACTTGGTGAATAATAATATCATGTTTTTCTAGCTAAATAAATAGACGCAGGATAGTAAAATAAAAATAAATTCAATCGAAGAAAGTAAGAATCGGAACTACCTACTGTAGTAACTTAAATCTGTAAGGAATCAAGTTCTACAATTTATGTACCCATAGAAGTGTCCTCTTTCAGCCGGGAAGACAATAACCAAATTGTGTCCCCAAAAATTACTTTTGGAGATGATAATGTTTAGAACACGATCGTATGTATTTCATTTTTTTATATTAACTATATTCCTATGGTTGTCCTCTCGGCACAAGGTTATAGGTATATTGTTTATGTAAATATTAGTCACACGGCAAATACTGTTTCTGCGGTTTTAAACATTTTATCTACAACTATATTTTTATCTAAATGTAAAGATAATAATAATATGCTCAAAAAAATTGTGTACGTTTACACAGTTAAAATTATAGAAACAAATAAATACGGATTTTATTGATAAGGGCTTAACTGATTGAAACCATAGATAATGAAATGATTAAAGAATCGATTCTATGAGTGAATTTTAAACATGGTAGCCATGTACCAAGTGGGCAAATTGTTTTGTTTAACTCATGAAATATTTGTTTATGTTATGAATTATACTATGATGTATGGACTAAGATATACAGAACTTGAAATGAGCACTGATATCGTGGGTAAAAAGAAATATAGAATTGCAAGTGTCCGAGGAAGCCTTTTCTTTATGAGCCCCAGCATCGCGTGTCGTCATAGCAGATACTTGTTATTACTTAATAAATAATTAGTTCTAAAAGTCCTTGCTAAGACGGCGTTAGGGCTCTTAAAGGAAAAATATAAGCCATGCTCCCCGCTCTATTACTAGTTTTTCAGGAGGCACTTCTTGTTTCTAATTCTATACATCAGTCTGCGTTATGCTTATATGAACTACAATAACAAATTGTTTTATTTCATTATCTTCCTGTTGGTATTTGGCTGTCAATTCACAACCGCTCTTGTAAGATTATTTCATACAGTTGTATAGCTATTTATGTATTTATATGATTGAACCATAATACAAATATATAGCCTACATAATAAATTGGTATGTATTATCAATTGAAAGGAATGTATATTATGATATTATAATTTGGTTATTACCAAGATGAACTTTAAATATAGGTATTATAAATTATTCTATAATGATTTAGCGGTTATATGTACTGTTTCTTGATAAATGTATGATAATATAATATAACTTGCTATTTGTATTATTCAAATAGATAAAAAGTGTACCTTTTAACAAAACTATTATGTAAACAAATAATATAATTCGATATTATTTGTGATCGTGATTCGATCATGATAGCGGATATTTATTTGAGAACGTAATAGGTAATTATAGAAAAGAAATATAACGATATTTGTATTATTATTTATTAAGTAAAAACTATAGTAATAGATTTTAAACGTGATTTGTATTAAGTATATAATTATTAGACGTGAGTGTATTTTAAGAGTATTTTTGAACCGTTTTAGGTTTTATTTGATTAAACTTATGCCTGTTAAAATAATATACAAATACACAAATATACAAAGAATATGTTATAGTTACAAATTTACCCTTTCCTTTTTAAAAAGATTTATATTTGAATGTTTTTCTACATTAAAAATGTAATAAATTAAAACTATTGTACAACAAATAAAATAATTATATCATATTTATAATTTAAAACTTATAAAAAGGTGCTGTACACTATATAAGTTTTAATTAATTTGTATTTTCAAAAATTTAACATTAAAATTGCGTTTGAACGAAAATAAATTGTAATATATTTTATCTGTATTTTTATTTCTTAATCATTAAAACCTACTGCATGCAGCTACGCGTGAGGGTTTAGGGTAAAGGATTAAAATATGTATATAGCTCTAGGTCAATGTTTCAGACATGTTCATATAAATGTACATAAGGGTTTTTTTTTATGATGTTTATATAATTTTTATGCAGCACTATAAAATATAAAATATGAAAAAAACATAGCATACTAAAGGGTTTGAAAGAAATAAAGGTTAAAGGTAGAAATAGGGAATATAATTTTCTTATTGGTGTATTCGTTGATACCAATAGTATAAATAAATACATTATATAAGTAGGTACATCAACCTGGCATGAGAACAGAAAATATAAATAAACAAATCTAGTATAAATGGTATACTATGTTCACTTTATAATCCCATTTGTTTACGTTCACGTAAATACTAGGCAAAAAAAAAAAATCCTAATCATATTTTTTCTATTGTTTGGGGTAACCCCCCCCCAGGTTACACCAATAAATTATAGCTTATATACAATGCCATACCCATTGGTAAACATCTAAAATTGTGTTTCAAACCAACATGTTTTATGTACACGTATATATTCGCGGTGTATCTAATTAAAAAAAAAAACAATATTCTAAAATGTACAAAAAAAACCACGTTTTCACCTATATTCATTCACACATAATTGGTCTGAGGTTCCTGAGGCACTTACCGTGTACATCATACTTACTGGAGAAGTTCCTTGTAGCCAACATTGTCGTCAAAATGGCACCCTGTCAACACGAAATATGTGTTTAAATTTGCACCGGACGTAAATCGTAATATGTAGATAAATTTAGAAAATCTAAAATTTACTTTTAATTTTCGTCTAGCGTTGAACTTCTTCAAGCAGTCGACCGTTTCCTGTCTGTGTACAGCCGATGCCACTTTCTCACGATACTGAAACACAACGAGCCATCAGAATTACATTACGAATATCGTTGAGAATTATGTTCGCATGCGATATGTTCATAAAAATCCAAAACTGAACGTATTTATATTATGTTGTATTATACATGAGTTTTGGGGGTACACGCGTAAGACACACGGATAATGGTGGGGTGTTTTCGATAAATTTATCGTCCACGCAATACTATGTATGTATATAAATGACGACCACGTTGGTACCATTAGAAAACGTGCATTACTTAAAAGTTGATTATTGGAAATTCGATATTATTATATTAACATGGCATAAAACAATAACACGAATAGGTTTAGAAATTATTACGAAGGTCTATTGGAAAATTAACTATACAAAAAACACATGACCATATTATTATATATCTATAAGTAGTTTAATGTTTTGTAGGTATAACTAGTTTTTTTTTCTTGAGGAAAACATGATTATTTAAACGTATGCATAGTATAAAATATCAAATATTAAAGTCATAATTTAAAAATTCCATTATAATATGTTTACTAAATAATAATGTATAATATATAATATTATAATATAAAGCCTTTAGTATTTTGATTTTAATGTACATTATTAATCAACGAATGGTATATTTTTTGACAGTGTAATATGGAAAATTGTAGGTATAGTCAAATAAAACATCATGATCCGTCATATATCTATACTCTATAGGTATTATATATGTTACCAAAATAATAAGTTATATTCTATTTGCATAATTGGTTTAGAGTTCATACAGTTAAATGTTATATTGTTTAATAATAAAATGGAGTAAAGATTCTATTATTTTTATATTTATGCCATGTCAGGAAACACAAATTTAAACGTCAATCGAATATTAGTGAAGTTTTCAGGACGGGATGAAACTACTCACGATTCGGTTTTCTCCTGTACCTCAATAGGTTTATTCTTGGTTTGATTACCTCCTTTGGGTACATGATCATCGGTTTATAAAAAAAAAAATAACTATACAAAATAACCTAAAAATTAACCAACTTACGCATATCCACGGGTGTTTGAGTGCGTCAGATGCTGTGACCCGTTTAGCAGGGTTCACGGTTAACATTTGGTTAATTAAATTTTTTGCGTCTGGCGTAACTGTATCCCACTCAGGCGACGGATACTGTGAAATCATACAAAAACAAATTATAATTTTAAACGAAAAAACTTCGCGAATTTCATTAAAGTAATCAAATTTAAAAATAATCAAATATAAATGCTACTTTACACTTCAACAATTTATTGTACGCGTCAGTTAGTTATTAAAACGAAAACGAAAATTTTTTCTAGAAACATAAATAAAAATATGAATTTTCAAGTGGTAATTTACACATTCAATATTAACATTCTTTCTGAATACTTTAACTCAAAAATAAACACATTTTTCGTATTTATTAATACGATCTCGTAAACTATTGTTACTATTACATTTCATTTTGCTAGTTATTATAGCTTATTGATTAGAATGAGTTTCATAATAAAAAGGTTAAAGGTACCTTAACCTATGTCATTGTATGTAAATAGTATTTAAGTCTTTAAGACTAATTTTTGATAAATACTGCGAAGTATTATCAAAAAAATAAAAATAAAATATTGACATGTTAGACACGTCCTAAAATCATTTTTGTTTTTTTGTGGTATACGTAATTCGAAAATAATAATATTTGAGATTTGTTATGAGTATAGATTACTTATTTCTTGTATTCTATAACAGACAATTATTTATAATAGAAAAACACACAAGATTAATTTTTTTCATTGTAAATCATGAAAAATATTATTTATGAACATTTTGAGTGAATTCAACAATTTTGGATTTCTAAAATTGACTTCATTTGAATAATGTTCAAAGTATCGTTAACAAGTAAGGGTTATATAATTAAATATAATTAAATAACAATAATTTAACTAATTTATCTATTTAACATGTCTTTTATTGTCAATTAGACAAGCCGTTATTTGTTTGAAAATGGAAATATGTATTAACTTAATAATATTGGAACAATTCTTTAAAAATAAATATTCCAAATAATGTCCAGTTAAAACATCAAATTAAAATACAACAATAGCTTAATGATGTACTTCTATAATTTTATAATTATACTTCAAAAACCATAAAAATCGTTAATATCAGTTTTTTGTACCGGAATGTTTAATGTTATTTAATAGTACAATTTTAACTTTGAGAATTGAACATTTATAAAATATTTTAAATTAAAAAATTATAGTTTTTTTTTTTTTTTTTCTATTGGGTAAATCAAAAAAAATGAGTTCGGAAAACAGAATTTTTATTATTATATATCGAATCATTGCAATATTATTAATTAATTTTGACGAAAAATAATTAATTTTTCGTAGTTATCTTACTGATTGTTTTATTTAAACATTATTCATACAAAGTTGAAATGGGTTAATCTCACTATGTCATAATTTGTCTGTAATAATTTAGATAAAATATTAGTTTTGATTATTCTGATTTCGAACTGTGTGTTTAAATAAGTTATGGTTAATATTACTGTATCGATAAATATATTATACATTGCAAGTTTGTAAATATCAATATAATATGTCTTTAAAATGAATGAAAAATATTTGTTATACCTACTAATATATTTTTTATTTATATATTATAATCATAATACTTACATCATAAGCGCCGGCTTTAATCTGGGCGTACAATCTGTGTTGATCTTCATCCCAGAAAGGTGGGTATCCAACCAACAATATGTAAAGTATCACACCTATAATATTAAAATAAAAGTGACGGTCGTGTTAAAAATAAAATATTTTCGAAATAATTTTAAAATGCGAGGCTTGACTAACCGCAAGCCCATATGTCTACGGGTTTACCGTACGGCTCTTTCTTCAATACTTCGGGAGAGAGGTATCCCGGAGTTCCGGCGAAACCTGAAAAAAATTACAAAATGTATCACAAAATAGGTACAACTAAGACATCACAAACTAATCGGGATAACTTGCCAAACCACGCTTGTTGATCGCCCTGTACCTCGATGGCCAATCCGAAATCGGCCAATTTAACCGCGGCACCTTTGACTTTGCTGGCCAACAACAAGTTTTCCGGCTAAACAATAAATTAAATTTATTGCATAAAAAAAAAAGTAAATAATAATAATAACACTAAACGTTTTTCAGAATACAATTTAAGTATAAGTGGGTAGGTGATGTTTATCTTATGGTATTTATTAAGTAGGTTAAATATTTATAGTGTTTAACGAAATTTGGTGGCGATTTTTGTTTATTATCAACTATATATAATAGGAGGTGTGCCAGCTAGCGATGAACAAGTGATAAAATGTGTATATAATAAACAAAAATTATTATCACCTACACATATTGTTACATATATTACTATAATCATTATTACTGCTGTTTAGTTAACCCGTGAAAGAAACGGTTTTTGCGTATATAAAATGGACAGTATTATTGTCCGTAAAATCAATTTTATATAGGTACCTACGGTAAATCTCTTTTTTTTGTTCTACAGTTAATTACTGGATCAATAATGAACCAATATTAAATTAATATCTAACTACACATTACTATACAACGACTGTTTAGTTAAAATTAAACACACATTGATCAAGTTTAAATTCTGCTAATGAATTAGTAGATATATATGTGTTACAGGCCCGATTTCAGGAACTAGTTTATCCTGATATTATAATTCATATTTCAGAACGAACTAGTATAACCTAAGCTCATCTCATTGAGGCTGTCTGTATTAGTATATTATAGTATTAAGATACAAGACGTTTATATTTATAAATCATTTTAATCATATCAATCATAAAATGTAATCTATATAATGACATCGAATCGATTAGACTGACAGAGGGATGAACATAACTGCAATAATACTTAAACTGCAGTATTGTTTCTATCATGATTACTATTATAGTAATGCAATGCACTGTATTACATTAATCGCAATTATTGTTATTGGAATTTCTATTTTCTATAACATATTATTTCATCATATTTATTACATTTGTCATCATTGTGTATACGATAACTGTAGTAGGTATCCATTATTCTATATTATGATTTAATATTATCGACAGTCTTAATTTGCTTAGTCTGGATGTTACACTAGAATTTTATTTTCAGAATAAACTAATTTATCCTGAAATCGGGTTTGGCCTGTCACACACATATATATATATATATATTTATTTATTTTTTGAATCAATATCGTTCCTTTAGTAGTTTAGTTAATGATATTATAAATACATTTTAAATTTCTTAAAAAGTCGAGGTCATTAATATAAGTGAGTTGTTGGTTTTTTTTTCAAAGATGCTAACGCATTAAATTTGTATAGTTTGTATTAGGTAGGTATATAAAATAAAATAAACTATATAATAGCCATTCAATTTTTTTCTAATGGCCAGTCTAATGGCTGGTCTATACATTCTATAAAAATTGTAATAGTTTCTACAAACAATAAGAAAATTACAAGAAAAAAAAAAGAAAAACAAACATAAAACTTATGAGTTTTTAAAGCATACCTAACGCGATGAATTCAATTAGTCATGCGAAGATTGTATACAGGTACTTAAAAATTGTTAAGTAGTTCAGTCTTTGCAGTTAAGTATACGTACTAAATACTATAAAGATCTTTGCAATTTATACTATTTTTCTTTTCTTCTGTTTAGTTCATTACGAAATAAACAATAATAATTGAAGATTATACGAATTTGAATGTATATCATCGAAAAATTTATTTGAAAATTTGTATGAAAAAAAAAAACAAAAACAAAACACACATATCAGAGTAAACCCAATAGATCCCTCGATGCTCCGAATCTAAAAAAAAAAAAACTTATGCTGCTGATGAGTGATGGGTGTACTATTGTTTTATTGTTCTGAGGAAAGACATTTAGAAGGTAGGATACATCAAGTTATTTAATTAATTTCTGTATGCATCAATAAATCATTGCTGACGAAATACGATTCTGAGCGAAGTTTTGTTAAACATATTTTAAAAAGCCGTGATTTTTATAATTTTCGTCAAAAGTTAAACTTGAAATGCTTACAAAAAAAATTGCTATCGGAAATAATATAGCAGTATATAGTAGTGTATAGTATTAATACGCTCATTTTTTTATTTATTACTATATACAACTTATAATTTTTAATCAACCAAAGAATTCTATCCTCATAAAAACTAATTGAAAACTTTACAAATTCAAAAATTTCAAATACCTAGGAAGAGATCAATAATCACCAGAATATTTTGGTTAAAAATTCTAACGTCTCTATGATTATTTATAACCGAATTATAACAAAAATAGTGAAATCGTTACTTTCGTAAACTTTCCTGTTTTTGTTTTATAAGTTTTTTCCGGTTTTTCTCAATTATTGTGAAAACAGCTTAGAAATTCAATGGCTACATCAACTAGATCCAAAATACTACAAAAACGCTCTTTTCTTATTTTTTTGATTGGAACAACATTTCTGACAGAAAAGTTGTTAACTGATAGAAAAAAAACACACATCATAATAAAATCAACATATATTTTTCGCTGTGTACAGAATCTAAAAGAAACTGCATTTACTTATTGTATAGAAAAATGACTCGAGTTCATTTACAAAAAACAACAAAAAAAACATTTTTTCCCTCGTGCATGATAATTGTATATTAAATCAATATCTTAGTTTATTAATAGATTAAAAAATACAAATTCAAGTGGGTAAACTTAAATACTTATACTTATTCCATAATATTTACAATAGAAAGTTGTACCATGCCCTTAAAAAAACTCCTTGACGTGAAATATTTATAGTTGCGTGTTTAAATATATTAAGAAAATCCATTAAATTTTGCGATATTTGTTATTAAAACTTATATAATAATATATGTAGGTACTAGGTATATCTGTTATGATTTATATATCAACAGCAAGATGGCAATATCGTTAAAAATCATCGCAAACAAAAAATGTATTATGTATATTCGAATAATATAGAATATAAATCTATAAATATAAACAAAAAAATAATAGAAAAGTTTTAGATTCTGAGCGAAGCGAAAAGTGTATTGGTTTAACAACCATGCTTATTTATTTATTTATTTTATACTGTGTACAAAAATTCTACCAGAAATCTTGTTCCGACTTTCAAGTGTAGAACCTTTTATGAAAGGAAATTTATCTGGGGTGGTAGGGAGATAATTTTTTAATTTTCTCAATTTTCATTATGCAGGAAAAAATGCAAGAAAAACGAAAAATGTACTAAAATAATGCTTTAATTATTTTCAATTATTTTTTTTTTATTTTAATTCAGTTAAAAATAATTATAAGGACTTTAAATTTAGAAAGACAGAAATCTTATATTTATTTTATAGACATATTAATTTTCAGAATATTTTACGTTATTTTTATTCGGTAAGTACTCAGTGGATAAAATTGTTTAACCAAACAAAAATGTTTGAAAATTTAACAGGAAGTTCATTTTTAGTTGTACTTAGAGGTCAACAAGAAAAAATTAAGTTTAATGTAGAATTTTTAATTTTTTTATAAGAGTTTCAGTATTCAATTTTGACGAAAATCGTAAATATTTCATTATATTATATTATATACCTTTTAAAACATTTATAACAAACTCCGCTCAGAATCGTTTTTATTAGTAATGGTTAATTGTTGCATACAGATATAAATTAAATTCCCCTTTATATCTTATCTTCCCAACTTCTCACCTACAAATAACATCTTGAAATTTAGGGACGGAATTCGTGGCACTTCTAGATACCTAATTTTTGCGGCATACCTAATATTTAATCTAATGTTAAACAATTTCAAAATAAAATATAGGAATAATTGACTGTAAAACATTTTTATGGGATTTTTCGATTTCAATTATTTTTTAATATCTCATCCTATTATAAACTATGATATATAATTCATATATTATATATACTCCCATGAATAATATAAATTTAAACTTTTGTTTCGAAACTGGCCATTTTCCAAATTAAGTACTATAAACAGATATTGAGAAAATGCATACATAATCGCACAATAACTATTAATAGGATTTCTCACTAAAATATTGCATTTCTGTTCGACTAAATTGATATTTTTGAATTTATAACTTGAAAAATGCGAAAATTGTATTTTCTAATCTACATTAGTTTTTTTACGTTCTACTACAAAAAATTAAATTAATTGACGCATGGTGAAATTTTTAGACGACGGGTTGACGATGATATTCTATATATGTATAAATGATAATATAAATAATTCCTCAAAAAACATTAATCATTTTTACAAACCTTTTTAAAAGTTTAAATATTATTTAGATTACAATAAAAACATTCGTGAGCAGCAGATTCCCGTCATTAGAGTAGAATTTATCCTCACCTGTTTTATTTGATAGAAATTTTCTTTACAGAAAAATTAATAACCACTATTAAAACAATTCAATATTATACGGCAATATTAATACCTATATCCGAAAAAAAAAATGGTGCAATTTAATTATCAAAATGGTTTGAGGAGTCTGTAGGGGCGTACATATCTAACAAATACACTTACTAAAGTTTAACCTAACTTTTATCACTTCAATCTACCTACAAAAAAATTGTAATTTTTGAGTTTGAACTCATTCGGTATAAATTAGAAATTACCAAACGCAGTAGGAAAAATATATAAATAAATAATTTATATAGGACCTATATTATAGGTATATGACAGACACAATACAGTGCAGCAGTCTCTATATTCGGTGAAAATTCGAAATAATCTAAAATTAAACGATTGAAAAATAATATATACACGTATAAATTTAACTTAGAAACAACAATTTATAAAAAGTATCAACTTTAGTGGTGTATTCAAGTACATAAGATCTATCAAATACTACAAGTTGTGGTATAGATAAATTAGAAATATTCATAAATTTGCGTTTACAATAATATTTGCATGCCTATACATTTTAATGACGTGTCCACGCATTTAATTTATTATATGGATTTGCAAAGAATTTCTAAATTTTTTATTTGATTTATATAAGGAGTGGACAACATATTACGTTAATGAAAAAGTTTACGAGAGTAAATTTATACTTTTAAATAATATAAATATAAGTATAATATATGTATATCGTGTTATTAAAATAACTAGATACTGGACATAGGTATAATTTATACTTAATATAGATTGTAACGGTAGATTCATGTCAATACGAATATTATATGTTGTTTCCCGACGCGTCAACATGCAACTTTAAACTCGTTCCTACTTAGTCGAATTATGGAAATACACTCGATAACTCGAATTCTTTTCTATGACATTTAGCTGATACTTATTATATTGCATGACTTATCATTATTATCAAAGAAAGGTATATTATTTGAAGAGATAAGAAGTATTTTTTATACGAAACATTGCTTCACATAATATTACACGCATCGGTTGTTATTCAAATTTCAGAGCTAATGAGACATAAGTATAGTATAGCTCGACACTAATCGAGGAAATAATAATCATTTGGCAGTGTCTCATAATAATTTAGAGGTACTGCATGCGTTTCAGTTGATGTTAGGTACGTATAATAATATTTATTCAATTATTTGTATCTTTAATTACTCGTATAAATACAATATTATTCTTTAAAGGTTTAAAGCGAAAAATTAAAAGTTATTGGCTAAAATAAATGCCACGAAATGTTTAAAGGTCTCTTTATTTTCAAAACACAGTTTTTATTTTTCTTTAAATGCGTACTACTCTCAAATATTTATATTATTTTAAACCTTAAAATTATCGATAACTTAATTTTCGTTCGTTCTCCTACTTGAATTTCGGGAATCATCGATAAAATATATATAGTAGGTGGTATAGATAATTATGTTTATTGTTTCGAAGAGAAAACGGAACATCTTCTCCTTTTGTTTGGTTAATCCGTTTAAGTGTTATAGTGCAATAATAACAAACTGCAAGTACATATATACAGGACGATTATTTAGAGTCCTTTTGGGGTTAATATAATAAGTAGACGGCGCCGACTGGAGTGTGTCTACTCCAATAGAGCAAATGTAAGTTTCTAGTTGAGAGCTGACAAGTAAAAAAATAAAGTTTAATAATAATATTATGTAAGTACACAACAGTACTATAATAAATTTAAGTTCTTTTATGGTGATGGACTGATAGAATGCAAATTTCAGACATTTATAAGTACCTTTTTGAATAATATATATTGTATACATTACACTCTACGTCAGATTTTCAACTCATACTGAAAGAGAGCTATTAGATTTACAATAGGTTTTATCCTCGTATTATACCAATCCAGCTTGCAGGAAAACACTCTTGAGGGTATAGAATGAGTATATGTGCAATAAATTTACCATAATTTTTAAATATATTTTATAGTTTACAAGTATTAAAAATATTCTAAAAATAAGAAAATGATCACAAGACCACAAAATATGGAACTAAGAATAAAAAAAACAAAATTTTTATCTCTTAATATAATTTTATATTAAATGATATTAAATAAAGCAAGCGTTTTAACATAATATTTTAAATTTCAAATTTCACGAGGAATAATCATTTGTCGAATCCAATATTTTTTATTGTGACAATATGGTTTTATCAGTGTGACTTTTAAACTTGAATAAAGTAAAAAAAAAAACTATATATATATATATATATATAAATATATATATTTGATGCCGTGGTGAGAAAAGTGATAAATCTGAGCTCAAAGTCCAGTCTCTGTATATGCATTTGATAGGTAATATATCCTGGAAGTTCTTCTAAATTACTTTATATAAAAAAATATATAATTATTTTACCATAATGTAACATATATATTGTTGGAAAAACAACGCTATTAACCGAACTCCACTCAGAATCGTTTATCGTTAACATTGGTTAATCATTGCATGCAGATACACATTAAAATTTCCCTCTATCTTCCCAACTTCTCATATACAACAGTGACCTATCCATGTGCGAAGTATATCCGTATTTATTTTTTCTATTTTCACTACGAGTATAATCAGTATGGGAAGCATCTTCTTATCATGTATAATTTTTATCATGGTGATTATCAAGATATCTAGAACCATTCGGTTCCATATACCTACATAAATATTATGTTCATTTCGCTCTACCTAAAATGTAACTAAGTATGAGAGAACCTTCTGTTTTTAAGTTAACAACGCGTTTGTCTTAATATCTTGACCTCATACGCATATAGTAGTTTATATATGATGGGTGGGAGTTGGGTTTAAATATCTAAAACCCTCTAAGAAAATCGATAAACCGATAATAAGGATCTCGTTCACCTATAAAAAAATTACGCGTTTTCGGGAATTAAACAAACTGGGAAAATTACTTTTGTTCCCTCCTCCCTGATAATAAAACTTAACGTTACATTATACGCTACAATAAACGACAGTAACAGCACGAGTATGCGGTAAACATTTCCAAACGAGGTTCTATGTACCCTATATATATACACTTAAATTATATAATATCATTGCCCAGATGACAGTTTAACGCTCACAGGATAATAATATGTTCGCCAAGTTTATCGTATAAATTCGAAAATAAAACTTTAGAAAATAAAGAGATCGTAACTATCGTTAACAGACGTATAATTTTCTTTTGTTGTTTACGTGTTTACAGTAAAATATTACAATACAGAGTACGATTGGCGAAAAACTTGTTTCACGCGTGTGGTCCGTCATTTTCTACACCACTGGTGCTGTAGAATAATATGCACCACGATAATGTACAATAAAAAAGTCGGACACATGTAGTTAGAAATACACAGATCTTAGAACGTCCATTTAAGTCATAATTTAATACATTTTCTTATTTTATATAAATTTACTCGAGTTCATTTTGTAAATGAATACAATTTACTCAATAAAATTCAATTTTACTAACTTTATGTAGTCTCAGCTCAGTGCAGAGCTGCGAACTAACAATTTTAGTTCCGAAGTTCAAAATTTATTAGGGGCCAATTATTCTGCTGAATATACAGTACGTGAACTTCCAAACTTAAATTCATATTTCATACAATTTACTCATAAGTTATACTCGTATGAATACGAATAAAAATATTGCCTGAAAAATTAATACGGCTGAGGGCCCCTGATTTGATTTTGGGTAAATTCACCTCTGTTTTAGTGATTTTATTAAATATCATATTTAATATAAATAATATGTAGTACGTACTATTTAAATTTTAAATAATCTTACGGAAACATCATAGTAGAATTTGCCATATCTGCAGTATTTCTAACAAAATTGCTTAAACTATGTTCATAAATTCTCATTATAAAATGTAGAAAAAATTATTGCCCTAATTAAAGTTCAAGCTCATTGAAAATATGATATTACAATAAAAAAAAAAATATGAACTTGATTCATGTTTCATTCACAATCACATTGTAACATTTTGAACTTTAAATGGTTGAACTTTGTTCATTTCAAGGTTTGGAAATACCGAAAAAAGAAAAATTGACTCACTTTTAAATCCCTGTGCACTACGCCGTTTGTGTGACAGTGGTTAACGCTTTCCAGTATCTGCTGGATGCAATGCGATGCGTCGGCTTCGCTGTAGAACTCCCTCGCTACAATGTCTTCAAACAACTCGCCGCCTGTAACACTGAAAAAAAAAAAACCATTTTTTATTTTCAATATGGGCCTTGGTCTAAAGTACAGTTAACAATTTAACATAACAATAATAAGATGTACAATACAAAAATGTAACTAAAGCGAGAAGACAATTCATAATAATAAAAGAAAAAAAAAATACATTAGGATAACTTATAAATTAAAAGACGGATTCTCGTTGATAAGATATATCATCCTATAGAGTGGTTGGTTACGGTAAAAGTTCGTCGTGCACAAAGGTAAATAGAAAGGATAGGAAGAGCGGGTCTGAATGCGAGGTATTTTAAAGTTAACCATGGAAAGTAACTCAAAACAATCAATCGACCCACCAATAACCTTATCATAGTTAACTCGTCTTCTAGCTAAGGACTGTAAATATAATCTATTTGATACTGGTTCGTAATCATGAAGTCCATGTTCAATTTTTAATAAATAAGCAGCAAAATTCTAAAACTTTCGTTGAACCCTTACAAGTTGGATCAAATCACTTGCAGTATGAGGATCCCAAATTACAACAACAAACTCTAAAATAAACTTGACTAGCGCACAATACGATGCTTTTAGAGTAGCAAGTAACTTAAATTCAGTACATATCCGTTTCAGAAGTCCAAGAGCTTTCAAAACTTTACAACATGTCGCATCAATATTGGCATAAAAATTTAAATTACTATCATACATTACTCCAAGATCGTTCTTCGTATTAGTTTCTACAGCAAAAAAAAATATCACGTTGATATTCAATCAACTTTCTGGAAAATAAGGTTGTTATGGGTTTATAGTAATATCATGTCATTATATTTCGAGAGTTAGCGAATTTTTATCAGTTATTACTGCATTATAATATGTGAACATAGGAATAATGAGGAATATAATATACTAAAATATTTTCCATAGTGCTCGAATAATATAAACTGCGATGTTCTTCGGTTTTTATGAATATCGATAATATAAATTATTTATAAATTGTATACAAAAATTATCATAGGTTAAATATTTCAAAAAAGTTAAACGCTAAATATGATATGTAAGGTTTATTAAATTCACATATTTAATAGGTACCTTTATTGATACTCTGATAAATACTTTCAGTTTCATTATTTTATTCATTTGTGTTAATATAATAATAATCGTATTACCTACTTATATTTTTCATCGCTTATTTTATACAAATCATTTTTTTTTTTTCATTTCAGAACCTTAAACATCAAACGAATTTGATGGGAAAATAAAATATATTACGTTGTTTTTAGTGTCGAATTTATGATGCCCCCAATATACTTTTTATCGTTTTATAATATAATAGTATACCGATAAACAGTATATTAGGGGCGCTATAATATTGGCCATTTGTAATGCAATAAAATTATTATTAAAATATAATATAATTATCAAGGGTAGTTTGATAGATACGTTGATTGATAAGTTGACGATGACGATTATGTCGTTTAGACAAAAAAAAAACCATATGATCGAGTGCACTATTCCCGCGAACTTATATAGTATGCGTGTGCTCTAAAATGGCCAGTCGAAAATTTAAAAATTGGCTTGGTCGGACTTTGGCATCGTTTACAGGAAATCGAAATAATAATACATAATAACTGCCCTTCGAAAAACTATATAGAATAATTTCTATAATTTAGGCGTTTATTTATTCGAATTTCAAATTTATAACGATACTGTAATTTAAACGATCGTATGAGTATAAATTATACCTCTACGTTATAGAGTATAATTTATTTTATAATATTATTATTATATATATAATATATATATAAATATATACACACGATGATTTTTTTTTATACCCATACGCACAATAGGTCTCGTAGTGATGTCTGCGATCTATTTCTGGGTCGAGTCCATCGCTTACTATTTTTACATAGCCAAGACTTTGCGTTGATATTATATTAAACGATTTATACGTTTCTTACCCGTTGTAAATAAAAAAAAAAACTGTTTATACGCCTAAAAGTATCGATGACAAGTGCAATTATATACAAAACACTATGCGAAACGTATATATATATATAGGTATACTTACAGGTCGAACACGAGGTAATGAAATAGTTCCTCTTGGATGCTGTCGTGTAGCCGCACTGTAACAGAAATTTTGTTATTATAAAATAGGAGTAAAATTTGAAAGGTAGCATACAAAGGGTAATTTAATTTATGCCTATAATATGTAAAAATAAATCGTTTCTAAGGAAAAACGATTCTGAGTAAAGTTTGGTTGAATATATTTTGAAACGTAGTTATTTATAAAGGATTTTTTATCAAAATTTGAACTTGAAACGCTTACATATGTAAACTACTACATAACCCTTAATTTTATTTTTAACTATTAAGTACAACCTATGATGAACTCTTGTGTTAAATTTTCAAACATTTTTGCTCGGCTAAATATTAATAAGTCATAAAATCAAACAAAACTCAAAAACGTCATTTGCATATAAATAATTTAACAATTTCCAGAATATTTTAACAGTTTTACTTCATCTATAAAAGGTTTATACAAGTTTTCTGTGAAAGTTTGAGGTATCTACGATCAATTTAACCGAATTACAACAAAAAAACAAAACCGAAAATAATGAAACATCATTGCCGTCGTTTTTCACATTTTCCCCCAATTTTCCCGATTATTAAGAAAACTATAATGCAAATCAAGAAATTATATTTTTTATAAGTTACGATTTTCTTTCAAAAAAGACGCTGTACTTAAAAATCAGAGCAATATTATTGATAGAAAAGTTATCAACCAATTATTTCTGTACACTTGTACCTTAAAGTTATAGAAATCCCGAAGAAGAAGAATAACTACAAGACATCCACGCTAACTATTATATTACATGTTATAATCATAATTCATAAGGGATCTTCGTAAGTAACATTTGGCGTTTAGTTGAAACTTCAAAGGTATAACTGTATACTGGACAGAGACCAGAAAATCTGAGCTTTAGAGGTAAAACCTAGACAGTTGGCAATGCTATGAACAGACAGAAAATAAAAGTGCATATTATACTAAAACCAATACATTCTCCGATGCGCTTGAAATTTAAAATATTATCGATTCGTTACAATATATTATAATATACACGACATTGGTGATGTTAAAGTTGACTTTTGTTTTACACATTTTTAAATTTTAATTATCAATAAATTACATAAATTATTATTTATTATTTATCTAACATGGATTTTCCATAATACTACATTTTTTTTATTAAATGCGGTTTTTAACGAGTTTGTATTTCAAAACGCATATAGAAGTGTATATGGTTATTAGTTTTATCTTGTTTTTTAGTTTCATATTTTCGACAAAATTAAGTTTTACGTTATTGAAATATTATTTGTACTAATATAACAATGTTTATACATCGATTTTTATCGAAAAAAAGTTTGAAATTCTTACATTTTCAGCAGGTAAATTAAGCAATCAATTTTTAAATTTTTAATTAAATTAAAACAGTACTATTAAATGTATATTTATAGCAGCCTAGTTAAATCCTCGAGATGATGAAAATCTAAAAAGAAATATCTACCTGCGGGTTTTTTAAAAAGGTACTTAATGCCATCAACTCGGTTTGACCGTGAACTCAAAACACGAGTTCCTAACAATAAAGGGAAAAAAGGAAAAATAGTTTCCCCGTTCTTTTACATGAGTAACCGCGATACTCGGGCATCCCACTTGATCAGAGGCAATCGGGTCATGGTCAAGTTATTTTATTGTGCGATTGACTATATGATAAGTCCATCAGGGCCGAATATATTAAAAACATCCTAGATGTTAATGAAACTCAATACCGCGTCCCTGCACAATATTTCAATTTATAAATACATATAAATATATATTTTTAGTAGGAGTGAAAATATGTATAGGTAATTTATATACAACCAAAACAAAACATCTCCAGTGTTAAAATTCAATTTTATCACTCACGTTAAAGATGAGTTTTTTTGTATTTTTTGTAATTTTATTTATAAAAAAGATTATTCATGCACGGGCGTGTTAAAAATCCAATAAACTTTCTGATAGAAAATTTGTATTTTATCGGTAATTTTTAATAGCAACTGTTTGATTATAAAATCAAATATTTAACGGTGTTCGGTTTTATATTATTACAATGTAATCGAGAAAATAAAACAGCTATTGAATTTTAATTAAATATTAATAAATATTACATAATTAAACCCAAAAATACTTATATGGTAAAGTAATTATTATACATAACTATTATTTAAAATACGTTAAAACATTTTTAGATTTGCCAGCGCATAATATTATAATATTCGTTTTCAATATTCGATTTGAAAAAAAGGCGATTTAGAGGTTCGATTTGAATAGTTAGTCCGAAATTGAATTCGTAATAATTCGAAAATATCCATTATAGTTAAATTTGTTATAGGTATTAAAAATGAGTTACTGCAGTCAAGTTATATGTTCAAAGTTTGTTTTAACCAAGATACTTATCGAAATAAATCGAAGAACTGTAAATTGCTTGATTTAGATAATTAGATTAATGATTTTTATTTTGTTTTTTTCCCGGAACTTTAAAATAAAATACGTAACGTATGGACATTTAATAATAAGGCCTATTATATGTATTAAATTTTATAATTTGAAATGTATATGAAGTAACTAACATATCCAAATTACGATATTGGTCATTACATTTTCAAAACAAATTTCAATTTACTGTAAATAGTTGAAAACAAAATGATTTTATGAAGAAAAAAAAATATTGAATATTGTCTTAGACTAACAACTGTGGTGTTTATATTTTATTTTTTAAAAATTTGAACCTTATATAAATTATTGTTATATATATAATATGTCTCATCGTGGAAATTCACAAGGCAAAGTTTAGTATTGTATTAAAACTCAATAGTATATGCCTAATTCATTAACTTTATAGCTTATTATTACGTAGCGTTTGACGACACACTACTGCAGTATTTTAGTGTCCGTGTATCGACGGAATACTATGAGTTGTTCTAAATACTGCAATAAATAGTAAAAAGATAACTTACCTATATTCGGATGCTGTAATTTCCTGCATATTCTCGCTTCCCTTTCTAGTTTTTGAAAATCTGAAACATTTAAAATGATTTTCAATTATAGTTGGGGAAAATTATCAACAGCTTATCTGAGAGGTTAGGTGTATAATATTTCTGAAGGATGTGGAAAGTAATACTAAAATAAACACTCTCCCCCGTTTGAATCTTCAATATGTATATTTGAGCTATTGAGCTTAATGATTACTTTACTATTCTGAATAGTACTATAGTACTCGAATGTATAATATTTTATAGATATACTTATATATCCGAACTCAGTGGCCTATCTAGGCCTTTCTTACAGGGAGGGGAGGCGAAATATATTTTCAATCACTCTTGAAAATAGAAAATTCCTTAAAAAATTAACGCAAAAAAATAAACTAAAATAATTATACACGAATATAATATAAAACTGAATTACTTAACAATATTTTTCAATAAATTTTTACCCAGGAATTTTCGATTTTAATGACGCCCAATGTGTGTATGGAAATCAAGTATTGGACATTGTAGTGTATAACTAAAAACTTATTTTATCCTTCTACTCGTGTCTGGATTGTTTAGATGCTTATCATATTCCTACTTATTTTACTGACTTTTATAAATAAATACAATTTAGGTATCGATAAGTTTAGTCAAATTATTTCAACTCTTTATATTTACATAACTATTTGCATTTAAATAATCAAAAAATAATCTTTTTGTAAACATTTGGTTTATTCTTCAACAATTTTAGATAAAAAAAAATGTATATACAGTATACATATTAATATTAAATAAATACTAATAACTATATTGTGTATGAATTGAAAACAATTATTAATTATTTCATAGAATTACAAATTTCATAATAATTATATAAATACTAAAAACAAATAATTATGTGGTCCACGGAGGGGGCAAATACCCCCTTCGTCCCCCACAAATACACCATTGTCCAAACTGCCAATATTACCGCTGAGGAATATAAAAACGCAAAGAGTCGATTTTACGACTTGTACAGTTTTGTAGCCATGGTTGTTTTAAACAAGGCACGCATTTCGTATAAACGATCGAAGTTAACAAAATTGCAGCATGTTGATGTATTTATTATAATAATCGAGTTGGATCAGTTAGATTAAAACAAAACTCCCACGGGACTGCAGTCATGAGCCAATTATTTAAGATAAAAAAATTAAAAAGCTTTTTGTTTAATTGGTATTCCGTTGCGCAGTTTATCCTGAAATATAACAGTATAATAATATTATTGATTTATCGATTTTTTTTTTCCCCTTTAGTCTTTGATTATTATATAGGTACTTAAACGTCACAGGTGCAATATTGCACGACGGTAATTAATTTAAGGGCTTCGCGACGCCTTACATTGCAATTTACAACGTCGCGTCAATAATATTATTCACCTATATATTAAGTTCAAATGTACATTAATTATTGTGGGGCGTATTGTTTTTTTTGAATATTTTATTATTATTATTTTTATTTCACAGAGAATCAATGTATAATATTGTGAATTGCTAACGGAAGATGGCGGTCGTTCTCTCCTTCCCCTCCGAATTAATTTATGGATAGTGACGTTAGTGGCGTCTGCGAATTTAAATTTACTCGGATTGAATTTAATAATAATATTGCTCTCTAATAATATTGTTATTTATACGTACGCGTGCATCGATATTATTCGCCCTAAGCTCTTTGAAGAGATTTTATAAAATTGGGCCGCTCACCTGAGAGAAAGTGCTATAAGTAATCGAATACGGCGCCGGATTTATCATGTGGAATTTTCACACAAAATAAATGTCCTTCGCTAACTACCACGCCAGAATTAACACGAATAAATTATTTCGATGCGGTCCATCCCCTCGAACTCGGCCAGCCCTGTCGACATTGTCTTTTCCTCGAATACCCGCCGCGTGTTTCGAGACGAAAGTGCCCTCTATTAATTTTGCCGACGACCGTTAAAGCTGTAATTTTAATGAAGCTGTGAGAAACACATATTATTTCGACGTTCGAACGGTTTTTTTTGTACTTTTCGGTCGAAATTGCACGACACTATCCACAATTTCAGGTCTATTCTATTATAAAAATAATACTGTGCTATTAAATCTAGATTTTTAAATACCACGATTACCGGTGAACCCAAAATATTGTTCAATATGGGACTAAATACGGTAAGTAAAAATTGTATAAATAATACTTCAAGCAAAATAATGAATTGAGAAGTGCAATTACCTATACTTAGTATATAGCGCAAATAAGTAATGATCACTATTTAATTACTAATAACTAATCATTTTTTAATGCTGGATACAGTTTTTATTATTTGTTTATGCTTTAACACGGACAATGGTGGAAGAGACCTCTGTAGGTCCACCTGGGAACGTTACTGACCGATTTTGGGGCTATGAGGTGAAATCTGAAGAGAATAGGATTATTTTTTATGATTAAAAACTTTTCGTGCCGATGGTAATGATGACCACCGTTTTGAAAATTATTTGTCTGTGAGCAATAACGCTTAAAAAAAAAAAAACGAAAGTATAAGCATACGGATATTCGACTTTTAGGCTGAAGGTATCCTGCAGAGGAGCGTATACAATTAGAGAGATTTTTATTAGGGACAATTAAATTGATAATTTAGCAAAGAAAAAAGGCCCAGTTAAAACTCAAAATGTTTAAAATTTTCCTATTCAAACGCCTAAATACATAATATATTTGTTATGCTTTTTACACTAATATTTGCATTTATTTGGTTTTTCTCAAACGTCCAACTGGGAAAATATAAAAACGTACTGGTGGTATGTAACATTCTCCTTCATGCTTTAGCTGAAACAAATTCTTTGAAATCTGATAAAACGACGTCGGTGAAAAGTGTTCGGTGTAGTAAACAGATTGAAACTCACTCTCACAATGAGGTTAAATGGTTAAATCGATTTCTCTAAATTTCCGATATCTGTATTGACGTGACTACATTATTGTATATTTGTGTGACTTTTGAATGACCACTATACCGTTCCGAAAAAATAGAAAAACCGCCGTAAGATAATTGATCTCTCGCTTCTCCATCAACCAAAGTCAATTTTACGAATAATAAATATTACACTCGTCGCGGGTATATGATAAAAAAAAATAATAATAATTCTATATAGCAAACGATAAATCGAATTATTCAAGACAAATATGCGTACGGACGTCGTTGTTATGATAAATGCGAATTTTGTAAAATAGATTATTGTAAAAAATTCATACCGAATTTATGGACTCGAATTCGTATACAACAATCCCTTTGCTTTCAACTCCTGTACAATAACTAATGTATACACTTGAAGCCATTTTGCTGAGCTGTCTATACCATTTCTCTAAATAATCGATACACACCAAACGAAAAAAAAAAACAACCCCATTTCCTATTTAATTAATTGCGAAACGTATTCATTGTGCCGAAGGGAGAAACCTTACACCGTACAACTCAGATTTACTATAACTTGAGTTACGTTCATAAATCATGAGAAATCACACTTAATGCCTAAAATGTATGCAATTTGCTATTGCAAACAAAATTTATCTTTTTTTGCAATACCTCCCTCCTAGAAAAAAAAATATGTATACACGTACATATTTATTTTAATTTTATTTATTAAATAATATTTTAAAATATTTAATTATTTTAATAAACTCAATTACCTGTATGTGAATTCCATATAATATAGACATATAGGTATATTTTCTTTTTATCAATGACCTAGCTAAACGAATTGATTATAAATAAGTATTTTATTTTAATTGAAAAAGGCAACTTATAACTACTGTATTATGTACAGTTGATATTTTACAAAAAATTCAAACGTCTCTAGACGTCTACAGCTTCTTTAGTATTATTATTGACGTATCGAATTGAGCGTCTCACTGGAATTCATTAAAAATTGAACCATATACAGTATGTATAGGTACAAATACCGTACACGAAACGTATTTCATAAATATATGGTTACCATTTGAATTTTAAATTTACCCATCACATTTCCTCTTTTCAACGAATAAAAAAAATTGATAAATTTCAAATGCATTTAGTATAATTTATAGTAACAAAATGTATCTTACATGCAATTTATAATATCTTATATGTATAATTGAAGGTTTTTGTGAGAAATATGACAAGTCAAATGTTGAAATTGTTCGATTTATACATTGATTGTGTAAGACATTTTGCACCATGGTTAACAGTATAGAATATAGATTATTATTTGTTGTAAGAAATAAAATGAACTTATGAACCTGATAAGTCATGATTCAAATTTTGTTTATTGGTTTTAGAAAAATGTATAGGTAAGGACTATAATATGACAATATGTGCACAATGCGCACATATTGAGCAGTGTGCTATGACGTGTTAATATGTTTTTGAGGATCTACGGCTCTATCTGTATTAATGGATGGATGGATAAAAAGGCAGAAAGCAAATTAGTTTATTTTGTAATTATTATATTGTAATACATGAAAATTAATAAAATATAATAAAACAATATAGGTAAAGAATTTAACGAATAAAGAAATTTTAATTCATCTTGATAACTCGTCTTGTTCAAAAAAAAAATAATCTAAAAATACCTATGGTTCAATTAAAATTCAAAACTTAATAAATAATTTTTTTCTTTTTAGTAAATATCGTTTTTATCGTCTCTAGAGAAATTCAAATTTTTTACATGTTATATTTCTCATTTAAAAAAAAGTTATTTTTACCAATGTAGTAGCGACGAATTAAGCAACAAGCAGAAAGAAATTTGCTAACAATTCAATATTATGGTTTTTATATATTTTTTAACTGAAAAAAAATCTTAAAGAAATGTATTATTATTTATTATTTTAAAATATATAAAAATGAATCATGAATGAAAAACGCATTTTAAATAAATAATAATTAATATAAGAGTGCTGAGAAAAAACACGGTATAATTTATTAATGTCGTTACCTTAAAAAATCAAAACATTGAAGTGGAAAACATTTTAACATTAACAACGTAATTTTTTTTATAATATTATTATTTATTGCAAGAAAAAAAAAACCTCAAAATATTATGCAGAATCAAATTTCATTTTGGTGCTTGTCAGAATAATTCACATTAATAATTGTAGCTGACTTTGTAATGTCTTGGTAATTTAAAGTACCAACTAGGTTCAATATTTTCCATGTTCTTTTGGAGATTCTTTTCCAACAATGTAAAAGATGAATGTGTTATTGTTTAAGATTGATTTTCGAAAAAATATATATTATAAAATTGTCGATATAAGATATCGAAAATAAAACTCCGAGAGAACCGTTGTGGTCGAAAATAAAAAATCAAATTAATTTTTGTCTTCTTTTTTTATAGCCGGCAATTTTGTCGTCCCTAAAACTTTGCCACATCTACTCGTAGGTAAACCTGACGTTGCTATACACAGGTATATATTACACATGTCGACCTGTATATAATTCATGATATTTTAATAAAAGGTATACGTTTTGTTTTACAATAACAATATATAATATAGGTGGGTAAGTGCGACGACAAAACGTTACACGGGCCGCCAATCGTCGAAGTTGTCGAATGACACACAGAGTCGGCGTCGGTTATTTCAAGATATACGGTCATTTGTATTTATTGTATTTTACAAAACCCTATGCAATAATAATATTACGTATACACATATGAATTTATTGTGGTCGGATTCGTGTCACGCCGAGCGTTCCAGTCGTGCCCGATCGCTACCGAAACGTATGAATGTATACAAGTCGGCAGAAGCGCCGCCGGAGCGGAGTGGGTATTCACGCGTTAAATCAATACCGCGCGGCGGAGGCGCCGTCAACGGCGGTGTGGCAAATCGGCCGCGCCGTCAGACAGCTCAGTTACTTTTATTATAATATTCGTCGGCTCTTTGAGTGCTTTTCCGTTCCGTCTCACTGGAACACGACTGGACCCCACTCCCTGGCCCCTTTCCCCTAAACCCGCCGCCGCGAATCCGTCAAGCGTTACGTCGTCGCGCGTTCGCGTGCGATTGGCACACGTGTCCACGGCAGCTTACCTACCTTCACCCCCGACGTGCCCACCACTCGGGACCACAACCTGTAAACGAAATCACGTAATGGGCGCGGATGTTTTACGATGACGGTGACGCGGGGTGAGAGGGGATCCGCAATTTCCCAACGAGACGACAACGTAATAAAAATATTAATCGATACATTGTTTTCTCCATGTAAATAATAAGAAATTAATTATTATCGTTCAACTATAATCAATTAATTAATTATTACCTTTATACCTAACCATAGAAAAAACAACAAAGGAAAAGTGTTGAATTCATACTTGAAAAATAATAATAATTTTATTATTTACGCATCGTATGTATAAAGGTGTATTTCGGGTAGTACGACAAAAAAAAAAATGTCAGAATATTTTTTTTGACAACATGAAAAGCCATTACTACACTATACAGTAGATAATTATAATAATTATTTGTATAAATAGGTGTTGGGTGTATTGTTTAATATGTAATTGCCATTAGGTTAGTTTTGGTTTTTTTTTTTCATATCTATTATTAATATTTACGTTAAACGCATTATATTTTCGATTTCAATTTTTTTTTTTTTGGGGAGGGGCTCCCATACTGGTCTTCATAAAAAAAATGATAGTGCAATTCGCCCCAAAACCTATATTACTATAGTACTACGTAATTATATACTACATATACTTTTAAAAATAACTTTTTTTACATTCCAATTAGAAATAAAATTTCCTTTCATAAAATATGCTACTCTTGGAATTCGGAACAAGATTTTTGGTAAAAAAATAAAATTAAAAAAATAATATACGACGAGTGACGAGTAAAATTAACATCTATTACATACTAAATAATTCATTTAGCATAAAAAACTCATATTTCGCGAAGTAGGTATTGACATTTTTTTTAAAAATCTATTAAAACACTAAACGCTGCGTCACCATAAAAATCATGCTCCACTACTCTCCCTCTACTTAAACTTGAAATTTAAATATATCGTTAATGAATTGACGGAAATCAAAAATTTCAACGACAAAATGTATTCAAACAAATACTCCATTTATTCATGCAACTTTTCTTATAAGTTGTGATCACCCCCGAAAATAAAGACGACAACGAATAATGATAATGTGACATTTTATAGCTGCTTGTTTCTTACAATGCGAATAAATATTATTTTGAAAAAGTCAATAAATTAAGAAATAATAAGTGATTTACGTTAAATGAATCACCCTGTATATGTGATATCATTTGTTGGTATAACTTGTTGAGTCGTTATCACCTACGCAGAAGGCGTATCGGTATATTATACTCATATTGCAGTCAAAACGTGCGTTTTATCGACGATTACAAAATATGGGTAAAAACAACAAGAATAGTACAATGCAAAATTGTATACCTTCTATGAGACATGTTTAAAAAAGCGCTGATACTGCTGACGCGTGTGTCTGCACTATTTAGGTAGGAAGTTGGAAAGGTAGAATATATAAAGTTATTTAATTTATTTCTGTACTCAACGATGAATCATTACTAAAAAAAAAAAACGATTCTTAGCGAAGTTCAGTTACTCATGTTTTTAAAATGTCATAACCTCAACGCTACGCGGAAAATCAAAAAACGACCATCTGACATACCTACTATAGAGAACTGGATAAAATTTCTATTTAGGAAAGATGTTACTCTTGAAATTCGCAGCAAGAATTCTGGTAAAATCAATATTTTAGAAAAATGCTCTAACAGTATTTATAAGTAGTATTAAAATATTTTTTTTAGTATTTGTTTAGAAACTAGTATGAAAATTGTTAGTGTTTGAATAAGTATTCGAGTTCTAGTTGGTATACTCAGTAAATGATTACAAAGAACTCAGCCCCCCCTCCATCAGTAATTACACCAAATTTCTGCAAACGGTCGTTAGCCCAGAACCTTATTTATTTTGTTGACGATATTATTATATGGTAACTTAATACGATATTCCGATAAAACACGAAATTAAATATTTGTACTGGGACGTGTAGAACCGAAACTGTTAAAATAATTTATTATTATTATTTTTTTTCATTTAAATTAAAAGTATACACGTCAAATGTATGTTATATATTAAACGGAATGTCGCGTGGCATTTTAACATTATTATTAAATGATGCGAAAACGCCATTAGGTACTATTAAACGGCATTACCTGCACCACTAAAAAATAATTCGACTGCGGAGTAAATTTCGTGTATACTTGTTAGTAATTATTAATTACTTACCAACGTAACCATTATAATATTATACCTATGTGATAATTTAAAACGTCTTTTAATTGCCCGGTAAACGGGCGTCTGAGCGTTTAAAAATATAATATCAAAAGTTTTATAATCATGATCCAGGACATTTTTGAGTGAACATCCACTGCGCATCCAATCCATCTCCTCCCTTAAAAAAGTTCCACAAGAAATAAACTAAATCTTCCCTTTAAAATTTGGACTGTCTCCAGTTACCCCCCCCCCACCCATAGTGAAGTATACTTATTATTCCCATTATATATAATATAATATTTTGTTACTTAGTCTACTAATTTAATTATTTACCATTTATTTTTTATAGTGAACATTTTTATATCCAACAATAGACTTTACTATGTTTGTCCATTTGGGCACAAAAAACCTCCTTAAAAAATACCCTGTCACGATTAATGCAATATAATCTTCGATAATCTGAATGGCAATTATCAAACTATAATGGACATATTGACGGGCGTGAGGATAAATTGACCAGCATCTAAATAGTTATACTTTAATTGATGCACTTAAAGGAATTCATTCGTGTTACAAACCAAAATATATGTCAAAAAAGTTAATATATATTAGGAGAGAAATAAATGGCGAAGTATAAGATTAACATTAGACTTGATTTTATTAAGGTCTGTAACAATTTTGGCTTTAACCGGGAATTAATCAGGATAGTGGAAGAAATAAGTACCGATAAGATTAACTGGTAATTGAGGCGTTTATGGTTAGTTTAACCGGGAATCAATTTAATTGGGAAATAGTGTTAACCGTCAGTTAAGTCCTATACTAATTGTCAGTTAAAAGCATTTAAAAAATCAACCTTATATAGTTTACATTTTTTATTACTAATAAACACAATTTTTAGGAGATATTCCAGATAACCTCCCCATGGTGACTCTTGGGTAAGTATTTAATTTTTATCTACAGGAACTCTATTTACCGCATTGGGCATTTTGTATGGGACTCATTTTACCTAAAAATGTTAAAATGGGACTCCTAAATTTACTAACTCCAAAATAAATTCCTACATTATTATAATAATATAATTATTATTGCGTTAATTAGTTTAAATAATAATAGTAAAGCAATTTATGGGATTATTTTTTTCGTACATTTAGACCGTTATTAGGCTATTGTAGTAAAATTAACATATTTCAAGTCGTATACTTTTCCCTTAAACAGATATCGGGTAATAGATCAGTGGAAAAGTCTTATCATTAAGATGGTCATTAAAAGAATCTTAAAATTGTACGAAATTGAAGAAAACGTAGAAAACCATTTTCAATTCCCCTAATCGCATACTTATTGCAGATTAGATTTATATCTATACTATCGTCAATAATATTTACATAAAATAAGTCATGGTATGTTAGATTAACTATATATATAACCATATGGGTATAAGGTTTACACATAGGTAACTTTTTTTAAATAAAAACCTCAAACGGACAAACTAAGTGGATTTTCGCGTAAGTCGAATTCGAAAGGAATGAAATTCAACCCAAAAGTCTTTATTACTTTACCGATCACTAAATAAACTTATTTGGAAACCCATTTTTTTTTTCATTAAAAAATATTCGGAATAGATTTGTTGAAAGAAGGTCGAGAATAAATTATATAGCTTCGACTTATTACGCTCGTATTTTCTATTTTATTTTTATTTTTTTTAACGGATCGTTTTAATTCCCGACTCTAAAAGCCTTAACGTTCCGTAATATATAATAGATAGATAATAATAATAATAATAATAATGGGTTCTCTATCCACATTTACGACACAACCCTTTTTAACGAAAACATTTCCACGAGAAATTGATCGTGAAATTTGTTTTAAAATTAGGTAGGTACCTACTTTAGCACTATCGATAAGTATTCTCTATATTTTTTGAGTTCAAAAAACAAAAAATGTATAATATAATATATTAAAATATACATTATAATATTTACCTCGAGCTGATAGTTTTTTCGTGTTTATAATTTTTGCGGCAAATTCCATTCCCGTGGGCTTTTGAACGCATTTTCTTACAACAGAAAATGCTCCTCTGAAAAATAAATTAGACAAAACATATGAATATATATTAATATACATGTTTCTAATATTTATTATTTAAACTGGAATGGAGACGATATCCCTATACCAGTTGTGAAATGTAAGTCATAGTGTAAATAGAAAGACTATTTCGTATCTCATCTATATAGTGTCTATTGTTCGCCTGTAAAATGAACCATAAATGCAGTGTTACCATACTCTAAACAAAAATTATTACAATTCCACCACGGTTATAGAAAAGTAAATAATACTACAATTTGATTCATTTTATTGGCGAGCATATTATAGTGGAATGCCCTCTTTATTTTATTCTATAATGGTGTAAGTACGGTTAAGTACTTATGTCATAGATAATAAAAACAAGAATGGGATAATTGAGACATGTCCGCTTATTAGTGAAGATATGGTCTCACTTATTTGACACTGTATAGTAATCAAACACATAAATGTAAATACATTGTCTCAAACATAGATCATATACAATGTATGGAATCATAAGCAACAAAACGTCTGGCCAACATCTATCGTCATGGCAAGAGGGCATTTCACTTCTGCGCATGCACAATATACTATTATCAATTTTATCATAACCAACATAATGAAATATTGGTTTTACTTTTTTTGTTTTTAAAATTGTGAATTTACTGCTAAAATGCACTTCAATTACGACAATAATGTTCAGCGTAATTTAACAAGTTATATTATTTAAAAATCTGCCGTGGTTCTAGAATTCTAAAATATTATTATTATTTTTACTTACGCTATATAGTTGTTATTAAATAACAAAGATAAAACAAATTATGCATTTTTACTAACTAAATTTATCCATTTACAATGTACCTATTCTCCAGTTTCAAAATCTTAATCCATAAAAAATTTAATTTGTATTTTAAAACGTAATAAAAATTTAAAAACATAATATTATTTCACCATTATAGTTATAGATGAATTGCAAATATTGTTCAAATATATAAGCAGATACCATCAAAGATAAGAAGGAAACGCATGCGCAGTAGCGACACGCCCTCTTATCCCTCTTAAGATGTTGGCCAGACGATCGTCACACGTAAAGTTTAGCCATCCATTGTATATGATTTAATCCTCAGATTCTAAGGTCTCAAATACTTGTTATCAGTTCAAGACGGCTATAACTATACAATGGTCGTAGTTATAGTGACACCCTATCCCAGTCTTTTTTTTATTTGTAGAGTATATTATGTGTATTGTAACGCGGTAATATAATTTTATCAAAATCAAATAGTCGAAGGGGTTACTTAAAAGAATAATGACGTGACCTCAATTCACCTCGGTTCTTTGGAGTACTCGAATATTTATCCAAATAAAAATTTAGTATTATATATTGATCGGCTTGTATATCAGAATGTATATGCGTAAATGTAAATCTGACGTACAAAATAACGTTCAAGTGTTGTGTTACGAAAATTATCAGGATTATATAAGAACGTGTGTAATGAATCCGCCTTCATCGTTTACGTATATATATATGATTTAGAAAAAAAATCTTTACCGGGTTTAGTATACCTACGTAATACTGCAGTATAGCTTAAATATTCTGATTTGCAAAATGAAAATAACAAGACCATATTATAGATTATTGTTATTTATAATGATAAAAGACGAACAGTCATCGTATAGATTATCATTCTTTGTTAATTAATAATACGAAAATTGACGAAACAACTATAATACTCAACGGCGTAATTAAGTTCAAATGAACTCGTTCACCCGTTTGAAGTTCAGAATGTATACATAAAACATGAATTAAGTTCATATTTTATTTTTATCAACTTTTTTAAAGTTTTTTTTAATTTTGCAGTCAAAAAAATTATAGACAAATTTAAAAGAATATAATAATCGGCGACATTGATCATTAGTCAAGTTTACGGGTGTTGCTGAGTTAAACACCTACATTTTTTAGATTCCCAGCGTAGTAGCGAGGGAACTATTGGTTTTACAATGCTGTTTTATTATTATTATTCTTTTTTTCTAGTAAACTTGCCTCGATGTATAAGTTTAGCACCTTTTCTGAAAGCTCGTTATCTAGATTGTACTTAAAATAGGTTATTTTTTGATTTTCAACGCCATTTTTTTAAATAAGAGCACTAAATGGGAAAAAACATAGAAAAACGTACAATTTCACGATTCATTATTTTATAAAAACACAGACGTTTTCTACCAGAAAAATTATTTAATTGAAAAATCACAAGATACCTTTTTGATTTACTTTCTTATGGTATCATCACCAAAACATTAAAGCCACTTTTGAGCGTTTAAGGAATTTTAATTTTTTTTAAACCTACAACAGTGGCTGCACCCGTCCCTTGTAACAGCTCTTTTTTTCCTTTTAAATCATTATTTATAACTTAAAAGTTATGTTAAATAATTGATTTTTTTTTCTTCATTAATATTAAATAAAAACTTAGCTTTTAGTTGTTGAGAACATGTACAATGACCTGCAACTGCTGCGACCATAGCCGGCACTAACAAAAATCGATGGAGGGGTACGATTAAACATTTTCTAAATCGTAATACCGAATATGCCGAACGGTACAAATATATTTACCTTTTATTTTATCCTTTGATAAATGATATGTAATAATATACTAATATATGTGTCATTCATTTACGGTAATAATATAAAGTAATAAAGTACTAACAGAAAAGAAAAACTAAGAAATTATTAATATTGTTAATTTTATAGCAAAACTTTCGTTAAATTAACGTTTCGATAGTCTAAATTCTAAGTTTGGGGGTTCACCACCCTTACCCGTTCCCACCACCACCATGCTCTCCTATTTTTGGCTCTGGATGTGGCCACATAAAGTGTTAAAAGTGCATGACCTAGTATCCTGCAGTTATTATAATAAATAGGTATTTACCAAGGTTGTTACATCAGGCTCGGCTAGCTTACTATCACTATTATCCATACCCATTATAGTGCACATTATTAACATTTATTCCTATAAAACAATAAACTTCCAAATTCCGTACAAGCATATTGAAATGTTTAATCATTTTTAATGTAAAAAGGTAAACAATTTTTTTTTTAATTCTGAGAGAGTGGAGGTTCGGATTCCTTGGACGTCTGCGGATAAAAACGCAATTAAACAGATCGGATGCCGGTATTTTTTTTCTTCTCTAACACATACTACAAATACCTAAGTAATATAAAAACTTAGACTAATTTTCCGACCAGGAAAATTTTAGTCAAAATATTTACAAAAATTTAATTTGAAGTTGTTAAAATGTATATAAAAAAACTAAAATTAAATTAAAAAAGTAATCTAGCCGATCTCTTGTACTCTTCACCCTGAATTCAAAGCGGTTTTCAGAATACGTGTAGTGTCATAAGATTAATCGGACCTAAGTCCTGAAAAGTCCTGTCATTAAAATACGTGATTTGCTCTTATTTAAGCACTCATACGCTAATACACTTTTTTAAAACTTGGAATATTTCAGTAACGCCCGCTGTAAAAGTCTAACCTTGGGCGCCCATTGGTGAGGGGGCAGGATTGGGGACATGTCTTTCCCTAGAAAATAATTAAGTATCTAAAAAAAAAAATATATATTATGCTTTAAATCCATCAAAATAAATACTATTATATTATTTATATCAATGATGATAAACATAGACTTTTGCTTATCACAGTGAACGCATATTATATCAATGAATATAATAATATATATTACCATAAAATTATCGAATTACTGTCATCGTTTATAAAAAAATAACAATTAAAAGTAACATCCACATCCACATTGCGGAAAAACGTGTACAAAATATAACTAAAAATACAAACGATATATTTTAATATTATATTAATATTAAATAACATTCTTATTTTGAGTTATATTTTTTACACGTTTCACCGCAATGCGGATATTACTTTTAGTTATTATTTTTTTGTAAACGATAACAGTAATTCGATAATTTTATGATAATACATTATTATATTCATTGATATCGGGCTTCGGTAAATAAATATATATGTATAAGTATAGGTGTTTTGGGGTTTTTGAACGAGTCGGATGTTATTACACGAGTATGTGAATTTTTAAGAGTAATGTATATAATATACCGTAAAGTTTATTATTTATCGGTCCGGAACTGAATTTTTGAGTGCGACAGCAGAATTTACGGCTCGATACTCTCTTTTGGAGATGAGAAATTAATGACGTAGACCGTGATTCGTCATCGTGAATTGCGAAGGGGATTAGACAGGGGTGAATGAAGGAGAAAAAATATATAGAGTGCGTATATAATATAAATCATCATAATATTATGTATCGCCATTCGCATGTATCGATTTCTAAGTCTATTCAATTTCAGGAACATAGCGTTCGCCGATCTCTCCAGGAAGTCTGTAAAACACGATTGCGAACTTTTTACTTTTTCATATTTGAGAAAAACACGAGATTGTGCACAAAAAAAAAAAAAAAACAATTTTTAAATTTTATTTATAAAATAAATTCATAATTTTTACAATAAATCGTGGCAAACAATAAGCTATTCTGAATGGAATTCGGTAAAACGCGTTTTGATACATACGAAACTATACGAAACTAATAATATAATTTGTATCGACCAAAAAATTTTGAATGTTTAAAATAGCTATAAATAACTCACTAGAATGTTTTTAAAAATTTGTCTATGTCTAGAATGTGTTGATTAAGTATTTGGTGAATATTTCAAATCTCTACGATTATTTTTTACTAAATTACAACAAAATCTGAAACTTTTTAGAAAATTACTAAGAAAATCGAAAAATGGCCTTTCCAATGCACTAAATAGACACAATTTAACTTCAAAAACAACCCTTGATGTTGATGATTGGAGCAAAATTTCTGATCGAAAAGTTATTTACAAACACACACATATAAAAAGAAAAAAAACTAATAATAACGGCGATATAAATTCCTCGCTCAAAACCTAAAAAAGAATTATAATTTTCAAACTAAGATAACATTATGAAATATTGGTTATCAATCCGAAAGACAGAAAAATGTGAACTTCTTTTTTCTTTTTTGGTGCACAATAGAATTGTGTTTTTCAGATGTAATATAATGTACCTATAGTTAAATGCATATAATCGTATTACACCAATATGCGAATAGCCAATAACCCGCACGTCTGGTAAGGATAAAAAAAAGACTTATTGAACATACATCACATTAAATATTTCAATATTCAATATTGCCATTTATATTCGTTCGCTTCGTGAGCACATGTCCGAACTTAACCGAAATAGATTTTGTTATGGAAAACCGCATTCGCCGATTAGTCACAGGGACAAAAATCATTACGTTTGTCCGCGGATTTGTGTCATCCTGTAATCATGGAAGGAGAACCGAAGACGTGTCCTGATCTCGCGAAGGTGCAGCAACCTAACATAACCTAACGGTACAAAGGAAAGGAGGGTATAGGGATTAAACCCCCGTCCACGAAATTGCATATTTATATAGATTTTTAATAGAGTCTCAAAAGTGGTTTCTCTCGATGAGGAAGATAAATACAATAGTTTTTTGTTTTATTTATATTATATTACTAAATAGTAAGTATGAGTACCTATATAATATATTGTTATTATTATCATTTCTAATTTTTTGTAGTTTTCTTACTTTTAAAAAATTATATCTAATACGGCGATATGGTATAGTCTGAATTATAATCACAATAATATTAATTACGTTATCATTTAGGCTGTATTCATTAAAAAAATATTAAATATAAAATTTAGTAATAGTAGATACACCTAGAAGGCTAAAAATGAATGTTATAAAATATTGACATTTTTAATGAAAAATTTAATAATCCTACAATTGGAAAGTATGTAAACTTCTTTGTTATGTGACTATGAAAATGTACAACCTTAATCCGCCCCCGAAATATTTGTTTTGTAAACGCACCAGGTCTCGTGGCTAAATCGTTCGATGCGTATGGTACAAGAAATAAAACAATACAAGTCCCGTTGTCTGCGATTTCTATAACGCGTATTGCATGTACGGTTTACGGCAGGTTGTACAGTGCTCGCCCAACGACATAATAATAATAATAATATCCTACATGTATGTATGTGTGTATATAAATATATTTGTGTGTGTGTGTATGTGTATGCGCCGACTTGGCGGGCGGCGCGACGGTCGACGAGGTTTAAAAATACGATTGCGGTCGACTACCGCGGGACTGCCAAATGGCGAAAAAAGACACTCGCTGGCACGGTACACGCGGCAATACGGCACGGCATTAAAGGCGCGTCCACACCGCAAAACTTCAGAGAGCGCACGGCGACGGGGCACGGGCATGTATCCAGTAGCGTAACGTAAAATTTCTAATGCCCGTGGCAAAATACTCAGTATAAAAGCCGATTCGATAAGCATAAAAAAAAAAGGATCATTCAAAAAGACCCTCACCTGTGTCCTTCAATAATGCCTTGGGCTCTGGTCAAGGCCAATGCTAAGGCCCCCATCGGTTGTGGGGGGCCCGTGGCTTTTGTCCGCCTTGCTCATCCTGCGTGTATCGCGGACTCTTCCGGTTTTTGGGTCGTCTGTTCGTACAGGTATATCGAGGTGATAATATAATATTATAATAAATATATCGATGAATTTCGTACACGTCTCCGTCCTAAAAACACTCTATTCCCGCGATGAGCCCGAATCGGTCAAGACCGCGTGATCAGCTCGATCAATTACGCGCAGGAACAATGCGTTTCGCATGACAACAATGTATTTGTTGTTTTCACCCGATTATCGGACGAATTCGGATTAAACACCACGTGTTAACCACGATTACACGGGTAAAGACGTCGAGTTACGTCGTTCGGAAGCGCGAATTCGATTGTATATACCGGAGTACGGTGTGTACAACTTTCGTGTTGGAAATATTGTTGAAATCGAACGATTGCCAAACGGCAGTGATGATACACAGATTAATACGAATTTATCTAGACAAAATAATACAAATCTACCTGGATAATGGGCCAACAACATAAAACAAAATAAAAAACAGAAACATTTGTTTATAACATTTTATTATACAACGTATATAATCATATAAATTATCAAACTAACGAGTAATGTATTAACATCTGTTATACAGTTTTATTCATACTTACTTATAGATAAAACAATTTGTTTAAATTCTCAACGAATCTAAGGTTTTTGGGAGCAACTGTACACGGGAACCTGAATCGGTATATCACTTAGTTTTAAATAATTTAATCTTTAAACTTAATTTTAAGTTTTATTAGACTCTGAGCGCGGTGAGGAATGTGTTGGTTTTACAATGAAATTTATTTATGTTTTCTGTAAATAACTTCTACCAAACATTTTGCTCCGATTTTCATGTATGACACTTTTTCTGAAAGGAAATTTGACCGGAACAATACTTTAAAAAATCCATTTTTTGATTTTCCCAAGGGGTTTTCGTGTTAAATCGTTTTTCGTTATCAATGGTTAGTACATAGTTGCATATACAGGTATTATATTTGAGATACATGCACATTAAATTTTCCCTCTTCCTTCCCGACTTCTGTAATAGTGATCCAGCCATCGTGCGAAGTACAATGTCCGTTTGTTTTCAGCTCGTAAACGCCAACCATTGAAAAAAGTATATCTTTATAGAATACGTTTATCTATAGACAAGTCTCAATAGGTACTGCCGACCGGATGGCCGATACGGCCAGCGCACCGGGTTCAGGGTTATGCACTTGTACAGTATAAAACACACTTGTATACAGGATCTGAGGGAAACAAGTGCGCCGGAAAAGGTAGTGGCACGCACGTCCGTTATAACGCTACGAGTTTACCGAATTTCGGTAATCGATTTCTTAATTTATGATTATTATTATTATTATTTTTTTTTTTTTTTTCGTTACTTTCCGCGGTGTGCGTCACGCGAACCAACCAATATTAAACGCGCCTGTGCCCGGGGAGCACTACAGCTCGTCCCTCAGTCCGGCGGTAACGAAAACAGTACGGAGAAAATGGAAAACGGCCGCGGCAGAATGATAATAAAAAAACAACAACAATAATAAACTACAACGAGAAAATCAATTACGCGCTCACCTCCGCGGGTTCTGAGTGATGTGTGTGTGTGTGTTGCGGCGCGCACGCGAAAACCAACGGTGCGGCGGCGGTGGCGTACAATCAAAGCCTTCCCGTTTAGCGGTCGACCCTATTGTACGACACAATACGCGTATGTATTAATATCTTCTCGTTTCTCGAATCCTTACGACCGGCCCAATTATATAAATGCTCTTTTTCTCTCTCTCTCTCTCTCTCTCTCCCTCTCACGGCCGGCTTCCCCTCACGCCGTCGCCTCCGAAGTCCTACGACCATATAATAATAACAATAATAATAATATAGTCCTCGGGACGTCGCGTCGTCGCTGGCATGTACGTGCGCGCGGCGTTTGACGAACGCGTACGGAACAAATTGACAAATCAAATGATTCGCGAACGACGAAGTACTCACTGCAACGAGTACTTCGTGTATATTATTATTATTATTACATATAAACAATGTATACGTATGTATGTGTGTATGTATACGCCGACGGATGTCAACCGAATTGAAACACGTCGAAAAAGCACTCGAACTAATAAGGCGTACATAACGACGTTATCCGTATGTGGTTGTGTGCGGTATTCCGGTATCAACGAAATATTACTATATGTCGATGAGTCGGGGGAAAAAACAAAGTTATTCGTAAAAAAAAAAAAAATCGTGGACTTTTACGTTAGATTTTTGGAAATGCATTTATTTTTCTCGGCTGCTAATATTTTCAATTTTTAATTTTTTTTTTTTTTTTTTTATATTTATTTTTAATTTCTCGCGTCGAACCACAGATGTATATTATACGAATTTAAAACTCTTGCGCTCGTTTGGATGTACGATGATGAACTGTTATTTTGTTATCACAATTTCGATTGAAATCATTGTCGTATACGATCAAATATGCCTATATATATATATATGTATAAATAAATATAAGATAGTATATAAGATAATATATAGATCGAATTTTTCTCGAAAATCGAGACTATCGCACAGAGGTTAAAATAATAGCACGCAGCCCCTCTAACTTTGACCGCACTTAAGAGAAGACATAATCAGAAGCCTTTAAGTTGAACCAAAATTCGAGTAAATATTATTTTTATCATTATTTACGGAACTGCATTCAATTAGAAAATGTAGAGAATTAGACATACTTTTAAACATCCGATATCAATTGTTAAAGTACGTATAGATTTATAGAAAAATCGACTTATGTCTAAGTTCTTGAAGATTTTTCGATTTAAAATTCGCAATTGTATTCAAAATAAATACAAATTATCTTTAGTTATCACGTAATCATCAAAAATAATGTTTTAATTTTTAAACGTTGAAAACTAAAAAAAAGGCTTTCCGAGTAACTTAAAAATTTGTAAAAAAAAAAAATGCATATCTATGCAACTTTAAAAATTGAAATCAGATATTGAGAAGTTTATCTATAATTTATCGTCACTTATTGGTCTGAAACGTATGAAAAAAACAGGTGCGCTCCGTCCCTTATTAATATAGAGGGTTGATAAATTGTTTATTTAATTTCATAATATATATCGCTATAATATGAATTACGAAACTATTTTAATTCGAAATTACCGACATACTTATTATTATTTGTATAGGTATTATATTTTAATTGTGTCAGATTACCACGAAGTTCTAAAATATAATTAATGTGTCCATTGATATTTTAAATTGCATTATATTATGTTTAGGCGTTGAGAAAACTAATATGTAAGTCGTACATTATATATTATGTCATATATAACTCCTAAAGTGAATATAATTATTAATGTTGCTATTGTGCTATAATGATATTGTTGATATTGAAGAAAGCCGTGTTAGTTTCCGAGTGAAGCGAGAAAACATCTTTTAGTTTGACAAATTAATGATGAGTAAACTATATGGTTTAAAAATGTTTTTTTGTTTAAGACAACAATATAATGTGAAAGGCTCAACATAAAATAAGGATCACTGTACCCTATGCCGTTTTGTACCATTTAAAGCATTCGAAAACATGGTGATAGATTACATTTTAATAAATATTGTATCGGTATACTGTTTTCATGTCTAGAAGTTTATGAACATAACCAATAATTATTGTTTAGTATCAGTCTATATAATTTTTTTTTTCTAGTAGTTATGTTAAATAAGTACTTAAAAATATTTTTTCTCTTTGATAAGTTTAATAGGATTACAAAATAAAATTTGCCTCTGTCTACGATACAAAATAGGGGGGGAAGAGGGAAATTCGACTCTAGTACGACAGAGTTCTGCTGCGCACGAGTGTTTTTTTTTTTTTTTTTAAATCGATCGATATACGACGAACAATATAATATAATATAACACATGAAGTATGGTGTCGGGGTTATTATTATTTTTTTTTTTTGAATTGTAGGTACCTACATATTTTATTGTCACCTCGGCCGTTCTTCGATCGGAGTAATGTCACGCGTGTCCCGATAGAAAGGAATATTTTGTCCAGTAATTTGTCAATAGGGTCACGTCGATAATATGTACACGTTTAGTTTGTTTTGTTACCCCGGTATATTGTCCATTTTTAATATTTAAATTTGGCTTTACGCAGTTGTTCCGATATAAAATTATACTATTATAAAATTTATGAATATACGATAAATATTTTTTGGGGATAGCTCCCAACCCGTTGTATAATATTAAAATAATATTTTTGTTTGTTGAAAATGAACGGTTATCATATCATAAAAATTGATACCTATATAAAATATACGACACTAAGTATAAATAATATAGTTATTATAATACGACGTAGATAATATTATGTTCAGCTAAACGGCAGGTAGAAACTGCAATGATTAAATTGTTTATTTATATATAAACACGCAAATGTAAAAACCACAAACAATAACGTTTGTAATATTAATAATAGTCCATGGGAATACAGCCTTAAATTCTACTGAAAATTCAATCCAAGTATTGTATTCCTCATAAGCCCGCATGAGCAAAAACGCCGTGAGCCACTAGAGAACGGTTTTGAGGAAACTGATTTTTATATTTTGATTTTCTAAAATTCATAAAACCTCGTACATTTTACTTCTCAAATTATGATATGGAGTTTCATATGTAGTTTTACTTGATAATTAATGCAATATAAATAAATATGCATGAATACATTTTAAAGTACTTGTCCAACTTTTTATGTTATAAATATATTTATAATTTATATTATATATTCATATTATTATATATTTTGATGGTCTATTGGTTACAACTTACAAATATAATATTTTACATGTGTCACATTGCGATCAGCAAGACCACAATCTGCACTAAGTATAAATGGCATACATTATTATTTTTTTATTACATACTAAGCAAAAACAACGCTGTATATATTGATGAAAATACAGAATTTTTGCTTAGCATGATTAATATACAGCGTTTTTATCTATACTTAAAATTAATTTTTCAACCATTTACAGCGTTTTGTGAAAACAAATATTGCTAATAGTCTTTCTGTAAGACGATATTTTTGACTTACAGCATATTGATCTAAAAATTCTAAAATTTACGATTTGTTTGATGTATTTAACTAATTTTTCGGACTTATGGCGTTTTTACTTACAAGTTCTTAAAATATAGAGGCATGATAGGTAGAAACAAATAAATTTGTCGTAATAGTAGGAAAAATAGTCCTGTTAACACAACAGCTGCCCATGTAATTAATTTTAGGATATTGGATATGTTTATTTTAGCCTGGTATCAAAAATCTAGAGGGGTGTTTCCGTCCCCTGTACGTACGAACCCCACCGCCGCTCGACAACTACAATATATTCGTAGGTTTTTTTTTTTTTATAACAATAAAAAGCGAACGATCAAATACGAAAAAGACGTGTATGGTATAAACGTAAAAAAAGGAAAAGTCTCTATATAATATTCAATTATATAGTTCAGTATATTATATGTTTTTTTATACCCTTCGTGCGTTATGTAGGTCATCGGGTTCAAACCTTAAATATTTACCGAAATGCAAAAAAGTTTATTGAAACGTTAATACTTACATAATGTGTAATAAGAGTAATAATAATAAAAGTATATTCTCCGTTATTTTCCGTATATTGTACTTGTATGTTGTATAACTTTCTACTATTTCCACAAGAAGAAAAAAATAAAATAAAAGGAAAATCTGTTAAAACGAGTTGGTATAAAGCATTATATACATAAATGGAGGAAGCGGGTTTTTAATTTAATTTTTTTTTTCTTATATGCGTATAATATAGGACATAATAATATAGCCATGTAAGTATATTATTAAAAATACCCGTGAGTAGTGGAGCTTCGTTACGATAGAATCAAATGTTCTCCCGCCTATTTTGTTTAATACAACTTTGCGAAACGATATATTATAACCGAACACTTTAATAAATAATAATTTATAATACGTAGCTAACTATATTATATAATACTATAATTATTATACTAGGTATTTAGCGAGAAAAAGATAATTAATATATTATAATATACCTAATATCGTACATTCGAAATTATAGTAACTGCAAGTACTCATAAACGTTCACTGATGGTTGCCGAATTTCCCCCGAAAATAGAGAATCTTACGCTGTATTGTGTCTATTGTATATTATATTCTTTTCGCACTATTTTTGGACATTGTGTTTTCTTTTATAACGCAAATACAATTTCGAATGTTTATTAATGCATTGTAAAAAAAATTGAAAACCGACCTTTTTTCACATTACGTTTAACCCACTGTTGAAGTTGCAAAGTTCGGAAGGTATAGGATATGCAGGGCGATTTAGTTTATATACTGAAATCAATGATAAATGATTGTAATCAAAAAACCTAATTTTGAGAGTAACTCGATTATAGACTTATAGTATAATAAGAGTTTTTTCCTTGTAGTCAAGATAACAAAGATATCAACCAATATGTACCGTCATTAATATTTTTGTTAGTTTTAAATTTGTTGACCAAACAAATAAGTACCGTCGTGCGAAAAATCTGCATCTTTAAATAAAGTACAATATGAATAATTTTAATAGCATATTTAATATTTATAAAAATCAAAAAAGTAATTTTCCAGAAAAGAACAGAACCAAGGGGTGAAATTTTTGAGAATTTCGAAAAATGTTTCAAATAAAATACTGTCGGGTAAAAAATCTGCATCTTTTCAACATTTGTATTAATCACGAAAGAATGTTTTTCGTGAAAAATAGATATCTCAGTAAAACTATAAGAACTTCTTCGCAGCGCTCACAATCTGAAGTATACATTATACGCATTTGAAATCAAAACGAGATTTGTTTGCTTCAATTTCACGGCTGTAATATAAGCGTAGCTCAAAGCCGGGAAGAATTCCGCTAATTATTTTATGTTTTCATTATATTCGGAAAATCCATTTTTTATTAAATTAATTATATAATTATTATTCTCATTGCAAAAAATAATTAAAATTACTAAAATTAAACCACTCGCAATTGAATACTTGACGTACCCATATTCATATATTTAATAGCGGTTATGATATTCATGAGTAGGTACCGAAAGGCGTTGAAAATAAAAATAACGACTTGCTATGATTACCGTGTTCCGGAACACAAAAAACGCGATGCATTATTATTGGTCTTATCGCACCTCTACATCAAACTGTTTACGGAACAAAAAGGTTTGAAAATATACTTTTAAGACTTCCAAGTTTGCGATATTTTATTGATTTTTTTTTTTTTTTTTTTGTTAAACATAATAAAATATTACGTTATTGCATTATACATTTATACTGTACCTACTGTATAATTATTATTTTTGAAAAATCCACACAATTTTCCTTATTAAATAACACAAATTATTAGGCGAATTCGATAGAGCATTTTTCTAGTGAGTATCTACTGGTTTTTCACTCCTCTCCCCCTTAAAAAAAATCTCTATGAGAAGAAAGATCATACCTCCATAATTTCTGTATTTTCCCCCGTTACTCAAACTCCTTTCTAGTAAGATTAATTTCTCTATAAAATATAATATTTTACTACCTACAAAATTAACTCATTCAATAATTTACTATTTACTTTCTAGTGAACACACAGTAAGGAAACTCTTACTCAACTTAGTGTCCGATGGACTTTACTAGGTATCCGTCTGGTCACAGAAAATCTCATTAAAAAATGCTCTGGAATGTGATAAAAACGGCGCAATTTTGGTAAAGAAATATTATATTCCAAAACCGATTGTTTAAAATGTATTATTGTATTTCAAGCGCATCTCTAGTGGTGTAAAAATATAATGAAAACATTCGTACGAAAAACGAAAAACGATATTGATAAAAAAAAAAAAATGTCGAAATGTAATACGAGTACCTGCTGTATAATAATATAGATAGAGATTGATGGTTGTATTTTATACTATAATATTATATATTATATTGACAGCTGTGAAATTGCTCTTTTGAGTAGAACCGAAAGTTTAAGCGTCTTAAAGTTAACCCCGCCTCTCCGATTACCGACTAAAACGTCTTAAATACGTGAATTGATAAAAATTGACACGTGGATTGTAAATAAAGACGCAAAATTGTTCGATTCCCTAACTGCACCTTTATAATACCCTATATCACTTGAAACAGACGAAACAAGCCACAAACGTAAATGGAATCAGAAAATTGATTCTATATGGCATTTTATTCGTTTTAATTATAGATATACCTATTTATCATTATAGAACTCCATATACCTTCCGGTAGTTCTTTTCCGACGATCATAAACTAAATTGTTTGCGTTTTTCCACCTACTTTATACCTACACCCGTCGAAATGGTTTTCCATCAAACAGGTTCTAGGCTTGCACTTGAAACACCTAGCTATAACTTCCTTGGAGCAGTATCTGCCAGGTTTGGATCAAACCTGTAGATTATCAGTATTTATCGGTATTATAAAGTTAAGATGTTATGCATCATCACAACTTCACGACAAGAGCTAATCAGATGATTCCAAGTTCGTCTGTGGCTCGTTTCAAACAGTTAATCCGCTGTCCAGACGAAAGGGCGCAATAACAATAATAACGATGCTAATTTTCATTTTTTTTATTTTTTTTTTTTTATAATTATATTGTTGAAACTCGAACCCGAGTAACAAAAAAGGAAAACCAAATAATGATAATAACCATAACTCTTCGAGTATTAAATTCGCCGGACGTTGACAATACTATGACGATCGTCAGTATCGAACGGGGGGACGAAATAATAATTTCACCCGAGGGACTATTATTGTCGGGAATTAAGGTCATATATACTAAAAAAACAATACTATGTTATTAATTATTTTTTATATACGAATTCGATCGATATTGCGTGTGTTGACCCCTCTCCATCTTTTCCCTACCCTACCGAAAAACTCCGGGAACGAAGACACGGCTCGTGACTGACCTATAATTGTCCGCGGTGGTGTGTTTTGTAAGTCGTGCTGTATTTCCAAAATAATAAAGACGATGGCGATTTTTCTGTGGCTGATTCGATTGAAAAACGCTCGAATCCGATAAACGTGCACAAACGTCTACAAACATCGGACGGAAACTATGCGGCGGCGTATTTACCAGATTTTATCATTCGTGGGTATGATAAATATAGACGGATGTTTCTTGTTAGGTCGAAAGTGACAAGGACGATGGAACAACGAGAAAGGGAGTACTACTGTTATTATAGTTGGGATGTTAAGAAGGTAAAATACATAAAATGATTTCATTTATAAGTGTAACCAACGATGAACCATAGCTAACGAAAAACGATTCGGAACAAAGTTCAGTTGTACATATTTTGAAAGGCTGTAATATTTACGGTTTTCGTCATAATAAGATATTAAAATTCTCATAAAAAAATTTGTTTTGTTTTATTATTAATTATGACGTAGAATGAACCTCCTGTTAGATTTTTAAACATTTATGTTTAGTCTAACAATTCTATTCATAGAGTACCTACCAAATAAGAACCGCGTAAAAATAAAAAACAAAATATCTATAAATTGCTCACAAATGACTCAAATGTTTTTAAAATTTTACCACGTCTATAAAAGGCAAACACCTATATGTTTTTTGTCAAAATTTCAAGTCTCTGTATTTATTTTAAACTAAATTATAAAAAAAAATCAAGATTTAACAAAATGAATTCCTTATTTCCCATTCTTTCTACGTTTTTTTTTCAGTTGTGTTCAATTATTAAAAAAAATTACAGGGGAAATCAAAAAACGATTTTCATACTCACCTACTAGATAAAAAATTCTTTTAATGTTTTTCTAATGGGGTAATATTTCTGATGGAAAACATAAGCCATACGAATTTAAAATAAAGGAACCGACGTCGTAAATTTAATAGTTTTTATTTTCTGACTTTTTCTGGTTTTCCATTTATTATAAAATTTACTTGAGTTATTAAAAAAATACGTTCTTCGTGAACAATTAAATCTAAAATGCAACAAAAAATGCCTCTGTTGTTTTTCTATTAGAACAATATTTCTGATAGAAAACATAGTTGGTAAAAATTATAATCAATAAAATTGGTAACGCGCCTTAAGTATTTGCCTTTTTTCCGATCATTTTTTTCTGACTTTCATAAAAGGTGCTAAATGTGATACACGGAAGCAAAATTGTTGGTAGAAAAAAGGCTCATAAACAAAAAAATTAAAAAAAACATAACCGTAAAAAACCAATAGATCCCTCGCTACTTTCCGAATTTCAAAATCTATTGTAATAAACTTTTTTTCAACAATTGTCGAATAAACTGTAACGGTATTAAAATAAAAAATTATTTTATTGTTTAGACTATTTATTTTGTATTCAATATCTATTGATTTAATGTATAATATTTATTTCAGTTGTCCGATAAAAAAAAATATTTTTAAAACAAATTATACTAAGCATTTAAAAATATGTTTCGGCTTCTGCGGTTCCAAAATCACGTTTCACTGACAAACAATAACTATTATATTTTTCAATATAATATTATAACATATTTATACATAGCTCATCATATCAGACACGATCTTTTCTGGTATGTAATTTAAATGACGTGTCGATGATACGACAATATTACCACCAGCTGCAGGTAACAATTTAAAACTATAAATACGAAAAAAGCGTAAAAAAAATTGTATTTTTCCGAGTTAAACGCCCCCCCCCCCGCCCCCCGAACCACGCGAAAATACTTCACCGCAGCACGGTGTTCAATTCGCTCGCGATCCGACTCGCTCTGCGGCTTATATTATTATAGGCAACGGCGATTTTGATTTATCGCTCTCGGAGGTGGTCGTCCGAAAGGTTCAGCATCATAATGCAAAACTGTCGTCATAACGACAGCAGATGCGAATTGATTTTACTCGAATCAAAACTTCGCGGGCGTTGTGCATGATGTATACACGATCACGTTGCAACAGTTATAGAGCGCGCGACTCGCGAAATAATAATACGTTTAACAAAATTCCCGTTGACTGCACTCTCGCTACGTATCGATACGCGATATTATGTAATACGCCGCGTAATAATTGGACGCGTACCGTCAACGAGACGAACGCGCTTGACGACGGTGCGATGTTCGCGGCACGCTCGATGCCGCCGCCGGTCGCCGACACGGCAGCGGAGTTTGATTGATGAAAGACCAATGGGTACGGTTTCGGGGGTTTTTATACCGCACCGGGTTTGCTGCGGTAGTGTACGGTTACATCGCGGTATAATAGTTTGTGTGTGTGTGTGTGTGTGTAAAGGGTGGCGCCTGAGGGGTTCGCGATCTCGCGGAGTTTATACTGTACATACAACAAACACACATACACACACATCACTGTATAATATGTATATTGCGTATACGGCGAGAACAAAAACCGCTCCGCTAATCGGATTTGCATTACACGACGCGCACCGCGCAAGTGGTATCGATTTGCTCTTGTGCAGCGCTACCGCCGGGTCGGTGTATACGAAAGATAAAACAGAAAAAAAAAAAAAAAAATGTACGAGGAAAACAAAGGAAAACTCGCTGCGGTCTGCGGCACGGGACGTAATGAGCAGAGTGCGGGCGCCGGGCGATGACGGGTATGTGCGCGGCGAGGAAGGTTAAGGATTCGCGTATGTAGTGATGCGCATATTATGGAGTGTACCGTAGAAAAATGTATAGCGTTGTATTATATAATATAGTGTGTGTGTGTGAGGACTATTAAAAGGCGCATGCTTGCTAAAATTCGCAAAATCGTATTATTACTATCGCGTCTGTTTGTGTGTGTGTGTGTGTGTATGTGAGCGAATAATACTACACGCAGAAGGGTAAAAAGGAGAGGGGTGGCGGCGGTGGTATAAAACACTGAAGTAGGAGAAGAAAACCGAGATGACGGGAGAGAGATACAGTGGGAGAGAGAGAGAGAGAAAGCGAGAGAGAGAGAGAGAGAGAGAGAGAGAGAGCGAACGAGAAGTTCGATAAACCTAACACCCGGTTGTCCAACAATGACAAGCAACACGAATTGACATCGACCCCGCACAACCCACCCGCTACCCCTTCGAGACACCGACATCGTGCCGCCCTAGTCGTACCCGGCCTCCCGTCCTCCACCTACGTCCCGTCGTCGTCCCGTCAGCGCGACCAACTTTTTCGCGTAAATACATGTATATATATATATATACGCGCGGTATACCTATAACCTCTTCGGATGTTAATACCGTCACACCGCCTTACCGCGTTACAATGTCGCGCGTCCGACACCGCGGCTGCCGCTCATACGCACGACAACAATACGGACGGCAAACCGCAATCAATTATAGGCTCGCGCTCGCGGTACGCACCGATAATAAATACATATAGCTACCGTCATCGTACGGATACAATAACGAAATATATATTATATTTATATATAAAGCGTGTACTATATATTATTATTATACGCGTTGTCTGCGACACTCCGCGGGCTTCGCGCTAATTCGCCCCGGCACCCTACGTAACACTATAATAATACGGTGCTGTAGTATTATCGGCTCACGCTGTAGGAGGACGCGCGTTATTGAAGCGATTGGCGATAATGCACACGACGACGACGGACGCCCGATTAGGTCACTGTGCCTCGGTCGTCGTCGCGAAAACGTCGCTCGACACGCATCGCAGGCGCCCACGCGCATTAATACCGAAATTAATAATAAGACGCGCGGCGTGAAAACGCGCCCGTTCACAAATACGTGTAATAATAATAATAATGATAAAAATAACAATAATATTATACACCTCGTCCGTTTTCGGAGGTTTGTCGTGCCGTTGTCCGTTGCCGTTGTTGGCGGCGGCGGCGGCGGTAACGTCCAAAAACGACGGCACGTGATTTATGAGCACGTGCATTACGACAATTTAACGTACCGCCGCCGCGCAGTGTGGCGTACGCGACGAAAAGCGGAACGGGCCGATGAAGACGACGGCGGGGTGTAAGCGTCTGTATAGTACGTGTGTACGTGTACGTGTGCGTGTGCGTGTGTGTGTGTGTGTATAGGGGACAGGCTTGGGACGTGGCACGGGCGAGGGGGTGGTGGAAAGCGGCCCCGATGACCTGATCTAATTTTGTATAGACGTCGCGCTGCAGCTCGCGGTTCGTCAGTCGAAATATCCCTACGGTCCTCGCCGTAATATACGTCATGTAAAACGTATGGGGCAATAACTGCCGCGCGTGTACTATATAATATACCTATACGTACACCTACGTATAGTTATAATATACGTCATGACGTATACCGCAGTAGTATTATACCAATAAACACAGCCACACGACTCGTTTCCGCCTAGGGCATAATTATCGTGCAGCGGTATTATTTACTATAATATAGGTACTGTACGCGCTTACTTTCACCTTAAAATAATTGCGACTAACGCACAATAATATTATTATTAAGCAAATGCGTCGTGTGTGTGCGTGAGCTATGTATGTATGTGTGTGTGTGTGTATGTGAGTGTACGTTGGTGTGATCGTGTATGCGCGTGTAAATATACGCGAAAATAATGCACACACGCACACCCACACACACATACACACACGCACACACAACACACATGCGCGTCGGTTCGCTCGCCGGACTTGGATACCGCCGCCGCCGCCGCCGACGACGCCGCGGCCGGCGAGCGCGACGCTCTATCGATTCACGCGTTGAATATTATGTGCGAAATCCCTAAACGAGGATTACGGTGCCCCGGGACTCCTGTACGGTCGGTCGGCCGGACTACCGGCGGCGATTTCGCGCGCTGTCGTTTTAACGCGGGGACGAGCGCGTATTATACTGCGCGAATTTTGGCGGACGCCGCGAAGGACAATCGATCGCGCGCGCGGATATACCCGGACACGCGGCTGTATCACAATATTATACACAGGGAGATCGGAGCTTTATGAAACGACCGACGAACGCCGCGAACAAAAATCCCCCGGTCTAATAATTATATAGCATATAAATATGCATTTTTTTTTTCTACGTGCGGTACCCACTACGATCAATTATCGACGTATTTATAATAATAATAATAATAATAATAACGATTATTTAACACGACAATTAATACGGTACGCATTGGCTATACACATAGGTGTGGGTACTTACTTGCCGAGTTCTTCTTTCAGATCGTAGTTGTCACTAAACCGCGTGCATACGATCGGCGTGGCCATCGTGTGTCGTGTATGGTGTGTACGCTGTTTCAAAAAAAAAAAACAAAAAAAACAAAACCGAGGGGGGCCCGCGTTCGGCGTTCGGACGATGTGTCTACTACGTGCAGCACAGTACGATCGGCGTGCGATGACGAGCGTGTGTCGCGTCCGCCTCTGGCTGCGAGTGTGTATGCGTGTGTCGGCGGCTAGTCGTGCGCGAGCGCAAGTGTATGTCGGTGAGCCGCGCGCGCGCGCGCGTTTGTGTACGTTGTGTGCAGTGCGTAACGCCGCGGACGCCGGTGCGGGTGTTCTGCGGGCGCCGTACCGCAATCAATACCACAGGCGGCGGCGGCCGGTCGGCAAAGCTCGGCACGTTTCGGCCGGATCGCCGAGCTACTTGTTGACATCCCTCTATACGGACGTGTAGAGGCGAAACGCCGCCGCCACCGTTTGTGCTCGATATCAGACGCCGGCGCCCCTTTTGTGTGTGCGCGCCGCCGTCGCCGCCGCCGCTGCTGACACAGCCGCGCGCCGCGATATACGAATTCCACGTCCGCCGCACCGCCCGTTCCCTATTTTGCAATATTTTTCTCTTTACATTATTTATTTACATACGTACGACGTGCACATAGATAAGTCTCGTATATATTCTATATATATATATATATATATATACTATTGTCATATATTATATATATATATATGTTTATCCTACACAGTGCACGTATTGCCCCTTCGATTGCGGAGGGATGTTGCCTGCGTCCCCTTTTGTGCGTGTGTATTGGTCAGTATATAATATGTATACATACGCTATCGCGCCGGAACCAATACAATCGCTAGCTTTAATGAGCTATAAAACGGACTTTATTCTTTTGAGAATCGAAAATACTAAAGAAAACCAAACAACTGTTGTAATTTTGTTGTTTTTATTCCCGAGTGTTTATACGAATCAACGTTGTTTCTGCTCCCGATGTGATATTACCATTTTTTATTTTATTGCATCGCAGTTGTATCTACGATGTACACCGTATAATAATAATTATTATTCGATCGTTCGACACAAAATACAAAGCAAATAGTAATGAAAGTTTTAATTCAAAAAAGTAATAATTAACTTTTATAGACTATTATAATGCGTACGATCGTTTATACGATATATATACGCAGTGTTTTTCACTAGAATGGCAACACACGATACTTTAGCTAAAGATTAATGATTTTTTCTCGATTTTTCAATCGTGTGTTTATTACGTATGTTGTGTGCGATTTTATGATAATCTTCACTAATAATGTTTTTTTTCCATAAGAAAATTATATTTATCAAAGTTGCTGAAAAAAATATCGGGGTCATTCCAACCTAGCATTAAAAAGACGTTCTAGGATAATGGAGCCGGATGCAGCTAGTGTTATAAGTAGTTTAATGTACACCTATAAACAACGATAAACCATTGCTAAATAAAAAACGATTCTAAACGAAGTTCAGTTGATAGTGCTGCAATTAAAATGAATCTTTTTTTCGGTTTTTCACATTTGTTCAGAAAACTCCTCAGAAAATTACAAAAGTACTCTTTAAAGTACTTCTCCAGTGGAATTTTCTTTTAGAAAAGGTGCTACACATAAAAACCGGAACAAGATCTCCAGTAGAAAAGTGGTCCACAGAACAAAAAAAAAAAAATAAACATTTTTGTAAAACCATTAGCTTCTTCGCTCCGCTCTGAATATAATAAATAAAGGTGTTACTGCAGATAAGTTTGATTAACCCATTGCCATGGCGCCCCATCGCCCCTTTTGGGTTGTGTTTATTACGTTATTTTTATATTACTATATTCGACAGAAAACCGATATTTTTATTTTTATGATGCCGTTACTAATAATTACACATATAGAGCATTAGTTATGATTCTTCCTGGCCGTACATAATAATATAGAATGAAAACGCTACTTCTCAAACGCGCGCCATGGGTATACTTGTTATATTATTGATAGATTATCCAGGGAGAAAAAAAGATGCATTGGTTTGATTTTGTAGATAATTGTATTGATTGTATAATATAATTATAATAATAGTATAACGTTTACTATTTTGTAAATTAATAAATAGTAAAAATAACTTTTATTTATTTTTATTGTTTATTAAGTTTATTAATTTCAGATTTATTTAGTTGTATAGGTGAAATAATACAAATAATTAGCCTTCAATACAGGTTAAATAAAAAAAAGGTAATTTAATTTTTAAAAATTCGCTCCTCTCCGCCCGTGGATGACTTGAATCCACTACTATTGCGTAGGTATATGTTCTCATCACAAGAATTGAAATTGTTTTGAAAAAGTGTATTTTGATATCCCCTATATTCTTAAAAAAACAACCCTATTTCAATCTATGTTCATCTGGCTGAAATAGTTCGTGATATAACCATTCGATCAAAACACGAGTTACTCGTGCATTTAATTTCCACTATTTCGTTGTACACCAACCATTGACTATTGGATATAATAAGTTTTTCTTCACTATCACCAAGGTAACTTTCTGAGATAATGAGATTACCTACTTGGATCAATTTATATGCCTTGTATTATACTGTAAACAAAATTAATCTTCGCCGTTCGTGATCTATAGACACAACTACTGAACCAATTGGCACCAACCTTTGCACACATAGTCATGAAGGTTTATAGTATAGGTACAAATAGGGGGCTACAGGGTCTTGCCCCGTCCTAAAACTCAGTCAAGACCCCCAAATAGATTTTTGCACACATATATTCACCGAGACTCAATGAAGGTTTATAGCATCGACACAAATAAAAGGAGGCTCGAGAAAAAACTTCTAAGAAAGAATTAATTCAAAGTTCAAATCATAATGAATAAAAGAAAATAAGAAATTGTATTTTTTTTTTTTTAATTCACAGGCAACAACTACAATGATAGGGACCGGAATGGAAATAGAAAGTGCCGGGTTTAAACAGGTTTATATTTTTTTATATTTTTTTTTCCGTTCAATACTGGCACGAGAAAAACCATGCAGGACGATAGTATATATACATATATATACTATCTATATATATATATATATATATATATAAAAATATAAAAATAATATAGATTATCTTCCTATTATATAGGAAGATAATTTAGTTGGGCGAGTACTTAACTTTGGAAAAACTCTCGAGTTGAATACTCGACACGACTCAAAACATTTTTTTTTGTACTTGTAAACACAAGTACTCGATATATCTCAAGTAATCTACTGTTTTATTTTTTAAAAATAAATTAATAAATAAAACCTATCAAAAAAATGAAAATATAAAAAAATCGTCTTCTTCGTCACCAAATAATCTTCTTTATAAAATTTGAAATAGAGATTCCTTAACCCAAAATGAAACCAGAAAGTCGCAATCGTTAAGGCGTGGAATGTCTGTTACTATTATATGAAACGCAAGACAAGCAGAGAAAACAAACTGTGAACTCTTTAATACAAATTATAAAGCTTATATTATTATACACTAAATAATAGCTATAGCATTATAGCGTTAAATATCTTATACTACAAAAAAGAGAGCAGATACTGGGGACGGGTTTCCTACTATTTTAATGTAAAAAGTAAAACATACATCAGAATAAAACCAATAGATCTCTTGTTACGCTCCGAATCTAAAAAAAAAACAAACTGATATCAATGATGTGTAATGACTGATGACTGACGGATATGCTATTGTTCTATTGTTCTTAGGAAGTAAATTGATAAGGTAGGATACATCAAGTTGTTTAATTTATATCTATAAGCAACGATAAACCAATTCTAACGAAGAACGATTTGGAACGAAGTTTGATTGTACATGTTTGAAAGGCCATAATACGTATTTACGATTTTCTTTGAAATTTAATGTTAAAACTTTGATAAAAAAAAAAATTCTACATTAATTTTTTTTCTTTATCACTTAGTACAGCTTATAATGAACCTCATGCAAATTGTCAAGCATTTCTATCTAGTCAAACAATTGTATCTACAGAAAGCATCTACAAATAAAAATTACGAACAAACTCGCAAAATTAAAATTATACTCATCTGTAAAAGGAAAATATAAATTAAGAGTCGAAATAGCAAATCTATATGAATATTTTAAACCGAATTACAATAAAAAAACAAAATTAAAAATAATAAAATCATTTTTTTCGTAAATTTTTCTTTTATTTCTACGTTGTTTTCGTTTTTGTTAAATTATTAAAAACTACATGGAAAATAATAAAAAAAAAAATTTTCTTTCTCACTGACTAGATTAAGAATAGCCTCTTTACGTTCCAAAACTAAAAATATATCGAAATTTCGCTTGCTAAGTTTTTGCTTTAAACCGACGATATGACTGCAGTTCTACAATTTAAGGTTTGCCATTTGAAATTAAATTATAATTTAATTATATAATTCTACAATATCAGTGTAACCACTAAATATTCTTGAAAATATTCAATTTTGTACAATCTTTGGTACAAAGTTCACTCGTTCAATTTCAAACACTCGACAGTTTTCGATTACTTGATTTCAAAAGACCTATGTACTCATCCAACACTAAAAATTATAGAAGAATATTGCTCATTCAAATTCCCATAATAAACTCTTTTATTGTTGCTATTCCGTTCCTTGTCTTTTGGAGATACAATTTTTAAAACCCTTCATGTAAAATTAACTTATCAAAATCTAAAAGAGAAACTATTATTTTATATTTAACGAGTCCCTATAGGTACATATGTTCATATATGCCCGCTGGTTCAGAATGTGTGAGGTATTCATTTTTCATACTATTGTATACCTTTTTGTTTTTTCTTTTATCTCTTACCAAATAGAGCCTTAAGGGAATAATATTTATATAGAATTTAATATAATATTAAGGATGTGATAAAACAGTTACCTACTATAATATTATATTATATAATATAAGTGAATTATATTTTTTTTTTTATGTTTATTGGCTTAAATAGCCATTAATAGTCCGAAAAACTATGCAGTGAGTTATTGGACTGGGGAGAGAGGGGGATATTTTGATATTAACTTAGGTACAGTATAATATTTAACACATAAAAAATATTTCCCTAATATTTATTCTTTTATTTTAATAAACTTACATATTATTTTTTTACTAATCTACATGAATGTATATAAGTTTCAATCAACAATAAAGTTTAAGTTTTATTTAATAATTATAACACAAAATCTACTTCTCGAAGTCTAAACTTGAAGATCCTCCCAGGTCCTCCCCGTAACCCTCCCC